TGCCAGTGTCTGGCAGGCGGTTTTAGTGTGCGCGATGCGACTTTAGTCGATACTCTAGAGAGTGTAGCTTGCTGGAAGGTGTAGGCTGACGCGCAGCGCTGCCTTCTGGCTTGAATTTGCTCTCCACACCACTCTCAACATGGAGGAAAATAGTTGCCTATGAAGTGTTGTTCTACATAGGGTGAAACTGCCAGTCCTATGATGATCTAGGAGTTTCGTTCCTAGATTGTCCCCCTTCGTATATACTAGACCTACAGGAGACGTACGCACGCACGTTCTTTTGTATCGTGTCTACAGTCTTTGTTACTGTAACACTGGCAATTCTTGCGATTGCGAACGGCACTTTGTGCTCTAGTAGTATGACCATTAATTGCGCGAGAGTCTAGGGATTTGGTTCTTGTGTGTGTGCTGGTGCAAGCCAGTGCTTAAGAGAGAAGAAGCCAGCTATGAGAGTGAATGCTGACGTGCAGCGCTGCAGGATGGCTGGTAGAGACTCTCCACACTACCCTTGGCATGGAGGAAGATAAGTTCCTATGAAGTGTCAGTTGCTATAGGGTATGACCAATGAAGTATTTTCCACCGGGCGTTTCGTTCCCAGGTGGCGCGCGTTCTTTTCTAGACCTACAAGAAGTCATTGCACGGAATGTACTCTTGTACTGTGTCTTCAGTGGTTCGCTGCTGATGTACATAGCAATTTTTTAAATTGCATAAGTGTCTAGCCGAGTTGGTTCTTGTGTGCGCGATGCGGTTGCGGTGTCAGCCGATACTCTAGAGAAAGCTAGCTGGTTGTAAAGGTGTAGGCTGACGTGCAGCGCTGCCTGAGCACTGGTTATCTTTCTCCACACTACCTTTGTCACTATTGAGGAGATTCTGTCTCCGAGGAAATACTGGCATCAAAAGGTAAAACCAGCAGATTTCTTTATCTCTCTGGGCGTTTAGTTCCCAGATGGGACCCCATTTCTTTCTAGACCTACAAGGGGACATTGCACGGAATGCACCTTTGTACATTGCAAGTATTTATACTTGCGCCAAGTGTCTAGCCGAGCTAGTTTGTCGTGCGTTTGATGCAGTTGCGGTTGCCAATTCGTACTTCAGAGAAAGATGGTTAGTTGAGAGGGTGTAGGCTGACGTGCAGCGCTGCCTGATCACTAGCTGTCGATCTCCGCACCACCCTTAACATGGAGGAAGATAAGTTCCTGTGAAGTGTTATTGTTCAAAGGGTAAACTAGTTCATTTTCCCTCCCCGCTGTCAGATCAGGTCTTCGTCCTGGGGAGGACGGATCTACTTTTATAAGTAGTGAACTAAGAATCTGACATAATTTTTTTTCTCGTTTTTTTTTTGCTAATAAATATAATATATTATTTAGCCTTGATTTTAATTTTTTTTTTATTAATAAAAACCAAATCTTTCTAAACCATTTCAATTGAGTTCTATTTTAACAATGATTGTGATAAGCATTTTCCTATTAATAACAGCTAGATATGTATAATAATTTAATTAATTAAAAAGACATTAAGATGAATATGAGATGTGGGTACGGTGAGACAGGAGAGAGTTGATTTGATTGAAGTGAAAGAGAGAAGAAGAGTGAGAGTGATTATATTTAAAGATATTAAGGAAACTTTGATGGTTGAGTATTTGTGTTGGGTGAAGTTTGTTTGGTGTAGAAGCGGTTATTTAAAGATATACTAGAAGGTGGAAGCTTTGAAAATTATGTCTGATGGGATGGGGGGGCATTGGGATCGAAGAAGGTGTTGGAAGTATAAGCATATGAATGCTGTGTGTGTGCGAGAGTTGAAAGCCAGATTTGAGAATGGTGATATATGAGACCTTGGGCTTAGAGGAATATAATGTACGGTTTTGGAGTGTTGAAGTTTTATTATATGGCTATGATTTTGAGCTGTATCTTGTAGTGGTAATAAAAAAAAAGATACATTATGGTTGATGGTGTCAATTCTGATAGTATTTTGAAGTTGATGTTGGTAGTGTCAAAAAAAAGCGATATGTTATGGTTGCTGGTATTAGTTTTGATAGCATTCTGAAGTTGGTGCCGATTCCAGTAGATTTGTAAAGTCAATGTATGCATGGAGGTTTGACTGAGGATTCCCGAAATGAATGAGGTATGTAAAAAGAAGATTCAAGACATTGCTAAAAAAAAAAGATTTTTTTTTGTTTCTGTTGCGGCTCTGTTAAGGTTATTTCTGATATACAGTCCTCTCCGAACAGTATTGACTGAACACTAGACAGTATTTCAACCTTTGTATGGGTGGTAGTGTCACTGTGGATTGGCCTGCTATGTTTCTTTCTCTTATGGGTACACATAGGCTGTTTGCACCACAAATTGATAATTTTAGTCTACAAAAAGACTTTTGTAAGAAGCCGTAGACTCTAATTTATCAGTGAGCATCTACACAGTCTACAAGAAGACGTAAAAAGCAAACCACCTTATACTCTATATTTTATTATGGCACAGTCAAGGTATTGGCAGAAAAGCTGGTGTGTGCGTCTTTATATAAAGAAAGACTGGGATTTATACAGTACACTTATACATCTTCGAGACAGGTATTTAACCCAAAAAAAGAAAAAAATGCCCTGATAAATTTAAATTTTCAAAATATAGTACCGAGCCCGCAAAGATATCGACGAGAAATGCGTTGGTACCCACACCCTAAGATTGCGGGATCGAAACTTCTTTTAACCGCATTTTAAATTTTTCAATTTTTTTATTTTTTCATTTTTTTCAATTTTTCATTTTTTTACTTCTTTACACCAATTTACTCTCATACTTTTAATAAATAGATTTGAAACAAAGACTTCAGGCATGCTATTTAATAGAACACATAAAAAGTATTCTATGTATTTTTCTTTTTTTTAAAGTCTAATATAGAATATTATAACATATATTACACAGCCATCCATTTTAAGAGTATCTGTCAATATCACTACCCTTTTTTTTTTTTTTTACTTTGTATATGTTTTGGGTTTTGTGCAGATGCTCCAATTAGTACTTTTTTGTATACATGATCATAGAGTTCTCTCTTGTATGTAAATACTATACATTTGTTTCAAGACAAAATCTTACCGAGTTTTGAATATACTAAAAGAAAGCTTTTTGAAGTCGGATCGAATAGTATATTTTAATTCAAGGTACACAGTGTTAGATAAGATTTAGATATGTGCCACCATTAAATAAATTGTCCAAGAACGGATCAAAACTCGACTTAATAAGTGTAGATTTTTGCACAGCTGGTAGGTTAATCCAGTTCTTACTAAGTAGCAGAAGAAAAATTAAGTGTCTAATATATTGTCTAAGAATATTAAACTAATATACAATCCGATTGATACACATTTCTGTTTGCATAAGTGTACCCAGTTTTTTAATCCAAATAATGGGTTATATATATATATATTCTGAAGATATGGTCTCCACCTTTAATATCTGATTTGAATGACAAAGAAGGTCTCGCAGCCTCAAATATATGCCTACTAATATATAATATTTAATAAAGAATAATACTTTAAAAGAATAAAATTTCAATTGGTATATATTAATGCTGTAAAGTTGCAAAAACCGAAGCTAATATCAAATTAACGTGGAGTAAATTTGATTAAAGACCATTGATTCTTTCAATATACTCATACAACAAGCTCTACAGCTATAAAATCTTTAGGATCGTGTCCTTATAAAATCTGTCTATATAATTGATGTAATAAACATTTATGGAAATCAGTCATTTTGTCTCAGCTAAAATGTTTTAAGGAGTGCATGTATATTTGACATGATGACTTCAGCACTTCCCACAGCCCTCAATCAAAAAGTATATCAATAGTGCAAAAGTGCGCAGCAAATTTTTCTCTCTTTTACCTCTTTCCCACACTTTCCGCCTGGTCCAAAAGATAAGTATCTTTTTCTTCTTTGCCTTTCTACTAGAATATATCTAACCATCTACTTTGCTAGCAGCGACGAGTTTCCGTGTTTCTGTCCATGGGGTTTTCGTGCCTCCGTACTCTTTCGGTAAGCTCTTTTTTTTTCTTTTACTAAGCTTTATCTAAATATTCATTCTTTAGATGGGTGTATACACACCGGTATATGTCTGTTTGCGGAGCTGTGGGGAGTGAGCAATTGTTCCCTGTGGTAAAAAAAAGAGTTAAACCCTTTACTGAAGCTCTTTGGGTAAGCTCAATATTATATTCTGTACTCTACTCAACATTTACTAACTATGTTTTTTTTTAGGTGGGAGTATATACGCACCGGTATATATTTCTATTTAAAGTAGCTATAGCGTCAGGCATGGAGGCCTTTGGGTAAGTTCCTTATTAATACTATTACTATATCAGACTTTGACTAACAATCTATTTAGATATTGTGTTAGCCAACCGACGATCAAGCCGTATACCAAGTAAGCCAGACCTACACGGACGTTTCGTTTCCGTTGTAGAGAAGTTTCCAGGCCAGACCTACGAGTGGTATTGCGCGAATGCGCTCGTACTGTGTCTTCAGTGGTTCGCTGCTGATTACATAGCAATTTTTCGAAGTTGCACAAGTGTCTGGCAAGGCGGTTTTAGTGTGCGCGATGCGACTTTAGTCGATACTCTAGAGAGTGTAGCTTGCTGGAAGGTGTAGGCTGACGCGCAGCGCTGCCTTCTGGCTTGAATTTGCTCTCCACACCACTCTCAACATGGAGGAAAATAGTTGCCTATGAAGTGTTGTTCTACATAGGGTGAAACTGCCAGTCCTATGATGATCTAGGAGTTTCGTTCCTAGATTGTCCCCCTTCGTATATACTAGACCTACAGGAGACGTACGCACGCACGTTCTTTTGTATCGTGTCTACAGTCTTTGTTACTGTAACACTGGCAATTCTTGCGATTGCGAACGGCACTTTGTGCTCTAGTAGTATGACCATTAATTGCGCGAGAGTCTAGGGATTTGGTTCTTGTGTGTGTGCTGGTGCAAGCCAGTGCTTAAGAGAGAAGAAGCCAGCTATGAGAGTGAATGCTGACGTGCAGCGCTGCAGGATGGCTGGTAGAGACTCTCCACACTACCCTTGGCATGGAGGAAGATAAGTTCCTATGAAGTGTCAGTTGCTATAGGGTATGACCAATGAAGTATTTTCCACCGGGCGTTTCGTTCCCAGGTGGCGCGCGTTCTTTTCTAGACCTACAAGAAGTCATTGCACGGAATGTACTCTTGTACTGTGTCTTCAGTGGTTCGCTGCTGATGTACATAGCAATTTTTTAAATTGCATAAGTGTCTAGCCGAGTTGGTTCTTGTGTGCGCGATGCGGTTGCGGTGTCAGCCGATACTCTAGAGAAAGCTAGCTGGTTGTAAAGGTGTAGGCTGACGTGCAGCGCTGCCTGAGCACTGGTTATCTTTCTCCACACTACCTTTGTCACTATTGAGGAGATTCTGTCTCCGAGGAAATACTGGCATCAAAAGGTAAAACCAGCAGATTTCTTTATCTCTCTGGGCGTTTAGTTCCCAGATGGGACCCCATTTCTTTCTAGACCTACAAGGGGACATTGCACGGAATGCACCTTTGTACATTGCAAGTATTTATACTTGCGCCAAGTGTCTAGCCGAGCTAGTTTGTCGTGCGTTTGATGCAGTTGCGGTTGCCAATTCGTACTTCAGAGAAAGATGGTTAGTTGAGAGGGTGTAGGCTGACGTGCAGCGCTGCCTGATCACTAGCTGTCGATCTCCGCACCACCCTTAACATGGAGGAAGATAAGTTCCTGTGAAGTGTTATTGTTCAAAGGGTAAACTAGTTCATTTTCCCTCCCCGCTGTCAGATCAGGTCTTCGTCCTGGGGAGGACGGATCTACTTTTATAAGTAGTGAACTAAGAATCTGACATAATTTTTTTTCTCGTTTTTTTTTTGCTAATAAATATAATATATTATTTAGCCTTGATTTTAATTTTTTTTTTATTAATAAAAACCAAATCTTTCTAAACCATTTCAATTGAGTTCTATTTTAACAATGATTGTGATAAGCATTTTCCTATTAATAACAGCTAGATATGTATAATAATTTAATTAATTAAAAAGACATTAAGATGAATATGAGATGTGGGTACGGTGAGACAGGAGAGAGTTGATTTGATTGAAGTGAAAGAGAGAAGAAGAGTGAGAGTGATTATATTTAAAGATATTAAGGAAACTTTGATGGTTGAGTATTTGTGTTGGGTGAAGTTTGTTTGGTGTAGAAGCGGTTATTTAAAGATATACTAGAAGGTGGAAGCTTTGAAAATTATGTCTGATGGGATGGGGGGGCATTGGGATCGAAGAAGGTGTTGGAAGTATAAGCATATGAATGCTGTGTGTGTGCGAGAGTTGAAAGCCAGATTTGAGAATGGTGATATATGAGACCTTGGGCTTAGAGGAATATAATGTACGGTTTTGGAGTGTTGAAGTTTTATTATATGGCTATGATTTTGAGCTGTATCTTGTAGTGGTAATAAAAAAAAAGATACATTATGGTTGATGGTGTCAATTCTGATAGTATTTTGAAGTTGATGTTGGTAGTGTCAAAAAAAAGCGATATGTTATGGTTGCTGGTATTAGTTTTGATAGCATTCTGAAGTTGGTGCCGATTCCAGTAGATTTGTAAAGTCAATGTATGCATGGAGGTTTGACTGAGGATTCCCGAAATGAATGAGGTATGTAAAAAGAAGATTCAAGACATTGCTAAAAAAAAAAGATTTTTTTTTGTTTCTGTTGCGGCTCTATTAAGGTTATTTCTGATATACAGTCCTCTCCGAACAGTATTGACTGAACACTAGACAGTAATTGTGGTATACCCTATAGAAAAAAAATAGGCAATTTTAGTAAATTGTTGCAAGTTTTCCGAGGTTTAAAGTGTCTTATACAGACTTCTGACAGAATATTTGGTCATTTTTAACCCCCGCCAAGACTCTTCAACTTATATTGTAGCTTTAAATTTATGATAAAAGATAGTAAAGTTCTATAAATCTCTGGTACTCTCACAGATAACTGTATAAGATGTAATAGATAAATTGAAAAAAAAATTGAAAAAGCTTTAATAAGAGATTGGTCTAAATTTACGCATATTAAGTTCAGATAGACGATTTTGCATATTAAGGCAAAACGTCATACAAGTCTCTACGCTAATTGCTTTCCACGTTTCTTGCAAAGCATTTTCCAATTGTCGCAATGTGGTAGGCTGAGGTCGTCTTGCGCGGATTTTGTTATCAAGAAGACCCCAGATATTTTCAATTGGACTCAAGTCCGGACTGTTAGGAGGCCACTCCAAAATCTTCAATCCAAGGTCTTTCTTGAACTTTTCTGCCAAGGTAGCCTTATGATAACTAGCGTTATCTTCTTGATAAAGGTATTCTCCCTTTTCTACATTAGGAAGACTTTGGTAGAAGGGCATGAATTCCTTCTCCAGAACTTCATTGTACAATGGGGCATTCATGTTACCCTTAAGCATAACCAGTGGTCCAACTCCTCCAGACCAAATACATCCCCAAAGCGATACAGAACCTCCATTTCCTGGAACCTTTGGAGTCAAGCAGTCTGGATGATATTTCTCTCCTGGTTCCCGCCATACATGACTACGACCATTTTTCTTGAAAAGGGTAAAGGTTGCTTCGTCTGTCCAAATGACAGTATCCCACTGTTTTTTCCAACCTTTTATTTTTCTATACCAAGCACGACGTTTGGCAATGTGCTCCTTAGTTAGAAGAGGCTTTGATTTGGTTACACGGTAGGCTAGATTCATCTTGTGCAACGTTCGGCTGATAGTTTTTGTACTGACTTTTTTCCAGTCTTTTCCTTAATTAAGTCTGCCATCTCAACCAAGTTTTGATGGCGATCCCGTTTGACATCCAAGAAGAGATGTCTTTTATCTCTAGCAGTTAATTTAGAAGGTCTTCCTGTTGGCTTCTTATTAGTAGCAGATCCGGTTTCGTTGTATTTTTTTATGATACGCGTGACAGTAGTTCTTGGTATTCCCTTTTTCCTTGCAATGTCAGAAATCTTCACGCCATCTTCATGAAGTCCAATTAAGATTCCTTTTTCAACTTCTGAAAGCCTTTCAAATGGCTTGTGAGGTTTACTGCTTCGTTGTCTAGGCATTATATTAAAAAGATTTTATTGAATTTAGCAGATTGAGTAAAGTGAAGTGTAAGGGTGTATTATGAAATAAATAGCGGAAATATAAAACGACCAAATTTTCTGTTCCGCGACTGTACTTGAGTTTTAATTAAGCACCAATTTCTCTCTCGCTCTCTTTTATATTCTACTTTTTTTTACCCCACCATGTTTTTTGCAGTCAAAGCAAAACATCTTTTTCTTAGCTTTTTCAACCCATTACATAACTAAATACCAAGTTATTCAAATCTAGTGGCTTACCAGCGGTAGTTTGGGTGGGTTCTAGGGGGTAACCAGGACGGAATTTTTTATCTTCTTTGAAGTCTAGTCAGTCTTTGTCTCAAACGACGACCCTCCTGGAGATCTTCTTCTGCTTTTCTTCTGATACGTCCGATCCGAATGAGGCGGGTGAACCTTACAGATATAGTCCCATCACATCTCAGATTGTTAAGTATATATCGGAAGTTCAGGACAGAAGCAATATCCCGATTCCACAAACGATGCATAACCTCTGACCCGTCCATGTTCTCCAAACAATTTAGATTGGTACATCTAAAAGGACTTGTTTCTATTTTTTTTTCACAAGGTCTAGAATTATTAAATGTCTTTAAAAGAAACATACTTAATAGCTATCAAGGCTAGTAGTAATAAAATACGAATCAGCAAAGTTGACAAAAGAAAGTAACTTGAGAAGAATCGACAGAAAAATATCTGCATCAAGTACAATTTGGCTGTCAAGATTGCTCGCATGCTCATTAGAGATCTCGATAGCTTTAGAGAATTGCAGGGAATCTGTCTTCTGGTTTTTCAAAAGTAGGAACTAGACATGACAATGTTAACACAAAGCAGGTTTATACTCTTTGATAAAAAGAATCAATTAAGCAATATACATGTCTTCATCAATATCATAGTATCTAGAGAATAGCCTTTTTTTTTTAGATAAAAAATGTAAAAAGTATCACATAGCAATATATATATGTATATAATATATCAAATGTATGGCTTAAATTGCTACTAAATATCATTAAATTTAGTACTTCTTCTTTCCATACTTCTTTATATTCAACTTGTATTATATTGATCAATAAAAACCATAAAATTCAAATATAAAACCGTGCATTTGTTGAACCAATTATAAGAATAAGATATATCTTAAAAAATGGTATAGATTTGCGATATTTAGAATATTTGATTGGATTAGATGCAAAAAATAATTTGAAATCCAACGAATTGTATTATCCAAATTTGTTATAAAAGGGAAATATGTACCTAAAAATGGTATAATTTTTCTACTTTAAACGATTTTATTGGATTAAATAAAAAGTAATTTTTACTCCAATAAATAGTATTCGCTGTAAATACTTTTAATTTACTAAAAGCCAATATTCTATTGGCAGACATTACAGTGATAGCTTTGATTTTATGTTTTGTATTATCTTCTCTTGAAACAAAGACCTGGTCCCTAGATGCCAATCCTGAAGAATGTTTGTGTTGTGTTGTGTTGTGTTGTGTTTCTTTGCTTTCATTTCTCATTGGTGGCCTATACTAGCTTACAATACAAATAGTTAGGCTCCTTTTGATCTAGTGTGTTTGAAGCTTTTTCTTCTTCTTCAGTTTTCATTTGAAAACCAAGAAATAATAATGAATTTTGACCATGACCATGACCATGACCATGACCATGACTATGACTATGACTTTATTGTTTCATCTTAATATGTTATAGATCTAGACCATTAGTGTGTGAGTTTACATATATATATATATATATATATGGGCTATAATATAAGATAAGATACATTTTCTCTATTAGTGAAAGATCAATCGAGAAATTCATTCTAGATATCGATAAAAATGAAAATGGTATTTTGTTTATTTATTTATTTATCTAGGTGCACAAAATTGTTGTAACTTTCAGTGGATTTATAATCATTGTTCCGTCGTTTTGATTATCCTAATAGTAATAACATAGCATAAAATAAAATAAGAAAAATATGGTAGAAGAATATAGAATATTAAAGATCTATATATATAGTGTGTGTGTGTGTGCTGTTTCAATAAACTCATTATTAAGGAATAGTCTGCTAAAGATAAAGATAAATATAATAATATAATAGCATAGAATCTTATGGAATATAATAATCAAAGAAGACGGTAGAATGGTGTCGATTGTTATAGTGAGTTTCTTCCTACAGAAACTCCTTCTAAATATACAGATTTGAATGGTATGGTGTACTTTAGATTGTGCTTGTTTGTAAGATAATGGTCTTATATATGGTTTATTATAGATTCATATGATGTGAATTTTCTTGTAACTTTTATTATTATTTTCATCTTATGTTCATAATATATTTAATGTAATTTATTAAGCTATTTTTCTTTAGGACTTTTAATCACCATGGTTTGTGTAATTTTTAGATAGACCAAGTATATCAATTATTGGTAATCAACAAATATTTATATTTATATATGTGTGTGTTATAAGCCCCAACTGGATATATTACTATTATTTTCTTTTTTTGGAAATGTTACTTTATATAAATATAGTTTCAGCTTAGGCGCTCAAGTTCGTTACTGTGAAAATATAATGAATGAATGAATATATATATATAGATAGATAGATAGATAGATAGATAGGTAGGTAGATAGATAGATAGATTCTATTCTATTTTATTTCTAGGATTCGTGTGGCGTTGTACACATCTAATGGACGATCGCCGTTAGAGACGACCCCCCTCATCAAGACCCGTTCCCCTCTTTCCTTCATTTTTCTCTGTAGGAATCTTTGTAAAGGCCAGCTATTTGGCCTAAGGATGTGTTTGTATGTCAGTATTGTCAATATTATACCTCAAAATGAAGGAGAAAGAATGAAATGCAATAAAAGATGTTTTTATATATACAAAAGGTACCCCTTTATGACATTAGTATCACTAGCTTGTTCGACAGTCAGCCTTTTATTTGTTACTTGTAACATAGTGTCGAATTGGATTAGATGTTTGTTCTTTGACATTCCTCTACCACTAATAAAATAATAAAATAGAAAAGGAAAAAGAAGGAAAAAAAGGGGAAAAAAAGGGAAAAGAAAAAGAAAGGTGGGACAGAAGATGGCGATTAGTTTTAGAAGATTGTGTCATGTAACTATTGAATCTTTGAACCAAAGCCTGTTTGTCTCCAGTAAATCTCTACAGTGCCCAGACCAATTCTCCAACAAACCTTTCTCATACTTTGTCCATGTTATAATAATAATAAAAATTTCTGGTGTATCAAAACTATAATATATAATGATTTACTATCTACCTTGATCACCTACATTACACACACAGCTATAATATTATTATTTTTATCATACTATTCTATTCTAACATTTCTGGCAGCAGTGAAAAATAAATAAAAACATAGAAAACTCTCATCCTAGAAAAGGTAAATCTCCTTTCTATCCTTATTTTATTTCTTATTTTTCGCACGACATTTACTATGTGAATTTTCTATTTTTTTATTTTTTTATATTTATAAAGCAAAGGAACATTTTCTCTTGATTTAACTATTTTGTATGCTATTTATCAGTCTATCAGTCGGTTCTTTTTTTTTATATACATAATGAGTCTGCATATCCACCATAAAGATCACCAACAATAAATGGATATCAAAGAAAGAGATAATAAATTCATTATATACAAAAGTTTAATGAGATTCCTATTTATTTACTTTTTATCTTTGCGCAAAATAGTGAGCAAACAATAACACCAATGCCAATACTAATAATTCTTGAGAATAGTGGATCTACATATCAATCAATCAATCAATCTATCTATCTATCTATACTATTTTCTATCATTTCCAAAAATGGAATACAATAATTTGGAATTAGTCACCTGACCATGTCTTGTTTTTTTTTTTGAAGATCTCTAATTTTTCTTTTTAGTTATGGTGTTCACCCCAGCGCACGCGGTTCAATATTGAGTGGGTATTTTCTGTGGCTCCTATACTAATGAATAGCCTGACCGAGTTTTATTATTCTCACCATCTCCAAAAGAATTGGCATAACTAGGCATTAGTCAAGTCTCATATAGATCCACAGCTTTCTTTCTTTCTTTTTTTTTAATAGAGAAAAAAAGAAAATACATTTGCTGATCCAAGTTAAAGGTGATCATAGACCCTTAAGAACCTTGTGAATAGAAAGCATCTAATTTTATTTTATGAAAAAAGAATAACTACCAACAGCCCAAATTACTCTTCCTGATATAGCTTGGTGTAACATTTAAAATAAAATATCAACCATAAAAAGTAATCAAAAGCCAAAAGCTATTTTCCATTGGATACACCTAGGTTTGCATTTCATATGGTATTCATCATTAGGCTTTTATATTGAAACAGAAAATCACTCTTCTTCTTTTTATTATTTATTTTTTTTAAAAAAAAGAAAATACTCATAGTTTGATGTGAGTTTGAGAGGCCAGGTACTAATTGTCTCCTGAATGTCCCTTTTTTTTTTCTCGCATAATAATAAACTCCGCCAAAAATCGAGGATGATTACCATTTTGTAATGCTAAATTAAATAAAGCTATTGCCATTACCATTACCATTACCATTACCATTACAATTACAATTACAATTACAATTACAATTACCATTACCATTATCATCATTACTAGTATTGTTATATAGATATATCTCTGTCTTCATTCAAAAGAATTTAAAGCATTAAATATAACAGTTAACAACAATTCATAATATATATATTCACCATGGCAGGAAAAGGCATGGTGAGAAGCATGTAAGAAGATTAAGAATCGAACATTATAATTCTCTCTCTCTCTCTCTCTTTTTCTTTTATTTTTATTTTTATCTTTCTTATTTCCGTCTTTATTGTCTTTATTGTCGCCTTTGTGTTCTTTGTATTTTTCTCGATTAGATCGTCATCTTATTCATTTCTGATTAATCCATCTAGTAAGAATTATGCAAAAGGTTTCTCAGAAGTACAGCGCAAAGTTCGAGAATCTACCTCTAATGACCCTTGGGGTCCAAGTGGAACAAGCATGAATGAGATTGCTCAATTGACATTTAACAAGTAAAGAAACACCTAATTACTTATTACTACTTGAAGAAAATCAATAAATTATTAAAGAAAGAAAGAAAGAAAGAAAAAGAAAGTTTATAGTAATTGATATTAATATATATATAAAAAGACAAGATTTCTTGGAGATTATGGACATGATTGACAAGAGGTTGAATGACAAAGGAAAGCATTGGAGGCATGTTTTCAAAGTAAGATAATGATTTGACTAGATAATTACTATTAATACATAGTAGTATAAGAATAATAATAGTCTTTATATAAAAGTAGATATATGTATACTCCAATATAAACCAATACACTAAACGCAAACAATAACAATAACGCATATTTTACATTATATATGCATCTTTTTCTATAGGCTCTTTTGTTGCTAGATTATTGCATTCATGTTGGATCAGAAAATGTTGTAGTCTATTCCAAAGGCAACTTATATGTTATAAAAACTCTAGGAGAATTCCAACACATTGATGAGCAAGGAAAAGATGTTGGAGCTAATGGTAGATTAAAATATATCTATTAAAGAAAGAAAGAAAGAAATAATGGGGGACTAGTCTGATCAATGTACCATTTTTTTGATTTCGTTGTTGCTTTTGTTTTTGTTGTTGTTGTTTTTTTTTTGGCGTAGTGCGTCAAAAGGCCAAGGATATCACTAGTTTACTGCAAGATGATGTTCGTTTACATGAAGAGCGTCGACAGAGACGGCAGATGCGAGACCGAATGGCAGGAGTGAATGACTGCCTTGGAGAAACAATAAGCCACGGACCGATGCAGATAGAATATTCGAATCAAGAGGATGAAGATCTCAAGAATGCAATCGAAGAAAGCAAGCGTCTTGCAGAAGAAGAAGAAGAAAAGAGAAGACGTCAAGCAAGGTAATAGATTAAGAGATCAATAGATGAATAAATTTATCTGATTTTATTCTGCAGTGTCAAGGCAACCGATGATAACCCAAAGGACAGCGATCAAACCGATGATATCTGGTCGAGCATATTTGCACCTACTCAGCCATCAAGGTAAAATTTACCATAAATAACATAAATATTACTGTTTGACTGACAGAGAATCCTTGATTGATTTTATTTTTATTTTTATTCCTAATGCATGCAATGTACTAATCTGTCTATTTTTTTTTCTTCGTTCTTACTTCCTATTCCCCACACACATATCCCTTATTTTATTATTATTTTATTATTTTAGCCCTGGAAATCAATTGCCGTCATCATCACCATCAGCAGCAGCAGCAGCAGCAGCAGCAGGAACAGGAACAGGAACAGGAACAGGGACTCAGGTATCCTTTGATGATCTGTTCAATCCTTATTCGCAATATGAGCAAAGACAGTCCGCATGGTCTCAAACCACTAGCTTCCCTGGATCTTTTGATGCACTCTATGGACCATCAACAATAAACAGTGCTGGTAATAATCCTTATCAACACAATCAACCCCAACCACAACCACAACTACAACCACAACTACAACCACAACTACAGCAACCGTCAGGCTACACATGGAATTCTTTTGGTGACAATCCTAATCTTCTTCAGACACAGATGCTGACAGGTGCACCAACAGAAATAAGAGGAGTATTAGGAGGAGGGCCAATGGTTGCTGGTGACAGTCCATTTCAAATGTCTTCTGTGGGACCTCAATCGATGTTCCAGCCCATCTCAATGGGAATATCCACAAACCCTTTTGCACAAATAGATGGCCAGGTTCAACATCAACACCAACATCAACACCAGCACCAACGCCAACATCAATACCAACACCAACCCCAACCGATCCAATCTCCTGGTGGTTCCGCTACTCCTGCTGCTGTTTCTGGAAGCCAATCGCCATATTTGCTCGGTGTATCTCCGGGTGTTAGGTCAGTCTCACCTTCGCCCTCCCTTTCACCAGTGTTTGCAGCCCGTGCTCTGGGTTCAAGTCCCTTTGAGAAAGTAAGTTTTTTTTTTTTGGTTTCTTAAAATAGAATACAATAGTCTATCTTCCCTTTTTTGTTGTTGTTCCTCCTGCTGCTGCTTGCTGCTTGCTGCTGTTATTGTTGATTGTCTGCAGAATATAGATGTCGATAGATAGATGGATAGATAGATGGATAGATAGCAAGATAGCCAGATGTATTATTATATACACCTCTATCTATATAATTTTGTACCTTTTATAGCTTTCTATGCCTGTGCCTGTGCCTGTGCCTGTGCCTGTGCCTGTGCCTGTGCCTGTGCCTGTGCCTTTAGCTTTAACTTTAGCTTTGAAATTAGCTTTGAATTTATATTTACATTTACATTCACATTTACATTTATATTTTATATGTACAAGATGTACATGCATGTGTTTTATGTAGACAGTTCTTATTTAATATTTTTTTTGTTTGGCAGGATGCTTATGGTCAGAGTGCTGGTTTGCCCGCTGATTCCCGCTTTGCAAAACTAAATGCTTTGTTGGCACGAGAGTAAGCTTTGAGAATCTTGGTTTCCCACGATTTACAGCCTTGAGGAAACTGACATTATTATCCATTTTATCTGATCTCCGCAGAGAAGGTATGGACACTTTTGGTAACACCGGCAGTCTCCGCGTCCCAATGTGAGTATTATATATATTATATATATATATTTTGGATTATATTATATTTCTTGCTTGGATTGTGTGTGTGTGTCTGTCGGAAAGAAAATATATTAGATTTTTGTGTGATACAATAATGTGGGCGTCCATTTTATTAGTGGATCTGGATTTGCTAGTGGGCCAGACACAGCGGATCCCCAGAATACTAGCAGTCTTGTCTCGGCCACTTTATCCCAGTCAAGAGAGCCTTTATCATTCTCCCAGGTACCAACATATTTTTATTCAAAAATAATAAAAAAATAAATCCTATATATTTATTCTGCTTGTTTGTCTGTAGAACCGTTCACCCCGAAATCCGTTCATGCCGTACACAGGTTCCTAAAAGCGGACAATACAAAGACTACAATTGGTTATGGATTGGTGGGACACACCTTAATTGTCTATACGTAAAAATGGTTAATCTCTTTTTCATTCACCTTTCCTTTTTCCTGTCCTTTGTCTTGCCTTGCCTTACCTTGTCTTGCCGTGTCTTATTTATTATCATTATTTAATCTTTATGGGGCCAGTGCGCTTTAGTGATAATAATTATAATCAAAATAAAAATATTTTTTTTATCTCAAACGATCTATTCAAAATTCCAAAAAAAGAAAAGAAAAGAAAAAAAAACTTTTTTATTATAAATTATTTATACATCTCCGCAATAAAGCAAAAATTTTATTTATTTCATAGATGTTTATGAAATGCGATATGTGCGTTATGCGAAATTCAAAATGCAAGCTGCACTCTGGCTTCTTACTTGACAATCAAAATAAATAAATAATATTTATTCTTACTAACCAACTTGATAAGTTAAAAAGGTTAAAATATATTATATTATTAATAGATAGGTTGCTAGGTTGCTAGGTTGCTAGGTTGCTAACTAACTAGCTAGCTAGCTGGCTAGATAGATAGATAGATAGATAGATAGATAGATAACCAAAGATATTCATTCATTCATTTAATATATATTTATATTTATATTGTGCATGATTTGTTTACAGACTTGCAAGTACATTGTAAATATTATTGTAATAATCGATAAAGAAGTACAGAATATAAAATTAGAGAGAGAGAGAGAGAGAGAGAGGGGGGGGGGGGTAATTGTTTATGAATTCTGTAGGAAATCTCATGCTGCTGAAAAATATTATTATAATCATAATCACAATCACTATCACAATCATACCTGTATTTTTGGGTGTGTATATCTTTTGGTCACCGCCGATTTGATCCTATCGTTTCAAATCGTCAGAAAATATCTAGAAAATCCATATTCAGCAACTGTCATTATATACATTACATATACCGCCCATGTGTATCACTTACACACATATATATGTATACAAACCTATTATTTTTTTCTCTCTCTCTCTCGCTTTCTGTGTGTCGTACTTGAATTCTTTGAGCGGAAAAAGTGTGATGCCATGATGACAATCAAAGATAACGTAAAATTTTACATACATACATTAATATTTTTTTTTTGTATAAAAATCCAGCCCTTTTTTTCAATCCTTTTTTTTCTTTCTTCTTTTCCCTCTTTATTTCGATCACTCAATACTTCTTTACTTTTATACTTCTTTACTTACTCATTTAATCAAATTGATTAATTAATTGATTAATTGATCGATCAACCCATTGATGATGTCCTTCTCTACATTTCCTCGTCACGAATCATTCGGACCATCTACTTGGAGTAGGTCGGTTGTCTTGAACAAGAAACCTTCCATATTCGCACACGAAGAGCGTGAACCATCACATCTACCTGCTCCTCAACAACAACCAGCAGCCAAAAAGAATATCAGTAATCCCTCGAACCAAAAACCATTGCATATCAACCTCTCCCAACTCACAACCTCTCCATCCCTCAAATCTTCTCTCCGGTCTCACTCTGCACCAACCACACCAACCGGCTCCAAAACCGTAAAATTCAACCCAGTCCATCTCGAGCGCATCTGTCTCTTCCGCAAGACCCAGACACCAAGTGCACTCTTGCAGGACAACCAAGGCCGTCGTCATCCAGAAGACCCCCCGTCCTTCCGAGTCGGCTACCTCAACTTCCCTCCAAGAGAAACCACTGACCGGTCCAAGAACATCCTGGTCGAAAAGAAATTCATAGTCGAGGATAACGCTGTCAAGGGCCGTGTCCAGGTCCGTAATCTGGCATACCACAAGTCTGTCTCTATCAGATACACATTCGACTGCTGGCAGACATCCCATGACATCGATGCTGTCTACAAAGATTCTCAAAACACACAAAGCATTTATGACACCTTTTGCTTCACAATCCCGCTTGTCAATCTCGCAGATCGTGGTCAGGTGCGCGCCACCATAGACTTTGCAATCCGGTACCATGTGAACGGCCAGGAGTTCTGGGACAATAACGACGGCAAGAACTATGGAATCCAGATCCTTGCTGATCCAATAGAAAGCACATACCACAGCCAGACCTATGGCCGTGTTACTGATGTCGATAATCCTGATAACCATAACCATAACCATAAAAATGATGATGATGATGATGTTGATGATGATGATGATTTGAAGATTGATACTCCCCAGCGTCCTAACCACAAAGGACTTGGAAATCGCTATAGCTTTGGTCTTTCTCTCTCACAAGCCAAAAAGGTGGTTTCACCAGCATCTGAGACCATTCCGCCCGTACCATCGGTTCCTATCAAACCATCCGTCCGTGTCACAAAGGAAGCCAAGCCGACAATGCTAGTACAACCACGACCAAAGAAGCCAGAAATGTCTGGTCTAACTACATCTGCAATCATCAGTGGTGACAATAACAGTAGAAACAACAACAACATCAACAGTAATATTGGTCTATCAGCTCGACCAACCAATTCCTCCAATTCTCCTTCCAATTCCACATCCCAATCTCCATCTCCATCTACATATGCACATATCTCACCCGCCAAAAGTCCTGTTGTTTCTTCTCCTATTCCTATCAATGGTGCTTCGGCTGTTCGACACAATCTTTTCGAGTCTTATTACCACTCTGCTCCTTCTAGCCCGACATTTGCATGCCAACCCCGCCATGCCTACATCCAGAGCACGCCTGACTTGGACTCAGAGTCTTATTTGGACCTAGTAAACAAATATTGTTTCTATGGCACCAATTCAGCACACACTCCAATGCCCATCAACAGCTAAAAAAAAAAAAAAAAGACACAATACACCGAAATACCTCTCATTTATTATCTTCATTTATTATCTTCATTACTATCATTCATTTACCATCCTTGTTCTTTTCTTTTCTTCCTTACTCTAGCATCACCTCTTCCTCCCTATCTCTCTATACATATTTCCTCTTCATTCTTGCTCTTTTATTTTCTGTTTCACTTTACATCTATTTATTTATCTGTTTGTCTTTCTTTTTTTATATGATATATCAAAATGTTACTCTTTTAGACTTTTCACAACTGTGTAGTACCAACCCCAACCTTTCCTCTTTAAATGGGCTATGTTCTTTCTATTTGAAGGTAACAATGGCTTTTAATCCCACACTACACAAGCAAAACAAAAAAGTATATATATATATATATATATTTTAAATGTATGTATATGTACACACACAAGCACAAACACAAAACACAAAACACAAAACACAAAAAATAAACAAACAAACAAACAAATAAATAAATAAAATCGCACATTTTGTTTCAACTTTTTTCTTCTTCTCTAAAATATTTATATTTATATATATATATATTTAATGTACGTGTGATTGTAGTGTGTGTAATATAAATAAATTATACCAAGATAAATTAACAACAATATCAACAATAACAACAACAGCTGACTTGTATAATCTGTTATCGTTAATATTCACACATTTGTAATATTTGTGAAATAAATTAAAAAAAAACACACATTCAAATTCTAAAAAAAGAATCTTTTTATATATATATATATATATTTTAATAAAACTAGAAACCAGATCTTATCCAAAGAAGCTAAAGTAAATAAATAGACAAAATGGTTACAATTCTGGACTCTGATAGCGTGTGAATGGCAGTAGACAATATAAAAGACAAAGAAGATGGTCCTACCCACAGGCAACAAGTTAATAGCACGTTCTATCTACTACCATTGATTCACTGACTGACTGACCGACTGATTGGTTAATTGGTTGATTGGCTAATTCGATTGATTGGTTGGTTGACTCACTGATAGATTGATAGATTGATAGATAGAAGGATAAATTTATTAACCAAAGTTTGACCTAGTCGACTAGTTGACCAACCAACTGCCTAGCTGTCTAGCTGTCTAGTTAAGTAATTCTTAATATAAAGAAAATATAGATATATTAAATAACAAAAACAACAATAAAGTGTAGGGTTTCGATAGATATATAGATATATAGACCATAATACCAATACTTCTTTAGTTTGTTTATTGCCTAGGAATCAATAGACCGTTTCTCTCACAATCGGCCTTCAATCTGCTTATCTTTTCCTGCAGAACAATCACTTCACTCCGCAACTGGTCTAATCCCCAAGGATCTCCTCCGAGTGCACCCTGCAAGCCAAAAGAGGGCCCAGTTGCCACAGTCGGTGTGACGAGTCGATGGACCAGAATTGCATTGGTCACAACAACTGCTGCGGCCACAAAGCACAAGAGCACAAACACAAACTGCCTTTCTTTCAGTCGGACACTCAATCCAAAAGAAACAATATTCATCAACAAGCACACCAGTCGCTCCCAACTCATGGCCATTTCAGCACCACCTGATTTCATTCCCTCCACAAGCCTTATCTTCAGTCGTCCAACTCTCGATAAAGGCATCAGGTTCGCCTCTCTAAGAATCCTATCATTCCATACACTCGGCCTTTTGTCCTTGTCTTCGGTCCTCTTCTTAACGTAATCTTCTTCTCGCTGTTGTATCCACTTGGTTCTCAGCACTCGACTCAATCGACCTGCTCCATCTTTTAACATTCTGGACTTTATATTATACTGATTATGATCTACAAATCACACAAGAAAATATATATACATAAATATACATAAATATACATAAATATACATAAGTATACTTGCCTTTTTGCTCTGACTCCTTGGAATCACCAAACTGAAAAGTGACCAGCACATTCACTTTGGTACTATTGTATCTAGTGATACATGTTCGAAGCTTGATCGTCAAACTGTCCCGATGTCCATCAGGTATCTGCAGACTAGTGATAATCGACATATAATAAGGAGACTTGCAATAGATCTGTTCATCTTTAAACTCAATAACAATATTCGTAGTATCGCCTTTATATATATATATTATAACCAATAATAATAACAATTTAATACATACTTTAATATTTTATTTTATTTTATTTATTAAAATAATAATAATCTTACCTTGACTTTTCTTATTGTCATTCGAATTGGCATTCGTATCTTTGGTGGTGATTATATTCTTCCTTGATCCATGATACCAAGTTCCCATGCCAACATCTATTTATTTAATTTATTAAAGTTTATATATATATATATATATATTTAGTTAGTTAGTTACTTGGCTACTTGGTTACTTGGTTACTTGGTTACTTGGTTACTAATAAAAATTTATTTATTTATTTATTTTTTAAAAATAAATAAATAAATGAAAAAAGAAAAAAAAGAAAATTGAGTTTTACCTTCAAGTCTTTCTACTTTGGATAGATACTGTTCCACAAAATCACTGTCAAACAATAACTTGAATGCATTGTCGACCGTTCCAGGTAATGATTCTTGGAGTAAGATGTTGTCATAGTGTTCGTTTTGCTCACAGCATGGGCATTGCGGAAACAATTGCCGAGCATCGGACAAGTTGAACGGCTGATCAAACGAAGAAGAATCCGTAGATTCAGGGTCATTGTTGTCTGAAGAACTGTCTCCATCCTTGGCCACAAAATCAAATATGTATGGCTGGAGCATCTGTCCATGTTTATGAGTTTGCCACAACTGGAAAATTTGATCGTATGCAAGATCTCTCGAAAGGAAAGAAGCGAATACGTGCTATCCAAAAAAAAACATATATATAAGCTTTGGTAAACCTTTTGTTGGGCATAAATGCATATCTTTACTTACTTTTCCATTGGCTGTGTATATGTGAATGGCATTTGGAATAATCATTGCTGTCATTCGTTTCTCTACTTTTGTAATGTCTGAAAATGCGATAACAAGCTAATGACAACAATCAATTGATTATCAAATCAATCAAATATCAAAGCTTGTGGTTAAAGAGCCCGAGTAATATAAGCATCTATTTGGGACTTACGTTGGTAACCCAGCCAAAGATATTGGCGTTAAAGCATATGTGATTTTCTGTAATGTAAAGATGACCCTGTAATAGGATATCTTTCTGCAGCGCACATTTGTAATCTTGTAAAAAATAAAATAAAAGAAAAGGGCATTAAAACATAGATCTCATTTTGGTTGCACTCACTCATTAAATCTTCTTCTATTTTTTTTTTTAAAAATATATATTACTTCATTCCTTATTACCTTCCAACAAAGGATCATTTTCTGGTACACTACGGAATAAGGCATGGAAATCGCTATTCCGATCTTGTGTCGCTAATGGAATCCCGCACGAGCCAGCCATGTCACCCGGACTGTTCAGCCGACCTTGAATTTCTTTGTTCCCATCTTCTCTTGGATTCAAAAGCAGTGAAGACAAACTAGATCTATTGCTGTGATTGCTATTCTTTTCTGTTTTCTCTTCATCGCCAGAACCGTCACCAGAACCACCTCCTTTTTCATCTTCATCTTGTTCTACTTCTTCTTCTTCATCTTCTACTTCTTCTTCTACTTTTTGTTCTTCTTCTTTGTCTTTATTTTCATTCTCATCTTCATTGTTATTTTTTTCCTTTTTCTCTTCATTTCCTTTTCCTTTTCCTTTTCCTTTTTCTTGTTCTTCTTGTTCTTGTCTTTTCTTGAGTCTTGCCTTTAGGGATTCTTCTAATGGTCTCTTTTGGCCTGACAAGGGGCTAAAAGAAGACGAAGAAACAACAGCAGAATCATAAATCTGATCAAAAGATAAATTATGCCCAGTGGCGGGGAGAGCCAATGCTACACTCATAGGCCTCCTTTTCTTCTTGTTATTGTCAGGAAGAGTGCTGGTGAGAACCTGGGCATGCTGGGTGGCTATTGTGGCAGAAGGAGATGAAAGTGTAAAATAAGCTGGATTTGACGAGCGCTGGCTCACAGTGTCTTCACTCTTGCTGACAGACAAGGAGCGCACAAGCGGGCTAGGAGAAATGCTGGAAATCGAGTCTGCTGAAGGCAGTTTTGGTGCATAGAGAGACTGGGGTCGGCACCTTGAACGAGCCGCACGAGGGCCAGGTGTGCTGTTGCTACGGTCTCGAAATCGAATGGCAGATTCTGTAGGAATACTAGGGGAGATAAAGGTTCTTGATTCAACATTTTGAGATGGCATTCCGATGGCCAGAAGAGATAAGAGGTCTGGCATCGTCTGTAAAGAATATTACAAAATATACAGAATATATAATATTAATATATGTATGTGTATGTATATGTATATATAATAATATAAGAATATTTAATATTAATATATTTAAAATAAAAAGAAAAAAAAGGAAGGGGGGGGGGGATAGGAAAGAGAGGAGAGAAGGGGAGGAGGAGAGGTTAATGGGACTGCTGTGCAAATGCTGTGGTTCAAATCTTCATATGGGGCTATATTGCCATCCCACACAAGAGGAAGAAGAAGAAGAAGAAGGATAATAATAATAATAATAAAGAAAGAGCTCAAAATGGTAAATAAATTCAATGACATGTTAATTACGATTGAATTTGGTCAAATATAGAATATCTGTAATATGCACATCTGTAAATTTGTATATCTGTACACCTGTACACCTGTACACCTGTACACCTGTGCACTTTTTACTGTTTAAAGACGCAAGATATAAATTACATACATACATACACACACACACATATATATAGAGAGAGGTAGATGTAAATGCATGTGTAAATGTATGTGTAGATTGTATGTGTTGATATAGTTGTAAAACAAAATATTGAGTGCATTCACCAATCAAGTGTCTTTTTGGTGGGTGGATCGAGTACACCTGTAGGCATACGTGGAGGAGGAGTATAGACAGTCGAAGGATCGCGTGGTTGGATTATATCCGGTGCGTCTGCATCTCTCTGGATCTGTGAAAAGTGCTGCACAACGGTTGGAAGCTCTTTTTGTTCAGATTCTGCTATCTGTTTTCTCTGTAGATTCGATCGTTTTTATTTATATATCAACATTTTGGATGAGATGACTTGTTTTCACTATACAAAACGCACACACACACTCAATAACTCAATAACAAAAACTTACCACTCTAGATTCTTTTCCAATTCCAAGTTGAGGAAGTCCTCGGTTAAGACCTTCGAGAAGAACGCACGCCTTGCAGGTGTCATTTGAAGACATGTACCCGCATCTCTCACATGTCTTTTGACTCGGCATCTTGACAGTTGACTTGATCTCAAATGCCTCTCCAGAATGAATGATATCTAAACAATTCTTGGTAGGTCTATAAGTCTATTCCCCTCAATAGAATACACACACCCCAAAATAATAAACAAAACAAAAAACATACCGACAATCGCACTGGGTCTGACAGATTCAAGGTCTTTGAGAAAAGTACGTGCATAACCTCGGTATGCATTTGGCGAGTATATACATTCGGTCGAAAAATAATCAAGCTTCTTAAAGTATGCATACATCACAATTTCTTTTTCATATGTGTACTTGAATGGCTTTGATCTTCGGATCGAACTCTCTCCCTGAGTTACAATCTCTGTACATCTTCCCAATCGAGCGATATCTCCTCTAAAGACTACACGCACGCATTAATGTTATATATAAGTATATTTATACATACATACACACACACACACACACACACACACAAATACTTACTGTTCATCAATACGGTTTCTGCAATATCATCTGCATTGTGTCCTGTCACAATATGATCTACACCCAGCATTACTGCACCTCTATCCAAGGCCTGACGTCGGAACACTCCGCAGTAAGTACAGTTATTCTTTAGCCCAACTTCTCGCACAATATCATCCATAGTCCAGCCATACAAGTCTCCATAAGACACAATTTTCAGTGGGAGTTCATATTGCTGCTGATTACGTTTGACTGTCTCAAGAGAATCATCACGATATCCTGTGATTCCCTCATCAACAGACAGTAAAAACAGATCCAGGCCATAATCGTATTGTTCATTCAACTGTTTCATCACATGAGCAAGCACCGTGGAATCCTTTCCACCACTAGCACCAATCGCTACTCGTTCACCCCGTCGAAACAGTTTGGCGTCGACAATTGTGTGATGAATCTCGGTTTCAAAAACATGATAAAAGCATGCTTGGCAGATCTGTTGGCCGGTCTTTGGTCTTTTAAGAACTGCTCGTTGTTTGGCACACAGAATACAAAGCTTCATAATTTAAGTAATTATATATCTATAAAAACTTGTTATAGTACAAATAAATCTCTATCTTTTTCCTCTTTTTTTTTTTTTTTTTTTGCTTTTGATTTGTTTTAATCCAGCGTGACTCTCCCTTTCTTTATCCACTAACTAATTCATTCAAAGCCGCTAGTTATTGCCCAGAATTATTATTATTTTTTATTATTTTTAGTATTTTATTTTATTTTATTTTACACGACGATGGGTGTTCTTCATTGTCTGTCATTATCCCTTTCCTAATGGATGTATATAGTTTACTCAACCAGGGCAACGCCAGCCTGGACTATAATGACCTGTGTCGTATCCTCAAAACCAATAATAGCCAGACAACCTTAGAAAACATTACTCAGGCAACCTTTGTATATCCTTCCACACTCGAACAATCATACGCGTTCTTTGATGTCTACATTCAACTTCTTTTATCCATTGAGAGTGAGAGCCAGAAACTACACAAATCCACTATTCAAGATTCACTACGAACATGTATTATGGGCATCATCAAACTCCATGGTTTTGTCTGGTTGATTTGCTTTTCTGCTCATCTCTCCACACATACCTGGCAGCGTCTCTACACTAACCCCGACCCTATGATCCTCATTTACTTGTACGGTCTTGTATTAGCCTCAGCAGACAAACATTCCGCTGAGCTTGGTCGATGGGCAGAGGCATTATTACAGTTTATGAAATCCCAATCCCCAGTTATTATGCTTCACATGTTGATGAGCCTCTGGTCGGTGGACGAACTCAATGGCCATCAAACAGACTTTGCCACCGTCTGGCTAAACACCCTCGAGGCCTCTATGCAACACTCTGAGGCTATGCAGCAATCATTACAAGTAATCTTTAATGTTCTAGCCAAAGCAGACACGAGTTACATGAAAGATACTGTGGATCAGCAGCTGGAGACCTCCCTGAAACGAGCACCGTTCACAGCCAGTGAACTGACACTGGTGATGATCTGGCTGGAAAACAAATGCCGACAAGAAATCGCCTTTCCTCACCTCGCCCAAGCATATTTCACTTTTCAATACACCAACACAATAAAAACCAAGAAAAGGAACAAGAATCCACTTATCAAGAATCTTTTAGAACCCCAACCAAGCGATCCAACCGAACGGGCTGCGATTGTACGTAAAGGAACACAAAGCTGGGTAGGACTTGTCGGGAGCTTGTTGCCGTACGAATTCGAAATGTATTTGAAAGATGCAGTCCGTGTTTATTATCCTACCGAACGAAAGACAATGTTAGACCTTGTTTTGGCCGAATGGGTGATCCGTGACCCTTTCGAATGTCATCGAACGATCATTTTGAACAGTTTGGTCGAGCAATTACAGAGCTCGAAATACAATATCCGAACCGCGCCTTATTACGCTATCATCCAACTTTTTAGCTCTGCAGAGGAGATGGGACCTAGAACAGGCTATGAGATCAAGACTGGAGCAAAGGTGGACCTGTTAGCATTTCAGGCGGGCGAGAAAGATATCACACGTGGCTGCTGTTCTGTTTTGGAACATTTAACATTATCCAACAAACAATACACCCACACCTGCGTCGAGGACTGTATCCGGACTGCGTCTGCAGGGATTGTGGAATGGTACGTTGGCTGGATGGCGCGGGAACACACTCGTCTGGCTACATCTCAAAACCTGTTTGGCGACTATCTGGTCGTGACCCTCAAACAAGCCCGACAACGTGCACTGTCTTCCTGGGTTGTTCCGGCCTGTCTTGAGAATCTCACGACAGATTCACTTGGGTTACTTCTAGGCTTAAATGATGATCCTGACCTTGTCGGTGTATTTGTGGATTATTTTGGACAGGCGTCCCAGCTGGGCACTCGCCGTCTTGTCGACACCCTACTAAAGACCAAACCCAAGGCCTTCATAGACCTTTTACTGGCTTATCTACAGCGCCACATGAACGACACCAAGATGAAATCCGAAATGTCCAGGGCATGGTTCAAAAATCATTTTCTAGCAAGCTTGTTAACAGAAGCAGCTGAAGCAGTATTTGTTCCAACCTCAACTTACGCAACCACATCAATTATGGACGAAAGCCAGCCAAACGTGGCTTCTCAGCTATTGGCCCAGTTGCTGACTGATCCCGATCATTATGAATGGTATTTTGGCACACCTGTTGTTCCTCTTGGCACCAAGGAAAGAAACTTTGGTAGTCGTGATGTGGCCCGTACCCACGATATCATCAGTGTCTGGCACACTGGTCTTGCTTCTATGTTGCAAGAAATGGTCCGTATTCCCGACAATAAGGCAGTAGGTCTTGTTAATTTCTGGCGATCTCTCTGGATCGATTCTGACACCCACAAATTCTCTGTTCCGACCCCTTGGATTCTCCAATGCCTGGGACTTTACGATCTTGCACCGGCCAGTGTCAAGCAGCTTATGGAAGAGTTTTTGCGGGTTGGTCTTCATTCAGTCAATACCAAGGGTCGTGGGTTCACCTTGCGGATGGTTGATCTTGTTATGCTTTCTGATATGCCCGAGGCAGATGAAGTATTTGATTTGTTTGTGCGACTGTTGGAAGAACAAGGCAATACTGTCCAGGCTAAGGAAGAAGAAGCCAAGATTGTCTGGGCAATTACTGCAACTATGGTTGAACTTGCCGAAGAATCCAAGCTAGAGACCGAGCAAAGACTCCACAACAAACCAACCTCGAAAAAGCGCCAGAAACAACCTGTGCCGACTAGACCTAAAGATACTCATTGGAACAAGCGGCGCGGAAGAGGAGGGCGTAAGAATCGTCTGGATAAAAAGGCTGTCGTAGTTGAGGAAGTTGTAGAAGAGACGGTTGTTGAAGAACAGGAAGAAGAGGATGACTGTCTGGGAACCTTGATTGGTCGAGTTATCGGGTTTGTCCTGATAGCAGTAACAGCTTCAGATCGCCACAGTATTTGTGCAGAGACTAGAAGGAGACTATGGCAGTCTCTTGCTAGCTCTCTTTTGTGTTATGAAGCCCTGGATACACTTCGACAACTGAGCTTAAGCGAAGAACTTCAGGAAGATATCCTATCTATAACCGATGCATGCCTGGAAAGATTAAAGACTACCCAACCAATTCTTTGGGAAGATGCTCGACGAGTACTTGGAACAGTGAATTAAATACACAATATAAATAAATAGGATAATGCTCAACAAGTATTTTTGTATCTTATAAAGCGTTCTTTTATAACGTCCTTTAATTGATATATATATATATATATAATTTTTTTTTGGAAAGTAAATTTGTCCAGAGGTGGATAATGAATTCACCTGATGGCAAGACCAAAAATTCATATTGTGCGAAATGTAAACTCGTAAATTCGTCTTTGAGCATCCACAGCCGTTTGTGTAAATTGGCCAAAAATTTAAATTTAGGCAGAAAATTTAGATTTTTTCATCCCCAGTGGTTTGTCTAGATAAATGGTTTGAGAAATTTTAGACATTTATTTAGTATATATCTAAATTTGGCATTTCACTAAAACATTCGAGCAATAAAAAAGATGCGACTTCAGATTTAGATAAACCACTGTGGATGCTCTTAAATGTGTGTTTTTGGTTTGACTTCAATACTTTAATTACAAAGACCGCTGTGGATGCTCTTGTAATTGTATTTTTAGAAGAAGAGGTTCAAGTGAATACGGAGACCCAAACGTCCTTGTTCGTTGTATAAATACCCGGTTCCTTCCCTTTTGAACGCATACTTTCTTCCATTGCATTTCTGAATCTTAAATAAATATATAAAACAGAGACGATTCCGGGGATTGCAGCCAAAAGAGATGTCGCAAGATGAACGGGCATTCCAACCCTCGGGATCAACGACATGCAAGAAGATTAGGATGACCATGGCCTGTGAGCGATGTAGGTAAGATTTTAATCGATCATCTTTGATCCTTGTCCTTGTTTAATTTTGTTTCTAATCTTAATCATGTTATATATTTGTATGCATGTATATGTGTGTATTGGCTTAATTGATTATGATTTATTAAGAAAGAAGAAAGGTAAATAAATTAGAAACAAACAAACAAATGAAAAAGACAAAAAGTTAAAAGATATATATAGTCAATCTTGACTCATGTTCAAGAGAACCAAGTCCAATGAATGAGATATAGTCAAGTGCGATTTTACTCATCCTTCATGTACTCGTTGCCGTAATTCCCAAGGTAAATAAGATAGGAAATAAATATTGACGAAAGTTTATTATAGAAATATATATACAAAAAGACTTTTTGGTTTGATGGTTATTATTGTTATTGTTATCATTATTATTATTTATAAAAAGAAAATGAACAGCACACATCTTGTGTGTGTGTATGTGTGTGTGTGTACATACATATATACATACATATGTAAAAGCACCTTGCCCTTATGATGGTTCCTCGACTCGGATTGATGTTTTTCATCTCATGAAATTAAGAGAAACCGTGAGTGTTCTTGAGGCCCAGATCCAGTCAATCGAAAGAGACCTTGGAGATGTGCGGTCGAAACGCCAGTTAGATAGATAGTGCCCAGACTTTTACTAATTTTAATTCAACTACCCCATCATCATTATCATTATCATTATCAAACCTGGAAGAATATAGCCACAATCTATTGGATTGTCAGGCACCATGGTCCCTGTCACTTACTCCCCAAGGACTCCGGATTGATACCAATATAATCAGCCTTCCCGACCTACATGCTCTCTTGCTTATAGGCATGTCCAAATTGAGTTCTTGTCTGATTGGGAATTCCAAAGCCAAAGAAGATCAAATTATTGTAGATTCATATGATGATAGAACGACGACTCTTGTGCGCAAAAAGGAGCCGTGGAAATCACATCTCAAAGTCTTTCCACTGTCCAGCACATGGGAGGAATCACGCGGCCATGATCAGTCTGGGCACACAAATCAGTTTAGAGATGAAATCACAGCAGACGAACTTGACCATAGTGCTGTACAGAATATGGTGGAAATTTATGACAAGTGTTTTTTGTGTCTGCCATGTACACCAGATAACTCTATCCCTCAACGTTTCCAAAGCAACGCACTCGACCCTCTGTTATTTTATGCTATTATGGCCTGGTCAGTCCATCATGGTGCGGTTCATCATCACTTGTTTCCGGGCCATGACCCCAACAGAGTAGGTGAGCCTTACTTTGAAAAAGCTAGGGAGCTCCTAAAAGCTCGGTTTATTGTGACCAGCTTCGATACTATGCACAGTCTGTTAGTTATGGCTATCTATGCTGGTGGGAAAAAAGGAGGCGATAGACCTAGCCAAACTGAGTCAGAGGGCTCTATATATCTCGGATTGGCAGTAAGAATGTGTCTTGATCTCAAGATGCATTCCCCATCAAAGCACCACGCCACACTTGAGGTGAAAAGAAACAGCCGGATGATTTGGGCATTATATTTTATCGAAAGTTTGTGTTTGATCTACACCGATCGTACTAGCTCATTGCGATCTGAGGGCATGCTACAGATTGCTTATCCGAGCTTGATAGGAGATGAGGACGATGAGACGATGTACCGAGTCAAATTTATGATCCACCGACACAAGATCACTCGCATATACCGTTTAATGATGGACAAGATTGCCGAAGAAAAACCGCTTCTGGAATCTGTTTTGGAAATCGATAAGGAGCTAAAGGCTTGGTGGGGCAGCCCTGCCGCCACATCTGTGTTATCAGGGTGGAGATGTCCGTCGACGTGTTCGGAAAACGCGTTAATCTGGTGAGCAGGCATATATTAAGCTTAATGCCGAATATAACTACCAGCGCTGCCAGCTTTATCGGTTATTTTCCCGGGCAGATTTAGAATATCAGGCATCTGCAGTGAAGCTTGTGTCATCTGATGTGTGCCTTCAGGCAGCGAATACATTGGTAGAGCTACTTGAGTGCTGGGTTCAGCTCGACCAGACTTGGTGTCACTTTTCTCTCGAAACATTCATGATGGCTGTGATGATCTATGGTGGTTTTCTAGAGCCAACGTCAGGTCAACAGGCTTATGGTCAGCATCAACTGTACAAAATTACGATACTTTTAAAGGCGTCGACTGTGCGCTACCATTCATATGTGGTTGGACTAGTTAATCAGATCGAGTCGCTTTTGCCTACTTACTCACCTTCAGCTGTTTATTGCCCTGGTACTTTGTTTGCTGCATCGCCACCGTTGGATAAGGAACTTGGGATTAATTCATCTTTGGAACATCATGATTTACCAGAAACCACAGCTCCCATGGGCGTACCTAAGTTTGTGTATGGTAATTTAATGCCGTACTACAAAAACGATCCGACCCTTGATCTCCACACACAAGACATGCGCACAGTATTATCTGAACCAAAACAGCAATATTTTATCCCTTATACTCAGCACCAGCGTCATCGTAATCATCATCATAATCAAGAGAAACACCAGGATGAGAAAGCACTGAAATATGAGGAGGAAGTAAGGGCTACTAGTGTGTCTGTTCAGCATGTTATTCCTGATCTGTCACTTGTGCCCATGCACCCTACACAGCAAGTATTAAATTCTCCTCTAGAGCAGATTCAAGTGGTTCATCCTTTGTATGAAACTACATCCACCATAACATCACTCTTACCACATCCACGGCCAGAACTAATTTCGTCCCTCTCTGTACCATTTCCAAGCTCTGGTTTGGATGATTATTACTGAACTTATTTGTAGACTTGATTAGATATTTTGCTTGGAAAACAAATCATTTCACACCCCCTTACAGTATGTGTAGATCGATTAATAAATATATATATATATATATATATAACAGGAATAGTATTTGCCACTTTATTTTTTATTTTTAATTCTTTGGGTTTCTTTGAGTTTCTTTATAAAAATGCATTATTTATTCATTGAAACCAAATAGTCACTTTCTTGTTTAGTTTAGAGTAAATTATTATTTTAACATTCCAAAGCCTTTTATATATATATATATATATATATATATATTGTATCCTTGGTATCCTTGGTATCCTTGGTATCCTTGGTATGTCTTTAATTGTTTTCTTTCTTTCTTTCTTTCTTACTTACTTTACTTACTTACTTCTTTTGGATAAGGTGTGATTAGTAATAAAGAGCCAAGCTACATAAAAAAGGTGGATAGATATGAAGCCAGGAGGGAAAAAATAGTTAATCTGTGCATTACTATCAAGAATCCATAATTACTAAAGAATCCTTATATATGTGTGTTTGGATTTCTCTGTCAATTATTGTATTATTATTATTATTTTTATAAAAAGTCTATAAAAGAGAATTAATATATTCCTAATAAACTACTTGTTGATTGTTGTATTTCATTCTATTGTTTTCTTCTGCCTTTCTTTTCTTTTTTTTTTTCTTTTTTAAATGAAGTTATTTTTCTTAGTGCTCGTTTTTCTGGCAGGGTCTGTTAATGCCCTTCACCCAATAATTATCAAGGGCACAAGATTCTTTGACAAGGTTACCCAAGAACAATTCTTTGTCAAAGGCGTATCCTATCAGCCTCGAACCAACCATGTACTGATTGATCCACTTGCTGACCCAGTGGCTTGCCGGCGTGATTCTGCTCTGATGGCACACCTTGGTCTAAATGTAATTCGAGTTTATGAGGTATGTTTTGTAATTAAGATTTGAAATTTTGGATTGATTATATTTATTATTATATATATATAGGTTGATCCTGCCAATAATCACGATGAATGTATGAAATCTTTTGCAGATGCTGGGATATATATTTTATTAGATATCGCTACACCAAAATTTTCTGTAAACCGAGCCAGGCCTGAGTATGATGTTCGCCTATTACAGGCCTACCGGGCGACTATTGATGCTTTTGGAGACTATAATAATATATTCGCTTTCTTGGCTGGAAATGAGGTGACCAATGATAAGACCAATACGCTTGCATCTGCATACGTGAAAGCTGGTGTACGCGACATCAAACGTTATCTAAGGGATACTCGGCGCTATATCCCGGTTGGTTATGCGAACAATGATGATGGTGATATCCGTGATGCTATCCGAGATTACTTTAGCTGTGGTGATCCAGATGATCAGGTAGAAATAAAGAAATGATTGTTATAATATTCCTGCTAAATATATATGTATATATGTATATATATAAAGGTTGACTTTTTTGGGGTTAATCTTTATGAATGGTGTGGTAAATCAACCTTTGAGAAATCGGGTTATGCAGACCGGACGCGAGAGTTTGACAAATTCAACAAGCCGGTATTTCTAACCGAGTACGGTTGCAATCTTGTGTCTCCCCGTGAGTTTGGTGAGGTGGAAGCGATTTACAGTCCAGCCATGACAGGCGTCTGGTCTGGTGGTGTTGTGTACGAATGGACTCAGGAGAACAACAACTATGGTCTGGTGCAACAGAATCCAACGAACCTTACTCTCTTGCCAGACTACACCAATCTCAAGGATGCCCTTTCCAGGGTATCGCCACACAAGACGCACCTCCAGGATGCGCCCGAATCTGGTCAGGAACAGGTTGATTGTCCTGGTCTTTCTGAGGTGTGGAAGGCGTCGTCTATATTACCTCCGACGCCTTTGAATGAGACATGCACATGTGCCAAGCAGAATGTGGTCTGTACAGCCTCGGACAAGATTCCAGATATCGAAGACCGGACGACAGGCATTGATTCAAACAGCAGTCTGGTGGTTGGTGCACAGATCGACATGCTGTGTGGACTGGTATCCTGCGAGGCAATTGGCGGAGATGCAAGTGCTGGATTGTATGGAGTGTACTCTGGGTGTTCTCCTAAGCAGAAACTGAGTTTGCTTTACAATGAATATGCAACAATGACAGGGACGTGCGATTTTGATGGGTTTGCACTGGAGGCTACTCCGCATAGAACGAGTGAGGATTGCTCGAATAAGGACAAGAATAGAGTTTTTCGCCCGAAGCCTTCATTGGTGACACCTACTGAGGCTGTAGCTGGCCGGTTGCGGCCTTCGATTATTTTGGTCGTTGGACTTGTTTTGGTTTTCATGCTTTGTTAACCATCTTCATTTATTTATTTATTTATTTATTTAATTGTAGTTTATAATTTCCACTCCCACACAGACAGATATGTCTTTATATCATTCCTGATTTATATTTATATATATAGATATAGACATGTCACTTGGATATCTTTATACATACATTACCATCGTGCAACACAGGTCTGTGCACCCTTGAGCAGAAAAGAGAAAGGCAAAAGATGAAAGCCAATATTATTATAGTATTAGCTTCAAAAGAAATAAGGTAGACAACAGTAATACACGATTAATTATTTGTCATTAGAATGAATAAAGAAGTGTGATAATTTTTTCACAAGAATATATCTATACATTCTTTATACTACACTTTTCTTTCTCTCTCTCTCTCTCTCTATTAATTTGCCTTTGTTCAGCATGTTAGTTACAAAAGAGAAAGAGTGATAGAGACCCTTGCAAAGAAGGGTATAAGATAATAATACTAATAATACTAATATAATATAATATAATACAATATAATAAAATATAATGTAATTAATATTCATAAATAAGAAAGGTCGGACACAGTGCTCCGTCCTAAAAAATTATATTTAAATAAATAAATTTGATCAAACAAGGGCGTACCTGTAGAATTATTATTTTTTCTCTTTCTTTTGAAATAAAGGTATATTTATTACTAGAATCATAATAGCCATAGCCAGCGCTTATCAATATCTTATATTTGTGTATACAAGGTCAAGCAAAGACAGCCCCTAAGCCAAGCCAAGCTAAGCTAAGCTAAGCTAAGCGAAACTACGACGTTAGATACAAAAAGGAAACCAGGGAAGATGGTTACAAGCCATCCGAGTTCTAAAAAGGTTTTTGCCTCGGTAAAGGTGTTGCCGGAAAAGCATGCCGATCTTAAGCTAATCGCTCTTATATATTTATAGAGTTTAAATCCTACAGTACAGTACAGTACAGTACAGTACAGTACAATACAATAACATACAATAAAATACAATATCATATCATATCATATCATATCATTTTATATACCTTTATTTTACACTTTTTTTTATTTTATTTTTCATAATGACCTGATATCTCTTTCTTTCTCTTTCTTTCTTTCTCTTCTCTCACTCCCTCTCTCTCTCTCTCTCTCTCTCTCTCACTCATTCACTCACTCACTCACTCACTCACTCACTTACTCAGACACTATACCTCTCTTTCATTATTATTACACATAAAGAATATATATATTGATATATATATATATCTTGAAAATAAAATATAAAGGAAGAACAAGTCTCATTACCATCTTTGCCTTTATCCTTCAAAGCTTTTAACAACAAAAGATCAACAACAAGAAAGGACCTCTTGTAACCTATTTCTTGCAGACTGTACACAACTATGGCTGCCTTAGCTCCTTTACGCGACCCACCTCTTCAATCAACAAAACAAAATGTGACTATCGAGACAACTCTGTACGAGACTCAGTCAACAAATGATACCATGCTTGATTTACCTCCTCTCTCACTCGAACACTCCGATATCCCTGACCAACCTATCATCGCCACTAATCCTGCTCCTGTTCATCTTCCCGTTCCCGTTCCCGTTTCCGTTCCTGCTCCTAATCCTAATCCTACTCCACAAAGAGGACAAAGAAAACAGGCCAAACTTGGTCCCTATCTCTTGATGCAAACACTCGGCATGGGTGAATTTGGAAAAGTCAAATTAGGTGTTCATTCAGAAACTGGCAAAGAGGTATACAAAGCTATAATAATAATGAAAAAGAAAGAAAAAAAGAAAAACTTGCGCACAATCCACTATGAAATTACTCACCTCTATAATCTACTCTATAAATATAAATATATATATATATATAAAGGTTGCTGTGAAACTGATTAGAAAGACCGATGTCGAGACAGCTTCTCGGCTGGGCAAGGTTGAAAAGGAAATTTCTGTGCTTCAGGCAAGTTGTAAAATAAAAATAAAAATAAAAATTATAATTACACATTGTTTAGTTAGGATTCATGACGATTTCTGGTCTAATTCTAACGTGATCTACAGTTATTGAAGCATCCACACATTGTAAAGCTATTAGACGTGATTGAAACCGAAAAACATATTGGAATCCTACTTGAATATGCCTCTGGTAACCTTTATATATATATAAATAAATAAATAAGTAATGAAATCTAATGATCTATATATCTTCTCTGTTTCTTTTATCAAGGTGGTGAATTATTTGAACATATCGTACTTCATCGTCGACTGCGAGAAAAAGATGCCCGAAAGCTATTTGCTCAGCTCGCCAGTACTGTTCATTACATGCACCAGAAGAATATCGTTCACAGAGATTTAAAACTGGTAAGACGTGTGGTGATACCAGCCATTTAAACGATATAATTTTCATTTCCCTAGGGAAAATATATATAAATATAAATATAGATATAAATATAGATTCCAAAAACAATAATAGTAATAACAACAAAAAATAATGAGAGACGTTCACTGAGACAAGATCAGCCGCCTTTAGGAAAATCTACTGTTGGACAAAGAGCACAATCTGGTTGTAACCGACTTTGGCTTTGCGAACCAGTTCTCTGCCGTGAATGATTTAATGTCAACTTCATGCGGATCTCCCTGTTACGCTGCCCCAGAACTTGTAACAAACAGAGGTCTCTATGGAGGAACTGCGGCAGACATTTGGTCCTGCGGTGTGATTCTCTATGCCATGCTGTGTGGCTACCTACCCTTTGATGACGACCCAGCGAACCCAAACGGAGACAATATCATTCTCCTCTATCGCTACATCCTCTCCTCCTCTCTCACCTTCCCAGACTACGTCACCCAGCCAGCCCAGGATTTACTTCGCCAACTATTGGTTTCAGATCCCCTCCAACGTTGCACGCTCGACACCGTCCTCCATCACCCCTGGCTTCTGCCTCACCGAGAATTCCTGGATCTCACACCCGAAGAACTCGAGCAGACGGCAACCGGCAAACGCCAGCTTCTCGTTTCTCAGTCAGAAACCACCTCGGTATCTTCTGGATCAAAGACAGACGACGATATTCAGGACCAGAACTCTCCTATTCCCCTGCGTTCCCGACCAGCATCTTCTCTGGCCACCAAAGAAGGTCACAAAGAAACACGCAAGGTCACTCTCCAGGCACTTCGGCAAGGCAACCCTGACAGAACCAACAACAGCAACAGCAATAACAATAAAAACATTATCAGCAGCAGCAACAGCAACAGCAGCAGCAGTAGTAGTAGTAATAATAATAATAATAATAATAATAATAATAATAACAATACCCCTCGTTCAGCCCCTAATCCCACTCCACCTCGACCAATGCGCAAACCCGAGAATCCAACAAAGGAAACCCGTGGTGGTGTTTCTCAGGGACAAAAGACATCCGAAAATAGTGGAGCTCATCTGGGCCGTCACCGTCGTCTATTGAGTTTTCTTGCTGGTCCTAAAGCCATGAACAACAACTCGAGTGCTAATATCACCAATAACAATACTCAAAAAACCACTCTTAAGCCAAGCAACTCTATTACAGCCAGACGATCTTCCAATAGCAATCCCAATGAGAACAACAACAGTAAAAATGATGATGATAATATTAATAACAATAATAACAATAATAACAATAATAATAAGCCTATTCCACCTGCCCCTCAACCAACTGCTTCTACAAGCACACGACTCCGCTCCAAACTGCTGGCCAGTGTCCGTGGCATTGTCACTCCTCCACAAGCCAATAATAACCACAAAAACCTCGACAAGAACTTCAAATCTCCTCCAAGTCAAAGTGTTTCCATAAACCGCCCTTCCAAACAAGGGCCATCTCCTCAAAAGCCATCAGTAAGCGAAAGTCTTTTGTCTCCTAATCATGGTATTGGGGGAGCCATGGCTCGTGTACGTACAAGTATGATTCGCCAACCCAAAGAATTACAACAGCAGCAACAACAGCAACAGCAACAACAGCAACAGCAGCAACGAAGAAACTCTGGATTGGGATCATCCCCCAAAGAGGATCGTGGCAGACATGTGCTAATGACATGGATTAAAAGACGGTCTCATAGTAAGTTGTTTGCATATATAGTAAATATGATGATAGCTATTAATATTAGTGTTTTTATAGATCTTACACCTACATTGGAAGACAGTGAAAGTGAAAGTGCTTATAGTGCACCTAGTCTTCCTGGCAGTCTCACACATGTTGCACCTCCCTCACCTGCATCTGGCTTACGTCGCTACCAAGGCCCGATTGACCGCCGTGTGCTGACTTCGCGGCCACCTATGGATGTCCTGCTGGATCTCATCCGACTCTTGACTGCGTTGGGAATTGATGTCAAGAATGACGTTGGGTACAAGCTTCAGTGCTCTCGCCGAGCAAATCGTGCGTCGGTTGTTGCCGCAAGTAGAGTTTCAGAAGTCGAAGAAGCTCAAGGTGTTTCCGAGACAGTAAGGCGAGATTCGGCTACTTTTGGGTTGTCTCAGGCTGAGCCTATTTATGGTGACCCGAGTATCGACAAAGGAGACCAGGTCTTGTTTGAACTGGAGATTTGCCAATGTAGTGATATGCGACTCTATATCCTCGACTGTCATTCGGTGGCAGGTAGTGAAGGAGCCTATCGATTTGTGATGCAAAAGTTATTGGCTTTATTGGATCTCGGAAGTGTTCAAGCCACCAATTAAAAAAAAAAAAAGAGAGAGAGAGAGTTTATATATCATAAGTTATAACCATCATTAAACCCATTAACCCCATTATTTTTTTATATATATTATATTATATTCTAGTCTTATTAGTTGTGTGCTTGTGTGCTTGTAGAGTGTTTTTTATTTTTATTTTTATATGTAGAACAAACAAGTAATTTATATTTTAATGAATGAATAAAGGAATATAATAAATTATGAATAAAAGGAAAAGCTGTTATATATAATAAATATCATGGAAACTGCACTTCTTTTTTTCTTAATAAAATAAATAAATAAATGAGCAATAATGCAAGCAAGGCAGTTAAATCAATACGTTTAATTGTTTGAGTGGATATTATATATTTATATATTGTGTTTTGTGTGCGTGTATATGTAATATATGTTTGTATGTATGTGGTGTGTATGAGGTGTGTATGTGTATTTTATATATATATATATATATATATATTAAAGGATTGGTTGATGTGTAAAATGGAGCTTGTGAATAATGTAAAAAAAAGGGGGGGAAATAATAGCAAAAAACAAAAAAGGAAATAAAAAGACACGCATATATATATATATATATATATATGAGTGAGTGAGTGAGTGAGTGAGAGAAGGTGTATATATATATATATATATATGTATATGTGAGGGGAAATAATAATAATAATAATAATAGTAATAGTAATAGTAATAGTAATAGTAATAGTAATAATATAAAAGGGGGGGGGGGTAGTCAATTTGATTTATACTGGACCATGCAAAATATCGAGTGCTCTGTCAGCTCGTTTGGAAACTTCTCCCTCTGAAGAAAGCTCAGACTCCTCTTCCTCTTCCTCTTCTTCTTCCTCAAGATCTGACATATCGCATGCTGAGTCGGTTTCATCAGAGGGGTGTGCAACATAACGGTTTAAACGACTGAGACGAATAATCAAACTCTGGTTTGACTGCAGCAGCTTGAGAGATGGCTGGCTGATCATTCGGCGAAGGACAAGTGTAAGGTCACGGACCTGTTCGCCCGCATCTTCCTTTTCACCAGTCTTCCACACCTTGATCCATGCCTCGAGTCCAACCAGGGCAACAACAAAGTCAGCTACGACCAGAGCAGAATGTTCAATTGACACCGATCCACCACTACCACCACCAACAGCACCAACATTATCCTTGGCATTCTTAGCGTTCGTATTGCTATATTCTTCTTGTTTGCTACGGCCTCCGTTGCGCTTGGCTTCCTTGGTGTGTCGGACGAGCTTTCTGGCAGATGCCCGAAGCCGTTCACCCTTCACAAGCTCAGAATGGCCGGCTTCAATCTGTTGGTTCTTGATCATGATCGCACCCGAGAGAGTGTGGCAGATCGCGCTCTTCATGATCTCGTCAATCTCGTTAGCCCGTGTCTTGGACTCCAGATTGCTCTCGGCAGTGACTGCACGGGGGATCTGGCGGACTATAAGGGTGCTGAGCAGAGAATAGGCATGTTCAATATCAGCCTTGCGAGTCTTTTCATTTGTGCTCCACAAAGCCTCTACGGTTCCACCAACTGCAGCCAACCATTGGACAATACGCAGCTGATCGTCTCTGTCGTGTGGCTGCTGTTTGCTACTGTTGTTGTTTTCGGCAGTAAGATCAAGGAAATCGGCAAAGATCTGGGAATCTTCTTCTCTGACTTCAGATGCAGTCATCACAACTGCCAGTCGGTGGAACTGGGACTGCAGGGCATCGAGCATGTGCAGAGTGGACAAGAGCACGACAGGAACCAGCACAGGAGCAGTAAGAGACAGCGAGAGAGTGTTTGATGTAGGGTTGCGCTGGGTCGACAGCACCGTCAGGGTCTCTGACCAGGCCCGGGTGTCCTGGATTTCTTCATCTTCGTCTTCCCAGTCAGCAAGCGCCTTGACCCACATTGGTGCAGTGGTCTGGTCGGACTCTTCAAGAGCTAGGCTATAAAAGTGGTTGGACAAGGTGCGGGCCAGGGATTGCTTGGGGACCAGCAGAGACATCTGCATGGCGGCAGTGCAATAGACCCGTGCGCGCGAGGCCTGTAGATCAGCAGCAGAGATTCCACCGCTGCCTTCGTCCTCGTCTTCTTCGTCTTCGTCTTCGAATACATCCATCTGGTTGACCATGCGCAGACAGCTGTAGAGCATCATAAGAGACCCACAGCCTGGATTTCCGCCCAGGCAGAGCACCTCGTTGAGTTTTATCCAACGCAGCAGACTAGACCATTCTTGGACCAATGGCTGGGGAGTATAGAAGATTTCGTAGCCAAACGCATGGCGGAATACGAGACGAGTGAGTTCTTTTGAGAAACCAAGCACAAGGCCAAGGGTTGACTGGGGAGGGCTGTCGTTGGTCTCTTCGAGAGAGCGGATGAGCATGTCGTGGATCTGGACAACTCTGATTTGGCCTGCGGTGTTGTTATTTGTTGCTACGGATGAACGCTGACGGGCAGCTCTGCGGGATCTGTTGGTGGCGGATGGTACACGACGAAGTTTGAACGAGGGGGAGAATGTGGCTTTTAAGATTGGCATCAGGAGTTGCACAAGGCAGATGACAAAGACAGTTGTGCGCAAGACAGACCAGAGATCTGTGGGCCAGAAATCGGCTACAAAGAAGTTTGCTGAGGTTGATTCGATATTTATGTCTTGTTGTTGTTGTTGTTGTTGTTGGTCCAGACCAGCTGTACGTGAACGATGATGATGGTTTTGGTACTGCTCGCTGGCATTAGGACCACTTGTGAGGGGAGATGTTGAGAAAAAGGTGAGGGCCATAAAGACGGCCATGTAGACACGGTTTGAGATTGCGGGAGGGGTAAGAGGGTCTGAGCCTGTGGATGATGCCGAGGACTCGTATTCGTCGTGGGTGTCGAATGCGGATGATTGCTGGCGAGAGCGCTTGCGACTTGCGGCCTTTCGCTGCTGCTGTTGTTGTTTGAGCATCTGACGGTCGACGATTTGCTGGTGCAAGGCTTCCTGTTCTCTCTGCATCTTTTGCTGACGGTAGCGGACCAGGACTTCCGGACCTCCCTGCATCTGGGCCAGGATGTGCTGGAGGGTGGCGTTTTCGCGCTTCATGTCTTCGCCTGATTTCTTGAGGTGGAGGATGTACTCTGTTGCCTTGCGGAGGATGGTGGCCTTGTTGAGTTTTGTTGCCACGGCTACACCGTCAAGGAACTCTTCGCTGTCTTCGCCGTCATCGTCATCGTCATCGATGGACCGATGTGCTCGTTTTCCGGTGCGGGTGTCCTTTGGCTTTGCGTGGAGGAGGGCAGGGACGGCGTTCTTGAGTTCAGCGATCCTGTCGTTGATGTTGTTGCGGTATCTGCGTTCTATGGCGTTGTGGGCGGTTTTTTTGAGTTGACGGCCACCGCCTGGCAGTACTGGAGTTGTGTTTCCGGACGGACTGTTTGCGGTTTTGAGTCTTTGGATTGGGACCTTTTCTCTACCAACCAAAACTAAAAAGAATATTAAAGAAGAAGAAGACAATAAAGATTTGTAAGTTTTATTTGATTTGATTTGGTAAGCAAAACTTACCAGAATCACCAAGGTTGAATGTCGGTTGAGCGAATAGGTCTGCGGTTGGGTCGAGTGGGAGAAAGTCGAGTAGGGGTTGTGAGGGGTCAAAGTATGAGGAGTCAGGGAAGACGGTTGTGAATTGAGGTTGGCAATCTAGTAAGCCAGTCTCTGGACTGTGCTGTTCTTGCTTGACTATTACTGGTTCTGGCCAAGTGTTGGTTGTGTTGGTTGTGTTGGTTGTGTTGGTTGTGTTGAGGTCTGTGGGTAACTGCTGCTGCTGTTGCTGCTTTTTTGTGTCGTAGATGAATGTGGAGTCTGGTCCATAGGGAATGTGTGTTGAGGGTGGTGTGATGGGTTGGTTTGATAGGAACATTGGGTGGTAGTCTACTGGTAAGAAATTGTCAAAGTCCTGCCAGGCACCTTGTTGAAGTGCAGCCTGGGCTTGTTGCTGAAGACCGACATCAAATTGGGCAAGTGAAAGGTAAGCGTTGTTGTTGTCGTCACGAAGGTTATCGTCAAACAAGTCTTCTGGCAGAGGTGCAAAGGATTCCATCATTGCTTCCTTTTGTATGTATGTATATTGTGTGTGTCTTTTCTTTATTTATTTATTTTATTTATACACAAGCCAAAAGATATATTAAATATTTCTTCTGTAGGTATAAAGGATATTTATACTATATTATAAAATAAAATAAAATAAAATGGAATATAATATAAATAAAATAAAATGGAAGAGAAAGAGAGAAAGGAAAGAGAAGAAAAAAGGGAAAGAAAGATAAACAAAAAAAAAACAAAAAAAAAAAAGGGAAATGAAATAATAATAATAATGGAAATAGAAATACATCAATTGAATCAGCTAACCTTATTTAGATAGGTGTATATTTTATTTTATTTATATAAATGTTTTTTCTTGTTCTCTATTATTCTTTTTTGCTTTTGGTCAAATAAAAATCAGGCCATTTGTTTTTTAGTTTTTCTCAAATAAAATAAAATGGAAAAAGGCCATTCGCTCATGCCTGTCGGGGATCTAACTTAAAATGATTGTAGTGAGTGTGAACACTCCGAATATGGCATTCCAGAGATGCGAATTTTTATTTTTATTTTTATATATATATTTTTTTCACTAATACAATATCCATAATAAGAAAAGCAGCATTCCATACATCACTTGGTTTTTTGTCAACAGAGAGATTGACATCTATAGGTGACATAATCAATGATAGTCACCCTAAGTAACATCCTTTTGTCTTTCTTCACAAATTATCATATTCACTCTTAAAATTTACGTGCAAAAGAAAGAACAAATTTGCATTGATCAAATTTGTATGGATGAATATAATATAAATTATGATTTTGGTTTTAATCCAATTGCCACACCATAGATTAATTAGAGCTTGTTTTTCTATTTATCTTAAGAAAAACACAGATATTTATATATACATATGAAATTTGTATGTATGTATATAGAATCGTGTCCTTATAAAAATAAAGGAGTGTCCATCTATATCTATAGATAATTTATATAAAAAATACATTAAAGACCATAATGGCTTGGTCGTCGCTTATTCTTCTCATATATCTCGGCTCTATTGTCAATGCCCAATCCAACATCACTCAATGTTCAGCTCAATCGGACTGGCAACTAAACGCCACTCGATTCTATGACCCCACTAGCCAACTCTACCTCATCAACGGTACCTTATTTACAAGTCAACCAGTTCATCCCCTCTCATGTACAGTTCTAAGCAGTCATCATAGTCTATACAAATAAAATAAAAATAAAATAAAAAAAAAACACTCATCTATTATTATTACTATTATTTTAGATGTCCTCAGCACTCGATTAAAGATCGGTGTCAAGATGACCGTTCAGGGCAACCAATCTCTCTGTCACTCTCAGTGCCTCATTACGAATCGCATTCCTTTTGTCCAAAAGGTCATCACTCCAGACACCTCTCTTCCTCTCGGAGACATCTCCAGCACTCTCGAAATCATCAAAGACGATACCTCTATGGCTTGTTTTGTGGTCAATTCTGTAGGATACCAACACCCGGCCTGGCGCACGGTGTTCATATATATCCCTGTCGCAATCACTGTCTTTGCAGCCCTTAATTCATTTTTCCAGTCCTTTGCCAGTTTACCCGAAACAGAACGAGACATCTTGCTCTTCACCTCAAACTATGCAAATTTACCCGCCGCCCTGCGTCTCAAAACCCCTGGTTTCTTTGATGTGATCCACTACTGCCAGTCAATCGTCAGTCTAGGCCAGCTCAATCTGGCCTTTCCTTCTTTTTACCCCCTCTTTATCTCAAACCTCGGTTGGAGCTTTGGCCTCTTCCCCAACAAATGGCTCGACGCCGCGATCTACAGCATCTTTCCATCAGATGTTTCATCTCAATCAAACCCCACACACCAAGGTCTCAGTTTCAATAAACGCCAATCATTCACAGACACTCCCAACAGTGGCCCCGGCGTTGTCGGATCACACTTTCTCCCTGTTGCCGGCACCGGAATTGCCAACGTAGCGCTGGCACTCGGGATTGACATCAATGGCCAATTCTTAACCTGTCTGGTCTATTATTTGCTCATCTTGGCTGGCTGTCTAAGTGTGTGTCTTGTTATCTGGCTTGTACTACTTGTTATCAATATAAAGTATCCCCGGAACATCAACAACATCAGTAACAGCAGCAACAGCCTCACAAATAGTAACAGCAGCAGTATCGGCAGCATCGGCAGAAGTACCAGCATCAGAAACAGAAACAAAAAATATAATAACAATAACAATACTAATGTATCCAGAAAGATGCTGGATTTCACAATTGGTATGTGTATTAAATCAACAAAAATTATATTAATGTATAATGTATGTATTATAGGTGTTGGGATTAGATCGCTTTCTCTGTTTTATCTTCCTCTGCTAATCACCAGTCTGTATCAATTGATGCTTTCATCACCTTGGTACCTCACTTTTCTTGCTGCCATAATTGTCGTGTTTCCGCTGATTCTGCTCTACGGTTACATTGGATTTGACTTGCTGTCCGTACGGCCATCGGCTCTTGTTTATTCTGAACCAAGTTTGCTGCTCAGATTCGGGTCGCTCTATAATACCTTTGCAGACGGCAAGTTTTATTTCTTTACGGCGACGATTGTGTACAAGTTTATCGTCAGTGCAACGGTTGCGATGGGCCAGCCAAACCCGGTCAGCCAGGTGACGATGATGATCCTTGTAGAGTCGGCATATTATGTGCTCCATTGGACACAATGGCCCTATGCAGACCAGGCTATCAATATACACTACATTATGTTTGGCACCCTGCGGCTAATTACGACCTGGATGACGATCGCATTTTTGCCTGGTCTCGAGGTCTCTCTGGATGCACGCCAATGGGTAGCATACATCCAGATCATCATCCATGCGGCCGCGTTGCTGATTATGTTTATTCTGCCCGTCAAAAACCTTTTTATTCTTGTGACCGGCATGCTAGACGAGACTCTGTTTGATACAAGTCTGCCGCCACCCCGCATGGTTCTCTGGCGCCGCCGACTTTACAACCCTAACAATAACGAAGTCCATTCTGGCGTTATGGAAAAGAAAGTAGCCGAGGATGCAGCTTATCACCAACGACGCAATTCTTCTAAAACAGGCGATCAGAATGGCCGGGGTGTTGGCACGGGCACTCGCGTGGACATGAACATGGGTATGGGTATGGGTATGGGTGTAAATTGAATGAAGATATTGATTGATAGATATATACATATGTATGTATAGGGCTGAATGTGGGTGTGGACAGCCATGGGAGTAATATTGATAACAGTGGTGGGTTTATTACTTCTGAGGCTGTTCGTCCAAGTGGCCACATTAATGAAGATTGCAATGACAACAATTTTGGTTACCGCAATGGGACAGCCGGCCACGAAGATTTGGACTGGGACATTCGATTACCTACTCAATTGGACCCTGACCAACCGATCTTCTTTAAATTGCCGGAGGGAGGACAACCGTACCAAGACGTGGCGACACGTGCAGAGTGACCTGTCCAGACCCAATTGCAGGCTTTGGCTTTTCAATCTCCAAGAATGATCTTTAGTTACTACAAGAAGATTACATATAAATAGTACTTCTTCTCTTTATTTATTTATTCTAATTAATTATTTAACTAATTTATTAATTATTCAAGATACCCAAGTTATTAATGTACCTTTATATCTTTCTATTATGTATTATTACCACTGCTATTATTATTATTATTAATAAAAAAAAAAGAATAAGAGAGAGAGAGGTAGAAAAAAAATAATTGTACCAAAGATAGATGTATAATTGTACATAAATACAACAGCTTTCTTGGTCAGTGTCATTTTCTGTACAACAGAATAATAAAAAATAAAAAAGCTCCTCTTTAAAAAAACAAAAAGCAAAAAAGTAAGTAGTAAATTTAATGTCAGGAATTTGGATAATTCTAAAATGGATTAAAATGCAGTATTCAAATGATTGGATTCTTCCCATCCAATTGCTATGTCGCTTTTACTTTTTGTCGGTGTATCCCAACCGTTTTTCAGTTACATGTGCTATTCGCACTCTTTCTCTCTTTGACTCTAGTAATCACAAATAGATCTATAATATTCTATAGCATTTAACATCGTTACATATTATTTCAAATACAACAATAGCCAAGTGTTCGAATATGGTGTAAATTCAAATCACACATCTTTTCTTCTGAAAAGAATCGTGTCATTTCTCCTTGGATCTTGACACTCGTACAAGAGTAATGTGTCTTGATCTTCCAAGATTAATTATGAAACTTCTCTTGGTGACAATGTAAGATATTAGTGATCAAGATCATCGCATGTGTGTGTATACAAGTAAAGACTATCATTTGTGTTCACTTTTTTAAAAAGTTTTTTTTTATTTCTGTCTTCTTATTGGTTACCCCAAGAAAGCAATCTTTGATAAATAAAGAATACGAGGAACTAGCTTAATAATGAATGTGCATATTTTGCAAGTAAAAAATCAATTTGTAAAATGTTGAATGGATTATGACTAAATAGAGTATAAAACCATTTACCAAGCCCATTCATACAATCTGTAGATCAATCTAACCAATCAACCCAAACACTGTAAGAAATGGATTGTCTATATGTTATATATAAAAATAAATAAATTATAAATCATAATCTTGATGCAATTTACAGTGTAATGATGAATTAACAAAAGAAAAGAAAAACAAGGTTATTATGTTACCCGGTTATCTTTCACACTATATGAAAATATCAAATATCAAATTAGTATATATTATTTATGACTTTGAAGGGTACATAGCTAAATAGCTAAATAGATAAGAAGAAAATGGGCGTGGAATTCCCTATCAACCAAATGATATTCAATGCACAAAATAGGTAGGTTATCTTTTGTAAACCAACCATCAAACCTGTTACTCTTCTTCCCTTTTTTAATGATGAAGAAGAGGTTGGACTTTACAACAAGTCAAAATAGTCTCTGAAAAGTTAAGCTTATCAGTACAAACCAAGAAAAGATTCAGACCAAAAAAAAAAAAAAAAAAGGAGTATGATGATATATGTACAATATTATTTATTTATTTATTTATTTTTATATATATAATAATAAAACAAAAAAAAGTGTATATAAATGTGTGTGGATAAATAATAATGATGGTAGCGATGGTGATGATACAAAATAAAAATTGAGTCCCGAACCTCGAGGTTGAATTTCACAAGCCCATGATTGGTTTCAGTCGGTAAGAAAATGTAATTTTTTTTATATATATATAAAAAGAAGTGTTATTTTTGGTGTCAGACGGACTTGATGCTCTGAATAAATAAATAAATGAATGAATGAATGAATATATAATTATAATTATAATTATATATAAATAAAGAGAATAATGATGCTAAACGGGGGGAGTCAGATAAAAGCAAAAAGCAAAAAGCAAAAAGCAAAAAAAAAAAAGAGGGGCGGGGGAGTTGGGCGCAAAAGTTAGATAAGGGAGGAGATGAAACTTATGAGATCTGGGTTGACAGTAATGAAACAAATGACAGGGGTATCTTTGGTAGGAACGAGTTTGTGGGATGGATGTTAAAGGGAGAGTTGTGTACTGAAGGTAAGGAGACTGAAGAACTGCTGCTAGTAGTACTAGTAGTACTAGTAGTACTAGTAGTGCTACTGGAACTTGAGCTGGTACTGATTCTGCTGCTAATACTGTTGTTGCTCTTGCTGATATTGCTGGTAGTACTGATGCGATTACAGTGATTACTATATATGGTACTTGTATTGATTGCGGTAGATTTGATAGTATTCGTGGTTATGGTTGTGATGGCGGATAAGGCTGATGATGTATGAGTAGATGATATAGGGGGCGAATATACGGATGATTGGGACTGTTTTGACTGTTGTTTGGTTGACAGTAATGGTCGTTTATTTGAATATGGACGAGGAAAATCGACAAACTCCCGATAGGTGTAACCAAGCAACGGATGGTTGCGGAGAGCATCATCACGAAGGCACTTTTCGCTGCAATAAAGAGATTCCTAAACATCAAATAAACAAAATAAATTAATTAAATTAATAAATGAAATGAAATGCAATGCAATTAAATATATAAAAATATATAAAATTGACTGGTTGATTTGGTAGATAGATAGGTAGGCAAACTTGACTTACAGAGTATTGGCTGATAGCATGATCACAAAAGGTACACCAGTTGAGATCGCTCATGACAGGATCATTGAATGTTTAAAGAAGAAGCAGAGAGAGTAGGAAGAGAAGAAGAGCAGAAATTGATAAAGATGCCTTTATACCAAAGAAAATTTTATTAAAAAAAATTATATATATATGTTGTTTTAAAAATAAGTAAGAAATAATAACAAAAAGAAAGATGATTAGTCCAATCAATCATTTTCATACGTCACACCATTACATATATATATATATATATATATATATATATATATTTACTTTTTAGTTGACAGATAAGAAGGAACGAATAGAATAATATTAAAAAATAAAATAAAAAAAAATTATGGAATCTATTTCTATAAAGTATTTTGCTTATCCGTCCAACGTGGGTATCTCTTTGATAAATAGATACAAAAAGGTATGTATCATGTATCATGTATCATGTACCATCTTCCCCACTTTTTATTCCTTTTTTGGAAGGCTGGAAAGAATTTATCTGTCTATCTTTGGATTTTGTTTCTTTGTGTGCTTTGAATGATTGATATAAATGATGACGATGATGATGATGATGTAATTCATAAGACATATAATTTTTTATCTCCCAATTTATTTTATATATAAATAAATAAAAAGAAGAATAGAAATCGCAATTTGAACAAAGGAGCATCTAACGTTTCAAAAATGAAAGTTAAACCAATAGTAACAAGTAAGATGTCTAGACAAAAAGATGTTACACTCTTGAATGGGATCTGTGAAATCCAGTATTCCTGATACATGTTGTACTATCAATCTATTGGTTGCCTTGTATTTCTTCCTGTCACCATAAAATAAATAAATAGATAAATGGATTATTCACACGTACATACCACTTGGCTGCTTATTGGGTAGCTGACTAACTGTTCACCTTTTTACGACTACCCCATTCTTTGTAACTAGATCCCAAGGCTTCCTATCTATTGACTACAGAAAGAACAAAGAACAAAGGACAAGTGAGAAAGCAAACAAACAAACAAACGAACAAATGAATGAATGAAGCAGGTTCCCCATTTATTTCTTTATTAGGAAATCCTTGTTTCTTAATATTTTTTTATATACTTAAACTAGAAGAATGACCATTACTTTGCTTTAATTTTATTAAACAACAAAATTTAAAGGAGCCAAGACCACAAGACCACAAGACAATAAGGACAAACAGGCTTGAGCACCATATTCTAAGCAACAAGCACTAAACACCAAACACCAAACACCAAACACCAAACAAAAGTACCCAGTGTTTTAGTGCTCTAGTGCTCTAGTGTTCTAGTGTGTGTGTGTGGGGTGTAGGATTCAAGGTGAGACAAAAAAGGGCCCGAGCGTCAGCAGAGTTTCTTAAACAAAAATAATAATAACAATTATTTACTTATTTATCTGTTGTGTGTATAACAAAACGATGGCCATTTGTAGAAAGAATTGTTGGGGAAACTAAAATATATATATATCTAATATTTATTTAATATTCCATTTTATCGATCATTGGCTCATCTTCATCATCGGCATCATCATCATCTTCTTCTTCTTCTTCTTCTTCTTCTTCATCGTCTTCTTCTTCTATGTCTTCTTCTATGTCTTCTTCGTCTTCTATGTCCTCTTCATCATCAGCATTATTGTTACCATTATATTTAGATTTATAATTAGAGCTATAAACATCATCATCGTCTTCTTCATCGTCGTCTTCTTCGTCTTCATCTTTTTCTTGATCATAAATGTTACTGGCCTATAAGAGAAATATATATATAAAAAAAAAGTATTATAAATCAAAATAAAGTTTTCCAAAAAAGAAAAGAATCACTTTCCATCTTCCACAGTTGAACAACATTATCATCCGCTGTACTAGCCAGGGTCCATGGTGATGCTGGATTCCAGCCGAAATCCGATATTCTACTTTTGTGTCCTCCATGGACATACTTTTTTTGTATATATAAAAAAATGGGGTAAATAAATTTGTCAGACAATCAAACAATAAATAAAGCATAATTCTCTTGTATGTGTGTTTTACCAATAATTCAGGTGGTCCATTCCTTGCTTCTTCCGCCGTCTGCTCATCTCCGATCCGTGCCATGTCCCACACAATAGAACGTCGGTCAACACCAGCCGTGGCAAGGATAGCATCATGATGCGGAGACCAGGCCAGTTGGACAATATCTCCCGTGTGTGCTTTTAAGGAATGGAGTTTGACCCTGAGATTACGCAAATCCCAAAGAGCAGCTGTCTATTGCCATTAAAAAATATATAAAAGTGAGTGATTTAAATATATATATATATATATATATATATATATATATTGTTTGCTTGTGTATCTATTACCGTGTCACTTGAACCGGTCGCAAGTACCCATTCGTTTCCAGGGCAGAATCCAACACAGTTTACCTCGGCGTCATGGGCCGACACACTGTGAAGTGGAATGTCGCTTGATCCATGTCTTCCATCCCAGCTTTTATATAAAATAACATTATAATCAATATAACACAATATAAGTTGTATTGTATTTGTTTATTAAAATAATTGGCTTACATCAATAGGCGCTTGTCATCTCCTACAGACGCAAAGATCGAATCATTTCCTAAATGCCAGGCTACATCCTATATACAAGCAAACATGTATTACCAGAGTTAGTTCGTTATTATTTTCTTAAAAGAAATTTATGACAATTACTACTTTACAGCAACAGATGACGAGTGTCCTCTAAATGTCCTCAGGGGAGGAAGTACACGGTGGTCCCTTGAAGCAGCATTGATATCCCTAAGAAAACAAGAATTTAATATTTCTTTTTAATTAACTAATATAATTATTCAGTACTCACCATTGACACACCAGACCATCAAATCCTGCACTTAGTAAATAACTTTTCTTTGAATGATGAGGATTCCAAGCCAATCCAAATCTAAGAAGAAAAGCATTAAAATACATATAATCTTGATCGTAATTAAGTCGGTTTTACCCTTCACTTGTGTGGCCCTTTAGAAATAATGCTGGGTTGAACCGTTCGTTTTCTCGCGGAAATGACTCGTGCGTTGTTCTATCGAATATATAGACATCGCCCGTCTTTGATTTTGTTGCAATGATATTTGGATTATCGTATTGGTAACGCGCACGATTAACTTCACCGTCGTGAACAATCTTTTGTGTGATCTTGACGTGAGCATCATTTGTAGCGCCATGACCTCCAACCTCTAGGTAATTAATTTACAGCATAAATATATAAAATACTTTATTTTTATTTTTATTTGAAAAAAAAAAGAAAAGAAAAGAATAAATATATAGAAGATATGCACATTTACATCTGATGAAATATTCACTATTTTTTTTTGCAACTTGAAATATTTACCATTTGTACTTTCTTCATATTTCCTCATATCAATTTCTTGCTTGCTATTTGGTAATTGGACAGACGCAATCTGTAGATAATTAGGTTCTTCATCGTTTGTATGTGTTCCAAGTAATAATCTCTGAATAGTATAACTCTTTTCAGGGCGACTTTATAAACAACATTCAAAAGGTAATAGGATTTAGAATATGGTGTGGTATTCAATATGCATATTAAATTAAATCATTTATTTATTTACCTTTCAACGTCTGGAAACCATTGGCATGTCAAACTTGGCCACTCCAAGCCATGTGAATAGATCAGATCATAAAGAAATGGTGAATTCTTTTTCCAGGTCTTGTATTCTTCATCGATCTCTCGTTGTTTCTCATCTCGTTCGATATCTTGTTGAAATTCTAGAATTCACAACGACAACAACGAATATATTAAATTAAATTAAATCAAATCATAATATTACAGAATTGATTGATTCATTTATCTTTTAAATAAAGAAATAAATAAATAAATAAATAAAAAAAAAATGTCATTGTTGTATAAACATCGTCTTTATGAATTACCGTAATCCATTGTTGGTTATTCTTATTCTTGTTCTAACAAAAGTTTCAAGTGGTCTTTATGATTCCGAATCGTATAAAACAATTTGTATATTGTTGATAATAAAGAGTGCTTTTTCTTTCTTTTAGATTATTGCTATTACTATTACTATTACTATGGTAGTGTAATTTAATAAAAATACACGTATAAATTTTTTCTTGTAGATTCGTAAGGTCAATTACTTTTTTCTTTCTTTCTTTGATTTACCTGTCTATCTTTAATATATATACATATATTTATCAACTTTGATTAGAGAAATAATAATAATAATAATAATAATCTTTTGACGTCATTCATTTGACTTTTTTTTTTTTTTTTCTTGATTTTCTTGACTTTTATATACATCTACATATATAGATATATTTTATTAAAAGAAAGAACGAAACGAAAGAAAATTAAGAACAAGAAGAAGTAGTAGAAGAAGAAGAAAATCATTTACTGTTTTTCTCCTTTCTTCCTTTTACCTCTCTTTCTCTTTCTCTTTGTCTGCCTGCCTACCTGTCTGCCTGTAGATTACATAAACTCATCTCATCCTATTACATTACATTACATTACCTTTAAACATGGGAATTCTCAGCGGCACTGTTCCACTTTCTCAATTACGCATCAAGGATGATGGTCTACCTTCAGACACATCTATATCCCAAGTAAAACACACAACTATATATAATACCCAATAATAATAATAATATCTTATTTTATCTTAGAAAAGTACTGAGGATTCTGTCCTAAAATATTATGCAGAATATGCTCCAAATAACTTGGAAAAAAAATCACTTCAAAGGTAAAAAAAAAAAAAAAAAAAAAAAAAAACCTTTAAAATATCATTTTTATTTATTAATATATATATACATATATGGTGGCTGTAGTGTTAATCTCGAGAGAGCAGACCATGTACCTTTTTTAAGAAAAGGGCTTGATCAACTCAGCCAATGGATGGTTGGTCTGGATGCCAGTAAACCTTGGATTGTCTATTGGATTCTACATTCGCTTGATTTACTAGAAGAAAAACTGTCTTCGAGTACTATTGAAAGGTTACCTTTTTATTTATTTTTGTAGAGAAATCAAATCAAATCAAATCAAATGAAACGAAACATATTATTAATATCCATACTTTCTTTAGAGCACTTTCTAGCTTTGCAAAATGGCAATCACCAACTGGTGGATTTGGTGGTGGTTCTGATCAACTTGCTCATCTGGCTACCACATATGGCTCCATTAATGCATTGGCTATTATTGGAACAAAAGAAGCATACGACTTGATTGACAGGTACAAAAAAAAAAGAAGGACATTATTTGTTTCTTTATATTAATCATCTTTTTGATTCTGATTTTTTACTTTAGGGAATCATTGTACGGGTTCTTGCTTCGAATGAAACAACCAGACGGTTCATTCACTATGCATGATGGTGGTGAAATTGATATTCGGTAAATGGTTTTTTTTTTGTTTTTTAATAGATTGTTGACAATTTGAAACAATCGAATTAAATTCATTAATTGTTTTGTTTTTTTAAAAAAAAAAAGTGGTTCTTACTGCGCATTGGCTGTTGCGGCCCTGACAAATCTATTCACGCCCGAAATTACAGAGAATTGTATTGATTTTATTTGCAGGTAATATAAACATAATAGCTAAGCCAATTGTTGTTGTTATTAATATACAAGAACAAAAATTGTAGATCTCAAAGTTATGAGGGTGGCATTGGGCCTTATCCTGGAAAAGAAGCTCATAATGGTTACACATTTTGTGGACTGGCAGCCATGGATCTCCTGGATGGAATGTCGAGTCTGAACATGGACAAACTTATTGTAAATTGTACAAAATATATACAAAAGTAAAAGAAAGAAAAAGAAGAAACTAATAGATTTGTATATTGCTAGAAATGGTGTAGTGGACGTCAAATGGAATTAGAAGGTGGATTTCAAGGAAGAACCAACAAACTTGTCGATGGCTGCTATTCATTCTGGGGAGCCGGGGACTTTCCTTTATTGAGCAAGGCATTGGAGCATGGTGTAAATGATGATATTGGTGAGTGTACTCTAGACACAACCCAAAAAAAACGAATGTATAATATTCATCTTGTTTTGTTTTGTGCACAAAATCTAGACTATCTATTTGATCGAGGTAAATATGGTGATGATAATACCAGTGAAAGAATGTCAATTATATAAGTATTATCATTCTACATGTCAAAGTTAACACATTCAAATCATGTGTAATCAGAGGCCTTGCAAGAATACATTCTGATTTGTTGCCAATCAGAATATGGAGGATTGATAGATAAGCCTGGAAAGTAAGTTTAATTCTTGTACTCGAATTGTGATATGTGTGTATATATATAATATTACAAAAGAAAAATCACAACAACAACTAATACATATAAATAAATATAAATTAGGGGGGCTGATTACTATCATACTTGTTACTGCCTTTCTGGTCTATCTACCTGTCAACATTCTGTACACTATGACACCAAGGCTGCTGAACAATTAAAGGCACGGGGAATCGATTCTTCAAGAGGTGGCATTAGCTCTCTTTTATGGGCTGCCTCAAATGAAGCTACAGTAGTAGGAAACGTAGACAACCTATTGGTAAGCAAGCTAGCTATCAAATCAAATAATAAGAATAATAAGAATATATAAAATAAAGCTTGTATATCTTGAATCTCAACATTTTTAAATATATATATATATTGACGGATTTATTATTAGGCTCCCACTCATCCGGTACACAACATATCCATGGGAAAGGCACGCGCTATGGTGCACTATTTTTACAAAAATGAGCTAAAGCAAGTACTGGATCTGTTGCCTAGAGACGAAGAGGCCTGGGAAGCATAGATAAGAATAAGAATCATTTCTTTTTGCCCTTTTATTTTTTTCTCTCTCTTCCTTCTATATATATATATATATATATATTATTTGTATTCTTTCTTTATATATTTTATTTTATTTTAAAAGAAGAAGAAGAACAACAACAACAACAAGGAAATAGCCATTGATAAATGACACGTGAAATATGATATATTTCTCCCTTTTTCCCTTTCTCTCTCTTTTGTGTATGTGTATGTGTACACAAATATACAAATATACATATATAAATTGGAGTGTCAAATGAGGCACTTGAAGCCATTCAATCGATCTTTATTTTAGTTGCTACAAATATATATATAATATGTAAAATAAAATAAAATAACTACAATCGAACCAATAGCTTATTCTTATTACTATTATTATTAACATATTATTATTTGGTAAGCATTGTACTTCTTACTTAAACTTATTTCCAATACACAATACACAATATATATATATTGAAAAAAAAAACAGGTTTAAAGATTGATTTAATTCATATTTTGTGATGCTGTAACAAGTAATTGATAGTAGTGGTAGCTATATATAAATAAACCACGTATGAACAAGTAGGATAATGGTTAAAAATTGTGTTGTTTTTGTTTTGTTTTTTTTTTGTTTTTTTTTTTTGTACAGCAAATAGACGTGGAGATAATATTTCCAAAGGTAGAAAATGTTCCTAGAGTACAACATAAAAAAAAATATTTATATTTTTAATTTTTATATATACAGTGGTTTTTACTTGGTTTCCGAACTTTGTCCGAAATAAAATTGAGAACGTCCCAATTTTTTTTTTATTTTTTTTTTGAAAAAATCATTTTCATTTTTGGACATAGTTAATTTTAATTTCAGATAGAGATATTTTACTTTCAGACAAACTCATATTTAATGTCATACATTTTCTTACTTGTTTTGGAAAAATTTACTTTTTTTTTTAAAAAAAAAAAGAAAAGAATCCAGCCGCAGTAATGATTCAATTGACACTTACCGACATACCTTTACAGCCGACAATTCTTACGTTGCCACCCTTCTACCTGTGCGCTTTTACAGCTGTTGGATCTCTCCTTTTTGGCCATGCATGACTCCTAATAGTTTGAATGTGAAAGCTTGCTTCATCAACAAATACGCAGTTTTCGCGATAGTTTACACCGGCTGCTCTCCACTGAGTAATGATATTGAAACAAAGCTGTAAAGTTCTTGGAGCATCCCTTTCTGCCGTATATTTTGATGGTCGCTTTAATGATAAAGCATATGTTTGTCTTTCTCGGATTGTTTCCAGGTAAGAACCGTGCCATCACTAGCATTAAATTTGTTTAGTAGTTCGTATGCAGTACTTCGAGGCATACCACACAATGCTGTGGATTTAGGGACTGAGAGCTCCTGTTTCTGTTTGGCGCAGATAGATCGATTAATATGGCCTTGTTCATATTATATATATATATATATCATTGATTGATTTATGGACACGAGTCCCATTTCTTTGGTGAGAGCATTCACGGCCGCATCCATCTGCATTTCTTGACATTTCCTTTCCATTGAAAATATACAGTCATCTCAATGTTTCCATAATTTTATCGCTCTCATCTGACAGGTAACTATCCCTGAATTTTTTTTTTAAAAAAAAAATGGTTTCCAAAATAAGTAAGACAATGGCTTTTATTAAAACGGAGTGTATTTGAAATTAAAATATATTATGCACAAAAATGAAAGTAGCTTTGTCCGAGATAAAATTGAGAACGTCCGAATTTATTTTTTTATTTTATTTTTGGAAAAGTTTGAAAGCCAAGTAAAAAAACACTGTAGAGTTGATTCGATAAATTATGTCGTCCAATCAGAAATAAGTTTTCGCTGCCACAGGAATAAAATGAGCCCCTCTTGGTTTTTCTGAGGAGTCATTCTTCATATAAGAAGAATGATTAACCAAAGTTTCAAGAACAATAGTAGAATCGTCGATAGTTGACATGACATCTTCCATAAAATCATACGTTAATTGACCGTTTTCATTATAAATATTGTTTTGTTCATCTTCATAAAAAAAAGAGTTCTTCATCTCGAAAGGCTACAATAGACATTATAAAGAAAAAGATAATCAAAAGCTAACTCAGAAAAACTAAGAGGGGTCCTTTTTATTTCTGATTAGGTGACATTTTATTTCTGATTGGGTGACATTCTGTTCGGCCCGGACGACATAATTTATTGGATCAACTGTAGTAATAATAATAATAAGGTGGTATCGGGTGAGCCAATTTATCTAGACAATTTAATCATTAGAGTGTGATTATACAAAATTACGTTACAACAGCCAAAATAATAATATAAATAATAGCACTATATAATAAATATACGTTCCAATCTATTTTATAATACAAAAGCCGAAGGGTTGGAGATCGCCGTAGATATGTAATTATTATTATTATTATTGATACGTGTATATATACACACATTACATTACATTACATATACATGTATTATCTACAATCTATAAAACAAAATGCATCTTTAAATAATATGTATATCTGGATATTGCTTGTTTATACTATCTATTTGTTAATTTGTTTATTATTACCTGGTTGCCTAGTTACCTGGTTACTTGGTTACTTGGTTGCTTGGTTGCTTGGTTGCTTGGTTACTTGTTTATTTAATAAATAATAGTTCATGATTGGCAAAATACGCACTGATGATTTCTCACGATTAGAATGTGATTCAATCATGAGTCTGTCTTTCGAATAGAAAAAAAAAAGAATTGGCCAATTTTTATTTATTTATTTTTTATTTGAGTTGTGCAACGAACTCGGGTACTTGATCCAATGAAATGGTTCTTTTTTTTTTGCAAGATAAAATAATGTATATATATATATTTATTATTCTATCTATTTATCTATCTATCTATATATATATTTATTTATTTATTTATTTCTTTTCTGTATTTAATCATCTTCACCTTTTTTTTTCTTTTTACAAATCACACAAAAAATCTTCTTATTTTTTCTCTCTTTCTTCTTCTTCTTCTTTTATTTTATCTTTTTTTTTTTTTACTTTTTCTAAAAAATTTATCACCATGACGATATCTAATATTCGCAATCATCCTTATGCTTTTGAACATGCACTTCAACTCTCGCCAGACTATACACAACCAAGTCCTGCTGCCACTAGACAGAAGCAGACAGCATACTGTACCTGGCTGGTGTTTATGCATCCAAATTGGGTCCCGTTTGACTACAACAACCACTACAAACTAGAGCAAACCCTCAGCCTCGGGGGAACCTTTGTTGACATCCAAGATTCACACTTTCCCTGCGTCAAGAGAGTCCGTGTGTTCCCAAAATCAAACTACCTCAGCTATCTCGGTGTAAAATACCGCTTATCTCGAGTGATGCAACCAGACGCCTGGATAGACCCACCAGATCACGAAGAATTATTATTATTATCATCATCCTCATCGTCAAACAATAACGCCAGCAGCAACAGTTCGCTTGAAGACAACGATCTCGACGATTATCGCATGCCTCCTCCTCTTCATTTTGAAGGCCTTTCATCATTAGCATCGATTTCTTTATATTCCGACAATCAAAGCACGGACGATTCAAATTTATTTCGATCATTATCAATATCCTCTAGAGTTTCTTGATAATTTTTTTTTTATTATTTTATTATTATTATTACTGCTACTACAACTACAGCTACTATTGCTATAGCAACAAAAACTTACAGTTATAGTACACTTATACTTATATATGTATGTGTGTGTGTATACGTCTTTATTCGCATTCACATTCACATTCACATATTTTGTTTCTTTTTCTATTATCTATCATTTACTTTGTCATCATTCTGCCCTTTCTCTCTCTATCTTTTTATCTACCTATCAACCAAACCCAACCCAGATCTTCATACATTGATATTATTAACTCTTATTAAATATTATTATCTTTATCTTTATCATTATCATTATCATTATCGTTATTATTGTATATATAAAATTCTTGTTGATTTTTTTTTCTCTTAATAAATTATTATTTTATATTTTATATTATATTTAAAAAAATTCAACACTTGAAGATCACCTTGTCCCTCAGTTGGACAGGGCACGGGGAGAAAAGAAGAGGAAGAAAAAAAAATATTTGCTTATCAAAACCAAATCAATGGCTTTAAATGGAATAAGCACATATAATATATAACACACAGTATATACAACACATACACTCAAACCTACATATCACCAATATATTTATTTATTTATTTATAAATGAATATTCAACTAACTCACTTGTTTACTTGTATAATACATATAAATATTTTCAAATACCTTGCCCTTTTCTATTCTTTTTGTGCGCATAGTAGTAGCATTGTAACATTGTAAAAATTGTAACATTGTAACATGGTACAGGCGGAATATCAATCAAAGAAGGAAAGAAATAAAAAAAAAAAAGAGAGAGAGAAAGGAAAGAGTTTGGAAAGGGATTTGGAGTCGGGACAGCGTGTAATCGGGTTGGGCTCATCTTTACTCTTTCTCTCATTATTTTTATATATATATATATATTTTAATGTAATTTAATAAACATGAGGGTGTCACGGGTAGCTTGGTGCAAGCCAAAGGTGTGGCTTATACCAAAGAAAGAACAAAAATGATAACTTTTAAAATTAATTAATTAATTAATTAATAAATAAATAAATAAATAAATAAATAAATTTATATATTTCTATATAGATATTTTTATATACATTAATAAAGAAAGAAAGAAAGAAAGAAAATAATATAAGATCTATATAAGAATGGTCAACAATCAACAATCAAGTAAACTTGGATTTCTATTCGATGCTAGCCACAGTGTGTTTGGACATTGTCCTTCACTTTCGAGATTCTACATGAGCGAATTCCAACAAAACCTGTGTAATTACGATGCCAAACCTGCACAGGCAGTTGAACGAATAGGCTGTCCTAGGTGTGGACAGATCTACTCTCCGGGCTTCAATACAACCGTTCGGCTAGAACCATTTGGTACCAAGAAACGAAAACAAATCCAGAAAACTAAACCAAAGAACAGACTTGTCTATGAATGTCACGCGTGCACTTTTAGATTCTCAATGGGAAGATCGATCAAGGCAAAGATTCCTACTGCTTCTCTTGAACCAAATCAAATCAAAGGATCCGTTACTGCGCAAACACCGGCAAGCACTGTGCCGAATGATAAAAAGAATATGAATATAACCAAGAACAGTAACAGTAACAATAGTCTTAGTTCTAGTGATCAATCTGCAAATAACCTACACTCAAACAAAAAGACACTCAACAATCCTATCAAAAAGAAGACCAAGGGAAAGAGTGCATTACAGGCTATGCTTGCAAAGAGTAAAGAAAATGCAGGACCAAATAAGCTTGGTCTTAATGATTTCTTATCTTCTTTGTAACGATTCTCTCTTTTTTTTTATTTTATTTTATTTTATTTTATTTTATTTTATAATAATAATTTTCTTACAAATGTATATAAATATGTATATATCTGTAAATTGGGAAATTAAAGGTGTGCGTAGAGTTAAAAAAAAAACAAAAAAAAGGGCCAAGGTTGCATAATTAAATTGTACATGTGCACTTACACATGTACTTTATCTTTAAGCACACTCAATATGTACACATATACATTGAGTGTCTCTCTCTCTCTAGATACATACATACATATATTTTGGGTGTGTAAATGTAAATCTACAGGTAGACACACACGTATATACATAAATAATTAAATATATAAAATGAAAATAGAATAGAATATAATGGAATAGAATTTCAAAAAAAATTGGTATTTTGACTATTGAATTTGTGTATATGTGCGTTTTTTTTTTTTTTTTTTCTTTTTTTTTTTTTTTTACAGAAATAAAAGAGAGAAAGGGAGCATAAAACAACGAAAATGTACAGAAATGATGACAATAAATTATTCTTTTTTTTTTAAAAAAAAAAAATAATGAAAAAATTAAAACGAAAATAAAAAGAGGCATGGGTGAGATTATAATGCACAGCAAAATACAAAACAAAAAAAAAGAGAGAAAGAGAGTGAGTGAATGAGAGAAGCATGAGATAAAATAATGCACTACAGAATACAGAAAATAAAGAAAATATAAATAAAAATAAAAATAGTAATGATGAAAGTAAAGAGGGAAATATTGTCTTTCTTTTTTTGTGTAATTTTTTGTGTGCCTTTGTAAATTGGTTTCAATTCTTGGGATTTTGATTTTTTTTTTTGGATTTTTTTTTTTTGGATTTTTTGATTTTGATTTTTTTGGTATTTTTTGATTGCATTTCTTTCTTTCTTTCTTCTTACTCTTCTTGTTATTGCTTTTTATGTGCATTATATGCATTATATGCATTGTGTGTAGTGTATGCAGTGTATGCAGTATGTGCCGTGTGTATAGTGCGTATAATGTGTGTATAAATGTGTGTATAAATGTATGTGTGAATAAAATAAAGAGAGAAAGAGAGAGAGAAAGAGAGAGAGAGATAGTAATATAAATAATTAATAAAAATAAAAATAAAAATAATAATAAAAGATAAATATCATGACTTGTTGCTGCTGATTGATGTTGCTGTTGAAGAATGTCCACTCATGCTATTGCTGCTACTGGTACTAGTGCTAGTGCTAGTGCTGGTGCTGGTGCTGCTATTGTTTCGAATGGTACCGCTGTGTGAAAGATCTGTGGACTGTGGGGTATTGGATGTAGGGGATGGAGGAGGTACGTCGTTTAGGATACAATAGGGGTAATTTCTGTGTTCAGGAATAGATGTCTTTCGGGGATTCAGATTTTCCTGGCCATATTGAATCCCACTTGCTGATTCCAGTGGTTGGCCAATCATTGTCGAATCACTATATCCGTCATTTCTCGATCGTCTCTCTTCATCTTCTTCTTCCTCCTCCTCTTCCTCTTCTTGGGTCTCCAGATCTCGTCTTCGTCTTTTTCTTGGTTTACCAACCGGGCGAGCTACAATACATATTAAAAAAAAACAAGAGAGTCAATTGATAATTAAAGGGCGACTATGTATTTGTAATTCAAATCAATCTTACCAGCAGCCTCGTGTTTTGCCTTGAAATCACGAATATATTCTTGGTATTGCTATATAATTATATAGTTTTCTTGTTAATGATACTCTTTACTAATCAATGGCAATAATAATAACAATTTTTTTTTTAAAAAAAAAAGAGACTTACTTTGAATTCGGTTGTTCTCTGATAGTCTTCTAATCTGATTTGATATTGTTTGCGTGCTACCATTGCATTGGTCTCGTACCGTTGCTTTTCATCGTGATTTAGATTCTTCCACCTGTCACCGACTAATTTTGCTAGTTCGGTAAATGTCATGTTCCTCGAACGCAATTCGGCTCTGACATCGTTGGAGAACATTACATATGCTGATGATGGTTTGAGAGGGCAATTCTTGTCTGGTTTAGCGTGCCGTTGGTACTTTCTTTTCCAGAGTCGGCCCGTACTATCTCCTGGAGTATTGTCGTCTTCTGTAGAAGACATCCCACTTGTGGCCGCACCTGTAGACACATGACTGATACTCGGACCGGCAGAGGAAGAGCGAGGTGAAGCAAGGGGCATGGGGGATGCAATATTATTATGGTGATTATTGTGATTATTATGGTTGTGGTTGTGGTTGAGGTTGTGGCTGTGGTTGAGATTGTGAATGCTGTTTCCATTGCTGTTGACATTACCGTTGGTGTTGGTGTTGGTTATGCTGTTGGTGCTGTTGGTGCTATTGCTGCCGGCATTGGGGTTGATGCTGGTATTGTTTCCATTGGTGCTATTTAGATGGACGTGATCCTGAGAATAGACTGCTCCTGGTGCGGTTTGAAGTGAATGGTCGTATTCTGTTTCCCGGGTAACATACAATGGGCTTTTTGGTTTAGGAGTGGGCTGATTTGATTTAGGCGTATAGTTTCTTTTTATTTTATTTTATTTTGTTTTGTTTTATTTTGTTTTATTTTAGTTACCTAATATGTCTGATCTTCTGATGATTGTTTCTGGATTGATTTGAAGAGGCAGGCTTGAAGGGATACCTTTGGAATTAGCAATAGCACGCTGGAGTAACTATACAATACGAAGAAGTAGACTTATTTATTTATTTATCTACTCACAAAACATAGTTATGCATATAATGTATTTTCAAAAACAAAAAGAAGGAGAAATATATAATGATATTAAAGAAGTATTATACCAATTATATAGTAATAAATGATAATGAAAATCAGGTATATATTAAAATACAATACCTACTCGTCGATGCCCTCTTTTTACACCAAGCTGTATTAAATCGGCTTCGGTTACCTCGAATAACTAAAGGTTGTATTTGACAATTATAAGTAAAATAATAATAATAATAATAATATATAAATGGTGCATATTTTTTGAACACATGTGTAATATGTTTTATAGCTCACCGAATCCAATCTATCGAAGCCTTCTTCTATAAAGATTTGATTGTATTGACCCAGACCAGATCTCGTCAGAAAGTTTTCGACGTGAGCCTGTGCAAGAAAGGTTCTTTGGTCTTCTTTTTGTTGTTGTTGTTGTTGTTGTTGCAAATGAGAATTGGAATCAAATGGGAATGACATCTTTTTCTTTTTGAAAAAAAAAATATATATATAATAGAATCGAGAAAAGAAGGAAAGAGGGAGAGATATATGTAATGTAGAGTGACTTTATAGACTTGTTTTTTTTTTCTGTCTTTCTTTCTTTTGGTTGATGTTGTTCGGTAATAGTGATATGATTACTTAATACAGAGAGATAGACCAACAGTAAGAGTTCTTTTTCTGTTGTCTGTTTTTTTGGGTGTATGTGTGAGTGTGTTTGGGTTGGTCAATGAAACAAAATGAAATGAAATGATGTAATGAAGTGGAGTGGAATAGAATGTAGTGGATTGAACTGACACACTGATAGATTGTGTTGTTGTTGTTGTTGCTGGGATGCGTCACGATTGAGGAATTAAGCGGCCTAAAAAGATATAAAAAGGTTAAATACAGGACAATGAAGCGGGTGGAGAATGTTAAGCATAAAGTAAATGAGAACCAACAAGTTGGATGGAGTGAAACCATTGCATGTAAAAGATAAATAAAAATAAGATATATAAAATAAAACAAAAATAAAAATTACCAAAATTCTATACACACACATGTATTTTTTTGGCTTTCTTTCTCTTATATATCTATATATCTATATATATATATATATATATATATATATATATTTATATGTATATCTGGAAATCTATACACGAGTATTATAAATAAGAAAATTAAATAAACTAACAGTAATAATAATTACTAAATATTAATATATAATATTTTGAATATTTACGAGTGAAAGAGAGAGAGAGAGAAAATGGATAGATAGATTGAGGTTGAGGTAGAGGTTGAGAGAAAAATGAATAAATTTATATATTATATACTATACTGTAGTATATTATATTATATATATATATATTATTATAATATTAATTAAAAAAAGGTTTGAAGAACCAGGAAGAAACAAAAAGAAGAAGCTTAATATATATTATATATATATATTATATATATAAAAAATTGATTGAAAAATATATATATATATAAAGGTAGTAGCAGTAAAAGTAGCTATTGTAGCAGTAGCTATTGTAGCAGTAGCCTTAGTAATATAAGAAGTAGAAGAAGAAGTAGAGGAAGTATAGGTAAAAGAGGTAAAGGTAAAAGAAGAAGAAAGAAGAAAGAGGAAAAAGTAGAAAGAGGGAATTATTATTTACTATTTACTATTGACTCTCTGAATTTTTGACTATTTACTATTGATTTTTTTTATATAAAATTGCAGGTATTTTCATTATTTCTTTATTTTTTATTTTCTTGCAAAAAAAAATAATCTATTGTACTGTACTGTACTGTACATATAAAAAGTTGGTACCCAAAAAACGCTACTTGAATCATGTCTAATTTATCGAATAACCAAGAATGCAATAGAACATTATAGATAAACCAAATCTCAGCGATCAAATAATAATAATACATTGTATATATATGTATAAATACACATGTATATATATATATATATATAAGAAAGAAATAAAGAAAAAAAAATAGTTATACAACCTGCCTGGTCCAATTGATCCTTTTATTTTTATTTTTTTATTTGGTGCCTAGATAGTTGTAATCTCCGATAAACCTTATTAATGAAATAGGTAACAATTTTCATTAATAAAGTAAAATATAGATATATAAAGCAGTAGATAGGAGATGAACAACAATAAGAAATAGATATATTATTCTATTATAAATGAAAAAAGTAACTTAAAAAAAAAATAGAAGAATGGCAATTAGAAACCCCATTTTTCCCAACAAGGAAACAAGGGGGAAAGGAAGAGAGGGGCTTGGGAGAAAAACGAAAGAAATATAGAAAAGAGAGGGTAATTGTAATTGTAATTGAATTTGTATTTGTAGATATTTATAAAAATATTTATCAATGGGAGTATAGAAAAGGTACAATTTTTGTACAATTTTATTATCATTGTTATCATTATAATTATGTTACAGTTCAATATTCAATGCAATAGAAACTTATATATACACAAAGAGGTGCTGTAACCTATTCTAAACCGAACCTTTGTCCTTTTAATTATAATTACAATGATCATTATTACAATAAATCTATCAGGCAATATTTGTATTTTTGTATTTTGGATTTAGATTTAGATTTGGATTGATGAAATATTAATGAAGTTGTTTGTCTTTATATCTTGTATATTATACACTTTTATATATAAAAACACAAGCCATCTTACTATCACATCTTTATTTTCTCTCTCTAACACACACTCATATAGTATAGTAAACCGATAATAGACATTAGCCCTTGTTGATTTTTTTTTCTTTTTTCTTTTCATATGCAATCTCCTTGTACTCTACTCGAAATTGGTTCTCAGAACAAACGTCTTGCATCAATCTCAAACGACCATATTTACCCCTCTCCAATTCTTACTCCACCAACCTCAAATTCATCTTCACCATATTCACAATACCATTCCTCCTTTGTCCTCTTTTCAGAGCATCCAACTACCCAACCTCTCTCTCTCACCTCTCTCTTCTTATCATCCTTTGCACCCCACCAACAATACTATTGTCATTCACCTCAAAACCCTTTTGATTTCCTGAGCGTCGAACCTCCCATCTCTCAATCCAATCTAGACAGCCTTTCCCTGGCTAACAGTTATACAACATCGCTTGACCACACCGCTCTCAACGAATCAAATCCAGAGCCATTGTCTTTAATATCCACTCTAAACCACAACGGAAACAATAATTTCGATGGCTCTAACCTTATAAACCCAATCGACCAAATCGACTCAGTAGACTCAGTAGATCAAATCGACCAAATCGACCAAACCAATCTAGACTATTTTGGTACATCGATCAATGGATACCACTCTTTTTGTCAACATTCGTCATATTCAGGCTTGACAACAAATTCATTCCAAAATCAAAAGGCATACCTTTCAATTGGCCAGTCACCTACACTTACATCTATAACTAGTGTTAGTGCTAGTGCTAGTTCTAGTTCTAGTGTTAGAGTTGAAGCTACACCCACCCATACCATTCCAACCAAAACACGTAAATCTCGATTTAGCAGCGGTGAACCAAACTCACGATTCTTTGTGTGTTACACCGATGGATGTGGCAGGGTATTCAAGAGGTCAGAGCACCTCAAGCGTCATATTAGGTCGATCCACACTTTAGAAAGACGTGAGTTTCTTCTCTTATTCTCTTTTTGTTTTCTTTTCTTTTGTTTATACTCCAGATGATCGAATTGATATATTGAATATTTGTAGCCTATGAATGTCCTTACGATCTGTGCAGTAAACGATTTGCAAGATCGGATAATCTCAGTCAACACATTCGTGTTCATAGAACAAGTAAAAAGGCTTTGATTCGTATGCAACATACTGCAGTGGAACATTTACCATGAGCGATTTTATATTTATTTACTTTGATATATTTTGAAAAATTGTATATATTATTATAATAATTATTAATTTTTTTTACTGCTGTTTCTTGTATTTTGTATCTAACTAATGTAAGATATTATTATTAGTGTTGTTGCTATTGCTGTTGTTACTGTCAAGAAATATTAATATTATAGTAATGATAGCAGAAAGGAAAATTAAAAAATTAAAAAATTAAAAAATTAAAAAAAAAAAGAAAAAGGAGAGATAGATTGAGAGGGATTGAAAAGGGGGTATTCAACAATATGTTTATACAAATACATATTAAATAATTTTTCTAAAATACCTCTAAAAAAAAAAAAGCTGTGTAAAGTTTGTAATGTTTGTAAATGTTTGCAAGTGTTTATAAAATATACAATGTGTGTAACGCGTGTACTACTTTATCCAAAAATAGAAAAAAGACATCGATATTTTCTAGAAGCGCTGATATTCCATACTTTTTATCTATACTCCGATGCCTTTGTTCTTTTCTCATGTAAGGTGTGGCCAATTGAAAGTCTTTGCTGGTATTTAATACATGGCAAAGGGGATGCGCAGTGCAAATTTATTTGTTTGTAAATCAGGCGTTTTTACTAAAGTAGATTAGCGTATTCTTAATTTTACCTCTACTGTCTGTGTAATTTTTTTTTTTTTTTTAAAACAAAAAAAAGAAAAATATAACACGAGAACAGTCACGAAACCGTATTGTATTGTATTGTCTTGTATTGTAAATATCATACGGTAGAAAACCCTTTGAAAAAAAAAATTAGGGTTTTTTAATTGGTTAAATAACTTGTTTACATACTACATGAATGAATAAATGAATAAATGAATAGAGCAGAAAGAATATTTAATATTAATACTACAGAAAATAGAAAGAAGAATAAAAGAAGATCTTTAATATGTATATATATATATTTTAAATGAAAATTGTTTTGCTTTATCACCATGGTCAGTAATGGAAACCATTCCCTTTATGTTCTTATTATCACCATAATCATTATTCTTTTGTCAATTGAATTAAAACCACCTGGCATTCAATGCAACTGCTCTGTACTATAACATACTATACTGCCCTGTCTAATACTGTCTTTTATTCTTTTTTTCTTTTTTTTTCTTTTTGGAGAGATCTAGATTTCATATAATTTGATTACCTCCTTAGCCCTTATTACTTTTATAATCTTTATAAATATTTATACTTATATTTATACGGTTAGAGTTGTTACCAGAAGGAAAGAAATAAATGACAATAATGGTAATGGTAATTAAAATTCAGGTACAAAAAGAAAAACCTGTCTATGCTTAATCAAAAAGAAGATTGTGTCAAAAGTCGTACGTTTATAAGAATTAAAAGGAGTCAAGAAGAGTAGAAATAATACAAAGCTGTTCATGACAAAAAGAAGTTTCTTTTAAAAAATATATTTACAATACATAACTGTATAACTTATACACAAGGATTAAATGAAATAAGAGAGAGAGTGTGTGTGTGAATATGAGCATGAGTACGGGTGTGAAAATATGAATGTGTTGTAGAGGAAAATTAACCCAATTTTTTTCTTTTTTCTTTTTTAGCCTATTGGGTTTTTTTCCAACGAGTTTCTTTTGGGTTCTATTTCAGGAATGGCGTTTATAATTTCAGAATCTTGGCCTCCAAAGGGTTCTGTTGATTTGCTTGTTTCGTCTTTGGTCTCCATGCCAGCCATTCCTTCCTCTAAATCAACCTCGCTCTTACCAGCAGCACCACTAGTACCACCTTCAACAATAACGACACCAACAGCTCCTTTTTCACCCTGCTGTGGCTTGTGGTTATCAAATTCTCGCTCCAAGTCCTTGTAGCCCATTACTCTGTACACAATAGCACTCACAAGCCAGGTCACAATAAATGCCCCCACAATCACAATTCCAATCCACTCAAAGCTGTCGGCCAATGTGTACCAAAACTCCCACCAGCCATTCTCCAGCTCAAGCTGTTCTCCAATCAGCGCAAAAAATTCAATCAACGCAACAAGACAGGCAACCACAACACTGATCGAGGTAATTATGAGATTGTAGTACATCTTCCGGATTGGGTTGACATAGGCCCAGGTGTATGTAAACAACATCAACATTCCATCGAGTGAGTCAATCAAAGCCATGCCTACAAAACCCCAATATAATTTTTGATTTTTTTTAAAACAAAAAAAAAAAACTCCTTTCCATATACTCTCCGTCTATTGATCTATTGATCTGTCAGTCTATATTACCTGAAGTGAACAGGAGCGGGAGTAAGATGATCAGCCACATGTTCATTCCACTGGCACCCTGGACAGCCGTAATACCCAAGAGAGTGATCTCGGTAGACGTGTCAAACCCAATACCAAACAAAAGTCCAAGGGGATACATCTTCCAGGATGCATTGATAAACTTGAACACCGGCCTAAAGAACCGACCAAGGATACCCCGATTGTTCATATACTCTTCAATGTCTAGCTCAGTATAGACTCCCTCTCGTTTGACGCGACGGAGGGTCTTTACAACCCCCACCAGAACAATGATATTAAGAGTCGCGATCAAGGTCAGGAACACAATCGAAACAGATGTTCCAATAACGCCTCCGATTTCTGAAAAGTTTTCCAGTCCATTGGCAGCCGCATTCGCAGTGGCGGCTACAATGATCGCAGTGATAAACACGATTGTCGAATGTCCGAGAGAGAAAAACAGACCGACACTCACTGGGTGTTGGTTGTCGTTGAGTAGTTTTCTGGTGACATTGTCGATAGCCGATATATGGTCTAAGTACATTTTAAAATATATGCTCTTAAGAAAAGAAAAGAAAGGGCAAGAATATTCATTTGTGTATATATATATATATGTTATCTACCTGCATCAACTGCATGTCGCAGGCCTAGTGTATATGCTAATGCACCTGTTCCAAGCATAGATGGGTATGGATTGTAGACTATTGCTGCCACTACCCACACTGCCACATTAACGGACAGTAGGAATGTAATCATGACCAACACCTTGGGGCGCACCTTGTGTGGGTCAGGGCCAAACAATAACCGGTACACGAACGATTGTTCGGAGCAAAATCGGAGGGCAAATCGACCTATTTTTCCAGGCACATGACTCATAGCTTAAAAGCAATAAAATGAAATGAAAGGAAGAAACGAGGAAGGTAAAGGAAAAGGAAAAGAAGATTGTTAAATAGGATATAAAAGACTACAATTATACTGTTCTTATTTTTATTATATTTAATAAGTATGTATACAATCGAAGTGGAGAATTAAATATATATATTATTTATTTTTGCTTATCTTGTGTCCCAGTGTATGATGATAAATACATACTCTAAACAACTGGCAGGATTACTGATAACCACTATATACATACATACACACACACATCCGCATTATCTTGTCAGTTCTCACGTTTCCAAAAAAAAACCCCCTTTGTTACTTTGAATCGCTTTATGTTATATAGATCTATAGAGTAGAACGATTCTTGTCCTTCTATCAGTCAAGTATAAATTCGAAATAGAATAAAGAGGGTATTTTTATTTTATTTTTTAAAAATGCTATATTTTAATACCAATGAATGAATGAATGAATGAATGTACATCTTACCTATGAAGACGGAGGGTATATCTTGTTTTATCGGCCATAGAAAACTAAACTTCAATTCACGATCGGATTTGTCTGAAAAAAAAAAAAAAAAAAAAAAAACACCAAGTGCTCCGTTCCGATTTTTCGGATACTGTTCAATTCGCGTTTAAATGAATGCATTTCAAAAGGATATAAATTCAAATAAGTAATGTATAAATACATTATTGAACAAGTGAGCAAATGAATGCTTTTACATTCAAGAATATAACATAAATACAATGGCAATTAACGGACAATATTCTTATATATAATAGAAAGGTTGGAGTTTATTGTGGATCCCTCACATATGAAATATAGTCAAAATTAAATATGCGCTCCAAGTAATAGCAGTAAAAGTAACAATTATAATAAAACTAAGTAACAGCAGTTACGCAAAGGCAAGGTTTCCTGCATTACCTAAATAAATAGATAAGATAAGAAATAACCTTTTTTTTTTTGGAAATTGTACCCAAAAAATAATAATCAATGGATCAATTTTTTTTAAAAAAATTATACAAACAGATGGTACAAAATAGTTGGTCTCCAAACTACTGTCCTTTATATTGCCTTCCTATTAATACCACTACCACTAACAAGAAAACGCACATACACACCCATAGATATATATATATATAGATATATAAGACTGATAATTATTCAATATGATTTGATATTTGTCGGCTACAAAAATAAGAATAGGAAATAATTGATGTAATATGCTGTAAAACCAAGTATTATATAAAGATGAATAATAATGATATGTTTATATGCTTCTATGTTGTGTAAGGGTTTTTACGATATGGTATAGCTGCCGTGTGTCTGCTTTACACACACTCTCTTAGTTTTTGCCACTTCTTAGCATATCTTATGATTATGAGAATAAGACCACTAGCCAAAAAGAGAGCCACACCGCAAACAGTGAAAAGAATGCCATTTCCCATGGCATTTACAATATCAGATGCAATAAGTGATCCAACACCAGCCATACAATATCTAACAAAATTATTGCATGCTGTAAAATTTAAATAATTATACATTAAAGTAAAATACACAAAATAATAATAATTTTTTTTTTAGTAATTATTCAATAAATCAAACCTTCTTCTTCCTTTACCTGTAACAGAAGCACCTTTTTTACGGAAACAGTCGACCATGTATGCCGAAAGAACAACATTAGGAAACATAATCGTTACTCCAACTAAACGCATAAATATAGAAGAAGAAGTTAGTTTATAAAATAAAATACTTGCCCACATATCTAGTCACACACATATATATGTGTGTGTGTATAAGGACATTATGTTTCTTTTTTTTTTCTTTACCAAGGAATTGGAATGCCAGACCATATGCAAAATGGAGGTTTTTCTCAACGCACCAGCCATAGCCAGTAAATGCAAACATCTGAAGGACAATTGCGATGTAGAACAAGGGACCACCTAAACGCATCTCTGGGGTAGATTCTCCATTGGCCTGTACAACACGCTTGTTGTACAGTCGGTCTGAGATGCGACCACCCGAGATACCACCAATCATTGCCCCGAATGCCAGTGGAAGGTAACAGATACCCACAATTCCAGAATTAAGGTTGTACTGGATCGTGTATGTACGTGTAAAGTTGGTATTCAGAAGATAGAACACTAAGAATCTATATTAGCCAGACACAGATCCAGACACAGACACAGACCCAGACACAGATACAGAGAGATAGAGAAGTGAGTTTTTATATACAGATTACAAAGAAGAAGAAAAAAAAGAAGATTAACATTGACAATAGAAATAGATAATTTCATTGAATGACTTACAAGACACCCACAAAACTAACAGCCAGTGTGATATTTGGAAAGAGTAGAAGACGAAGAGCCGAGAGCGGATTTACGAGTCGCTTGGTCTTCTTTTTTACTGATCCATTGTTGTTTTCTGTTCCTGGAACTGGACTCGTTTCGGCTCCTGGAGCTGGTGCCGGACGCCAAGTCTCTGGAAAGAAGAAAAACATGGTGATCCAAATACAACACGAAAAGATTGACAAGAACCAAAAGTTGCTTCTCCAACCGAGACCTTGGTTTAGATATCCACCGATAATTGGTCTATAGACAAAATGGGTATTAGTTAATAAGATACTAATGATAATATCATTGATTTTTTATTTTATATTATTTTAGCGTAATGTATATATATGTATATAGTTTTACCCTAATGCAGGTCCTAGCAGTGGGCCGCATGTGTACCATGCAAACGCTTTCCCTCTCTCATGTGGCTCAAATATATCTGCAAGCGTACCCGCTCCCATAGACATCACCTAAAACCTTTGTGTTTAGTTATATTGGATTGCATTGCGTCGCCCTTTCTTTTTTTTTAAAAAAAAATTGCTATCTATTTAGTTGATTGAGAGAATTACCGATGAAGATCCAATTGCACTAAAGCCTCGAAAGACGATAAACATTGTAATATTGACAGAGACGGCGCAACATACACTGCCAACCACAGCTATCAAGAAAGATACAAGATATATCCGACGGCGACCTAAAATTATATTTTAAAGAAGAGAGAGAGATATATGCATTAGTACATGCATATACATATGTAAATGCACGTCAAGACATCACTGTCTTAGGTATATCTGTAAATCTTGAATTTATTGTACTTGCCGAAAACATCCCCAAAAGATGCCCATATTAATGGCTATAACCAAATAGAAATAAAGAGATTCGATTTGTAAGGCTTTGTAATCAAACAAGGTTATATTGGTACTTACAAAGAATGCAGTAAAAAAAGTAAAGATCGAGACTATAGTTAAATACAACAACAGAAAACATGTTAGAAGAAATACTAAAACAAAACAAAAGGATATGAAAAATACTTACGGGATGCATTCATGAGTGTATCTGTCGTATTGAAATAGTGTTGCATGGTAACCAAGGCTGGATACTATTGGACATTAACAGTCTAATTTTTTTTTGATAAATATCTATCCAATGAATATACTTGCATAAACAGTAGTAGATATTGGAGAACTACGATAATTAAAGCACAAGCGATAAAAAAAAATTGATGTGTTAATAACATTGGCATTGGCATTGGCATTGGAATTAGGATTAAGCTTATTATCATTATTTTGATGCTTATGTACATATCCATGTATGTTCTTACGTTGAGCCTGCCAGTGATACAATTAATAGAATAAGATATTTCTTGAAAGGTGAAAAATTCCGAGGGTCTGTGTGGGTCTCTTGTTTGACCTTCCAGAACTCATACCACGGTCTGTTTGACAATGTGACATTTGCAGAGTGTACACTTGATGCACTGTCATCTATTTGTTTGTCTGTAGTATACTGGGTATCATATTTTGTCGTATGATTTTCAATGGTAGATTCATCTTGAGACCTCCTTTTGTCGCCCTCTAGAGTACGAGTATCTTCATGGTCCATCTCTAAAGCCATCATAGTGGCGCCAACCATCGGACCACCATCGTCAAGAGAGATCACTAGCTCTCTCTCAAGATAGCTTTTGGAAGAATCATTTGTAGTGTGACGTGATAGTGGTTTCATGTATAATATCTATAGATCTATATATCTATATTTAATTAATAAAGTATTAATTAAAATGAAAAAGAAAGTAAAAGTAAAAGAAAGAAGAAGAAGAAGAAGAGAATATTTGGGCATTATATACGTACAAGTCAATACTTTGCTAATTTTTTTTTTAATATATGTATGTATTTAAATAATAGTAACAAAGACAGCTTGTAACATATGCACCAATCTTTCTTGATCTGGATCAATAAAGAAAAATAAGCCGAAATAGAAAAAAAGGACTAACGTTTTCCCAGTCTAATCTATTTCCCGTAAAGCGCACAGATCCAAATACACGCACACAAACACATTTATACATTATTTTCAACAAGTAATATCATCAACTCATCCAAGTCGATCTTGACTAACTGTGTCATTAATTACTAAAATCACTGTATATACAAATACAAATACATATGTATATAGGTATCTGAGAAAGTGTAGATATAGAAATAAAAGTAGTTGTGATTGTGGTTGTGGTTGTGGTTGTAGGTATGTGGGTATGTGGGTATGTGGGTGCGGGTACATACCATAACATCTACAAGCCAATATATATATATATATATATATATTTCAGGTGGTTCTCAACCTAACACTCAAATAATGATACCAGTAAAATAAAATAAAATAAAATAATAAAATCGAATTGAATACATAGATTGGCTATGTTAACTAAATTAACAAATTTCATGCAATGCATGCTCACTCTCTGTTTATAGACCGAGTTTACGGATATAGAAAACAAAAAAAAATCACGTATTATCTCAAGAACGACCCTAAATAAAATGGGCTCAAAACCCAAAAAAAAATTGTACAACGATATAGAAAAAGAAGGAATATTTCAAATATACTCTTTTAATAAGAAAAGGATAGTAATGGTTTGTATTTACATGCAATTCGTTGAATAATAATAATAATAATAATAATAATAATAATAGTAGTAGTAGTAATAACAATAATTGATGAATAGGTAAAGATAAAGAGCTAAAAGATAAGGAGATATAGATAAAGATGGATAGTGAGAGTGAGAGGGGGAGGGGATAGAAAATGTGGGGTTAAAGACATAAAACATACAAAAAATATACTATAGAACAGAAAAAAAAAAGGGTAATCAAAAGTAAAGAAACGAATGCAGAGTTTAAAGAATTAAAGAAGAAGAAGAAGAGTAAAAGAAGATGGTTTGTATTTTCATACCTTTTCATCTTCTTTCCCTCCTTCTTTCTCTCTTCTCTTCACCATCTTTCTTCTAGCCAGTCAAGAAGAATAGAAAGGGGAAAAAAAAAGGGGGGGGGGGAAATTTGGGATAATGGATTTTCTTTTCTTGATTGATTGAATGTAGAATGAAACAAGGCAATAAAAAAAATTAAGCTTGGCTCTACGGCCACAAAAGAAGAAGAAAGCAAAGAAAGGAAAACAAAAGAAGTGTTTTTTTTTGAAAGAAAAAAAAAAGAGAAAAGAAATATGAGACGAAATGGACTAGAAGAGGTATAGAAAGGAGAGGTTTGGGTGGTAAGGAATGGGATTGAAAATTGTGTGTTGGATGTTGGATGTTGGATATGATGGATGGAAGGAAAGATGGGAATTTGCTATTTTAGATAATGATCTACAGGCTGACAAAAAGATTGACAGTGTTGTGAATACCGCGACTCTCGAATGCCATCTGAACATCTTCATCAGAATTGATAGTAATATGATCACCGTCCTCATCTTGATACTTGAGTCTCAGCATTTCTTTTGGCTTGAGATTCGCAACCAGCCGGATCTTACGCTCAACTCTCTCCATCAACTCCAAGAAAGAGGCTTCTTGAGGGACAACGATCACATAGATTCCATCATGGTAACTCAATTTGACCTTCACAGATCCAGGGGAACTAGGCATGGTGCGATCAATAGGAGAGTGCTGTTGTGCATGGGATTCTCCGAGACGGGGCGTGGAGGTTGTGGGACGAACGATGTGTAGATTGTGATAGGGTGTACGTGAGCTGATAGGAAGCTGAGGTAAATCATCCCATTGCTGCTGATTGCCACCACTACCAATAGGTGAGTGTGCTGTATTGCTGTTACTATTAGAGTGGGCTTTCTGGATGTTTGGACTGCTCTGAGAGCGCAGGCGGGTCTGTAGTAAAGGAGGTGGGATGGGGTAGATACCGAGACCTGCCGGAGGAACTCCAGGTGCAGCCGAGTGTGACTGACTACGACCAATTGGCGGTGTTTGATGTGTGTAAAGGTGATTTCGACTGTCATCCGCTGAACCAGCGCTCAAACTGTGATCGCCAGCCATAAACTTGGTAGCGATTTCTGCCAGGGGAGAACTACTATCTTCTCCAGTCCGTCGGTGCCACACAGATCCAGCAGACCCACTGCTGCTAGCTGTGGAGACGCGAGAGCTGGTGGGAGACGAAGGAGTTGAAGGAGGGGGAGAAGCAGGAAGACCGTAGTCAAAAGGAGGAGAAGTGCTCAGCAGTCCTGTGGTTGTGCTGGAGCTAGTGCGTGGAAGTGAGGGGATGGAACCAGCAGATGTAGATGCTGGCGTAGAGGGAAGTGGAGGATGACCACGGATATGCTGTGCGTTATTGCTGTTGCTGTTCTCATGAGCTGGTTTAGTTCGGTGGGTAGTGTGATAGGCCTGAGCTGATACTGAATTATTTCGTTGGCGATGGTACTCGTCTTCTTCTTCTGGATCGTATTCCTCTTCGTCTTCGTCGTCTTCGTCATCATCAGAGCCGAAAGGATGTCCACTCAGGTGAGCATTGACCGAGGCATTTGGAGGTGGCATGGACAGAAGATGGGTATTGGGGACATTTGCCTTATGGGTGACCTTGATCTTTAAGAATGTAGCCTCCCATTTCTTCAGCTGCTCTTCGTTGCGGAACCGAAGCGAGAATTGCTCAACCTCTCGTTCTTTGTACTCCACCAAAAGTGACCACAAGCCCGGAGTTGACTTATTGTGGACGCCCAGGATACGACTGGCATAGATTGTGCACTTTGATTGCAGACTTCCGCGTCTCTTCTTTTTGATGGAGAGAGTGGTTCCCTTTGTGAGGATGTTTTTGGATTCCTTGATGTATTTGCACATCAGGAGGGTCTTTTCAAACAAGAAACAGTGGAGCTCTCGGTCGCTTTCATTGATTGACACGATCATCTTGTCTTGAAGAAGCAAGTGTCCATAGGTTTCTATAGCCAGATCCTAAAATAAGAGATGATGATATTAATTATGGATCTTAAGATTGATAACAATGATTATAACAATGAGTATTATTATTATTACTATTATTATTATCATTATATAATTTAAATTGAGATGAGAGATGAAGTGCATTTAATTATAAATTTGATTAATCAATTAGTAATTTGCTTATAAATTCTTTACCTCTAAATCGCATACTCTCCGTTTGAGTTCTTCGACTGCTTGAACGTTTTCATGTTGACGCTGGGTCTCGTTAACTTTGTCAGCAACTCTTCGGATAGCCTCAAGAGCTTGTTCGGTCTCTTGGTAATATGCCCAATCTTTGCTGGTGCTTTTGAGTAGCTGTCCCAAGAGAAGGGGATATTTGCAGATACGCTGTATGGGTTTGATGAGAATCGATGGTAGTTCATAAATTGGGTTCAAGATGTCGGCTAGTTTTTGAAGTTTTGGCGCTTCTTGGACTACCAAGTATTGGGCAGAGAAATAGTTTGCGCAGTAGGGTTCGTATACTGCGAATGCATCTTCCATCTGAGTAAACAAGTATCCTACACGTTGTTCTTCGGGTGATTTCTCGACGATCTCCTCTAATTGGAATAGGAAGCGACGTTGAAAATCGACGAGTGAATTAAGATTGCCAAAGAGATAATGAACACAATCGGACGAAACGATATTTTGGGATTGTAATTCACGCATGTAATTCTACAATTGTGTGTATTGTGTATAATTTAAAGAGCAATATTATTATTATTTTTTATGTATATATATATAAATATACAAAATAGGATGAGTATCAATGATTTCAATTGGTAAGATTTTGTGCATAGAAATATAAATTCAAATAAAAAAATAATAAAGATAAAAATAAAAGGTGCAATATTATTATTATTATTATTATTATTATTATTATTATTAACTATTAGTTAACTGTTACTTTACCTGTAGTAATTCCATGTCCTGGACATATTTGCGCTCCGTTTCTATGAGTTCTAGGATAACTTTGTCACGTGTATCCTTAGGAGCATTAGGATCCGAGTTTCGATGAGAGGAATGGGCAGAGATGATACCCCGCTCTTCCAAGAGAAGAAGAAGTTTGCTGATAGTATTGACAACCTGATTATTGATATATCATATATATGAATTAATAAATAATTATCAGTATGTGCACAAGAAATTACAGTAATTTAAAAGAAAAGAAAAAAAAAATATGAAGAATTGAAAACCAATAGAATTGGTGCGACTACAAAAGAAAATGCCATGGTCTTTCTATGTAGTACGATATAAAGCGTGTGCGAACCCCATTCCGTTTTGCTCACGCCGTTCCCAGCATCAAAAATAATAATAGTAATAGTATTCAATGACATCCTGACTTGTAGCACAATAAAGAGCACAAATACAAGAAGAACAGAAAGAGTAACAATCAAGCAAAGACAATGAAAATAGTAATATACGTACATACGTACATACGTACATACGTACATACATATGCATAGAAATATAGAATTAAAGAAGATGCTATTCTATTGCTTTTAAAGAATATTGCTTTTTATACATCTAATATACTAGCTTAATGTACTTGCCCATACACACATGCACATGCACATGCACATATAAATATCCATATACATATACATATACATGTATGTGTACACAGCATAGAAATAAAATAAAAAATTAAAAAGAAAATTACCTTTACAAATCCATTGGTGTCGTCTTGGTAAAGATCGGAGATGGTAAAGACGTCTTCTTCAGTAAAAGCTAGCTGATTTCGGCAACCCACGAGAAAATGATATATACTCTTTTTGCATGTGTTTAGTGTGCTGTGAGTTGGATCAGCGTCTATATGGAGTGGTGTTTCTGGTGAGAGGACATTGAAGATGGTGCAAAGAGGTGATCCGAGACGGGCCATGGCCCACAATTTAGAAAGTGGATCTCCATTGGTGAGTGTAGGTGTCGAGGGCTCTGATGAGACTATGTTAAGTGCCGTAGTATCCATCTCGAGATAAGACATCATTCCTTCGACTGCAGAAAGTCTATTGAGAACTGAACAGCATGTATGGTAAAGGGAGGTGGTCTGGATTTGTTTTGTGGAATGAGATGGGAGAGGAATGTCGACAACTGAGATGACAGGTAGTGCAGGCAAGGCACCTAGCGAGGGGGTCCTTCGCTTTAAGGCCAAGGCGCTCATTTGTTGTAAAGACAGGCAAGAGAAGTAAAAGTAATAATAAAAAAAAAAGAAGAGGAAAAATAGAAGAATAAGAAATAAGGATTAGAATAAGCAGGAGAATATAATATAAAATAAAAAGGGAAAATTGGAGAGAAATAAAGGACTGAAGATGAATTCTTTAGGTGTAAATGTTAATCAGATTTTAATTTTTTTTTATTTTATTTTATATTTTATTTTATTTTATTTTATTTGGTATTAAATATACATTTATACAAAGTATATATACATATAAAATCTAATTATTTTAACGAAGCAAAAAAAAAAAAGGAGTCTTTATTTAGATGTGGTATTCATTAAAGAGGTAGTCTAAAAGTACACAATTCAATAGAAATTCTAATAGAGCTTAACAAATGGGCCTAATACAAATACAAGCTTTTCTATTATATATATATATATATATATATATATCTTTCTCTCTTGTGATTCATGATCGTTCCATTGTACTTTCTATTGCTGTACCTTGCTTCTGATTGAACAAGAAAAAGGTTGCTGTAAATGTCGTTTTTGTATTTATTTATTTATACATTTTATTTTGGGTTTGTTAAGCACAGTCCAGACAAGCCATTATAAAATAAAATAAAATAAAATAAGTTTTGTATACCCTAATTCAAAAGGGAAACAAAAAATCGATCTTCATTTTGGAAGGGAGAACGGGGGGTTACCCAGGCCTAACCGAGAACTCCGTCCCTGGCAAACCCGATCCTTCACAATCCTCTAGTACTGGACTATTTCCATGTCCTCTTTCTACATATATTCCCCCTTTTTGCTTGTCTGATTCTAGTCAATAGGGTCCCAAGCCCCCATAATCTATTCTACCCAGCCCAATAACACCATACAAGACGCCAATCTTTTTCTTTTCTTTTGAATATCAAACAAATCACAATAAAGCACTCAAAAACCAATCATTTTATTCAAATTTTGCGTAACTTGCATTAATTTTCAAAGATATATATATATTTTATATATATAAAGCAACCCAACCCAACCCAAGCCAAACCAAACCAAACCAAACCAAACCAAAGCAAAATAATCACTAATAGATTATCAATCACTGTACAGTTCTTAATACTGTATATATATATTATTTTATTTTATTTTATTTTAAATATATATATATATAATAATGTAATGTTACACTTATCTTTAAGGGCAGCCAACTAAAATAATAATAGTAATACTAGTAATACTAGTCATAGTAGTCATAGTAATAGCGTTAAGAATAAAGAATACATTTCATTCATACCCTCCATGCTTCAATAAGAATAATAATTGACCTCTTCAATTATCTATAAAAACCATAAGAAAACATCAAAATGTATATATAAAGAAATAAATTATAGAATTTTTTATTATTATTTCCAATCACAACAGTTACGGTTTGTACGGCAATTTATGATTGGACTTTGTAGCTGTTAATTCTCGGTATTTATCACAAGTTACTAATTATATGAACCATAAGAATAAAAACCAATATATTAATATCAAGTAAGTAGTAATGATACCAAAAGATTTATGGACAGCTGATCTTTCTTTCTTTCTTTAAATATTATTATTATAACCATTTCGTTTCTTTACTAAACTTCTTGTACCTAATGGTTTCCTTATCAATTTGGATTTCATACACAGGTTACACTCAAATTACAAAGAGTCCCAAATACATTATAAACTAATCAAAAACACAAACCAGAAAACAATAAAAAATAATAATGTCTGTCTATATTTCCACTTTACACAATAAATTAAAGAATAAATATGTATACAGGTTATATGAAATTCTCATGTTAATTCCATATAATTCTTTCTCTTTCCTTTTATAATAATAATATTAATAATAAGAACATCTTAATAACAGAGATCATAAGGGACCAACGTTTTCTGATGGGACACGACGTTTCCATCTAACCAGACTAATTCATTCTGACTACCTATCCAGGGCCGGGTGTCTCTCTCTAACCCTTCAGGGCTAAATGGCGTGTCCTAAACAATATAAAATATTAAATTCAATTATTAAAGACTTTGTAGCGTAATCTTGTTGAATATTTTACTATTTATTAGCCCTTCTCACGCATTTGAAGTATTTTCTCTTTCTTTCACCTACTTGTATTACCAGAGCTTAAAAGCACCCACATCTCACTTTTTTTCCCCAAAGAACAAAAGAAAGTATTGATACGAATATTCTATATCCTTAGGGACCAGATATAATTAGTCTATGTCAGTAAAAAAAAAAAAAAAAGAAAAAAAGTCGCAACTTGCGGGCTGGGAGAATCGAAATGTCGTGTCCCGTAGGATAGCTGATAATAAATTTATTCTGATCAACGATGGAGCTCACAGGCTCAGGACCACCACTCTCATCAACAACATTTCCATGCCCATCTTCATATAAAAGTATTGGAGTCATGTCAAATTGTTATGTCATTAAAAACACAAAACCCTGAAAAAAAAAGAAGAAAGAATGCTCGTTCTCCTTTTATATTTTTCGAGTGCCAAGATTTCTAAGCAGGCGACGTTGATTCTAAAGATACGACATCCATTACTGAAAATAAGACATTGATTTTGATTGGTCTATTATATAGATTTTAATTGGCTGTGATATTGCTTGTTGGATTCACTGTATAAAATAGAAAATATAATATATATATATATATATATATTATTCGTGAGAAATCCAAGTGGGATTTCACACTTTTTTCATAAATGTATATATGCACGTTTAATTATCGGCATATGCTTCAATGCTGGATCTCCACTCTTTTCCCAGGCGACCAATCGATAATGACCCGGCGAATCCTTGCCCAATATTGTAATTGAACGGTGTATTCCTTTGCGAGCTCATAATCTCCCTTGCCAAATGCTCCCGAGATATGTTGAACAGCCTCACGGTACTTTTCTAATTTAACAATATTAATATTAATATTAATATTAATGTGTACGTACGTACGTACGTATGTGTATGTGTATGTGTATGTAGGGTTTTCTTTTTCTTTTTCTTTTTCTAAACTTACCATCATTAACCTTCTTGAGTCTTGCTACATCTTCCTCAGTCTCTGCCTCCTCCAGTTCCTCACGGAATTCCATTACGTCCATCAAAAGTTCAGGGTCCTGAAGGGATTCCGACTCACTCACCTGCTTACCCTTGAGGGACAGCATATAGTGTGCGCGCACAAGAGGGTCCAACAGTGTATTGTAGGCTTTGTTGATCACAGAAGATTGGGTTTGGGCCAGGGAATATTCGTGCTATTTAAGTTTAACACACAATTCCTTGATCTCCCCCCTCTTTTTTCTTTTCTTTCTTTCTTTCTTTCTTTCCTTTTCTTCCATTGATTATGTAATTTAATTTTACTTGATTAAAAAAGAAATTTACCTTTGATGCCTGAGAATAACTATCTGGGTGTGCCTTTTGCTGCAATCGCAAAAACTTCATTCTCAAGGCTTTGGTGTCTACGTCGAATGTTGGCTCATCACTAATATCATCCACCCACCCACACAAAAAAGGATAAAGAAAAGAGTACATTTATTAATTTGTTTATCATTATCATTACCATTTTTATTCATTCTATCATTTTCTTCTAAACAACCAAGCAAAAAAAAACATGGAAAACTTACTGGTTAGGTCCCTTTCCTACATGGAGTAATCTAAAGAAATTAATGTCAGAAGGCACAGGCTGAATCGCCCCACAATCTTCATTGTCACAATGAAGATCAACATTAGGAACAGGCGCCTCGCACTTCCAACATGTTTTGTGGTTGTCATGATGTGCCGCATACCACATGGGCCGACTGGCAGTTGTCATTGTACGCATCGAAAGCCTGGGATAGGTTATTGGCACACTTTGACCAAGTTTTCTCGAAAGGTTCACCCGGGTGGTGAAAGTACGGGTGCATGCCAATATAATACTTCTTGAACGCAACAGCATTTTCTTTATGTTGTATTAAAGCTTATTGTTTAATAATCCAAAAAAAAAAAAAGATTCAAGCTAAAATATTAGCGGGGTAGTTTTTTTTTCTTCTATATATAATATATTAATCTTTTGGGATTAATGACGCAACAGATGTTTCTCTTATTAGAAAAAAAAAAGAGTGCATATTTTATTCATCAGATACTAATAATAATAATAATAAAGAAGCGCATTTCATACAAGCATTATGGCGCTAAAAAGACGAATAAGAAAAAGGATAAAGAAAAATAAAATAAAATAAAATAAAATAAAAAGATATAAAAAAAATTGTGCCTAAAGACTTGTGCGTTGTTGTTATCCGTGTTGTGTGTGATTGATTGTGTGTATGTGTGTGATTTTTCTTTTTTGGTTATTAATTACTGCTTGCCTTGTTTTTAAACAAGTCATGTGTAGGATTCTTGGAAATTATTGGGTAAAGCGGTTCATCATGTCCTTGATGCGGTTACCAGGAGACTTGGTACGGAGATCTTTGATAGCAGGGGAAGTAGAAGTACGTCCTCCAACCTCAACATGTGCAGGTCCAAAATGCTCAAACTTGTTGCGAAGTTGGGAAATCTCGGGGGTCTGACCACGGAGAGAAGAAGCAGTGTTGGACTCGGCGGAGATCTGCTCAACACTCTTCTCAACCTTGATGGTCTCAGACTGAGTAATTGCAGCAACCTCATCATCATGTACGTCGCTAGATTCCTCCTCATGCTCTTCGTGCTCTTCGTGTTCTTCGTGTTCTTCATGTTCTTCATGCTCTTCATGCTCCTCGTGAGAAGCCTCTGCGCTAAGACTACCCTCAGGAGTAACAGACTCAGTCGCAGTCACAGAAACCTCATCCTCAGTCACAGTATGCTCAGAGTGAGTTTGTTCGTCAATGCTCTCGCCGCTTACACCGTCCTCATCGGTGTGGGTACACGATGTTGTGGTAGTGGTAACAGGGCTAGGAGTTCCTTCTCTCTCCTTTCCAGCAGAGCTGGTGGTTTCGTTACTCAAGTCAGAGTGCCCAGTTTTCTTCACAGAGAGTTTCTTTCCAGTCTTGTCAGCAGCTGGCTTCTCAACCTTGCGAGTTCTTGTTGTAGGCACACCTGTAGTAGAGCGCACAGATGACTTGACAGTAGTTGCACCATGTGCTGGGACGCGTGGTGCTTTTGTTGCAGCAGGTTCAGTGGCCGATGGGGCCTTCTGGAAACACAAATTACACAGTGAGTTATTATTACTATTATTATTATTATCGTTTTTGGAAGAAAGGAATAAAAAAAAGTGCATATACGTAATTGTATTTATATTTACCTTTGCTCCAGTAGCAGGAACACGGCGCACAACACGTTTAGGCGCATCAGTGGATGCCTTGACTTCTTTGTCAGCAGTCGAGACTCGAGTAGTACGAACAGTGGCAACAGGCTTTTTAGCAGCTGAAGCAGTAGCTGACTTTACTGTATCAATAGTGCTGCTGGGACTGGTGCGCTTGGTAGAGCCAGTGGAGGCAACTGAAGAAGCAGTTGGACTCTTTCTCACAATACGGGTGGCCTTGACAGGTGCCTTATTTGCCTCGGCTGCCTCGGCCGCTTGTTTACGAGCACTTGCGGCAGTAGGAGCTGTCAAACGAGACACAAGTGGCTTGGCAACGGGCTTCTTGGCCTTTTCATCCGCCTTTTCCTCTGTCTTGGTAACTGTCTTTTTGGCTAAACCGGCTACACGAGGAACACGAGCCGTTTTTGTGGCGGTAGTACCAGTGGCAGGCTTCTTACCATGTTCGGTATCTTCCGAAGCCTTTGCATGGTGTGCATCACCAACGACACGCTTGGTCACAGTTGCACGAGCAATTCCAGTAGGAGAGGTCTTGTTTCTCAAAGGAGTCTTACCGTGGGGCTTGTCTGCAGAGTCTTCCTTCTTTCCAGCAGAAGAATCATGGGAGGCAGTCAAGCCAGCAGGTCTGGTTTTGTGTACAGCAGTAGTCTTAACAGTAGTGCCATGGGTGCCATGATGAAGAGGAGAGCGGGAAGGAGACTTGGGCTTGATCTCCTTGTTACCATGAGCAACAACAGTCTTCTTCACTGTATGCTTGGGCACTGCGTCTCCATGTTCAGTGTGTTCTTTATGTTCGAGCTTGGTGGCAACTGCTTCCGTGTCTTGCTTCTTAATTTCATTCTCAGTTACTTCTGCCTCAATTTGAACTTCAGAAGTCTCGGCAATAGGTTCTTGATTGTCTTCGACAACTTCTTTGGTGACAGTAGCTTGAATCTGGACAGGCGTGTCATCTTCTTTTGCTTCAGACGTGGCTGCTTCCTTGACCTCAGATTCAATCTTCAAAGCTTCAATCTGGATTTCAGGTGTGACTTCGGCCTTGAGAACTTCTTCCTTGGTTTCTTCCTTGACCTCAGTCTCGGCAACCTTCTCCTCGACTTCAGCCTTGACGGCTTCATTCTTGACCTCAGACTTGATTACTTCATCCTCAGATTCAGCCTTGGTGTCTTCTTTAATTTCAGACTTGATTTCTTCCTTGGTTTCGGCCTTGGAATCCTCTTTGACCTCGGTCTTTGTCTCAGTCTTGGTGGTTTCAATATGAACCTCCGTCACCTCTTCAGCTTTGGAATCATTGGTCTTGCCTTCTTCCTTCTTTTCATCAGCCTTAATTACGTCAGCCTCAATCTGAACTTCTTCAGATTTGGAAGTATCAGACTTTGCCTCGGCCTTGATGTCAACGTCTTCAGACTTGGTTTCATCTTTAGCTTCGGCTTCAACCTTGTCATCCTCCTTGTTAGCTTCATCATCAACTGTTTCAGCACGTGTTTCAACCTTTGCCTCAACTTGCGAGTCAAAGGACTTGTTGATTGCAGCTAACTTGGTGCTCACGCTCTTATTCTTAGAAAGATCAATAGCCTCAAGGTTCTTCTTGGAGGGAACAGCAAAGGCATTCTGGTCAATTTTTTCTTTGAACATGTTGGCTCTTTGTTTCACAGATCCTCCAAGAGACACGCGTGGTTTGTGACTAACTTCAACCTTTGTTTGTGTAGTTTGGAACTCGTGAGCACCGGTGTGTTGATGGACTGGTGCGCGCTGGAAAATGCTGAGCTTTTCCGAGACAGGGGCATGAGTTGCAAGAGCAATGTTTTCAGTGACAACAACGGGAAGAGGAGTAGTGACAGTCTTGGGGAGAGATTCTTTAATAACATCTGGGACCTCAGTTACAGGTTCATTTCCAGTAGCAGAAATTGTCTCGGCAACATCAGTCTCGGCAACAGTAGTCTCTGCAACATTAGTCTCTGCAACAGAAACTTCTGCAGAAGTAGTCTCGGCAACACTAGTCTCGGCAACAATAGCATTGGAGCTGCTAGTCTCGGTTAGAGTACCATCGGCAACACTAATATCGGTTACAGCGGTCTCTTGCTCGGAAGTCGTTGTGAAATCAGCAGTGTCAACAGTTGCAGTTACAGTAGTAGTCGTGCTCGTAGTTGTAGCAGATGTAAGGATAGAGTCCTCAGTTACAGTAGTTTGCTCGACATTAGAATCAATAGAGGTAGTACTGTCACTTTCGTCAATCTTAGTTTCCTCGGTAACGAGTTTATCGTCTTTAGTAGTCTCAACTTCATGGGAAACAACAGCGGGTGAAGTGATATCAGACATAGGCTTTGGTGAAGAATCCATAACAGAAAGCTCATGAACTTCCTCTTCAGACTCGGTAACCACCTTTGTAGCATCTTCATGTTTGACAACCTCAATATCATTGTGTTCAACCTCGCACACAATTTCTTCTGTAATTCCGGTATCTTCCTTGAATGTCAGGGCATCTTTTTCAATTGATTGAATATCTTCATTTTCGGCATAAGTCTTTTCGACGGTAGCATGCGTATCTTCGACTAATACAACGTTTTTGCTGTGATCAATAATATCTTGAGCCTTGTTGAGGTTGACCTCAGAATCTTCTTTGGCGGACTGAGTCTCTTCAACTACAGAGTGAACTTCTGTATCGACTGTATCAGTTTCATCTTTAATGGCCTTAAGGTCCACCTCGACTGTCAGGGTATCTTCTTTAATAATCTGAGTTTCTTTCTTGTCGTCCTCCAAATCGATTTCAAATACCAAAGTTTCCTCCTTTATTGTTTTGTCTTCTTTTTTAATATCGTCTAGGTTGACTTCAGCAGCAGAAGTATCTTCCTTGGTAACAGATGTCTCTTCATTGGTATCTTTATGAGTAACATCAGCATCGGAGTTTTTCTCGACAGTATTAATGTCTACTTCGACCGTCAAGGTCTGGTCTTTGACAGCTCGGGTATCTTCTTTAATGCTCTTAAGATCAACCTCGATTGTTAAAGTCTCGTCTTCTACGACCTGAGTCGTTTCTTTTGTATCTTCAAGATCAAGCTCAACAGTTACAGTCTCGTCTTCTATAACCTGAGATGATTCTTCTGTATCTTCAAGATCAAGCTCGATTGACGAATAATCATTTTTAGTATCCTTGGCTTCATCAGAATACACCTCGACACTAGAAAGCTCTTCTTTGAGGGTGTTGGTATCTTTTTCGGTATCTTCAGAAACTAGCTCGACGGTATGTGTCTGTTCTTTGATATTCTGGGTCTTTTCCTCTGTAGTCTCAAGATTAAATTCGGCAGTCGAGACTTCTTCGGTAATAACCTGAATCTTTTCCTCATCTCCCTGAACTTCCTTTACAGAGGTCTGAAGTTCAACCTTGACGGGAAAAAATTCTTCGGTGACAATATGAGACTCCACCTTTGTTTGAACGTCGGCTGTCAAAGTCTCTTCAAGAGTGGCGCGAGTGTTTTCTTTGTTGGCCTGGGTCTTTTCTGTCTCAGTCTGGGCTTCTATCTGGATTGTAGAATCATCAGCTGCATTTACAAGAGTCTCTTCTATAACGGCCTGAACTTCTTTTTGCTCAGAATGGGCACCAATGGTTTCAGCAATCGATTTTTCCTCGACAGCATTGACTTCAGTCTGGGTGACGAATTTAACTGTTGAAATCTCTTTCTCAATGGTGTGATGATAATCATCATTTTTGATTATCTGGGTATCTTCTACTGCTGTTTGAATTTCTGTCTTGATTGGCAAAATTTCCTTGACCTTGGTCTGGGCACCTTCCTTGAGTTCCAAAATTTGTTCATCATTAATAGCAACATCTTTTTCGTCATTGTAAACGATTTCGCCTAAAGAAGCGTGGGTCTCTTTTTCTTCAACAGTAAAAGACTTATAGACCTTGGTCTCTGTCATCCCACTGATTGTCTCATCCTCCAGATCTAGCTCAAGCTCCTCAAGCTCCTCAAGCTCCTCAAGCTCCTCAAGCTCCTCAAGCTCCTCTGTTTCTTCATCTAATTCAACCTCGGTTTCTTGGGTGATTGTCTTGGTTGTCAGACTGATGTTTTCAGTATGCTCGACCTGTTTTGTTTCGGATTCGGATTCGAAGGAGAAAATGATGTCGATCTCGCGTTCAGCGCTAGTTAAACAGTCGCTGCCGTGGGCTGCATTATGTAGGCCATCTGTGCCAAAGAGTGCACGAATACTATAAATAGGTTGTTATGAACCACCAAATAGGACAAGAGCCTAAAAGCGCAGGACTTGCCAGTTAGGATCAATCTCGCTTGCTTTCTTGGAGTCTGTTGGGCCCATAAGCTCTCTCCAGGCTTGGACTGCATTTTCCTTCTCAAGCACCATGGCGTAAACAGGGCCACTAATAAGATATAGTTATGTATGAGTTGCTTCTGCATTTCAGAAATAAATAAAAGCACATTCTGCATGCACGCACGCATATATGCAGCAAGATGTGTATGTAAGCAAAGTCTACCGCCATCCCTCGTCAAGATTCTAAAAAAAAGGGTGAATCGTATGTTTACCTGCTCATAAGGTTAACTAAATCATTATAGAAAGGCTTGCTTTCATGCTCGCGATAGAATAGACGGGCCTGGTCTACAGAGAGGTGGATTTCACGTTCTTTGACGATCTTAAATCCAGCGTCAATAATCATGGAAATCATAGCCTCCTGTTTGCATGCAGTTACTGTCACGTCAGGCTTAATCAATGCCAGTGTCTGTTGGACAGCAACAGGCAAGTTGTGAGCCGATTCGACGTGGTCAGAGACCAGTTCAACCTTGTTAATAACTTGAACAGTAACCTCTTGTGCTGTAGACGATTCAACAAGCTCTTCAGGTAAGAGAGCATCGAACGCCTTGATAGTTCTAGTAGCAGATTCTTCTTCTTTTGACACCTCAACAGTGGTGTGGCTGCTTTGAGTATCCTTTGACTTGATACATTCATCCTCCGCTGTAGATTTAGGTTCCTCAATATATTTCTCGGAGGATGACTCGGACTCGGTCCGTGTGTCTTGCAAGGGACCATCGTCTTTGACGGCGACGGCTGGACACTCTTCCAGATCAAGCTTTGGAAGCTGGGGAGTGGTTTTTAGGGTATCCTCAGGAGTATCTACAAAGAAAACCGCGGTAATAAGACAATTGAACTCCTCTGGACCAATAACAATAAGTACCTGTATAAACCTGTGCTGAACCTTGCTCCTGATGATGAGGTGAGTAAGTGTGATTGAGATGACTAATAAAATTATTGGGGCTTACTTTGTTGTAAGCTTCTGGCTCGGTTTGTGTCATTAGGTGGGAATATGTTGCCTATATAAAATTAAGAGAAAAGGAGAAAGAAAGAATAGTAAAAAAAACAAGATTGATTAGACTGGCCAAACAGATTTTGCTAGACCACCCAAATGCAACAATAATAAAGTTTCGTTACTTTCGTGACGTATCACCCTACAGTGTGGCACCACGCGCTGCCATTTTCCAAGGCCAGCTTACCAGCCATCCTTTATACTTTTGTCTTGTGCAATAGAGCAAAATATTTGCCGTTTTATATACACATTATATAAGAAACCTGAAAAGTGTTTATAAGAGGCAATATATATCTACACCTTTAATAACCCAAAGATTCTTTAATAAGGTGGCTGTCCCAATTTTTATTTTTTAAATTTTATTGAAAAACTGATTGATCCTTATTCCTCGTGCCATTTATCTTAAAAACGGAACTATCCAATCAGTTGTCTCCATGTTTATATGTGGTTCGATCCAAGGTATACCAATGGTGACCATAGTATTATTGTTGCCTTTATCAGAACAATCATGGTAAATTGGCAGCTCTTCATTATTATTATTATTAGTATAATTGTTATTGCTATTGTTATTATTTTTATTCATTTATATATATATATATATGTATGTATGTATATTTATATCAAAGACAAACATATATTAAAAAAAGGGTAATCTATCGATTTTTCTGGTAAGGTCCAACGCGTTCGCGCTCTTTTTTGACACGAACATCCATATTACGATCCTTCCAATTACTCTTGCGTAGTTTTATAGGACGGTTTCCAACATATTTTCCTATAAGATATATATATATATATAAAAGTAAGAAATAAGTCGCCTACAGATACCTCTATATATCTTTATGCTCTTACCGTTCATTTCTCTCCACGCCTTTACAAACTCATTAGGATCCTTAAGACTGATAAATCCATAACCTCTGGATTTGCCAGTTCTCTTGTCCCGCACAATGCGAGTACGCTGCAGGCTCGAGTACTTTGAAAATGCTTTAAAAAGTAATTCTTCGGTAACTTCATTACCAAGATCGCCTGCAAAAAGTCTGTAGTCGTTGTCGTCCCAATCAGCTAAACTAGGATCTTCCCACACCTCGCCACCTGCTGCACGGACAAGTGACTTTTTTTTGCCTTTCTTTCGAGCCTCTTCGGCTACCGACGCAGGTGTAGAACTTGCAGGGCGAGGTCCTGTATATCCTGACGTTGATACAGGTAGCATAAATGCGCTTGAAGATGCGTTATTCGCCCCAGTTCCAGCAGAGGGTTGATAAGAAGAAGTGGGTTGATATGAGGAGACAGGTGCGTATTTTCCGACTGGATTAGAGGCTGTAGGTGTAGGATCACTTGCAGCAGCAGCATTAGGATCAACCGAGCCGTAATACTGGGAGTAGTAACTGGGATCGTAGTAGTATTGAGATGCATCGTAGTTGTAACCACTTGCATCAGCTCCCATAGCTGCATAACCATTTGTGCTGTAATCATAGCCTGAATAATATGCTTGGTTAGCATCGTAGTAGGCAGATCCATCGATTCCAGATCCATCTACTCCTCCAGAATTAGCAGCATTAGAGCTAGATTCTCCACTTGGCATTAAAGAAAGGTTTATGTGTAAAGCTTGAACAAAGGCAAGCCAGGCACTGGAGTCTTTCTTTTTACATGCAGATTATACTGTTTTGCGTAAGATTCTCCGCTTCTTAAAAATTGTTTTTCCTTTGCTAAAATAAGTCACGTGAATATATATTTACAGCTGTCAGTTTTGTTATTTATGCATTAAAATTTAGATGGTTTTCGGTTCATTATAGCGATTGTAGTACTGTTTGTGTATGTGTTTTTACTTAAGATTGAGACGAATTAAATGTAATTTTTAGACGTAGAGAAAAGAAGTTGAGATGAAGAATTTTCAGTCTCTTTATAGCCAGATAAATGTTCTTTTTGTAGTACTTTACCTCTAATAACCTGAATCCCAAATGGGAAAACCGTTTTCGATACGCTGATTACATTAGGGGGTTTCACCAGCTTTGGATGTTGACTGTTGGATATAGCGGTAGTTTAAGCACCAGCCAATAATAATAAGTATCGAAAAAAGACTGGTGAAACCCCCTAATGACCCTTGGTTGATATGTTTTCTCTCATATACGTCAAAATTCATATGTACAATACGCTTGATTAGAGTACCCATAAATATAGTGCCTATGCCCAATTTCCTCACAAGTAAGTTAGACTTCTATAATTTGGTATCAAGATAACTACTTTTATATAGATTAATTATGTTTTATTTTTGACTTTGCTTCTATATGAACTTCGCCATCAATCGTACATAAAGTACAAAATTTACAAAATTTCGGCTAAGTCACGACATCTAGAGTATCGAACTATTTTTTTAGATGCTTGGATGCTCGTTTTTCACTTTTTGAAGATTCGTCACAGCCAATCATTTTCCGAATTAAACTACCGCTATATCCAACAGTCAACATTCATAGCTGGTGAAACCCCCTATTGTAGGAATTGGCAGCATTTTTTAGAGCTCCGGGTGCGTAACAAAAAGTTTCCCATGAGTAACTTTTATAGCCAATAACATGCCAGATTTAAGTCTCTTAGTTTTACTTTTTGGCAGGTATGATTTATGAAATTTCAGCTTATTTTTGCATCTAATCCAATAAAATATTCGAAGTATAGAGAATCTATACATTTTTTTAGGTATATCTATTCTTCATAATTGGTTCAACAAATGCACGATGTTTTATATTGGAATTTTATGGTTTTTATTGATCAAAATAATGGAAGTTAAACATAAAGAAGTATGCAAAGAAGAAGTACTAATTTTTATGATATTTGGTAGCAGTTTAAGCTATAAATTTGATATATGATATACGTACATGTATTATTCTCTAAATACTATGGTATTGCTGAAGATATGCATATTGCTTAATTGATTCTTTTTATCAAAGAGTATACCCCTTTTCTGTGTTGATATTGCTACGTCTGATTCCTATTTTGAAAAATCAGAATACAGATTCCCTGTGATTAACTGGATCAATTATTTCTAATGAGCATATGGATAATCTTGACGACCAAACTGTACATTATAAAAATATCTTTTATCAACTTCACTGGCTTATATTTTATCAATACTAGCCTTGATAACTATTAAGCGCGTTTCTTTTAGACATCTTTAACATTTTAGGCCTTTTATCGCTAGGATACAACCAAGGTACCGCTGGTAAGCTATTAGATTTGGATGATTTTATTGTCTTTAATTCCTGTACTGGGTTGAAGAAGTTGGGAAAAGGATGTTTTGCATTGACTGCAAAAATATGGGGGCGTAAAAAGCGGGATATATATAAAAGAGAGAGAAATTGGTGCTTAATTAAAATTCAACTATAAGACACTTTAAACGCTGGAAACTTGCAACAATTCACTAAAATCGTCTTTTTTTTTTCTATAGGGTATTCTTTATTCTTATACTCCCTTTTCTAAGAACCCTATCTCTAAACACTGCCAAAGGGACCTTCTTATTGTCTTCAGTAAACTTTATGTTTCTCTCTTATTTCTTTCTATATCAATAAGAGTCAATATATTAGTGGCATATAGATGCATTTGCTTCGAATAAGATTTTTTTGTTCTTTTGGAAATTGACTTGATTGGGGTAGCTTGAAGAATCTTTGCTCAAAAATTTATTCCTTGCTTTCAATGGATACTTTCTTGAGCAAATCTCGAGAAATCTACAAAAACAGAATAAAAAGGCTCTGATATACAATACTTTTATCGAAGCTGTCCAGCCAGTGTGGACAGACTAAAAGTTCAAAAAAATGGCAAAAAAAGGCAAATGTCTTAATCAATTCTGAGTGGCCAATCTTCTTTTATTATCATTTGGGTTGAGAAGAAGAGCATGGTTTTGATGAAAACTGTGTGCTATAGGGTACAAGGTTTAGAAAAACTCGTATCAGAATATTATAACTTGATGACAGATACGGTATTATAAGCACATTTTTACCCAATATGTACTTTGACTAATTTTGAACATTTTTTGTAAAAAAAGGTGTGGACAGTCATAAATTAGTCTGATTGACTAAGTTAAGGATGAACTTGTTTTACCCTTTTTTTGCCCTTTCTTTCGAACCTTTAGTCTGTCCACACCAATTACATTAAAAACTGAAAAGGGAGAAAAATAATTAAAAAACGAAATGGACTACTTTATCAAATGACATGTCTGTACATGGAAACAGAGAAAATGCATCTTAAATGTAAATGTTGGCAATATTGTCGTATAGTGATCCCTTGATAATTCCAAGGCCAAAAATTATTGTGGAAGTGAAATTAACAAGAATCGTGGAAGTTTAGCCCTGTTTTTAGAAGGGGGTCCGCCAGAACCTTGAAATTATTGAAGAGTGAAATTAAAGGGGATTGAAATTATCGAGGGACGACTGTATTATAAGCTATTATTCTCAGATAACTTCCATATTGAGGCAATAGAGAAGCTGAGACAAGTTCAAGGGAGTAAATTTATTGTAATTGAAGGGTACGTTTTTGAGGTTCATGGTCAATCAAATCCAAGCCTCTAACTTCTTTGGACAAATATAGGTTCACCCAGTTAGGACTACAAAAATCAAAGAATAAGAAAGTACGACAATATTTCTTCACAGCGTTTGAGAATCGTTTGTCTATTTGAAGGAAATACAAGTTGTGTCATAGTACACCGAGAAGCAATGAATTGAGTATTACCCTCTTTTCCTTGAAAAGAGAAATGCATTAGGGCCAGAGATTGAGCACTTTGCTGGATATTGCTAAATATTCTCTGCCGGAACACCTTAAATTAGCGTGGATGGGAGTATAATTAGAAATAAGGCACCGAAAAGCGTTGGCTAATATTACAGTAAACTTGTCTATTGTTTTCAACTTATATGAGATAATAGGCTGTCGTGTGCAAGTCTATAGATGCACATAGAAAATGCTCAAAAATCAGAAAACTTGCCGAGCAATCAGTGATAAATCTTTCATTCAATTGCTCCTTTAGTAAGAAACAGTGAGTATAACGTTATTTATTCAGATCGATGCTGAAAAAAAAACTATATTAATTACTTCTTTTTCTTTTTGAAAAGCTTACCTTTTGATTCATCACTTCAAATAACCATAGTTTATATATGGTTTTTCGAATCATGCTCATGGAATTATATGATAATGCATTTCCACTTTATATAAGGGTTTATCAATTGTTATTTTTACAAAAAAAAAGAGCTTATTTTCTCTCAATAATCCCTACCCAAAGTATGCCGACAAGAATGTATCAGCAATTTTCTTCATTAATAAAAAGGATAAATCAATTCTCTGTTCTGTTTATGCGTAAGTAGTGATGTAGTTCAGAAAATCTTATTTTCAGACACTATATTAATTGTCCTGTGAATAAGTTTTTCTTTTTAAAATATTTTTGAATCTTTATACATTGAGCCGCACTTTTTATGACTGTAATATAAGTTATTAATATTCTTTACTTTTGTGTAGGGTAATTATACTGTGTTTTTTTGGACCCTTTGTTCTTTTTTAGTATGGACGAGAAATAGAGCCGTGCCGTACATTTGATGATACATAAAATTCTAATTAAATTTTGGCTTCAAAGAGAAACATGATGTGAAGTATTGAGGATGTTGAGCAATACTTTACACACTTTATACTCACCGTATTTTTCTCAGGTACTTTTTCTTTTTTTTTTTGAAAAGAAAAGAAAGAAGTTGATTCAATTGTGTTGTAAGAAGAATCAAAATGAAATCAGTTTATATGTATCTCCCTTGATGGTAAGATAACCATAATTAGTAAAGTTATAATGTATTATATCAGCTATAAAAACCCTTGAATATATCCATATATATACGTATATTCATTCAGATATTATATTGTATAAATCATTAAAATAACTATCGATTTAATTCCCTTTTATACCTGTTCGTGTTTGGCACCCATTCAAAGCTTTCGGCATGTTCTTCGTGACTGTCATCCTTGACGACCATGTCTTGGACAGTCTTCATCTCACCACTCTCATATCCTTAAACTCCGCAAAGTTCTCGCTTTTATTTCATCTTTTTTGTAGCTACGTTATCCTTTTATTGTGTATTAACCTTCTCGATTCCAACCGGAAACATTGTAATTAATTTTCAATGGTTCAATACCTCATCGCAGTGTGGGATTACACCGCAGAGGGCGAGTTTGAGCTTTCATTTAAACAAGGAGAAAGAATAAAGCTTCTTGAGAAACACAATGACGACTGGTAATGCTAGGACAATCTGCGTTCCTGCTACAGCGTGCTTATTTGCCAATACCTTTTTTAGGTGGGAAGGTACCGAGGCATTCTCCATTCCAGTCTGGGTTTCCTTACAATGAGCTCTTATTATTTAGGAGAACTGAATGATGAGATTGGATTTTTTCCTGCAAACAGAATTCGGCTAGAAACCGATCAAGACGTTAAACGTAAGAATCGAATTCCCAGGCCATTACTAATGTCCTTGTATAGAAAATTCTGGGCTGGTTAAAGACCAACCTTTGCGGGAAATATCACACGAGGTATTTATTCTTGCATGTAGACTAGCCCCTCATAAATACACTAATTAATCTTATTCAAAACTGACAGCAACAGACATCGCGTGGGGATGTTAGCTTGCCACGAGTTGTTAAATCAGTACACGAGAGTAAAATTACACACCTAAGCCCAGACTACTCATTAACTGGACAACGACCTCAAAGTTTTCCTTTCACAAACCTTGGAATATCTAGCCAACCTTTTGAAAAAGCAACACACTCTTTGGATACTCCGCCTGCATTGGAGTACCGATCGAGGGAGTCCTCTAATAAGGGCCGAGGAATTAGTTTCCATGGAAGTGCAAGTTTCGATCAAGAACCTCTTATTATATCTACCTCTGATGTAGCACCATCAAAAGAACAAGTACAGCAAACATCATACAATTCTGATACACTCCCAGAAGGATGGGAGCATGCTTATGGTGAGTTTGTGTATTTAAAAATAGGCATCAAAACAAAGAAGCAATAGCATGGAAATGTTTGAATATCTTTTATTTTTATTTTTATATAAAAAAAAGACAATGAGGGAACAATTTACTACTTTAATGAACATACCGGGGAGTCTCGCTGGGAAAGACCAGTGAATGTACAAAGTTCCTCTGGTAGTCGAGCCTTTGTCCCAGAAAAAGAAGAAAACGCACTAGCAAGCAAGCTTGACAATATGTTACTCTCACCAACCACCGGAGATGATTTTGGCATGGTGACCAACTTCCAAAAATTAAAACCTTCTGAATTAAAGCAACTGGTAAGCTAAAATTTATTAATAGACATGTGTATATCTCGAATGGAGATTTATATTCTTGTATGGGCACAAGGAATTGGATCAGTTGCACTCAGAATGGATCCGGCACCAAGGATTTGTCCAAATGAAAATGCGAGCTGAGAAGGAAGATGGTGGAAAACTAAGTTCCTGGAAGATGTACTATGCTGTTCTCTCCAATGGATTCTTGTTGTTATACAAAGATAGTTACTCAAAGGGAAAGGTAAATAGATCTCAAATATGGAATATTACAATTATTATCATTATTATTTTTGTAATCGTGGATGTCTTAGAAACCAGCAAAACCATTGGTGCCAGTAGGCGGATTTGATTTGGACTCTTGTCATATAGATCCAGCAAATAAACACGATACCCGAAGAAAGCATGTATTTACAATCACTACTGAGAAGAAAGTCAAGATATATATCCAAGCTTCCCATGAGAAAGAGTTTTCTACTTGGCTGGATACAATCATGCGAGATTTGATTACGAGGAGAGAAGGCCAAAAAGAGGTGACGGGCTTGTGTGCAACTTTTTTTTTCTTTAATTTAACCTATTTTTTTATTGACTAAAATATAGGAGTCTGGTAAGTTCTATAAGCGAAATATTTTTTATTTGGGCCTTTACTAAATAATCATTCACGAGAACACTATAGATATTATTCGATTGTTGAGAATGCTGACATCTGATTCGAACCAACTAAAGGTCAATCGAAAAATGGAAACAGGGAAAGGTATTATAGTGTAGAAATATTACAAGAAATAATCTGATGACAATAAAGCTCAAACAAAGTATACAGAAACAGATGAAAAAGATCGTAGGTATAGAATAAAAACAGATACAGATGATCATCGAGCAAGGCCGAAAAAGATAGGGCATTGGTTCTCAAAGAGTGGTAAGGAAGATGAAAAGCTTGAGGCACAACATGTTGTTGGTCAGACAGAGTCTCCTGCAGGTATGTATATATATATGTGTGTGTGTGTGTGAATTTTTCTTTGGTTAAGTAGCAAATATGTTAACTGTTTATCAATAGGCAACACTGTGTTTGGCGGCTTTCTTCATTTAGATGACAATGGAGAAATACCACGTATACTACGTCAGTGTATCAAAGAGGTGGAAGAAAGAGGTAGCACATTATATAAGAAATGTAACAATTTCTGACCCAAATATATGTAGGATTGGATTCTGTCGGAATTTATCGTATTTCAGGTCCTGCTTCTACCATTCAGAAGTATCGTGCTCAATTCAATCGTAGTAAGACTTAGATCTGTTCGTATATAGTGGAATGTTCATACTAACTAGCTCGACTTAGATGAAGAGGTTCACCTTGAAGAAGAGCACGATATTAATGTGGTAACCGGTTTATTGAAGTTGTACTTTCGTGAATTACGCAACCCACTTCTCACATATGAATATTATGACTGGTTTATTGATGCCGCACGTAAGTACACATTAATATACTACGTATTGAAAAAAAGGACTAACACGAAAATAATCCCACAAAGGAATACCCGATTACGATGAGCGTATGTTCCGGATAAAGTCTATCATACATGTCTTGCCGAAATCAAATTATGTTGTTATGGAGAGTTTGATGCGCCATCTAAACCTAGTTTCATTGCACAGTGAGGCCAATAAGATGGAGACTTCTACCCTCGCACTTATTTTCTCAGTTGGTCTTTTGAGGACAGCTGCCGAAGATCTCAGCAGTATTATGCAAACAGATCTTCAAAGTAAGATTATTGAGGCCGTGATTCAGCAAGTAGACTGGTTCTTTGATGCTGATGAACAAGAGGAAGATCTGGTCCAAGTAGAACCATAACATAAAGAATAAAAGTACAAAGATATAAACACATAGTTTAGTAAAGCAAACAACCAAATAAATGAACAAGAATATCATATTTATCATTAAAGGTGATGTGACGGTCTCATCCAAGCAAATCCGCATCCGTGTCCGCACTAACTTTTATAAACACATATACAAAGAGGGAGTTTCATCCGGAATTTGAAATGGGAGCAAACCCTTTTGTTCTACTTAACATGGGCAATAGTTTCAGTACCCATGAGCTAAAGACTCAGATTGCTCATGACCTTAAAATTGACGTGGCATTTCCATTCTTCCCCGCTGGCCGAAATCAGGGCTCAGCTGCCTGCTGTGTGGTAGGAACATCGAGATTGTTTCACGCTTTTGCCAGGCACCATTCGTATTGAAGACAGCGCATAACCAAATCCCTCATGGCCTTGCCCTAGGTTGATACAGAGTGGATTGAGAAGCTCTCCAGTAAAAAAGACGATGAAGAACTTGTGATTCTTAAGAGTCCGGCATATGCTCGTCATGCTCTTTCTCCCGATGGAAATCCTCAAAAGCAATTGCCTACTGTTAACATTTATGTGAACATGCTTCCCAAGGATCCCTCCAAGCGAAGCGAGTAAGTCATGAATTATTTCTAAAATATATAAATGGAGTATTTTTTCAATGCTGATAGCTGAAATTATTTCTATATTTATTAGCATCCAACTATATCAGTCCAACTCTAATCTAGAGAAAAAGGGCAAAGAGCAGTGTGGATGGCCACTGATAAATTACTTAAGATCGTTATTGGAAGGAAAGGATGCTGATCAAAGGATTGGAGGGTTGGTGGATTCATTTGAGGATTTCGAGTCAATTTTTGGCGAGTCTTTGAGCATTGAAAAAACGCATCAGGTAAATACAACATGAAATCAAAAAACCATCATGGGGAGCTACGTATGAGGAAATCTAACAATCGTGTATTGTCGTACTTCTGTTTTTGTATGCTTTTATATTGTGTAACTATTTGCCCTTTTTACTAAAAAAAAAGCAATTTGTGAATCGTATTCAGAAAATGCTCTGGCCGTGTAGTAGACGTTATAAGGTCATACCACGAGAGGAAGATGGAGCAGATCAACTGGCGTTGCAGGAAATGTCAGAAGATAGTTTAGTCGGAGCTCTTGGCGAACCATTGGAAGCCACCAAACCACTTTACAATGATCCAGCCAATTCAAATTTGCCAGATGTTTTTGCGATTATTGAATCCGAGAACGCATACTATTTTTTGGCTTCCTATCGAGGAACCACTCTACAAGACCTTATTACTTACAATCCAGGTGTGCTTAGCTCAAACTTCAAAAAAGGATTTGTTGTGTACCAATTGCTACGAGCAGTAGCCAGTCTTCATAGCCGAGGAATTCTTCATGGGAGGCAAGTGTTTTCTTTATAGCACATAAAGAAATATATCGTGAAGAAATAGGAATTTATATATTGCCTGTAATTCTATAAAAAGTTTAAGAGCTTCGAATATTTTGGTGGATGAAAATTTGTGGACACAGCTGGCAGGAATGGAGTGTGGTGCAAATCCTATGGATATAGGTAATAACAATCATTGTAAGCAGATATCTTTTCAGTAGGGTTACTCAAAACTGTCAAAATAGATATTGATAGTCTTGTCCATAACGCTCGGGAACCTACTTTAACAAAAGGTAAGTGGATTTATCTTTAGACCTTACGTACCAGAGAAACATAAAAATCATTATTTTTGTTGGTTTATATGATGATAGATGTAAAAGAAGAACCATTGGTTATAAAGTGGGTTCGAGGTGAAATATCCAATTACTCTTATATAATGGCCTTGAATCATCTTGCAGGTAAAGTATCTAATGTTTACTATCGCCTAAAATATCTATTAACTTTTAAGGATGATATAGGTCGAAAAGAAGGTGACCCAAACTTCCATCCCATCTTACCTTGGGTAGTTGACTTCACTGGCACTTCCGTAGAAGATGGATGGAGAGACTTTACAAAGACAAAATTTCGAATGAACAAAGGGGACGAACAGCTTGATTTTACATTCGATGGGCCAGTGCCACATCATATTACGGATATTCTTTCTGATATTACTTACTATGTTTACTTGGCACGTAGAACACCTATACCAGTAGGTTTCTTTTTTATTCTCACAAATTTAAACATGCGGTGATCCTGTTATATATCACTTACAGCTGTAAATTTAATAGGTATTGTGTCAATTTGTACGATCAAAGTATGAACCCAATGAGTATCCTTCTTCCATGCACCGTCTGTACGAGTGGACTCCAGATGAGTGTATCCCCGAATTTTATACTGGTACATAAAATATTACACTACCACTAGCCAAAATATAAAAAGCAGCTAGCTAACTTGATAGCGTACTCTGATGTATAGATCCTACTATTTTCAAGTCGATGCATTCCGATATGCCCGACCTTCAAATACCTTTGTAAGTTATTAATTATTAATTATCGGTAGATATTAATTTCTCAGCAACACAGGTGGGCTGATTCGCCTGAGGACTTTATCAAGAAACACGCAGAGGCACTCGAGAGTGATTATGTGTCTGCAAACCTTCACCACTGGATTGACTTGACCTTTGGAAATAATTTGACAGGTAATCACCATGGTATAAAGTATGCCTTATAACTAGGTATTAAAACCTTCATATCGATAGGCAAAGGGGCAGTAGAGGCAAAGAATGTTGCCCTTCCCTTACTTGCTGGTCAAAACAGTTTTATGAAGCATGGTATTATCCAACTTTTCAAATGCAAGCATCCGCAAAGAGGTTGTAACTGGCACAGTGCAAAAAGGTATTGTTGTATTATTTTACATAATGAGAAATTCTGATTTTTAATAACTTTCAATAGCTCTATGGACTCGCACAGAAACTGTGATTCTGGCCAAACTAGAAATCTCAGTCCTGCACCAGAAATTGCATATAGTGCTAGCGTACCCAGTCAACGTAGCTCTAAAATTCTACGCCATATATCTATATCCCCGCCTTACTCAAACATGCCAGACACACCATCCAACTTGAGTCTTGCTACGCGAGAGAGAGCACCCTCAGTTCACTCTACTACATCTTCGATAGACACCTCCACGTCTATAACAAACCGCAGTATATCAACAGACCCAAACAGTACCATCGGCCTCACATCTGCATTGCGTACTGAGCCCATACGTCTATCACCAGACATGCCCGATGATTTCTTTACAGAAAACCTCACTCATTATGAAGAAACTCTTGCTTTCTCAACAAGATATAACTTTATTAACGAAGCTGATGTCATACTTAACCCTGTCTTACCAGATCCTGGAAAAAGGTTTAGCATTGAACCTCGTGAACCTCATTATGTAGCAACAAACCCTTTCTCAATCGGGACGGCATATGATGTTTATTGTCTTGGAAAGTTGATACAAAGTGTTTTCACTGCTGGAAATACCAAGGTTCTTGATCTTGATGGTGAGCCGTCCCGAACGTTTGCTAGTGGTTATTTTGAAGTTGGGAACGGAGATGTATCTTATGATATTGCGCCTACTGGACGAGTGAATGTGAGTGATATGATACAATATCTGGGCCGTTTATACAAATTTGATTATTATAGGTGTCTTCAAATGTTACAAGTGTTATTTCTGCGTTAATGTCAGAAAACTGGAACGATAGACCAACAGCAAAGGCTGTATTATGTGCTTCATTTCCAGCCATGACCTTGCGTGACCCATCGTGCTCATTTCCATTTCCTGAGCATATTCCGGAAATGTATGAGTATCTTGCGGCGTTTTATCAAGCGTAAGTATATATATATATATATAAAGCATTACGGTATAAGTTGATTAATTCTATTCATATAATTGTACTTTTAGTGAATGGTCCAGAAGGCTTTATTTGGCAGATAAATGGATAGATCGCATTTGTGATTTGGAAGATGAAGTAATACAACAATTGTCAAAAAGGAACCAAAGTTTTACTAAGCAGTTTTCGTTTATTGACAAAATAACAGGCATTCCTTCTAATTCTACCTACATTTACACAACTCTTTACCTACAACGAAACCCGTATCGGTGCCATAAGTCTATTCCCTAAACTTGCTCAAAGACTTGGCCCAGAAAGGGCACGCCAGCATCTTCTCAAGCCTATTATATCTATGTTTGAGGTAGTGGTTATCATTAATGGTTAAATATTAATTAAGGTAGCTTTCTCAAACATGTACTGATATTTTTTATTACTGTCATTTCCTAGACACTACGACCAAAGATACCAAAAATTCTGTTTGACCAGCGAATTATCCAAGAGTTTGTCAAGCGACTTGGGATAGCTACGTTCTTACAGCAAATGTTACCATGTTACTTGGAAGCGTTAGCAATTAACGAAGATCTCACAAAATCTTATGTGGATGATGATGTTAGCGTTGCTACTACACCTGTCGATAATGTCACATCCCCTACTACAGCTGTTCCTGCATCTGTATCCGAGCTTGCTGGCGAAGCTTTAGTATACATTTGTAAGCTACTTGGGCCAGTACTGACTTCGAAGCATATAGTACGCCAGCTTGTTAAGATTGTTTTTAGAGACAATATAGTAAAGTCCGTATTGCTGGAAACAGTAGTACGGATATCGAGCAGCTTTGGAGAGACTTTCACATCTATCCAATATGCTTATTTGATTACTCTGATCGATTCCTACCAGCGTTCTGTTACAAATGCCAAAAACTGTAAAATTGTCTGTAGTATAATCTCACTTCTTGAACAGTTACTGCCGTACATGCAGAATGAGCCATTGGTAACCGAGCTCAAGTCTGGGTTTGTGACAATTCTATATAAGCTTTTGGAACCTTTACCACCGACACAAGAAAACAAAGATATCCCGGAGCAAACCATGCAGTTAAGACTGACTATTAGTATGAGGACAATTGACTACTTGCTCCAAATGGCCTACAAGATCCCTAAGCCAGAATGGGAAGTTATGGTAGGTTGCCATATACCACTGTTGATGAAGATGATAAGATTGTAACATATTAATACCTGGCAAAATAAAATATAGATGGTGCCTATGCTACAGAAATATTTTTCTGGATTTTCTACCAATATAATGAGTGAAGAAGAGCTCGACGGGGAGCTTCCTGACTCTCTTGATGCTCAAAAGAATTATCAGGCAAGTTGTTGTTTTTGTTGTTTTTTAAGAGAAAAAGCTTATATTAGACGATATTTATCTAAAGAATATGCTTGTATAATATTTAGATGATCTATGCTTATTCGCGGTTTTGCGTCATTGTTGGGAAAGAAATAATGCATCGATTAATTCCTACCAGGTTAGCTTTACTTTTAACTTTACTTCCCAATATATATATATATATTACAAAGGCGTTTATTCATATACTTATGTTTTAAAATTGCACCCCAGTGAAGCTATTGAGACAATGATGTTCAATCACTTTTCATCTGGAGAAGCAGTCCCTTTGGAAGTTGTTTCTCTGGAAGAAAAGTCTGTGGTTGCTACCGCGTCTCCTGAGCCTCAACAGAAAAACAGCAGCAAGATTATGGCCTGGATGATGCCCAATAAGAAAAAGAATGGAAATCAAGATAAAGATAACAAGAGTGCTGTTGAAGATCCAGTGGATACAACGGAAACTGAAATGCTCGTAGATTCTTCAAAGTTGTATCAGTACTCAACTAAAGATTTGCATCAGTATGCAACTCTTTCGGGAATCAAGATGGAAAAGGCATCAAGTACCCCAAGTAAGTCCAAGCAGACTATGGATCGGCTCGAACGAACCTTGTCTGTTTCACCAACTTCTGGTTGTGATTGGTCACAACGAATGCCTACAGTAGCTTCCAAGGTTATTGAAAAAGAAGTGTAAGTAAAAACAAACACCCTTTCAAAGGATTTGTTTCATAATATATTCTGAATACAGTAAGACCAAAGTACCTACCAGTGTGCTACCATGGAAAACTAAATGGAAGCCATCCCCAGAGGATAAAAAGTAAGTTGAATTTACACACCTATGAAGAGTGCATCTCTTAAAACTTCTTTTATAGAAACTGGAACCGTTTTTTATCTACAAACTCTGGTATGCTACATCATAGTAGATAAATACTTTGGTATACTGATACTATGTGTGTTTTAGAGGAAATGTCAAAAACAATGCAGTTTTCCTTCAACGACTTAAAATTAAGAGGGTTTGCAGGTATGTTATTCAAACTATATCTATCAGAAAAATATACTCACTTGTTTATACTCAGGTCACACGGCTGCCATTCGAACCATTACTGTAAACGAGCCCTCCAAGGTGTTTGCATCCGGATCTCGGGACCGTACAGTAAAACTTTGGTCTTTAAATGCGCACGAAGGCATTGAAAATTGGGAAACAGATCCTTTCTCCGAGAGTTTGATTACTTATAGTGGTCACCGCAGAGGGGCTGTAAACGATGTTCACTTTTTGTCTGGAGGAAGTAGCAATGGTCTAGGAGATACTGTTGCCAGTTGCGACGGCCATATTCATGTAAGACTAGATTTACACATACAGCGGCCACTAATAACTATCAATTGTTTTTTTACTTTCTTTAGCTTTGGGATCCAGAAACTGGAAAAGCAATCCATCAATTCAGTACTAGCCGTTCTTCCATTGTATCCGTAAAGCCAATTTTTCATTCTAGGAATCTTGTAGGAGGAACAATGGAAGGGAACATTACGTAAGTATATCTGTTTAAAATGAACAAAAAAAAGTTACTTATACAGATAAAAACAACCACTTAACAATAGCTTCTTTGATGTCCATAATCAAACATCATTACACACATGGAAATCGAGCTCGAACATGACTGGTAATATGAATTTCAGCTTTATGTATACTTTTTGGTGTTTTAAATGATATGTTTTAAATAGGAACTATACGGACCATTGCTGTCAACAAAGCGGAGACCTTGATTGCTGTTGCCTATTCGACTGGGGCAATCTCCTTATTAGAATCAAGGACAGGAACCTTGATTGCTAGTTGGAAGGGCGGTGATACAGAAATTACCATGGTAAGCATAGAGATATTTTAATTGAATTATGTTTATTAATTACTTTTGCTGATTGTATTTGTACACAGATCAAATTTTATACAGACGAACTTCTTGTTTCTTGTGCGCCTGCGGATCATATAATCTGCTGTTGGAACGTTAGTCGTTTAGCGCTTGTAAAAACGATTCCTGGTATGTAACCCTGTGGAAAATGAAGGTTGAGTTCTGACTTTATGTCTATTATTATTATTATTATTATTATATATAGCACCACAAGATGTTGCCTCGCTTGATATTTTCAAGGACGAAATTCTCACGATTAACGCTAATAACTCGGTATCATTTATACCCATAAATGATGATGTAAGCAAACTATACTATATTTATAATGAAGAAGGGAAAATATTTCAATACTAAAATACCAAACATGGGTATACAGTTTCAATCGTATTCATCTGCATTCAAGTCCTCGATTATAAAGTCACAAGTGAGCTCATTTGCAATTGTACCGACTGATCAATTGTTACTATTCGGCTGTACAGAAGGAGAAATATTTCTTTACGCATAGTAAAATACTAGCATATGCGATGATTTGATCTTGAATTATATGTATAAATAATTAAACTAATATTATTGTACCTTGCTTATAACAAATAAAAGATATATACTATATATCTTTGAATATTTTCCAAATACCTAAGGATCGCACAAGTATAAATAGTATTCTCGTTAATCTATACATGAATTTATTTTGTCTTTTAAATGTCTTCAGTATAAATATGCTTGTCTTCAAAGTTAAAGTGTGATAATGTACTTTCTGCAGTTTGACTTTGTTAACGTCGAAACGACTTGAATAACTGTAGTAAATAAAGCTCAAAATCTGCCATACAAAAATAAAAATATTAATGATTATAAAGTCAGTCAAATATAAGGCTCACCGAGACGACAAGATCTATATATAAATATGACAGATATTTAATAATATTGCCCTGTAAAAAAGGATAACGAAAAAATCGAAACTGGTCTGATATCTTTGATAAATATGATAATTATTCTCAAATGTTTCATATATTCTATTGAGATTTGATGTTATTATTTTTTGAGTTACTGAAATAAGCACACTTGGGAAAAACCAGTTACGATGTAATTTTTTTTATCTCGTCAATTACTTTATATTGAATCAATACAGTATTTGTTCTGCTTAATATTTAATACCATTTTTTTCATTCTGTAAAAGTATTGATGGTTGTGCCAAGTCATTACACAACCTCGGAAAATAGATAAAAAGCTTAATTTTTGAACGCCTTGTTGGTAATTCAGATATAATTTTATGTGCCACATACTATGTTTTGTAAATCATTATCCAAGAACACAACATTGAGAATAAGATAAAGTATTTTAAGGTTAACACAAAAAAGCAGGTCGATTTGCAACAAAATCTTCAAGGTACTTGTTTCGACTTATTTTAAGTACCAGATTAATCATATTCAAACCATTTGCTGTATTACAGAAGCATTTGACACGATCATAAAAAGAGTTGGTAGATTAATTGACAGACTTCTTTTTTTAGTAGATTCCGGCTTAAAATATTACTTAATAATATTTTGATCTGGTGCTATTTCACCGTAAATTTTGGCTCTTTCAAATAATTCATATATATATATTTAACCAATATTTTCTTGGCAACTATAGTTTTCCAAAGAACATGTTGAGAAGACTGAATAAATATGAGTAAAAATTATAACGTATATGTTTTCGGCGGTTATCTAAATTATATTTTCGTTTACAAATATATCGAAATACAGTAAAAGGCCTTTGCATTTAACTATACCGTTGGATTTCTATTACTATTCTAATTACTGTAAATACACGATTTGTTACTTTTTTTTAAGCCTTTGAACTCTACAGATTAGATATCTTGAGCACAAGTCTTTAATATATCTAAAAAGGTGAAATAATACATCTGAAATTTAATTATGATTCGTCCAGAAATATATAACTGTACAAATTCAAAGTAGAAACACTGTTAAATTAAATTGAGCATTATAGACTTGGTATGAATTATCATTTCTACGGTGTCAGACAAGTGGTAGTTTTATACCTATAAGTATGTCAGAAACATTGTAGAATTATGGGAATCCTATGATTCAAGTGAAAGCTGGGTAAAGGTTGTTGGGAAAAGACCGCCGTGGGAAATGGTTGTGTTACCGGCTTTCTGGTTTGTGCGATTTCAATTTTTTGTTCAGAACATGGGCCGTGTGCAGTCAAATAGAAGGTGGAGTTTGTGTGATGGATGTTTAACAATGAAGCTGATAGGTAATTTCGTATCGTGGAACAGATTGCCACTCCGTACCTGAGTGATAACCAAATCATTATTAGAGACTAGATTATTTATGGGATAAAACAAATATTAATACCCGTGCAACACTGATTAAGTCAGCAACGAGGGAGTCGTGGACATAGGCATCAATATAATATAAGTTCAAATAAATGATGCTGTATAATTTCAAACTATTAATCAGTGTATTTGGTGTTGAGTCCAACGCCCGAATAGTAGAGGTTATGTACTTAAAACTAGCGCAAGGCACTCTGAAAACAATTGACTAGGAAAGGTCGAGGACTGACTTAATTAAAGGTCGGTAGAAGGAGTTATTTATATATATATACCAGCGATAATAATAACTCCAACAAGTGGAAGGAAAGGGGGATAAAAGGAACAGATAGTTTATCGTAGATCTTCTCGGAAGGAAGCTCCTTAAATACAGCCTCTTCAATACTATTCCAATGAGAGAAAATATAAACTCCAAAGACCTCCATATGAGAAAAGGTAGGTTGACTAGGAAATGAGAGGCTAAATACAGTACTTTTGAAATTGAGATATTTAAGATTTGTTTGGACGATTTTTTAAGATTCATGTACAAATAAGTGGATCGTCTCAAAACATTTATCTAGGATAAAAAACCAAATCTTCTTAATCTCAAGTAAAAGTACTTTAGTAAGTCTCAAGAAAAATATTTAGAAAATAGAGTAAGTATAACAAGGAGTTCTATTTGAGATTCTCATCTAAATTAAGAGACTGTGGTAACACAGTTATAGTCTTTAACGAAAGAAGAATATAAAATTCTTAAAACCTTGACAGGTTAGTCAGCAAATATATAGGAGAAGGTGACTATCACAGCTCCCCCCAAAAAAGACTCCTTGGCAGCAAATCTGTCTTGATCTCTGCAAGACATGAAATATTGGTTCACAGCACAATCTGTCAGGCCTCAAAACACGCCATTTCAACACCCACATTGCGCCCTGTGCGTTTGATAACAAATTTGATGCGAGTAAAATCACTTACCAAAAATCCATATAATTTATATCTGACCTAAACATCCATATAGTCTAGCCCGGGATTTTTCTCGGCTATCTTCTTATTGCTGCTTGACTCCTTGAAAGAAGCAAAACCTTGCGGAGGATTACACAGACGTTTTCTTTACATTCAAATTTAAAAGACAGAACACAAAAAAAATTGCTCTAGCAATTACTCTTTCACCCCACACTTGGATACTCCACACGTTCAGCCTGAAAAGAATTATTCACCTTCTTTCTTTTCCTCTTCTTCACTTCATTTCACAATCGCTAAAATGAATGTTGTTGGTGCCTCTGTGTCCGAGGCAAACTATGCCGCACATGAAACCAGAGATATTGTGTTGCCTAATCAGAATGTCCATGTCTCGCAAATCGCAGTGGACGTAAGTTGTAAAAACTGATGTCTAACTGAACAAATATTGATTCCAAGAAATGCAAAAGATTGGAGGGTCACTTGCAAAAATCGTCTACTTCACTTCTTCAACAGAGGAATGCAAAGGAGGTCGATTACATTTTAAGAAATTTGAGACCGACCACATTGATGATTGCATCGATTTTATTGCTGAGCTCATGGATGACGCTCGACATTTGACACCTAGAGGAATTGGACAGGTTCTTAAAGCTACTGGTGGTGGTGCTCATCTATACCATGAGAAGCTTGCCAAAAGATTACCAGGGGTCATAGTTCAGAAGGAAGATGAGATTGAATGTCTCATTACAGGTACCATGATTGGCATGTGTTTTGTGCAGGGTTATTGACATGTCAGGGGTTGTGTAGGACTTTCTTTCTTTCTTACCGAAATTCCCTATGAAGCATTCACATACAACGAGCATGATGTCAATCCAATGCGATTTCAACAAAAGTCTAGCGATATTTACCCTTATATGGTGAGTCTTGTTTTTATTTTTGTGGATCTTTATGGTTATATATTTATACTAAATACATGCCTAATAGATTGTAAATATTGGATCCGGTGTAAGGTAGGAATAATAATTAATATAGTCAATAGAAGGATCGAATACGTGAGATCGTGTATTGACTAGCATATTGTCCTTAGCATTTTAAAGGTGACTGGACCAGGGCCTGATGAATTTTCTCGTATCAGTGGAACCTCGGTAAGATACTACCTTGTTAATAAAGTTGGTATCTAATCAAACAGTATGTATGTGTAGCTGGGCGGTGGTACACTTTGGGGACTTTTGTCGCTCTTGACCAATGCACAATCATTCGACGGTAAGGGTGAATTAAATTGTATAAGGTTTATTATTATTAGTAATGACTAATAGATATGTGCAATATAATAGATATGCTTGAAATATCAAAAGAGGGTGATAATAAGAATGTAGATTTGATGGTTGGTGATATCTATGGCTCAGACTACACAAGGCACGGGTTGAAATCTACTCGAATAGCATCTAGCTTTGGTAAAGTATTCAAAAAAGGCATTCGGCAGAACAAGGACGCTTTCAATCCTGGTGATATATCCAAGAGTCTATTATTCATGGTCAGGTAAAATATGCGATAGTTACAACCGAACGAATATGTATTTAACTAATCTTACTCAATAGTAATAATATCGGGCAGATTGCTTATCTGAATGCACAACAACATGGTTTGAAAAGAATATACTTTGGGGGGTGTTTTATAAGAGGTATTTTTTTTATTAAAAGACCAATTAAATTAATTTATTGATTTATTGATTTATTATTATTTTGCTAAATATTTGTTGTTTTGTTTTGTTTCAGGCCATGCCGTTACAATGAATACACTTTCATACGCTATTGATTTTTGGTCAAAGGGCGAAATGAAAGCCTTATTTTTGCGTCATGAAGGCCATTTGGGAGCAACGGGAGCTGTGAGTGATAATAACAAAAGGCTGTATACTTAATATTATTTGTATTAACCTGCAATCACTCATTAACAGTTCCTCAAACACAAGCCAATTCGCAAGGCAAGACACTCGTTTTCTTACTCTGAAAATTTCTCCCCGGATACCAAGGCTAACAATCCCAGTCGAGTAATTGACGGTTTAGAAGCAACCAACCTAGAACTTAGACCAGATAACCAGAAATAAAGCAGCAATAACAACAATAAAAAAAAACTGTATACAGACTTTTGTGTTTTCTTTTGTAAATCAAAATGCACCTGATTTGATGTGGGTAATACGGTTTTTTTGTGCTTGAGATTGAGACAAATTAGATTCAATTTTTTTAGACATTTTGAGAAAAATCTAAACACGTCTATACTTTTTTGGACGAAATTTACCTTGCAAATTGAGACAATTCGTCCCAATCTCAAGTAAAAACACTAGTCAAAATCCTTCAGTCACATCCCCGACAACCTTAGTTTCCCGCATTCTTTTTAAGCATGCCTTTTTTAATATTTCGGGGTTTCTTTTTTTCTCTCTTCTTCTTCAAGAAACGATGACAAGCACTCTCCAGGTTCCCACCATTGAGATTCAAGGAGCAAACCCTCGTCGTGATTCTCCACGTACTAGACCACGCACCTTCTCTCTCTCGTCTCTCGTGGGAAAAACCCGGAGAGCATACTCTGTCTCATCTGCTTATCCACCCAAGATCCATCCTGCACTAGCACTTCCTGTTCCAAAGTCATCTGGCGATCACTCTCTTTCAGTCCGCGATCATGTATTTGGAGACGTCTGGACTGATCCCCGGCAGTCTTTATGTAGTCCTGCCTCGAACCTGACACCTGCACAGAGACGCAATTCCGTGGCAGCAGCTTCTCGTCGATACGAAGATTTTGAACAAAAAATGGAAGCTGCCCCACTATTTGTGCTTGTGTCGACCTATCTTAATTATCTCGTTTTGATTTTGTTTGGCCATTTACGAGACATTCTTGGAAAGGTCTTTAAGCGTAAGAAGTATGCTCACTTGAGAACAAACGAGGTAATGCATCAAATTAGCACATTCCTGTTAAATCAAAAACCGGAAATTGGCTGATCACCCAAGAACAGGGCTATGCTCCTCTGGTATCTGATTTTGATTCATTTTATACAAGGCGTATGTATTTGCGCATTCGGTAAGGAACAATCTATTACTACAAGTTGAACGATTTCGCTTATATCCATCCAATTGATCCAGTGATTGTTGGAACCGTCCCATTACTGGAGTTCCAACAAGAAAGACCATGATATTGGAAAGAAAGACAACAGATTTTAATGAGACATTCAGGCAAGCAATATAAACGCATCTGCTTATTTATGAGTTCATTCATCGTGTTCAAAGTAAATATTAACACAGTTCATAAAAAAGTTTGACAGGAAGGAAGATTGAGGCTATCAACTTTGCATCATACAATTACCTTGGGTTTGCACAGAACACTGGCCCATGTGCTGATGCAGTCCAAGATGCTGTGCGTGAATATGGCATCAGCACTGCCAATTCACGGTTGGAGGCTGGAACTTCTGATTTACATGTCCAATTGGAAAGAAAAACCGCCCAATTTGTCGGAAAAGAGGATGCAATTATTGTTTCCATGGGATTCGCCACTAACTCAACCACTATCCCTGCCCTGGTGAACAAGGTAAGCAGATAACATTTCATAGAAAGGAATGTGCCTAATATTCAAGTTATAGGGATGTTTGATTATCAGCGACGAATTAAACCATAGTTCAATTGTATTTGGCGCTCGTCTTTCGGGTGCTTCTATCCGTGTATTCAAACACAACAACATGGTTGATCTTCGCGAACTATTGCGTGAGGTGATTTCTCAGGGACAACCCCGAACCCACAGACCTTGGAAAAAGATTATGATTATTGTCGAAGGTTTATATTCCATGGAAGGCTCGATTGTTAATTTACCGGAACTCATTCGCTTGAAACGTGAATTCAAGGTACAGTAATAAATGTATATTTCAAGAGAGGTGTTTACTAACAAATTGGTATAGTTCTATCTCTATATTGATGAAGCCCATTCTATTGGTGCTCTGGGTGAGAATGGAGGCGGTGTTTGTGATTTCTATGGTAAGATATTTGGGAAAACAAGTACAATAAACAAGAAGCTTATATATAATATTCTAGGAATTTCTCCAAAGCACGTAGATTTATTGATGGGTACATTTACAAAATCTTTTGGTGCTGCTGGCGGATACATTGCTGGTGACAAGGTAAAGACAACACGTATATGATTTGACATCACAATCCACTTACACACCATTAGACGGTGATTGACCACTTGAGAGTCCGTAATCATGCCTTTTGTTATGCCGAAACAATGTCTATTCCCATTACTCAGCAAGTACTCACCAGTCTGAGTATCATTCGGTATGTTCTCGTACCATTTTAGATATATTAGAAACAATACAAAAATCTAGATCTATAAGTACTAATATATATTTACTTTAAATAGTGGTGAGGAAGGTACCAATGATGGCCGTGATCGTATCCAGAAGCTGGCAGATAACTCGCGTTATTTTTCAGCAAAGTTACGAGCTCTTGGATTTATCGTATATGGTGATGAAGGCAGCCCTGTTATTCCTCTTCTTCTTTTTAACCCAGCAAAGATATCGTAAGTTGATCAAAGAAAGAGAAATCAAACAATTGACCAATGTATTATTTTGGTATTAAATTGATATTCTAGTGCCTTTTCTCGTGAGGCGCTCAAGCGCGGGATTGCTCTGTGTGTGGTAGGATATCCTGCCACTCCTATCATTAGTTCCCGTGCTCGTTTTTGTGTCTCTTCATCACACACTCGGGAGGATCTGGGTAATTGTTAAATGATTCTTTTCTTTTTATAACTGGAAACCTTTTTCGCTAACCATAATATTTAATGTAAATAGATGATGCTTTGGAGAAGATTAGCGAAATTGGTGATATTCTTATGTTGAAGTTCAAGGAGACTTCATCCTAAGCCCCCTTTTTTAAGAAGAAAAAACCTCGCATCATTCTATATCTTTATTTTTATTATTCAAGTCTATATCGGCCAACTGATCTCTATAGTCAATCATTCACTTCGTATTATTATTTTTCTTTTTTTTGTATTTCATTTCATCATTAAACGACTCTGTCTTTCTTTTTAAGACATCTCTTCCACAGTCACACCTATTTAAAAGACAAAGAAAACCAAAACTGAGGAATCTAAATTAGAATGATCTACCAGATGTTCATTTTCTGTATCTGTGTGTTCCTAATCAGAGTATGTTGGGTTCTATATTCAAAGTTGCCGATTCTTCCAAGAACGAAATCTTGCAAGACCATGATCATATTGGGCTCAGGTAGATTCTCGAAATTCAATGGCATCAATTTACAACCCCATTGCTTCTCATTTTCATAAAACTATACGCAGGCGGTCACACTGGGGAGATGGTTCAATTAATCAAGGGTCTCAATCCAATACGTTACAATCCACGGATCTATGTTGTATCTGAAGAGGACCAGCTGAGCTGCACAAAAGCAAAGGAGCACGAAATGAATATAAAGAGCGAATTTCCCTGTGATATACGTACCATTCCTCGCGCAAGAAGAGTAGGCCAATCATGGTCTACTGTACCATGGAGTGTATTTCGTACCCTGTTAGCTTCCCTCAAGATGATTCTTCTGTCTCCTCCTGATGTTGTAAGTTAAGATATTTTTATTCGCATATAGTAATGCATATGGATATAAATGATAAGTGCGAAAACTTACACCATTGATACTACGACAGATTATATGTAATGGTCCTGGTAGTTGTGTACCTGTTTGTATGGTGGCATACATACCTAGAGTAAGTTATCTAATATGTAAATTAACGTAAACATATATTTGCGTATGTATAAAGTATATTTATATTTATATATTGGCTTGCTTTATGTAGATTTTGGGTATAAAGCCAATACGGATTGTCTATGTAGAATCTCTTGCTCGTGTCAAGACGTTGTCTTTGACTGGAAAAATTTTGTACTTCTTTGCTGATCGTTTTATCGTTCAATGGCCAAACTTAATTCAACGTTATCCAAGAGCAGAATACAAAGGCATCTTGGTTTAACTTTTTCATTTGTTTAAATCCCCGCCTGTGCTGTATTCCAGTCAAGGGAAAAAGAGGGAAGGAACCTCATCACCATGTCTATTCAATACAAAGTCTCTCCTCGTGCTTATGCACTCCCAATCTTGCATGCTGCTAAATACTCATCATCTACTGTGTGCGGTGTGCTCTTGGGAAAGGTAGACGCGCAAGAGGTTGAGGTTGTATCAGCTATCCCATTCTTCCATCACTGGACTGCTTTGACCCCCATGTTGGAGACAGCATTACAGCAGGTATAAAATCTAAACACACGAATACAATCTCATCACTTTTTCTCTGTTACTAGGCTGAAATCTATGCAACTCTTAATGATCTCAAGATTGTTGGTTGGTATCAGGCTAATGAGCACGATGATGACGTGACAGTACACGACAACGCCATCAAGGTGACTGATCTTATCCGTCAGCGCATTCCACAGGCCGTCATCTTTATTGTAAGTCATTAGATAATAATAGATTGATGGAATATTTATTGATGCACGTTTAAATAGGTTGACGATCGCAAAACTGACTCATCGGACAAGAAAGAAAGCTCTATTTTGGTAAAGTAGACCAGACTGTTATCTATAACTGTGATAAAATTGATAATAACCATTATAAATAGCCCTATATATTTAGTGAAAACCAGTGGAGAGCCAACAAGCTCGCATTTACCAAAGAATCAAATTTTGGCTTTACTTATGAAGAAACAGTTCCAAAAGTGCGCGGTTTGTTTAGTACATCAGCTTACAACAAAGTTGTTGATTTTGATGATCATCTGGAAGATGTATCCCTGGATTGGTTTACTTCACCTGAACTGAAAATCTAATAAATATATCGTGTTGGTTATTATCGTTATTTATTTCTAAATTTTATAAGATGTAGCTTCGATAGGCTTATTGGGGAAGGAGAATAAAAAAAGAGAAAAGGCTAGATGTGGGAAATAGAAACTGTCGAATTTCATATTGAGAGTATCAAAAGGAGAAAGCATAGGGGAATGGGGAGGGAAAGGGGGTGGTGTTAACTTTGGAATCCTTTATATGTCTTGCTTTCTTATTTACTCTGCTATATACACAACCCCCTTCGCTTATTTTGTGTTCTCCCTTTCGTTTTATATGGAGAGACTTCCAGTGAATACACCTAAAGTCTTATGGGTGCACTACCTTGACTCTAAATCGTTTATTAAAAAAAAGATTAATATCTATGGGCAATATTCATAAAAGTGGTAAGCAGAGAAAATATTTTCTTTTCTTTTTTCTTTTTCTTTTTAAAAAAAAAGTAGTAATATAAAAAAGAGAGGAGTATTTGCTTTATATATATATTGACTGTATATAATCCGAAAGTGTGGAGCGCATGTCAGATTCAATAAGTTGCATGTCAACCTCCCTCTTTGCTTCAATACCGTTCTTCTTCTCCTTGCATCTCAGAAAACAAACAGTTTACGATGTCAGCTTTTCTTTCGAGTGTGTTGTCGGGTGGGTCTGCAGCGGCATCTCTACTCGCTGCTATTCCAGCTGTATCTGCCGTTCAGACTTCGGCTAGCTCAACCAATACTGCTCAAGATGCGCGCATGAGTCAACACACAGGAATTGATCAGCCAACAACCACCAATTTTCCTACAGCTACGGTAACCAATGCTGCTGTAAGGCCAATTGTTATTTTTATTTTTTTCATCTATTAAAAATCAATATATCAATATATTAATTATTCTTGTAGTCTAAGCCCACAGAGCCTCCCATGCAAGAAACTACTAGAATAACAGAAAAGACGGAAGAAAAGCCTGCCAGGACAAGAGACAGAAACCAATCTGCCGCACCAGACCAAGGGAATAATAAAACAATAGGCCCAGAGATAGATCCTTATTCCAGAAACAATGAATCTGGTCCAAAGCCTAGGCCAAACAAGATGGTCTTTACATCTTCTGGAAAACCTGTGGTTGCCATCACATCGTCTGGCACAAAGATTATTACCTACACATCAACATCATATGTTGTGTTTCCCACCACTATCACAAACACAGACTTCGAGAAGCACCCAAATTACAGATCTCATAACAGATCGGCTGTAGTCGGAGGAGTAATTGGTGTGGTTCTATTGCTTTGCTTGATCGGTAAAATAAAAGAAAAGAAATCGAGACCTACCCTGCATAGACAATTTATGAATCTGACATATTTTTATAAACGATCCCTCTTTATTATTTATTATCTAGTTCTATTGGGATGCTGTATCATTAAACGTAAGAAAAACAAACGAAACAGTGATTTCTATACCAATGCTAAAGGAGATGGGATATTTTATCCTTCTCCTTTGCATGAAAGTCACGGTGATTACATTATGGAAGGAAGCAGTATGAAAAGCGGACGGCCTATGTCTGTAGCCAATTCTTCCTCAACTCCAAAGCAGGTCCGAGCATTTGTTGCCCCTCCACCAATAACACCTATAATGGAAGCAACTGTATATCCATACCAGACAATGCCACCTTCACCAAGTGCACAGAATACATACTATGAAGGCAATGGTATACGTGGATCAGCTTATGGACAATACCCGCTTACTACAGATCATAATTTGCAGCAAAACCTTTACCCAGCTCCCAATTACGATCAGCAATACTACTCTCCTAACGTTGTGGAATATCATTCTGCTGGATATTATCAACCACAACATGATAGTTATACGCCCGGATACACACACAACGTTCCTCATTCCAGAGATTAAAAAGAAAAATGCTTAATATTGTTGCCTTTGAAATGACCAAAGTAACCTATTAGTTCATTTAATTTTATCCTTATTATATCCATATATACTTTATTTGCAAGTATTATGTTTGTCCCTCACTACCTTTTCCCATTTTCTTTTAACAATATTATTTTGTTGAACGCAACAGGAATATATATATGTATGCTATAGATTATAGTCTCACTTATTCTATTTGTAGATTCATAAAAGCTGATACTTAACTTTACTTTATTTTAAAAGAGCAATGAATGTGATCTTTAGGAAATTAGGATATAAAAATGTATAAAACAATGATAACGGTAGATATGAGCAACAAAGGCAAATTTTGAGAGAGAGAGAGAGAGAGAGAGAGAGAGAGAGAAAGAGAAAAGAGGATTCTTGACCAGATATATAGATATATTTTTAGTTTCCGTGTCTTCCATTATTATTTAATGTAAAGAATAAACTAAGAATGCAGACCCAAAACAAGATTGACTGGAGTCCTTCTGAGGGCGAAGGTGAAGAAGACTCAAAAATGCCTATTTGACCCAGGGCGCCAAGATCACTTCCGGGTGGTAAGCTTATAGGATAGTGCCCTTCCGGCTGCTGAGCCGCAGCCGCGGGAGGTGGTATATTATCAGGCTGTGGTAAAGAATTTTCGGCTGTGGTAAGTGGTTTACGTTGTGGACGAGGAGGTGGGATATTATTCTTTGTAGGATCCTGCGCGGGTGATTGTATATTATTAGACTCTTTGTTGATAGGCGATTCAGGTTTCCTTTGTGGTATTTCTTTCGGCTGTACTGCTTCTTCTGCTGTTGGTTTCATTGGTATTGCAGCAGCTGCTACTTTTTCTGTCGGAAGAGGTTGAGGTTGAGACTGGGGTTGGGTAAAAGTATTATCTGCCGGCGTATATTTTATGGTACTGTCATACGATAATATACTTGGGATAATGGATGATACATGACTTAAAATGGTGTTTTCAGAGTAACTATTTTGAACTGCCTGCATTTCATAAACATCCTCTTCATATTGATATGAATTGTCTGGTTCAGTATCCGTGTTTGTATCGACGGCATTATTGAGCGGGAAAGACTGATAATACGTATCCTGCTCTGCCGTATTTGAGGCCCAATTCTGATTTTGGTCACCTACTTCAGGTTCAATACTACCCAAAGAAGGGTATACCAAGCTTGATACTTCTTCGTATTCAGTCAGCGATTTGCGTATATTGCCTTCATTCAATGAGTCTAATACGTTATTACTCTCCCAAGGGTACTCGATGGGTGTATACGAGATCTCTTGTGGGACTTCTGGATGTGTATTACCAATCAATAAAAATTCGCTCTAGCTTCAAAGGCTCGATCCTGTAATGTTTCTACCTTGATACAGTTGAGATTCCTCGGGTTGTGCGTTGTCTGATTGACTAAGTATTGGACCCATGGTATTGTCTACTATAAACTATTAGAAGGTTGATATACGCCTGTTTTATAGATGATATATGTTTGTACATTATATTACCCTCGTTTACTTTCTCGCCTTCACTTATTTTAGTGATAAACTCCATCGTTTCTTGTGTGGATGAAACATCATTCGTCGGATATTGTATAGAGTTTGTGTTATCTGCAAATGTAGTAGCTCCTTGTATAAGCTGTGTAATCGTGTCTTCTGTCGGATAATAATAAGCCATGCTGTGATAGTAGAGTGAAGGTAACAGCAAGAGATAATAATGTTCCGTCTTGGACTTAGCTTTAAAAATATTATCGAACTTGCATTCTAATCTTGTCTAGATTGACTATTATATCTTTTTCATTCCACTATGTCAGTTTATTTGTAAATTAAGGGCACTGACCTTTTTCGCATTGTTTATTAAAGTGTTTTTTTAGCGTAAGACATGAAGTATATAATCGAAGCATTTATTTAATAGCTCTTTGGATTTAAGTGTTGCTTTTGAACAAGGTATTATATAAATGTAGGCCCATTTGCTTTAGGTTTTAATAATCAAATTCAAAAAATAGAACTCTGGTTTTAATTTGATTTGAGCATTTTACAGAAATGAAGTCCAGCAGTTTGATTAACTTATACTTTATACGTTAGCCCTGGTTTACAGATAGACTTCTATACATGTACTTATGTATACGATAAAAAAAAAGAATATAAGTAGTCACTATAAAACTAAATGCCTTTTTGTCAAAATTAAGCATTTTAATTATTATGTTGTTCCACAGCCTTAAACTTTTTTATTATAAAAATAATCAACTTAATTGTAATATAGATATTGAGTAAGTTTACTAGGTAGATAATTCTATTTGACTAGCTTTTCTAAGTCTGATGTGCATAATAATACCAAGAATCCATCATAAAAAATCACCGCTAATTTCTATTGAATCCTGATATAAAATGCAATCAAAACCAAACTCTAAACAGGACAAATCTAATGTAAACCCCGAAATCCCGAAAAGGAACTTGAGTATAAACAGGACCCAATCCGAGCCACCAACTTTCTACATCTCTTCTTCTTCTGAGTGTATGTCTGCACCTTCCCGACTTGCCTCTATAAAAAACCATCTAACGGTAATAGTGCCATACTTTCTGCATCAATCAGATACAAATATGAATAAATTCAAACGTTTAGCCTATGGCCACCGATAAAAAGAGTCCAGTCACTTGCCACGTACTTGTAGCCTCACTTGGTATACCTGGCAAGAATGTGGGCGTGAAGATCGAAAAGCTGGACCAGGGTGAATTCTCTGTACTGTCGACATCGTAAGTCAATTTTATAAACAATCACTTGTATATTAGACAAGTCTAATTTTATGACAGAGTGACGAACGAAGATGGTCGTTGCCCAACTCTTTTGCCTGCTGGGTACAAGGCAGAGAAGGGAATTTACAGAGTCACATTTGAAACAAAGGCATTTTTTGATACTATCAACCAAGAATGCTTCTATCCTTATGTGCAGGTAATATAGCATATGTATTCTGTTGAAAGAACTCAATTAACGTTTTATTATTATTACTATTATTATTTTGAAAACAATAGATCGTGTTTGAGCTCGCAAACCCCGATCAGCATTATCATATCCCTCTTCTGCTTAGCCCTTACTCATACACCACATATCGCGGTAGTTAAATCACTGACGAAAAAAATCACAAATATAGCTTTCTCTGATCAAATTATACCCTTTTCTTCTTTGAAAGTTTTTTTTTTGTATTTTTTTTTGTACTTCTTTGAAAGTAATGGTGTTATCAAACAATAACGATAGAAATAGCGATTATTGGACAGCTGATATTCATTTCTTATTTTTCATTATTTGTTTGAAAAATGTTAAAAATGGTGTGCTGCTACGTATGGATTCTATTAGCCTATACATACAACCTCGGTAACATTTATCTTTACTATAGTGGTTCCTCGATAATTTCAAGGCTCTAGCAGCTCCCATTCTAAAAACAGGGCTAAACTTTCACGATTCTCGTTAATTTCACTTTCACGATATTTTTTGGCCTTGAATCCTTAACGAGGCTGCCAACTTTTTTTTATTGTATACGGGGGTACTTCTAACAAAGCGTGCTTTGACACTCCCTCTACCTTCATCGGGAAATATATATTCCGGCTCATTAATTTCATTTGATAATTTCAAGGCACTTAGTTCCCCCCCCCCCCCCCCCCTTGGCCTTGAAATTATCGAGGGATTACTGTAAACCATACACATCAATAATGTGAAATTTAAAATATTATAAGAATACAAAAACAGAAAGCTGAAAACACAACTATTTATGCTTTAAATATAATATATTCTTTTTTTTATAAAAGGACATAACTAAGCTTAATGGTTTGTTGTAATACATATACTGAATTAAATCTGCTGTATACGTTAAAAGTCCTCATTAATAAGAGACTAATGTATTCCCCTATTCATGATGATCAATTTCACCCATAAATCTTCCGTGAGACTCGGTGCGAACATGTACATACTCTTTACCGCCAAAGCTATGTGTACATAATATAAATACTTGTTTGATAATATTTTCCTAGTACTACTCACCTCTCAAATAAGAACTCAGTCAATAAGTAGTACACATTTCGATTAGCATTGTGGTATCTGATTGAATGGCTACTATCCGTAAAGAACTGTACGCGGTAGTCGTGTATGTTAGCCATAGTGAGTTTATCGATCAAAACGGCCGAGTGTTGAAAATGGACTATATGATAATAACATAAAAATCCCAAAATAAACACATTAAACAATAGCAAGTTTGGCAGCTTCGTAACGTACCATTATCATCTCCAGTTCCATGAATAAGCAAATATTTTGCATTTTCAAAACCTGTCATGTTGTTTACCGCACTATCAATATATCCTTGTGGGTTGAGATCAGGGGTAAGCATGTAACGCTCAGTGTAAACAGAGTCTATAGAATAAAGTCTGTAAGTCATTTTAAAGTTATCTTTTTTTTTAGTCTACACACTTACCATAGAACCGCCAGTCAGTCACAGGTGCAACAGCCATTCCGGCACTAAATACACCATCATTGGCTTCAATAACCTTTGTTGTCATGTATCCACCATAAGACTAAACAAATCCCTGTTAATATTGTGTTTTTCACCCTTTAGAAAGCTTACCCAGCCCCAAATAGCAATTCTTGTGGGGTCAACATAGCCAAGAGTTGCCCAGTGTCTATTCTCCAAAAATATAAGTAAATATAACATGTTTATTCTGCTTGTTTTTTATTTGTATATTTTTACCTTGCAGCATTAACCTGATCTATGGTCTCTAGTTCACCGAGTCTCTTGCGAACATTGACTTTGTAGGCGCGTCCTCTAAATCCAGTACCTCTACCATCAACCTATTAATTATCAAAATATTAACATACTTAATTTCTGTTGTTTTAGCAAGTAGCAATGGTAATACTTACAGTAACAATAATGTAACCGAGTTGGCTAGCAACAAATGTTTGCCAGCTCAACTCAAACCGATGCGAAACTAACTGAGATCCAGGACCCCCATACACATGGAATAATACTGGATATCTCTGAGTGATGTCGAACTTAGGAGGAAGAATCTCCATAGCATTCATGTCTAATGAAAACCAAGTAAATAAACACACACACACACACCTATATGTATAGTTACTATAAATCATTAACATACCAACACCACCACTCATAACAGTATTCATGCGAATGCGAGGTAGCTCATATTCTGCAAGCACACTCTTCAGCAATGTATTGTTTTCCAAAGTCTTTGAGAATAAATTGTCGTCGACCTTCTTGATAGTTGTAGTGGGCACATCAGGTCCAAGGTAATGCTCAAGATAATATCCAAACTTTGGAGAAAATACAATGTTGTATGTAGCATATTCTTCGGGGTTTTCTGGGCATGTTAGGCATTTCTTAGAGCTAAGAGGATCTTCATGGTTCAACTGCACAGTATATAGATGGCGCTCTAGAGACGAGCGCTCTGTGGACATAAAGTGGCTATCCTAGTAGTGTCAATACAGTCACACACACACACACACACATTTAGTCTGTGTTGAACTTACACAAGCTTTCTCTTTGTATCGGTTACAACTGATCCATCGACCACTTCCCATGTACCTTCCGTCAGCCACATTGGAACATTGTTAGGCTCAGTGGCCGTGAAAATAGCCAAGTGCATAAACCCATTGCCATCATCAGCAATATCCATATACTTCAATTGAGTGCTATTGTCAGCCAGAAACACCATGGACTGAGAAGTATCTATCCATCCACCATCTGTTGGCTTGTATTCGCGTGCCTTTGCAACTGTAGATTTGCTAATCACTGAAGATATAGTAACAAGACTAGTAATAGAATGATCTTGAACACGATTCATCTGCTTAAATAAAAGATGTGTACTTGTAGTTGTAGCCCAAGTAACATCTGTAATTAGACGATTATCGTCTTCAAAATCCTTGTGAGTAGAAGTAGTCTTAATGTGGGCGTCATCTGTAGAATTTCTTGTAATCATGACAGATTGGTCGCTTTTCAAAGAGTAAATGTGAAGTGAAACCAAGGGGTTATCTGCACCAGCCTGTATAGTAGCTGTTAGTTGATTCAAATCAGATTCAGATAAGCTATTAAAGTACGTGCCTTTGGATATTTGATTTTCAACTCTTCAGGATACGATGACTCGGAAGCAGTATACAGTGGCATATGGAACTCAGGCACAGAAGTTTCATTGAATCTCAGATAAGCAAGATGAGTAGAGTCAGGAGACCACCAGAGAGCAAAATTAGAGCTAAACACCTCCTCTAAAGTCTCAAATTAGATTTTTTCGGAGACTTAGGATAGTAAAATATTACCTTCATAGACCCAGTCGGGAACACCATTGAATACAGTAGCGGATCCATCGAAAGTAACACGACGATGGGTTGACAGATCAGTAATGTAAAGATCATTGTTCATTACATACGCCTTTTAGAATGAAATTCAGATATTAGCACTAATTGCGATTAGAAGAAGGACGTACCATTTGATGGCCAGTTGGACTCCATGCTGCATAAGATATTTTTGGTATATCAGTGACAGTTGATGTGTTCAACAAAGGAAATAACGATTTGTCGGAATTTTTATAAATATAAATATTTGAATAATACGAATGACGCCATTGCTAGTAAAAAAGATTGAATAAAGAGGTGAGCCACGTTTATTTTATGCGTTTCAGTACTTACGTTGGTGCGATTGGTGCGCAGCATAATATATTGTGCGTCTTGGGATAATTCAAACGAGTTCACATCAAGAAGTCCTTGGCCGACAAACTACCAATTCTTAAGTTTTCTTTTTTTTTTAATTTTTTTTAATAGTTGAACATACAAGGTTATCGGCTTTAACATAGACAGTGCTATTTCCATCTTCAATGGATTCCAGAAGGATATCATTGGTTACAGGGTCTCTATGCGTAAAGATACCATCTCTAGGATCTACAAAAAAAACGTTGAGTATGGGGGTTTATACTAATTTCCTCTTCATACCATTCTCTACCCATACAAGTGAAGGGGTCTGGGGTGTAAAAGTGCCATTGTAAATATCCTCAAAATCAATACGTTTCAATTCTTGTTCTTCATCTTCAAGCGAGAATATGACTAGAGTATATGAGCACAGATATATATCTTTTAGTTCACAATTCTCCAACCTTTGCTCAATTTTCCTAAAGCGACGGTCCATATAATCCAGGCAGTCAGTAACACTGCCAAAAATCCTAAGCATATCCAACTGAAACGCTTCTGTAAACGAGATACATAAATAAGTACAAACTATTTGATAATAAATATTTCTAGAGCGACCTTATTTTTAGGTGATTGGATAACATTCTCAGCATCATCATCAAACAAACGTTGATGAGCTTCGTCATCAGGATTGCCTCTATAAGTTTGAGCATGAACTGGGTCGACATCATCGGCTGGGTCGTCAGCATAAAACCCTTGATTCTGCATCCTAGGTGGATCGATTCAAGTGACAGCTGTTGAAAGAAGAGACTCCCTATCTTCAAACGCACTATCGCGACTGTTTATTCTTATTGCGTCAAAATTCCTCTCGCACTGGGTTATGGTGAGAATAAAGCAACTAGTTTTTTTTTTTGGAAAACTCTAATATGGAGTAAATCTCCAAACAAAGACAAATCGAAAAATCCTCGTGTCACATATTTTATTACTGTGTCTTTCCAAGCTCTTGTTTCTTTTGGTAAGAGCGCTCGGCACGGTAGATGATACCATCTAAAAGGCTGGCTACTGTAAATATACCCCCAATAATAGCGCACACACTTGTTAAGAAACTAGCTAAAGACTTGCGGTGCTCTGAGTAAATCACTAGCATCGGAGAAAAATCCATCATGAAAAACACGCCTATTCGAAACAAATAAACATAAATACAGTATAACATTTAGAGGTATTTTTCTTTCTTATACCTGGAAGACCGCCCGATGACTGTTCTCTAAGATTACGTTCCTGTCTACTGACAGAATATTGATATGTATTGAAGCTATCTCCTGAAAGGTAGTCAAACTTAGTTGGGACAATCTTAAGGAAGTATTGATACATCATTGCAGCTAAGATAAACAAAGATAATAAAATAATAAAGTCAGATGCAATACTTTGAATTTGGACAGGTAGACTATCGTGTTGGATCTTCTCAATTAACTCACATTCACTATTTCCCCACGAAGTATTGTCTAACGGATTAGTGAGAGAATCTACAGGAGTACGTTTGTGTTTGCGAGCACTAAGGTCCTGGTCACCAAACTGAAGTGAATGTAACTTATGGGAGAAATCATGATTGGAAGCCAGGTAGGGTCTGACATCATGTACGTGAGCAGAACCATGAGCAAATGCTCTTCCGGGTGAGAAATGGAAATTTCCTCGTACTTTGTTCACCAAAAGTGCTCCATGAATATTGCAGCCTTCTTGCGACTGAGCCTCCAACTTCTCACGCCAGCCCTCTCTAACGCACTATATAAGGTTCCTTTTATGTCAATTAAAGTCGCGTAGATTAAGTGTATGTCTACCTGCTCAGCTTTATCGGGATTAAGCTTCCAGCCCATATCTGTGTATGCTTTCTGGACCTGCTCACATGTATTACAGCATGGCTCAGAAACTCCATTTGGATTGGCACCATAACAGGGGCCACAATATCCGTCTGTAGGCTGACTCAGTGAGTTCTGAATTGAATCACTGGGATCTTAATCAATGAAAGTACTGGATTAGATTGTGAATTGAATATGAATAGCAATCATACTTTTGGCCTTTTCTTTCTCAATCTCATTTCCTTGCTTGTCCAGACGGACCTTGAATACATCATGCTCATAACCGCTAATATGCTCACCACTTTCGTCCATTACATCCAAGCTAAGCACTATTAATATATTATCTTAGTAGTCAAATAATTTACAGGGAATTTTCCATTAAGAGGATACTTACGGTAGCAAGGAAGATTAGGAAAGGTGGCATTGAATGTAATGGACATTCTTTGCTAACATTGTAGCTATAAGCTAAAACTGAACTGCACAGCTGTCTAAACCCAGTTACTCACCGACTTGCCACCATCCACAATGATCTCCGGGTCCATTGTAGGAGAAAGAAAACGTGATATCTCAAAGATGAGAAGGATTGCAATCACAAACCCACTAACGATTGTCACTATATACACCTGTCAGGAACCATATTTTGACGGTTTGAAAAACGTACCTGCTGCACCCGATGCAGTCCTGATGCGAAAGTCATCCAGTGTTTTTGCATATGCATCTAATCGTCGAAATCGCTGAAGGAACGACCTGGAAAGCATGATGAGCGCTGACAATGATGTGAAAGGGGGAGGGGAGGGGAGGGAGAAAGATCTGCAATAGTAGAAAGACCAGTGCAAAGGGACTGTTTTTTTATTATATATGTCTATATTTTCACAATTAATTGATCCTCTTTTGAGTGTCACCAGACTTCCCAAGTTTAATAAAATGCTTCTTACAAACAGTTAATTCATCAATTCTGAATATGTTTTTCAAATATTTATTAGTACGTTTTTGCCCAAAAAATTATTATCAAATTAGCAAATGATTGTTTTTCGGGTTAGACGATGCTTTGTGAAGATACAATATATGTATCATAAAAATATATTCTTTAGCTTTATGGATGATATATAATTTGAGTATTCTAAATGAAAAATGAGGCTGTCTTCACTTGTATCTCTAGGGTATTCATATTTTGTTCTAAGTCAAGTCAAGTGTTATTTTGTGAATACGTCTTTTAAGTAATTTAAGGGTTTTCCAATAGAATACAATTTAGAAAATATAAAAGTAGTTTTCTGTATTCTGAATAAATGTTGTCTTGTCTTGAGCTATTGCTTTGTATAAAAGGTATACATAATAAAATACCTATCTTATTAGTATATTTACAAATAAAGAATATACAGTATTTAATCGAATAACTGATATATAAAGGCTTTTGTGTATGTATATTAAATATTACGAAAAATAATATATCTAGAGATAGATAAACTGATTTGAACAAATTATTGTCAAACATAGACAACTTGTATTTTTTATAAACCCTTTGATTGATTCAAACATCAGTATGAAATGAAAATAGCGGAGTCAAATATCCACTATGAGTATACGTTTTTTTTTCGTATTTTTTTTTAACCTGTAATTTTTGTTATTTAATCTTACTCCCATTTTGATTGGTTGAAATGTTTGTAAATTCTTGCAATCTTTACTTTTGGTGGGGAACACTATTCTTGTTCGGCCTTGGACAAAGAGCAATACTTCATGTTTAAAAAGTAAATGATTAGCACATTTTTTTTAAAAAAAGTATTGCGCCTTACGTGTTACAATTCAGGTTCAGTTTCTCGGAGAACATTGCGGGCCAGTCCCAGCTTAAGTCCTCAGTGCAACGCTCCATTCGCACAAAGTTATCGGAGCAGTACCCCATGCTGGAACCAATTCTTGATGAGTTAATGCCCAAGAAGACACCCATTATCCAGATCAAAGGGTAAATATATACAAATACAATTTACAAAGACTGTACTTGCTGAGATCTGACGCGTCTATTAATTAGTCACGAACACATTACATTTTTATCTGTCAATGGCAAGATTCTCTTCTTCCAGCACTTTGATGGCCCATTCTTCCCTACCGTAAAGCTTTTGCACAAGTGTGAGTATAGAGACTACTTGCTGCTATATTCTTACTTATTTGATTTGACGCAGATCCCGATATTCTTCCCAAATTGCAGGTTGATAGAGGTGCTATTAAATTTGTGCTGTCAGGTGCCAACATTATGTGTCCTGGTTTGACATCCAAAGGTGCACGTATGGATGTTGATCTTCCCAAAGATGCCGTGGTTGCTGTTATGGCTGAGGGTAAGGAACATGCACTGGCTGTTGGTCTCCTCAAGATGAGCACGGAGGAAATGTAAGTTTCGATTATTTCTGTTAATATGACAACAATAGAGACTAGTATTAAACATAAATTAATTTCTTACTTTTCTTTTTAGTCGTCGTGTAAACAAGGGAATTGGATGTGATAATATCCATTATTTAACCGACACTCTCTGGAAGGAAACCGTAGATTATTAAACAAATAATGCTTGTATTTCTTTATCAATAAAGTACAATTCGACATTTCTTATTCAGGGTTTTGCTTAATTTCAGCCCCGCACCTAGTCACATACAATACAACACTTTTGTTGTAAAGAATCAAGACATTCGTCATGCCATTGCAACAAGACGACGATCGCATGCACATGCTTGCTGATGAAGAGGACCAAGGGTACACTTTATGCTTTAATCTGTCATTTTATTCCCACTCTTATTCTCGTCCCTGCTCATATTCTATCTTATATCACTGTTTCTCTTGATATGCATATATATATACATATATATATATATACATATAAGTCCTTTTTTATCTCGCACACAGCATGGGCTGACAAAGACAGAAATAATCCAGGGCATGGCAAACAGATTCATGTATTCTCGATTTTATATTATACTCTACCTAGGCCTTGGTCTTCTTAGTTTAAGCACTATTATCCTGGTAAGATTGTCAAAAGCCGAAAATGCTTATCAGAATGAAGATCTCACGCTTATTCATCATAGTCCATCAATGAGACATGGTAAACATTTAAATATACAGCGTAATTGTAGATAATTCTCGATCATACTAGTTATTTATTTCTGGTGCACAAAAAGCCCTTCGCCACTTTTTATTGTTTTCGAGGCGATTGTAAATGTAGCAATGATTCTCGAGGTTGTCGTCCGTTTGGTGGCTCTCCGTCGCGTAAGTGAGGTTTCCCGATAACAATTATGTTCTGCTAACCACTATAGACAACAGGCCTATTGGAAATCAATTTGGAATATAGTAGACACTGTCTTAGTGATTCTGTGTGCTGTTACTTTGGTGGTACTTGCGTCTGGATGTTCTGCAGGAGAACGTAGTGAGGCTATCTTTGACACCATCCTTCTGGTCATTCGTAATTGCTTCCAGTTTACACGTTTGTTTATGATGGTTCGCAAGTGAGTACAAATGATACTATTATTAGCCTGTCACCTAATTAACATATCTTTCTCTAGGAACAAAAACTCTATTAATGCACGCTCGGCTCGTATCGACTTTACAGATTTGCCTGATCACACCCGTGAGCCCTCTGTTGAATTTAGTGCTCTGGATCGTGATCGTGGTATCGAAAGCTTCCTTGGGGAAGGCTCAGACTTGGAACATGAACATTTTTAAACAAACCACAACTTCACATAATAACCTTCAAAGAAGAGCACCAATCCAAAGATACACAAATACACGATATACTCTTATATATAAATATAAATATATATAGAGAAAACTTGATGGTTCAAATTATTTTTCAAAAAAAAAAATAGAAAACAAGAAATTTATTTGGCAATTTCTGCAGCGTAAACCTCTGCCAACTTGCCGTCCTTGTGTGCCTGTTCAAATCTCTTACGGAGAGCCTCCAGCTCGGGGAGAGCTTTGTTCTTAACAATAAGATCATCAAGAGCAAGGAGCTGTCTGTCGATATCGGAGGGAGTTGCGGGGCTAGCAGCTGGCATACCGTAGTTGTTATCCTTAATCAAAGCCTTGAGAGTCTTCTTCTCTTTCTTGATGGCACGCTTGATAGACTCCTTATCTTTCTTGGCATTGGCAGCAGCATCCTTAGCATCTGCCTCGGCCTTTTCCTTGGCAAGCTTATCCTCTTCAGCCTTACGGGCGGCTTCTTCAGCAGCAGCCTTATCAGCAGCAGCCTTAGCATCCTTCTTGGCATTTCTACGCTTCTTCTCCTCAGCCTTGAAAAGGGCAATACGAGGATCAATGTTCAAGCAAGTATCAACAAGTTTGCGGAGGCGGGCATTGTCCTCCTTCTTAAGCTGAGCGCGCTGGGCACGGTTCTTCTTCTCCTGGTAACGCTTGTCATCACGACTATTATTTATATTAGTCCCGACTCTAGATAATCTTAGCGATGCATTAACTTACTTATCGGCACCTTCAGCACCTTCCTTGTCAAGCCACTCGAAAGATCTCCATGAGTCAAAGTTATACCAGAAGTCGTAGAAGCCTTCGACCTCCTCCTTGGTTGATTCCTCATTACCGAAAGAAGGAACTGGCTGCTTGTTGGAGAAACGAGCTTCGCGAGCAAATACAGCTGCCCACTGCTTGTAGAAGTTGGGTCCAGACTTGCTGGCAGGGATAGCATCATCAAAGTGGGCCATGCCGAAATCGACAGAATCGTACTGGCGACGGCTGACGGGGTTCATCAAAGTATCAAAGGCCTTAGCAATACACTTGAAGAAAGAATCGTCGTTCTTGTCGGCCTTCTTATCAGGATGGTGAAGGAGGACCATGCGGCGATGAGCCTTCTTGATCTGGTCTTCAGTAGCCTTATATCTGAGCTTGGTCAAACCCAAAACTGCATAGTTATCCTGGGTCTATATTTTTTTAATTGAAAATTTAAGAATAAGAATTTGCATGTATATATGTATGTGCCTTTGATTCTAGCAAATATAATTACCTTCCATTGGGTAGGGTCATTGTTAACAGTAGTGGAATCAACATCCTCATAGACAAAGTCGACCTTCTCCTCTTCAACAACTTGGCTAGCCTTTTCTTCGGCCTGGTGAATTTCGTCCTCAGAGAAAGTACGGTTGTTTCTCTTTCTACGGGCGTGGGCAAGGAAGTGCTGTCCAACGGGTTCGAGAAGACGAGCCTGGGTGGCTATAACAACAAATACATTTAAATTGAATTGATTGGATTGATTGGAACTAATTTAATATTTTTGTCAAATCTTACCAGTGATGGGAGCATGGGCAACAAAGGCCTGATCAGCCTTGTACGAAGCGGGGGGAGGGGGCAGCAAGAAGTCGAGTGTGAGGGACATGGTGGATATAACAAACAAAGCTATACTCTCTGCGAGAATCTTTAAAAAAAAAACTTTTTCCTTAGAATACCAGTCACGCTTTACCTGGAACCCATTATTGGGATTATGAATTAGAAATTATCGTAGGCCAATACGTTTATAAATTGCTTCAAAACAAAAACTTGACAACTTTTTAATAGGAAGATAGTTTTAAGGTATAAGTATTAAAAGACTTCGGTAAAAATAAGGTTCCAACAAATTCATTCAGTATAAAGTAAAAATTACCTTTGGTATACACATAATACTCCTAAACCTAAGTAGTTGATTTTAGTGGTGAATATAGCGCCATTGCCTTTTTTATACACTTCTTTACAAATTTAGACATTTTGAAATCTATGGATATCTCAATGAATATTTCTTTTTTATTAGTTATAAAAGCACTGACCTGGCTTTATTAACCTTTTACACATTTTTGTTTAATAAAAAATGAAAGAAATTAATAATTTTTCAGCTGTTTTTATGAGTAAAAGTGGGTACCGAAAATGAACTTTTGGTCCAAGTAACCTAAATTTCAGTGTTTAATGCTTTTCGAAAGTGAAAAAATAAGATATTTTGTTCAATGTTTGAGAGATCGGAATCAAACAAATTTTGAATTATAGGTTATTATAGGACGCACCAGGTTGCTTAAAAGTAAGCTGGTAACTTTATTTTTACTTTCGCGGTAATAGGTCAATATATTGTGTATATTACTGCCTGGATGAAACAATTTTTTTCTACACGCATATGGGAGTCTAGATGCTTTAGTAAATATTATTTTTCTGTTGCTTCTAATAACGTGGTGTTAAAGGTCTTTGTATATATATATATATTATTTAAAGACAAACATTAGCCCCCATTAGTTTAATTGAGAGATATAGGAAAAGTATCTTTTTTTTAACGCTTGTGAGTAATTAATATTACATAGCTAATACAAAATATATTCTCGCTCTAGTTACTCAGGGCATCTCCAACAGTCACTTTTATCTTAACTTTCATGTCGAATTTAATATTTTAGTTAAACATGGAACCCCCAACAGCTTAATTTATTTTATTTTAAGAAAAATTTACGGTTCTAAATTTCATCTCCCTGCTAAATTTGACAGAGATCTAAAAGTTTTAACTGAAAAGGCTCTCAATCATTCTACACTAAATAGTTTAGTTAAATGTCTTTCAATTTTATTAAGGGTAGTGTAGTTTAAAGTAAATAACGCACAATATTTTCTATTCATAAATTATTTAGACATTCTATTAACACCAACATGTATACTTAGTATGATAAAAGTCAAAAAAAAAAGATGTGAATAATGTATGGCAAGTGTGTAGTCACTTTCATCAATTCTTTCTGTGAGTATTGATTCGGTATTGATACTATAAATATATAATGTTCCATTAAAATAATACGTGAATTTTGTATATCTAGTGAATTTTATAATGTAGTAAAATATTTGCTTGTTTTTAGCACTGTGGCAGCGAGATGTTAATGTTGCAAAAAATATGATGACGGTTGCTTTGCCAACTTGGTAAGGAACCCATCGACCAACTGCTTTCCAGGGATCTGATAAAGGCAAGGAAGTAGCAGTCAGCTACAATAACAACAACAATAATAGCAACATTACAATCACTGTAACGTAAACAGGCTGTCTCTGAGACATTTAGACAATTACAGATAAAATGTCTGAATAAATTTCTACTTTGTCTAAATTTCATTCAAGTTCTGTCCACAAAAGATAAGCAAATGCCTAGAAATTAATTTTGATTCGTCTAAAATATTTCTTAATTTGTCTCAATCTCAAGTAGAAAAACTGTGTTCAGAGGATAAACAGGTATACTTACTGCTTTTATTTTTGCTTTATAGCTATTTCTTAATATCATTTTGAAATATATCTAGGGGTTTTTTTTTAGTAATTATTGGGTCCCTTTTGTGTCTACTTGTGCAAGCAAAAGAAAAAGACATCGGGTTCTTGAACAAAAAAACGCACAGGCCACTCTAGAGTAACTCACAAATCGGCGTTATAGATACTTGTACTCCACTTTTAGAGTTATTGCTACACCGATCAATACCGAGCCTTTCCTTGCTTCGTTGCTTCTTTGCTTCACTTTGAAGAGTCGCTTTTATAAGTACTTAGATTGAATATTATTAGCTGTTCTTTCTGTCGTAGAGCAGTTACACAACCCCACCAAAAAAGAAGAAATATATATATATATATAGCTTCATCACGTTTTCTCTGACGTGAGCGTCAGGCCTGACAAAAAGCGCAGTCCTAAACTTTAATCGCAGATGAAAAATTTTCTGTTACATAGTATAGACCCCCTCCAACGCGCGTCGCTTGTTTTCTCCTTGAGCAACAACAGTCCCGGTTTCATAGTGAGGCGTCTCTTGCGACCGTTGCAGGGAGATTCTTCCATGCTACAAGCATCGGAAAGTGAAATTTGTTACTCGCCAGCTCAGTTAATTCTGAGAAGTCGTGGGGCATGGTCTCTTTTCATTTTTGGAAGGACTACTGTGTACATCGCATCGCCATTGTGGAATCATGATGCTGGGGGGAGGGAGGTCTAACCTGTGGTGAGATGTGCTGGCTCTTCACTGCTAACCTGATTGAACTCTTTAACGGCCGACGGTGAAGCTACTGGTAGTCGAATGAGCTGGACCTTATCACCTAGTGGTAAGTTCTCTGGCGAGTTCGCACCCACATTACTCGGTGACGAGATGTGGGGCTGGATGAACGGGTGCTTTCCGTTGGTTTGCCACCATTCCAGCACCTCCTTCGCTACCAAGTCAGGTTTACGTCCTGAAGGAGATTGAGCCGCGTAATGCGGGGACAAAGAACTTGGTGTCATGCTTTTTATTTTTTTACTCATGTAAAAGAACATTAAGTGAAATTAAATCAAATGGAATAGTTTCTTTACGTATATATTTAAATAAATAAATAAAGTCTTTCTTAGCTATTGTTAACTTTAATGAAAAAAACACGCTTTTAAACCTTTTTCTCTTTACTTGATTGATGTCAATGTTGTAATTAGGTGGACTCATTTATAAGCAGAAATTAATCTATACAAATAAACATAAAAAGAAATAAAATACTATTTGTATATTCTTAAGTTGTATCGATAGCCGTGTTTAACTGTAGAAGCTGTTTTTGCATATAAAGTATATAAATGACATAATAATTTTTGAGAATGCCGATGGCGTGAATTGTATATGATTGACCTTGGCTAATTCGGACGGGCATTATTAATGACATGCATTGTATTGAGAGATGAGAAAGAATAAAGAAATGGGTGTTTGAAAGTGAGACAGAGAAGACGTGTTGCGCATTTAATACACAAGCGATGTCCCTATTGTATTTACACAGATTGTGCACAAAAAAAGTTCAATTTGGATGTATTTATGAAATAATAACCATTATTTTATAATCCTTTTGTACTTTGAATATCAGTGAATGCTTGTTGCTCTATTTGTTATTACATACACACATGCACAATTATATTCACAGTGCAAAATATGATTTGAATTTAAATAAAAAGGGTGAACAAGTCATGGATGCCAAAAAACAGGCATATTTTTGTAGTGAATTGAATAGCATAGAATAGAGTGAAAATATACATATATTGATAGAAGAAAAAAGCTTTTGTACATATATGCCGTATTTGAATTAATAAAATTGATTCTCGAAAGTTTAAACCTAAAAATTGTCTCGTTTTGGTAACATTTACTGAAAAATACACTTACAGTCAAAGCTCGATTTAGTAATACTTTTGGGAGAAGCCAAATTGTATTACTATTACTAAATCAAATGTATTTTTTCTTACTCCGCATATGTTTTTTAGCAATATTGCAGATTTGCTCTATGTGACTGCGAATAAAAGTGCTGAAAAAAATATTACTAAATCGCGATTATTACTAAATCAAATATTACTAAATCAAGCTTTGACTGTAATAGAAAACTTTCTTTATCTATATATTAAAAGCTATCAATGCTTCCCCACCAACAATTGTCTTATTTAATCGTCTTAAAGCAAATCAACTCAAATAAAAGAACTGATTCAGTTATATTATTATTGTAAAGCAAGGAAACAACGGACATTACCACTTTTTCTGTCATTAAAATCTTAAATATTCTTATATCCAATAATCAATACAAAGAAAGAAATAAAGGAACACTGGAGGATTGTATATTATTGTGTATTATTTTATTGAAATATATAGTGTAACAGTACAAAAATCATGCTTTGATTCTTGTATAATATCCAGAGATTACCCAGTAACACGTTCTTTTTAAGGCTTGAATCTGATCAGGTTCTGTTGTTTCCATAATTAAGTTTTTTCCAAATAGACTAGCCTTCTGTTTGGTAGTACTCATAACTAGTTTTCGAAGGATCTTTTGCTTTACTAGAGTATTCAGCAAGTCTTGAATCTCTGTGCGAACCAATACGTGTTTGAAAAAACGTTCTATGTTGGCTTCCGTAATTCCAGGCTTATTAATAATGAGATCAGTAACAGCACCAACACAACCATTCCACACAGACTCGGTTCTTGTTCCATTGACATCATTCCATATGCGCAAGTTGACAACACCTTTTACCGCTAAAGATTCATATTTACTAGAATTTTCCTCATTGTCTCCCTTATTTCGGAATGCAGTACTTGGTATTACCACCCATTGATCAAGACATGTGGTTAAAACAAGTCGATATGCCTCATAGCCAACATAAGCTACCAAAGGAGGGCTATGTTCAGTCATGATATGGATAGCCTTACGGATGTCCGAGTCCTGGATTTTTTGGCGTAATGGTATGACATTCTATTATTCAAAAGAAAATGAGTAAAATGTGTTCTTCTACATATATATATACTTTTCTCTGTGTGTGTGTGTACATGTGAGCCTTACTTTGATTTCAAGGATAGATAAGCCATCGTGTTTTGCGAGAGAAAGAGCAGCCACAATATCGTCGATAAGAGTCTGTAAGCAGTTATTCATGTGTTTTAAATTATTGTATGCGGATTCAAAAGCATCTTGAGTAAGAAGTATCGCAGTAGAATTGTACTCGACATGCTCTGGTATATTTTCTTGTTCCTGATGCTGATGAGTCTTGACCATAATATCAAAGTCAAGTCGTGCTGAATCTAAACAAATAAACTTGCGAAGTTTAATAGCAGTTCTCTCTCTCTTTTTTTAAGAAAAATAACAAGATGTATTGACGTACCAACAGAACGGCTCGAATGGAAATTTAATGAAGGTCGTTTCGAAAATTCCTCAAAGTCTTTTATAGAAAATACAAGCTGTTTCTAAAGTGTTATTTTTGTGCTTTATTTTTTTAGCTTTCGTTTATAAAAATTACCTTTCCATCGGAAAATTGATCCAACAAGCATCCCATTATACCACTGTTGAGATAGGTAGGGGATACTTCAAGGCCTTTATTTTGGAGCATGTGATTAAAGTACTCTCGTGCTTTCTGGTAATAATTATGTGGGAATGTTCCACTCATGCGACGTGTAAAGCTAATTATTTAAAATGTAAGGTTTTATATAATATATTAATCGTGTAAATCTCAATACTTTACCGGTCAGATATACCAAAAAGTGTACCTGGAAGCTTACGGAAATTTGTTGACTTGAGCCTAGCTACAATTCCTTCTATTCTTTGTTCTGTTGCTACCAATGCTGAAAGTCCTCGGGGCATCTGGTTCATTATGGCATATACATAAAAAGTATCGTAGTACTCCTCCGGTGTAAGCAGCACCATCTATTATAGATTAAATGGTAGGAAACCATAATATATATATTAGCATGTGATAATATGAGCTGTTAACTAAACTCACTTTGTGGAAACCCTTCAAAAACATTATTTGCCTTTGTTTGATATTCGTTTCTGTGGGATGGTCTGTAAGGACAGTATCCCAGCCATTTTTATCCGAAAATTTCGCAGTACATGTGACTGAGCAGATTATATCTTGTCTAGACTTCCTGCTGACTGCCCTGTGATAGTTGTCTTCTAAGAAAACCTTTTCATCGAGCTTTGATATTTTGGGGAAGTTGACTCCTTCAATAGGTTTGCAGGGCAAATTCAAAGAATTGGTAGGTAAATTGTTTCTGTAAAACATAATGAGTAAAATTATATATAATTAATATCACACTTTAAATTTCAATTTAAATCTTACTCTGATATATCCCTAGATCTTTCGAGGAAATAAATAAGCTCGTCTGAAATACCAAAAGTCTGCTTTGAAATACCCTCTGGGAGTTCCTTAATTCTGCCGGTTGCAACGCCTTCTTCATAAAGTATTTTCCACAATTTCATCATATTAAATATCTTTCTCTGATAAGATGGGATTAATATAATTTTTGAAAAACGTCCGCGCATCTTGTGTCTGTTCCGCTCCGGAAAGAATGGTACTGCCAGAGTCCACCGCATACGGTCATTCTCAGACCGATGTTTAAGAATAACATAACAGTAAACGAGCAGCTCATCTTCATCTTCACTCCAAGGGATACGATTGAAAGCAGGTCTATCAGTATATTCCTTAAAATCGGCTAACAATCATGTACATATGTAAAAGTTAATAATGTCATGTTTAAACATAGTAATAATCTTTTACCTTCTCCAACAACGGGGGTTTCGTCAGCAGTATCATGGTACAAACCCATAGGTTGGCTTCCAGTGTCAGTTGTAATATCACCATCACCTTTACTAATGGCTCTCTTCGCCATGCGAATAGCACCTGTAGAATAAACGCGTCTTTTAAACGGCTGGGTTGTGCGAAGTGTGATATTTGGGTTTTCACTAAACATTTTGGAGCGGCTCCTTTTCTTGCCACGTATATCGGTGCCATTTTCTCGTTCAATTACTCGCAAAAACTTCTTTTCGGTTTTTCTTACGAAAGCTTGCTCTATTTTTCTGAAGTAGCCTTGAATTATGGGATTTTCAAGTCCGAGTTTCCTTGCAATTTTCTTACAAAGTGGGACATTTCTTAAAGGTGTCATTCCGTTTTTTGGGTTTATATAGGCATTAAGGGCTGTCCTCTGTGCATCCGTAAACATAAAAGTTGTACTCCAGTTTTTCGCCGATATTAGTGAGAGAATACGAGCTTTATCCTCCTCAGATAAGTTAACTTTACTGAAATCTGGTCGTTCATTCTCGATTTTGTTACAAATATACTGGAGATCACTCCAATAGACATGTATATCACCTGCATCACGAATTTCATAATGGTGTATAGTGCGTCGCTCCGGATCCATAAGGTCGAATGTTGACACATGATCAAGCACGATATAAGAAGTTTCATCAGATACAATTTGGTTCGGTGGTAGGTCAAGTTTATCTGCACCCCCGGGTGCTCTCTTGATTAGATTTAGCCACTCTAGAACTTCTAAGAGGGTACAAATGCGACGCCTGAGCCTGTTTTTATCCGAGAAAATAATTAGACGGATGTTTTTCGGGAGGTTAAGGATCTTCACACTTTTGTTTTTAGGATTTTTTATGAACTCTCTCATTTCATTGTCTGTTTGAAAGAATCCAATAAGCGTAAAGTAATCTGCCAACGTCATTTGTTCGACAATTGCTCTGATTGAGATCCACCGAGTTTTAGAATCGACCCCCGGTAAGTTTCTTTCAAAAATCTCGATAAAGAACTGGTGGAGTAATTTGCACCTAATGTTCTTGGCACACATGTAGCCAAGTTGCATACCAATGATCATCCAATTTCCGTAAGAGCCTGTTGAGGGTCTATGAGTAGAAATCTCATCGGCATTTGAGTTATTGATGTTTTGCTTCATATTCGTAATCTTCTTTTCGATCTCCTTAACTTCGACCGAATTGTTGTTTTTGGCTTTTTCAAGATCTTTCTCCATTCGTCCTAGGCGTTCTGTAAGACGCTCTACTGGTTTTTCAATCTTTTCGAATTTCTTTATAGAGTATGTTCCAGGGTAAACAAAATGGTCTTTGTTCCAGATGGAAGTATAACTCTTTAACTCAGGGCCATCCAGGTCTAACCCTTTGCGGTAAAAAACGCCTCTCTTCATGATTGCTCCGCTCATGAGAGTGGTAGAAATTTCCTTCGTTTCGACCAACCCGTCTTTGTGAAGTTCTTTAGCAGTTCTCCATATAGTTTTCAGGCAAATTGTTTTTGAGGGGTTTATTTCGCCGAATAGTTCGGTAAACTTATCACAGTATAGATTTCTGAATGCGTGATTACGTACATAGATTGGGCATTCCTCCAAAAGAGCCATAAAAACCTTTTTACGCTGTTCCAAATAGTAGTTGACCTGCATTTCTTTTTTGGACAGTCTATTATGTGGTTCTCTTAAGTGAGGAGAAGACTTTTTTCTTTTTTTCTTTTGGTGTTCAGAAGAATTTGAAGGTTCTTCTTTTCCAGAGACATTTGCAATCTCACTTTCTGGGAATTCAGAAGCACTACTGTACGGACTGTCTTCTGTAGAACTAAGTCTTTTTCTGATTTCTGGTATTACGTTGATCATGTCTTCATCAGGGGTTTCTGGACCAGGTTTCCCGGTATGCTTCTTTATATCCGATGGCTTTGTAGATATACTCTTTTCTGCTTCTTCCGCATTAATCGATTGGATTCGGTCATTTGTTGCTTCTTGTTGGGGTTTGTACTGTGACTTAACAGGAGCAGTTACTACCTTTGACGAGTCCTTTTGTAAGTGCTCGATGATTGGTTCAGTCACTGAATCATGCGAAGGATTTTGGGCTGATTCAACAAGTGGATAAGTTGTTGTCTTTGGTAAAATGGCTGGTGTTTTCTTAAGAGGTGCCTTCGAAAAGAAGTCGGATATTTTACTAGTACTTTCGAACAGTCTTTTTGAAGATCGAGTAGGGACAGAGATAGGTTTATCGGCTTGCTTAGTTTGAAGTGTCGTTCTTGACCTTGTTTTTCTTGGTGCTTTTTTATCCAACATTTTTTTAGCAGCGGTATTGTCTATCGGTATTTTACCCACACCGCCTTTAATGACATTGACTTTATTGGAATTTTCTAGAAGGTTGGTAAGATCGACAGATTGTCTGTCAACGTCTGGACTCGAATGACTTGTAGCTTGCCCTGATTCTAATCCATTTTGAGTATTTTCCACAAAGGAGGATTCCTTATTATCCAAAATTGCAGTAGTCACAGGCTTAGTAGCAGCCTTTTTTTCTGTTTTATCCTTCAATACCAATAATACAGATTCTTGAGATTTCGGCGTAAGGATGTTGATTGGTTCTGTAACCGAATCATCAGGATGAACAGATCCACGAGTATCCTGGGTGCTACGTTTGGGATATCTAGATTTCTCTTGGGGCTTAAGATGAAGCACAGATTCCAGATCTGGATTATTCATCCCTATGTCATTGCCCGAATTGCAAGAAAGTGCCTTGTTGGTTGGAACGACTGCTACATCAGAAGGCTCGGAATTAAAAGTTTCTTCAACACTTGTTTCTCGAAGTAGAGTGTTGCTTGCTAATATAGAGCTTCTAGTATTTCGTTTGGGTAAAGCAGGTTTAGTCTCATTCGGCTGAGTGATATTCCTAGTACGTTTCTGCCTTGGATTTGGGGTTTCATTCGGATTATTTTCTTCACTTGATTTCTCGGCTGAACGTTTTGAAGGTGTTTTTGTTGCTTTTTTGAGGTTTGAAGGTACATAAGCATTACTTTCTGGTTCGAGATGTGATATACGTGCCGAATTTTCTTTATGAATGTCGACCTCAGCATGTTTTTGCTGAGACTGAGTATTTTTGGAAAGTGTTATCTTTTTACTAGACGTCGTAGAGTTTAATTGATTTCCCGAGTTCCTTGTAGCTGGAATCTTAGATCGAATAGATAAGTAATCGAATTCGACCATGTCGCTGTCAGTGAAAGGGGATGGGATATGGAATTCATCGTCAATATCAATGTTATCAATGACTTTCTTATAAGCAGTGTACGTATAATAACGGTACTGTCTGTTACGTCCTTTGGATTCAAGATGCCGATATGCAGCGTATGATTCTTTTCCTACTCCATCTAGATTGACAAGTTTGTCCATGATTCGAGTAAATGGAGAAGTATTTTCACAGCCAATTTCTTTGGCAATATCCTATAGTAAGTATAAGAAAGAGAACCCCAACAAAGCATTGCTAATGTCACTTGCCTTTTGAGTGACACCTTTTGTACCGGATTTACGCAGGACCATTATTATTTGATGTTCGAGAGTTACATCTCGTAATAGTTTGGTTGAATATGGAGTACATGCTTTTGCCTTTATAACCGGAAGTTCGATACAGTGCCTTTGTTCGCATTTAATGTTTTTAGATGATATATAATTAGGGCGGGATTCTTTTTCTATGTTGCGTATGATTAGATATATTATAGTATATACATATATACATATATTAAAGTTTACCGTCTTGATTCTTGGGAAGTTTTACGGATTGATTATTTTTACTCTTTGATGTATCCCGAAAGTTGAGTTTTTGTAAATGTCCTTTCAAGCAAAATGTATCAATAGCACGATTTAACCAGTTTTGGACACTTGTATTATTTAAATTGAAGTCCTAAATTACAATGAAAAGTTATAATTGTGATATAGTTAGTTAATTGCCTTACCAGACTACTAAGAATCTCGTTGCTGGATATAGAGTCATTTGGAGCTTTGTTTAGTAAATCGATAATTTTGGAAAGTAAAAGTTCGTGCGAGTAAGCAATCCCAAGTCTGTTTGTGTTGTAGGCACAGCAGCTATCCACTGTTTCCGCAGAAGTTTCTTTCGCTACTCCGTCGTTACGCTTAGCAGGTTTACCAAAGCGAACATGAGTATACAAATTGAGATTTGCGCCATTTAATGTAGAAACATTCCGGAAACTAAATTTATTTTGATCAATGCCTGATATTTATACAATATAGCTCTAAATTATAATTTCTTACATTGCACCTTTTTGTTCCAATACTCTCAAATATTGTCCAGTGGCACGAGAGTCGAATTTAAGCAAATCAGCCAATGTATGCTGACTAACTCCATTGTGCCGGGATTGTATAATTACTTTTAGAGCAGCTATTGTATTATTTGACAATAAAGGGCCAGGCTAAAGAGAGGGATATTAGATGATGTTTTTACAATTGTTATAATGCAATTTACTTACAGGCACATCTTTAAACAATTCCTTATTTTGAATTTCTTTTTTGGCAACAGCATACAAGCGTGATCCAAATAAGTTTAAGACTTGATTATACTCCAATTTTGCAATATTAGGGATAAGTATATAGCTGTTTGGTACATCCGGGATCCTCTGGAATTAATGATTGTGAATATGTATTGTTGAAAATTGTTTCATTTTAAGTGTACCTCAATCGTATTAGAGTTTTTTTCGTTCTTTGGATGGCTTAGGGATTCTTTCTCTTTCTCATTTTTGGATTCTGACTGTGTCCATGAAGAAGAGATTTCAGATTCATTTCTTTCCGAGGCCGAAGATTTCAATTTTGCTAATTGTGATGGGCTAGCTTCAAGCGATGATTTATCTGACAGATCATCGTCAATTCGTTCAAAGAACTGCAAGTCTTTAAGAAGTCTCAAGAAACGCCATACATAATTCTGATATGCTAAATCGATTTGTGGATGTGCAAATTTATCTTCGCTATGCTCAGATATTTCTTGGCTTGTGATTGTTTCTACATATGTCCAAATACTTCCAATTGAGGAACCTGAAATGAAATTAAATAAGGGTTTGTTTATCACTGCAAAAAAAAGGAAGAGTCGATCTTTAAGGAAATCTTGCCTTGGTCTCCATCAATAGCAATCTCCTTTTTTAGTTTAATTAAGATTGTGTCTAGCATGGCTAATGGAAAAGTGATCCAATCGAAAACGCAAATGAAAAAAGTAACTCGAATAGCTCAAATAAGTGTAGCAATTGGAATACAAGCACACTGTATGACGTCACAAAAGCTGTTAAAACAATGTTTCACTCTCTTATACTATATATGTTTTATAAGACAAGAAGAAAATAAGTTGATTGATAGAACACCTTAGGATGAATGTCAGCCGATTTTTGGAGTATACGCATATGTATTGACATGTATTGAATCTGACATTAAACGCATAAAATGATCTCTTTTCATTTCATATATGATGTGAATATATTATGGAAATATTTCAAAATACAGAAAACAATCATTGGGAATATTAAATGACTTCTTCAGAACAATTCAAGTTAAAGAAGAGGACTAAAAATCTATACTTCAATAAATGATACTCAGCCCAAGACCCTTTGGTTACATGTGTTTCTATTCTGGGAAATGGACATTTGACAAAAAATCAAAAATAATAGTATTAACAATAATAAGTACGGATAACACTATACTTCGTTTTTGAGAGATTTCGTGTGAATCGGTAGGGGTGGTTCTTAATAACCATAGTAGATATACATTAAGTGTATGATCCCGCCTTTGGATTTCCTTCTAAATTAAATGAAGATATTTTATACTTCATCTTTCACATAAATGTCCAAAATACAGTTCATCTGCTTTTTCCACTGATTTTGTCCTTCATTAAACAATTTTCCACGCACCATTGTGCACTCCGACAAAATAAAACACTGTCCTTTCCCCAGAAATACACCTCTTTTTGGACACACCATATTTCTTTTCCTTTTGCAGAACTTTATCTTAAAGCTAAATAACTTATATCAAGAAATGAAATAACCACATTTCCCTCAAAAAGATGTGAATTGTCAGAGCTTGAGTGTGGCGGTATTATTTGGATATATAAAACCAAAAACACCCCAATTGAGATTGCAAACGACATGGGTATCCCTCGAACGACAATCAACACCACCATAAAACGTCGGGAAGAGGCTAGTACTGCAAAAACAAATACCAGGCCTAGAAGTTCAAAGAAACTCAGTGTCACAGACGTTACAAATCTTTGCTTTCGAGTGAGAGCCCTTTTGAAAGTTATGCATATCATCAAAGGAATCTGACAGCTGTCGGCGTCATCATCTGTAGAGATACAGTTATTCAATACCTAAGGACCAAAGGCTTTGGGTATTCTACCCCTGTTTCGAAGCCAAATTTAACCCACAAACAGAAGAAGAATCGGTTGCTTTGGGCCAGAGCTAGAGCCATTTTTGGGACCGAGGACATGAGTACCACGTTTCGGTCAAATGAGTCGAGGTTTATGCTGAAGGGAAATGATTCTGATCCAGCCATAATTCGTAAGCAAGGGTAGAGACACCAGGAACATCTACACTAACAACAAAGAAGTATTGAAAGGATTCCGTAATGGCGTGGGGTTGTTTCTAGGGTGATAGTCTTGAACCATTATCGTTTCTCGAAGGGTCTGTAGACCAAGTCACATATTACCATTGTTTGTCTAAGGACTTCAATCCCTGGTATATGAAATTGAATGATGAAATGGACACCATGTTCCCATTCCAAGAAGATGGTACCAGTTCCCATACTGGGTCTTACACGACGTGCTGGAAAAACCGTTGGGAAATTAAACGCTTTGACTACTGCTCATTACAAAGTCCAGATCTGAACCCAATTGAGCATGTTTGGAATGCCATAAAAGCCAATTTTCAAGAGCTCAAGGCTTGCATTCTTCAGGAGTGGGAGAAACTTGATCTAGCAGGTCTTCTTCGTACTCTTGTAGCGAGTATGCCAGATAGAGTCCAGGCTGGGATAGAAGCTCGTGGTGACCACACCACATATCAAATTCTATTTTTTTACTTTCATAAAACATATATCTATATCCATAATAAAACGAAGTTTCACTCTATTTGATCGAGTTCTTTAGAATATATAACGGGGGTACTCAGTCAAGTTGTTCGAACAATCTTAAAATTCAGAAAGCAATATTACTGGGTTACAGTTTTAATAGTGGCAAACAAAATTTGTACGTCTTTTTGGAGGAACAGATATCGAACAAATTTTGGTCGAAAAACCCGTAAAATCAGTGAATTTATCGTGGAGAAAAAGAAAACACTGTTAGAGTCTTTATCAAAAAGTACAGATGAGCCTATTAAAGATATTTTAGAAGTAATCGAAGAGGAGGTTGATGTAAAGTTGGAGAAGATAGCTGCCGTAAAGGAGCTTGAACAAACCCTTAAATCCATTAAATACATACACAAGGTTGACAATGTATTGCACAATCAGAGTCTTTTAATAAAATCCTGAGCTTTTTCCTGGCCCCATACAAAAAAAACAATGCATTTCCAGAATTTGAGTCAAAGGAAAGAACACTTTGCCTCTTCGAGAGTCTAGGTGCATATGGGTTCAAATAAGAAAGCAGAATGTGCAAAAGCTTATTCTATAAATGCTATGATAATCTATGAATCTTGTACAAATTTTGTACTTTTGTCTTTTAGTGTCCTCAACTACAAAATAATACCATTGGCTAAGATTCACATAAGATTTTGTTCGAGCAACCTGGCTTAGTACCCCCATAGTGCAAATCTCCTTTTGGGGTAAAGCCATCGTTTTAACATCTCTCATACTCTCTCAGCCTTGGCATGTTTTGCGTGTGGGCTCTCTGTCTATGTCCTTTTTTCATAAGATCTGGCCCATGATGGGTGGCTTCCTTCAATGTGGTACCTTCCCTCCGATTTCTTTGAATACTTTCTGCCTCCCACGCCTGCAAGGTGGACTTGGTGTCATCGATCCTAAGACGCAGCAGAGCGCTCTGCAACTTCGTTGGCTTCAACTTATCGTTTGTTCTCTTCGGCTTCCGCCTGGTTTGGTCCCGCGCTGGATGTTTGGCTTACTACAGGCTTCACTCCCTTCTCTTTCTCCGCTCTTTCCTCTTCTATTTCCAAGTATACATCCTTCTGGATGGCAGGATCTTACCTCTCCTCTGCACTTAGTCTTCACTGCCACCGACCGTCTGCCACACAACTTTGATAATGTTGTTGTAAATTAGACTACTTTTCTTGCTTTGTCTCTCTCAGCTGTCACCATTGTCCCTGCCTCCCAAGCACGCTTCCCTTTATCCTGGTAAGATCTCTTGGTTTCCCAGATCTACGCATTTGACCCTGCCCCGGCGTCGCTACGGACAATCTCCATCACCACTTGCCATCGGCACTCTCTTGTTATTAATAAGTTCCTTGGTCGAGTTCAACTCAACTCAACACCCTCACATTCCGTTTGATCATTGTCCGTGCTTGTTGCTCTCTTCGTGAATTGGCCGAAGAATATCCGTCCTTGTCCATTCAAGATGGCACATCTATTGGCTTATATCTTCTCAGACTCGGGCTCGTCTTTCCACCCGCACTTTCCACGGGCTGTGTTCCCACCATCTCGTTCGTGCCCGCTATTCCGATCACCCTCTTGACTCTCGCCATTGGCGCAAATTTTGGTCTTTCCCTCTTCCTCTTGTGGCTTGCAAACTTTGGCTTCGTGGCCTCCATGACAAGACTTCCTGCCGAGCCCATCTTCACTTTCTGCTTCCTCTTGCTTTTCCTTCTCCTACCTGCTCTATTCGCTCCCTATCCTCCGACTCCCAAGACCACTTCTTCTTCACTTGGCCTCTCAAAAACGCGGCGTGGATCGGCATGTGACTGGAATTCTTTGGTACAATACCTACTTCAACCGCACTACACAATGCTTTTCGCTTCTTCTCTTTTCCGTCTTCCCTGAACTCATATATTCCCCCTTCTGCTATCTTTGGATGCACTCTTCTTGCTACAGTGGTCCCTCGATAATTTCAAGGTACTTAGTTCCCGCCTTGGCCTTGAAATTATCGAGGGACCACTGTATATGGCGTCATCACTGGACTTTCATCTTTGAAGATCCTCCTTTTGTTCCTTCTGCTTTTGTTGGTACGGCTCGCAAGACCTTAACCCGCTATGTCAAGAATTGGACCTCGATCCTCTCTTTTAAAATTAATACTTATATTTACCATAATTTACAAAAACAAAAAAACCCCCAAAAAACATTGAAAAGCTAGAAAACCCTCCAAACTAATGCTGTGATCACTCTTTTGACTATCTTCTTTTGAGTGTCATCAGACCTCCCAAGCTTAATAAGATGCTTCATACAAATAAAAAACTATGGTGTAAATATAATAGATATGCATACGAGCTTTCGGAATCACCCTTCCCATATCCCCTTGTCCCGCTCGTGTAACATTTATCATTATAAATATTTCTCTCTTCTTTAAAACATAATAAAAATTAATAAAAGTTCACTTTTAGTGATTCAAAATATAGGATTCAATAAACTGCATGGTTTATAAAATGGTAAATACTGACACATGAATACTAGATATTTCTGAAGGTTTATGTGTTTTCATTATTCAAAATAAATGATGGCTATTGAAAAACAAGATTACGAATATGTACACATTGAAGATACACTAAATAAAAGAAAAAGAAATACAAATCTATGTAGGTAAGCAATATAAGAAACTATCCAACCAAATAAGATAAAAATAAGTGGGGTGTTGTAGTGCAAAAAAAAATCAAGTGTTTTTTGGTTTGTGTGTGAGGAGGAGGAGAGGGGTTTGGAAAAATAAATATGCATATAATACACGATGATGATCCCTCCGAGTATTGATCCTGTTGTCTGATCCAAACTACCATTGAGACATGGTGTTGTGCCAGTTGCTACCACCACCGTTTGGGTGTTCTGCTACGTTACTGTCGTTATGACCGGGCAAAGTCTGGAAATTCTGTTGTTGTTGTTGAGGTTGCTGCTGAGGTTGCTGCTGAGGTTGTTGTTGAGGTTGTTGTTGGTAGTGTTGTTGATGAAGTGTATGCAAAGAAGCAGACGAGGTCATAGGTGATGTGCTAGGAGATCCATATCCCAACACATTTGCTCTATGTGTCAAATGCCCGTTTACGTATGCGTGGGGCGAGTCATGACCAAATGTGGGTGTATTACGATAGTTTGTCTGATCTGCTCTGGCTCCAATCACTTCAGGGTCATACGAGACTGCACGTGAATGGTCTCTGCTAGAAGCGGGTGTGCTATGATGTGAATAGTTGGGAGAAGTAGGCTTTGACAAAACTGGGTCTACCTCCTGCTTGGGAGTGTCAGTTCTATCTAGTACATCACTGCATAGCTGAGAAAGAATGGTTAACTTGGACCCTTCTTCATCAGATTCTGTACTACTTGGATCTCTTTTTATTTCGGTTTTAACTGGAGTTGGAGTGTTTTCTAGTGGAGAGCGCTGGTAGTTGTGCTGAGCAGTATGCGGCTCTTGTTTAAAGTTAACATGACTGATAGGAGGTTGACCTTGATTAGGTGTTACAGCATTTATAGTAGCGTTGTACTGAATAATTGAAGGGTGCATAGAGTACATTTGTTGTTGCTGTTGCTGCTGCTGTTGTTGTTGCTGTGTTTGCTGCTGTTGCTGTGCTTGCTGCTGTTGCTGTGCTTGCTGCTGTTGCTGAATAGAAGATTGAACCATATATGCTTGGGTAATCATATGAGGATGCATATTCTGATAATTTACATCGTGAAATGGGTCGTATTGGCCTGTTCCGAAGGAAGGATATGCCAATGTAGCAGGGTTTGCGCGAGCAATTGGTGTGTTGTGGGCCAAGGTAGAGTATATTCCAGCTTGGATAGCCGAACCAGCCACATTAGGTGAGGCTGGTGTTCCATCATCTGACCCATTACTTTGTTGAGGCTTACGTTTGTAAGGTCCTCGTTTAATTCCTTTTTTGCGTTCTTTACGTGCAGAGTTTACACATGTGTCAGCGAGATCGTACTTGATACAACGCTGGCAAGGTCTTCCATCATCACACTTTTTACAGGCCTTTTGACAGTTGACTAATACAGCAGTAATTGATGAGTCAATTTATGCTATATTTAATCATCCGTGCAAACGAAGAATAAATTAAACATACCACATGCATTCTTGACCTGTTTTCTTTTAGACTTTTCCAATGATCCATATTCCACAATTGGTTGCTGTGGATTATATGATTGTAGATCGGGGAGTGGGCCATTTAGCTGAGGTAGTACCGGAGGCTGATGAGCTGGTGTTTGCAACGAAGATATTGGTGCAGACTGGGGTGGATATCCACTATAGTACTGCTGGTTGTTGTGAACAAACTGCATCAGGCTGCGTCGTCAATAGAATTAGTCCCTGGGCCGCCATTTTTAAGTTCAGTCTCAGATTTAAACAAAAAACAAAAGACTTACAAGAGGTTTAAGAGTGTTGTGAGACAAGAAGGTCGCTAATGGTAGAAGGAATCGAATCAAGATTGCAATGAACAATGGCTAGGGGATGTTGAGAAACGGTTTGTTTTTGAAAAGGTAACTTTGGTATGAAAACACTGCAGACACAACAGAGTTCCACAAGAATATAGTATGACAGAGAAATATCACAGTGCCCGAGACTGCAAACAATAAAAGAAGTCGGTTGTGCTAAAAAAAAAAAAAAGGACGAACGAAAGAGAAAAACTTCAGAAAGAAGCGAAAACTTTCGGAGCACCAATGAAATGTCTTTTGGAAATAAGCAGAAAAAAATTTTTAGGGCTGGGAAACGAAAGAACTTCCCGGATAAACAATATTCAAAGAGACAGATTTTAGTTCTAAAGCACTTCTTTCTTCTTTATCTTCTAATAACTAAAAGAAGCCTCAAAGAAAAGCAGTCCATTGCATTATTACACTGAAAAAGAGTATATTATATACACATACATACACATACACATACACATACTCATACACATATACAAGCGGATACATCTAAAAACACAAGTATATATATATGTGTGTGTGTATTGATATATATATATATAAATTTTCTAAGAAGTAGTAGCAAATTTGGTCACAAAAGCTGTAATCTCATTGCGGCACGCAGCATTTGAAGGAACAACGTGACTATAACGCAAAAGATTAGACCAAATATATACATATATATTGTGTTCACTTACCCTCCCGGATGCGTAAGTATAACTGGATTAACAAATAACTCTGACAAAGCAATAGCCTTTTCTGGGACTATAAGTGTATCTTGTTCTCCATAAATATGCATGCTTGGCGTATTAATTGGAACAGAGAATAAGGACTGGGTGGCCTCTTGAGAAATTAGCTTAAATCCAGCACATATTATAGCAAATTTGAAGGCAGGGTGACCAAAGTCTTTAGAAACCAGACTAGGCATCACACCACGGTTCTCAAGTAGCTCAGACATGACAGCAGCAAGACCAGCGCCTTGTTTTTTTTTAGAATATTAGTTTATATTATTCTTTTTGTGTTCATCTTACCTTGCGAGAAACCAAAAACACCGTCGAAAGGTCCCTTTAAAATCAAAGTCTATGTTTACACCCTCATTTATACACTTAACAAGAGTATATTATATACAATACCTGCTCAATAAGTATATTTTTTAAATAATCAACTGATTCCCGAAATCCTTGATAGTAGCCTTCAGGCGTTGCACCACTTGGAGTTGGGTGCCACCATCCAAACGGTTTAGACTCTATTTAACCTATTCTAGCCAAAAATTCATCAAATGTATGAAATTACCTTCAGGTGCATGCTCATCGGCAGCAGCTTCTCTATGTGCATCGGATGTATAGCGCGGATCAACAATTAAATGAGGCGCGGTAACATATACTAAAAGGTAGATCATTAGGATTCTATATACCATTACTGTCATTAGATCTCGAATATAATTACTTAATTCAGCAATCTTGTCGAGCTTTTTACGAATCACGGCCGTTTTCTTGCGAAACACTGGGCCATTCTGAACCATTCCATGAAGACATAATATACGAAGTTTGTTAGGTGTACTCATGATGACCTTGTACAAGAGTTTTGCTGTAAACCCTGTCGATACTAATATTCTAAACCCGTCTTATCATACTGCGGTAAAATAAGGGACAAACTTTAGCCGAGTTACAATGAAAAGTATGTACAGAATACAAGATAACAGCGGATCAGATACAAAGCTTTATACCACGCATGTACTTTGGTTACATAAACTTACAGAAAATGTTACTCCATCCACAATAAATCATTTATAGAATTAGACGCTATCTAAACCTAATTTTCTTCTTATTTACAATACTACGGCTTTTCACCTTGAGAGTGAGAATATTCTGGAAAACAATTAGGCAAAAGAGTAATTTTTTATATACTGCAGAATTGTCTTTTATATGATTTTTCCCCTTTTTTTATTGGAAAGATAATGCGAACATCTAAAATTCCTTGTGACAATAAATAAGAGTAAGAAATTTGTATCAATGGTACCAACAGTCCTACGGGGACAACTTTCTATCTAACCGGACTAATTAAGTGATCACCCGTTCGGGGCCCGGTATCTCTCTCTCTCTGATCCTTCAGGGAAAAATTGTGTGTCCTGAAATTCATACAATATATTCAATTAGTAACCCTAAATTTAGACTTAATTGACCATAGAGAATAGCAATTAGTCGCAAATACACTATATCAATAGTCAGCTATATAGTAGATTGTGAGTTATTGTCATTAAATTGGAACGCAATCTTGTTGGGAATTTTACTATTCATTGGCCTTCTTACGCGTAGGATGTCTTTCTCTTTATTTAACCTATCTTATCTATATTACCAGAGAATGGCCCAAGGTTTATCATTAAAAAAAAGTCAAAGCCAGTTTGAAAGCGCCAACTGGTAATTAATCCCCACCCACCTTTGTATTTTTAATTTTTTTTTCAAAGCACAAAAGAAAATCTTGGTACAACTATTTCATATCATGGCTTGTACAAACTATTATAGTAAAAAGGATTCCTCAGGGACCAGATATAATTATTCCGTGCAGGCAAGAAAGTTGCAATGTGTGGTCCAGTAAAATTAAAATGTAGTCTCTCACCAGAAAACGCTGTGCCCCTAGGATTAGCGAAGATACAAATATCCACTGTCTGAACAATACACTTGCTTATCTTCTTTGTTTCAGAAAAGTAATGTCTTTCTTTGTATTCTTATTACTGCTGTTATTGTTAATTATTTATTGGTTTAATAACTTTCTTTCTTTCTTTTTCTTTTTAGCTTATACGCTTTTGTACACAATGCTGCTTATTTTGAAGACTGTCATCTAAAGCAATCCTCCGAACAGACACTTCGTATTTGTTTTTGGTAGATTATCTCTGAATATTATATTAGTACTGAACAACAGGTGTTCTTACAGCAGTATGTAAATTAGACAGAAAAGCTGAGTATTCAAAGTTGACTTTAACTTTTTCTATTCTGGGTGGGGGACCATTTCTTTTAGCTGTAGATAGCCCAAGTGGACATTTAAGCTGGATATTATACTCATTACCAAAGTAAATGAAATAAACCTAACACATCTAAAAGACTCAGCAAATAAAACTTTGTTTATTCACTCTAAGGATCTTTCAGCTTTGTAATCAAGGTAACTTCACAAATGTTTTGATCGCTTTCCCAAGCATCCTTTGCGTACCAAAATTGCAGGAAGATATGGAATATATGTAGATTTTAAAAAAAATCAAATTGCAGAAGATTTTACATAACCTTTGTCGATCAGCTCTATTTTCTTGGGACAAATAAGAAATTATTCTCTATAACTTATATTGTCGTATCGAGAACGGGGAGTTTTTTTTGCGGGAATTTAGATTCGTACAGTTATATAGGTTTATAGAATAATCCTTATTTGCCTAAAAACTAACAGTTGTTTGTCGCATTTTTTTTTTCTCTTCATCTAAAATCTAACTCTCGTTGATCTAAAAAATCTTAATCTGTCTCGATCTCAATTAGAAACACTGTAATCTGCTATAAGTGATAAGTTGTATGCGTCAAAAAAGAATTATTGCTAATAATACAATTGTGATATACTTTAGTCAAAGACATTATATATCAAGAGTACCCGGCTGTTTGAGTTTTTATAATATAATAAAGTATAATAAAATAGTTATAAAAGATTATTTTAATATTGATAACATTATATACACAGTATCAGCAATATATATATATATATACTCTTTAAACATCGATAAGAGACTTTGATCTATATTAGTTGTTAAGATCATTTACTGTATACAACTAATTATTTTAATAGACATCATACTTCAGTTATATTTAGGGCTTTGTAGTTAAAATAGCACTTATTTATAAACTGAACCACGATGCTATACATGCTTTTCTTTCCTTTTACTAAAAAAGGATTTATTTTTAAAGCTAAAAAGAACTTTCGAAAGCTAACCGATCAATTTTCTATTGATTCATCTCAAATGATTTCTTTTTGAATACCTCGTTTGAGTAGAATGGGGAAAACATGTGAGGAGTGGTATCAATGATCAAAAATTTTAGAGACCCTTTTTAATCATGAATAATTGCTACAACAACTTTAAGATTTATGTTTACAAACGTAATTCATTCAGCTTGAGGTGATCAAATCAATAACAGTTCTTGATTAGCATGTTGTGCTGTGCTTCACAAAAAGCCTCTCGGTGAGTAAGTGGACCCAAGCAAGGCGTACACAGTCACATAAAAAAACGCCGAACTCTTATTCGCAAAGCGCAAAAATAACGAGACTCCTCCTCTTCAACTCATTTTCTTTTCTTTTGTTTTCGTGTCTCTTTTTTATTTCTTTGCTTTCTCACTTTATTATTATACGTTCATGACAGAAGCACCCATACAGCGATTGTCATCCGAGACGCTTCTTAATATTGCACTCATTCTCGATGTACCTTCCATTGTTGCACTGGGTTCGAGCTGTAAAAAGTTCAGCGCTCTTCTTACCAATGACCTTTTGTATCGACGTCTAGCAGAGCGCGACTACGGAATTACTTACAAAAAACCCGATACAACGTGGCATGACCTTTTTAAACAACTTTATGCATGTCAAAATTCTCTCTGTCGCCATCTCTCAGACGTGGCTGATGAACCAAGCGAAGCTAAACGGACAATGTATACTGTTGCCATTAAGGCACCGTCTCTTTGTGAAATTTGCAAAGAAAATACAGCAACTCATCTCAGCATGGCACCAACAGCTGATGGCCAAGGTAACTTATAAGCGAAAGAAAATAATTTAACTCAGTGTATAGTGTGCCGTGGCTGTCTTTCTGCAAACAAGGGCGATGTGTTCCCTGTTCAATTTGATTTAGAATCAGGGGATTTGGTCTGCTTTGGCTGTCAGAAGGAAGGAGAGCCTCGCGTGGTAAGAGTTCTAGTGTATAATATTTGAGACCTATTCTGAAGATGTATGTACCTGATAGCTTGGTGAGGGCCAAGAAGAGGCCAAGGTGAAAGGGATTTTGGAAGCATTGAAAACAGAAGACGAGCAAGGGAGTTTGGACCGTCGACGCAAAGCCGAACAACTTTTGTACGTCCAGGAATTACGACGAGAGGACATGTCTCTTAAGCATTATCTCGTTGAAAAGTCTTGGAGTCGAACCTGGATGCTATTCCGCACACGTAAATATATATTGCTTGGTTTTATACATATTTCTTATATGTAATATAGGGGAAGGATCACCGTTGCCAGGAAAGATTACAAATCACAAACTGGCTCGTAGCAATGGCATGTTAGATCCAAATATCCGACTTCCTTTGGATAAATACAGACCTGCCCCAGAGACCCATGCTGATATTGTGAGTGAGACACTGTGGAACTATCTTGAGAAGGCATACGGTGTACAAGGAAGGGCATACAGCGAAGGTAAAAAGTTAATTAGTTTTTACAAGCGTACTAAACAGGGCTGTGTAGATGATCTGCATGGGCCAGAGTATGTTAGACTGAGGATCTATTTCGATGATTTCAAAACCAGTATATTATCATACCCTTAATATCATCCCTTCCACAAAACAAGCAAACACACAAACACAAACACAAACACAAACACAACACAGCCACCAACTCACTCGCAAAAAAAACAAGCATACACACATATACACACGAACACGAACATATACTCCCTTGCAGTGCTATATAGGCATGCAGTTCAAGAGCAAAGTTTGTCAGTGGTTTTTTTTTGAGAGAAATGGTTTTTGTATACAAAAAAAATGTCCATGAGGTCAAGTAAAGATACAAAACCCACTTCTTTATATATATAAATGTTATTTTGGGATATAATTATAAGCAATACGAGTGTTATACCTTGTCATACTGTGACAGATCCCATCGCCCTGCCTTACGACCCACTTTTTTAACAATAAGGACGCATGGGTTTTGATCAAACCGCATGACAGCCGTAATGTTTTGCTTTCCGCACTGCTCTCGGAACATAAGCACCTGTTTGGCAAAGTGAAAGCGTTGAATCATGTCTTGAACAGGCAAATCTTCGTGTTCTAGACATAGTTTCATATAGCTTTCTGGCAACATTGAGTAAGCTCTAGCCAATTCAACCATGCCTCGCAATGGAGGTGTCTTTGCCGGCATATATCCAAACGCTTCGTTTTGACCAATACAGATCCCACCTGTCATCTTTGCACCAATTGGAAAAGCTTCGAGTTGGTTAACTAGCCTGTGAGTCAAATATTGAACTAGATGGTGTTGAAGTGTTTCGGTCCATCTTTTTCGGCTAGTTGTAAACGAACGCAACAGACGAATCCAATGATAAATAGATATCTGGTTGAGGTGTTGGTTGATTGAATGAATCAACATGTCAGATAAACTTTCCATTTCGAGCTCTTCAGTAGCTTCTAGTAGTTCCAATGCAACACGTGGGTTCTCATTAACAATAAAGCACACATCTCCATAACTCAGGGGCCGATACAAATGGCTAAGGACAGTGTAGATGGCTTCGGACGACAAATCGAGATCTATTTCCAAACTTTTCCCGTGAGGTTGACTTAGTCGTCTGAAGAAGGCAGGTGAGCGTGAGAGAACAAGCGAGTGAAGAGCATACGACTTTTGGAGTGTGGGGAAGACGAGATGAATATCCGAGAATTGGCCTATAAAGTATGGAGTGAGACCGAAGTACTAGGATTAAAATCGATTGCTTACCTTGCAAGAACCCGACATGATACAGATAGTCGCAGTAGTCCTGCATGTTGTGATCCGAAAAAATAGGAGTCCCAATGGGAACCATTGGAGGAAAGAAAGTTTGTTGATGATGCGGGATCTGCCCAAGCATCGGCATTGGCATCGGCAGCGGAAGGGGTGGAGAAGCATCACGGAAGGAATGGTCAATTGAATCCATTGAGCCATGATATCCATTCAGGAATTGAGTATGATTATGCGTGAGTAAAGGTGTAGACATGCTGAAATAGATATGATACACGAAAAAAAGACTAACAAGACGCGGGATCTGTCAGTTTGATTCTGAGGCATGATTAAGACAATATTTGCCATTACCTTTATATATATATATATTTACAGTCAGCGCCCTGATCTTGTCTTGCCAAAGAAAAGAAAAAGATCGTTTGGTGAGGTTCAATGTACAGAAAAATAAAAGAAAAAAAAAGAGAAAGCGCTACACACAAAGAAGGTGAAAAACTCGTGTACCCAAAAGGGGACGACCATCATGCTCAGCGTGACGTCTTTTTTCATTGTCCTCTCCATGGTCACTGCCTATGCGACTCCGTCACATTCACCACTCCAGGAAAGGATGGAATTTCAAATGGTTAGCTCACTATGTTTCGATTTGAATTCCTTGAAAATAAATGTCGTTTAAATACGTTTGGTAATTCTTAGGGTAATAAAACGTGTGTATACCTTACCTTGTTTTTTTAAACGTCTTTTTAGTGTGGAGTCCTATATAGCGTCTCGGGCTCTTAGTTTTATATCAGACCAATATATCTAATATCAGTAATCACGTCCATATTTTTTTTAGTAATACTGAAGTAAACATCATTTTCCCTTTCATTATTATTAAAAGCTAGCTCTTATTTTTGCTGCGTCAGCTTATTAATAAAGTCCTGTTTTTTCTTGGAGCTGTGGCGAGGCGTGTTTGAACATAAAAATGTAACCCTGTGCTTTAATTTTTGGAAGTATGAAAGCTCTTAAAAGGTCTGGGCTGGACCATAGTTCTTTATATAAGAGAGAGAAAATAAAATATAGAATATACTGAAGCTACAATCCCGAGCCCTATAAAATCTCCCAATATCTTTTTTAGGGTATATTCTATATAGTATATTAAAAAGTACATGTTCTAGCCATTTTATGTGGACTCTTTTTTTGTAGTGTTTATTAGAAAGTAATGTGGACTCAAAATAGTATATTCTTAGAAAGTGATAAAGCATTGTAAATTTTGTCTGCCAAAAAAAAACAGTTGAAACAAAGTATGTCCCACATAATTTTCCTGAAATATTATGTGCATCTTTCGTCTATGATGCAATTGATAAATATTGTACATCTATGGTACTCTAGCAATAGTGAGTGTAAAGTATGTACATAGTAAAGAAGATATATATATATCCAGCTTTTAGGAGCTTCGTTTTGAACATATAAAAAGAAATTTCCCAATCTTTAAGAATTAGGATACTATAAAAGGAATCTTTAGACTTGTTTTACCCTTAAGATGTCAAACATAGAAAATTTATCAAAGGCTCAAAAGTTCTTAACTTTCGGGGCATTTTATGACACTATATAATATTATTATTAATAGAAATGAACATATATATATATATATGTATTTAAACAATATTGAGTAGTAAAGTATAGTGTAATGTGATATAATATGATATGATATGATGGATAAACGTGAACTTTGAAAAATAATAATACCAAAACCCTATGTAGTGTACTTCTTACTTTTTCCACTTATTGAATGATTTGATGATAGCTGCTTTGATAATACCAGCTGCCTTATCATTCTCTTTCTTGCTGAGTCCGATAGTGACATGTATTTTGATACTTGGTCTAGGGCAGGCCCGTTCTTGATCGTAAACATATTTTGCTCGGGTGGTCAATACGCCTTGATAGGCACATTCATCAACAACATCCTGCAGGAGTTGTTCTTCGTCTTCTCGAGAAAACTCCGTTTCATAATCTCGCAGACGAGATCGCAAGAAGGAGAGCTTAGCACGGATATGAAAAAATGGCGAAGGCGACTCAATATCGCCTACATGGATATCAACCAAAGGCTCAAGCGATTTGTTAGCCAATACGACACGGAAAGAACGAGCACGATCATTCAATTCTGCTAGCAAGGAAGGCTGATTAAGAATAATTGAAATTGCTTGAGAAGCAGATACAGCAAGCATTGCCGGAATTGAAGCAGAGAAACAATATGCGCTTCCAGCAAGTCTCTGGTGATCTACAACCTCTTCATTGCCAGCACAGAATCCACCTGATGCACAAAGAGCATTTGCCATTGACCCTACAATCATATCCACGCTAGTAGCCTAGTGTTGTATTAAAAATTCCGAGCTGTTACTTTAAGCTTGTATCAATTATTATTATTATTATTATTTTATTTTATTTTGTTTATTTTTTTTAAAAAAAAAAGGCTTACAGGAACATTAAATAGATCTGTCAGGCCAGCGCCTCTGCTACCCAATACACCAATTGATTGAGATTCATCCAAAATTAAACGATATTTGAATTTTTTCTTCAAATCAAGCTATATAAAAAATAAATACAAGGTTCTTCAGATAAACATGATTTGCGTTATCAGCAAAAAGAACCTTACTAGCTTATCAAGCGGGGCGATGTCGCCTTGGTTTGCGAATAAACCTTCCGTGACGATAAAGCGACGTGTCAATCTCTTTCTGTGCTAAGAAAATCAAAACAAATAAATCCCCCTCGTTTCTTTTGAGTATACAGCCAAAATAATAACATAATGAAGTACGTCTTACCAGTACATCTTCTGTTCGAATATCTTCAAGAACACGTTCAAGGTCATCCATGTCATTGTGCTTAAACCACCTCACATTTGATCGAGAGATCTGGACACCTTTCTGGACAGCAAAATTGACCCCTTCATCACTTAAAGCAATGAATGAGTAATAAACAAAACAGCACAGGGGTCAATTTTAAGTGGATATATACTTACACTACCAGTAAATCACCACGCTTAGAAAATGCAGGAATAACAGATGAAATTGTTGAAAATCCTTGCGCATAGATAATTGCTTGCTCAGTACCCAAAAACTGTGCTATGTCATGTTCAAGATCCATGTGAACATCAATTGTACCATAGAAACCAGGTGGACCACATGAGCCTACACCATAGTTCTTTAGTGTTTCAATGGCTTTAGTCCGTATCTGTTCTGACGAAACTAAATTCAGGTAGTTTGTAGTAGCTAAGTTCATTAGGGGTTTTGAATGATCAGCCACCTTTGGCTTGACTGACTGAGGTCCATTAATTTGCTGAGAGTTTTTGAGGTTGAATTTATCAAAAGAGCTGAGGGTGGGTACCAGTGGTTCCGGTTGCCACTCTTCTACAAGGTCATCGACTTCCTGCAAAAATCAAATGGAAAGCATCAAGCATAAAATAAAGCAGCTAATTAATATCTATTGAGCCAGGGATTGCTTATAGGCATTTTTCTGTATGTAAACTCTACTTTTTCTGTTAGTTTGACTGCATTGTCATGAGGTTTGTACTTCTTTGATAGCATGTATTTGAGAGCAAAAAAAACCAAAAACAGCTCGAGCACTATACGGAAAGGATCGTGTTGATAGGCAGTTTTGATATATGTCAAGGCAATATTAGACCCAGGAATGGCTAGTATAAGCTTATATACTGAGCCAAGTGTAGCATTGATGACATGATTAGGATCGTCTGCCATAATTCTGGATGGCATGAAGAAATGAAGGCTTGAGAGAGATTCAATACTGGATTTGTATTACTTTTTTTTGGCGTTTTACAGTACTTTTTATACAAAGTTGTTTGATTCATTTGCTACAGTAAAAATGGCATACAGGCTCCGCTTTTGCATAAAGTATGGAGATTACCCCTAATATTATTATTATTATCTTCTCATACTTTGAGAAATAACAATAACAAAGGATGCATGCTTATAGAATTATTATGAAGATCCACTGCTAGCAAACCACTTGACAGATCTGTCGTCGGATACAGATACTAGCTTGGTTCCTTCAGGATTCCATGCAACACCCCACACCTTTTTATATATATTATGTTATTAAAATATGCAATGATTTGATTGACTGTGTGAGCGCTTGTATATATATTTACCTGATCCGAATGAACCTCCTGTGTCTCTATTACAGACCGCATTGCGAGATCCCAGATCTTGACTTTTTTATCTGACCCAGAGCTAGCCAATTGTTGTTTACTGATATCGGGATTGGCGGCAACAGAAAGAACCCAAGCACTGTGGCCAGTCAATGCTGAAGCAAGCTGTCCATGTTCAACATCATGAACATAAATACACTTATCGTCGCTACCGCTGATAAGTGTACGGCTGTCTGGTGCAAAGGCCAAAGTGCGGACAGCCAATGCATGAGCTATAAAAAATGTACAGAATACAAATACAAGATTAATATTTACATAGTGTACATGATTTTTTTCTTTTGGAGGTTGTGGATGGTTACATGAGAGTGTGTGCGCGAGTTGATTGGTTTCTACATTGAACACATAGATAGTGCCATCCTCTGCGCTGCCAGCAAGATATTTTCCATCTGGGCTCTAATAGATATGCACACATACACATGTATAACAAAGAGGTTAGGTTATCATTAACGAAAAGAAAAAATCTTATCAATTAGACTCATTACATAGGCAGTGCACATCAAGAACTTTTGCCTTGTAGCAAAAGTGTGAGCCTTTTGGCCAGACTCGACATTGTAAAGGTGGAGCTCTCCGTTGTGCGAGCCTGTCGCAACAAATCTGCCGTCAGGGCTGAATTTAGCGGTCCACGCTTCAAGAGATGAAGCCGTGATTGTATTCAAAAGAGCACCACTATTCTCAAGATCCCAAATTTTTATAGTTGAATCTATCGATGAAGATGCAAGACCTTTATATATATGTATATATATGTCGTAATAATGGAGGACAAAAAAAAATAAGTTCAAAATACACACACACACACGCACACAACTATATTATTTGGTTACCCACGTTTTCCATCTTGAGTCACATCAACCGATATTACCCCCAAAGAATGTCCCTCGAGATCAAACTGTAATTCTCCTGATGTACCATCCCTAAGATAATGCGTTTATTGGAATTATACATAGATAAATATTTATATACTTTTCGTGTGAATGTACAATCTTTATTAGAGTGTAATACAATAAGAGACTCACCAACATTTGACAGTAGAATCCTCTGATCCAGTGATTACATAATTTGTATTTTTCGACCATGCAACATCCCAAATTCCATCGTTGTGGGCTAAAATGAAGAAATAGATCAGTCAAAAATTAAAAATAAATCAATAAATCAATAAAATGTTCGATCCAGTACCATCATCATTCACAATGGTGGGGATATAGGTAGTAGGCTAGAGTAACAATAGAAGCAGCAGGTATGAACATACAACGATCGTGATGAAATATCAACATACCATTGTCAAATAGATCCTCGCGTTCGATAGACTTTGAAAGTAGCAAGAGGTTGTCTGTGCATTGTAAACGATTTCGATGACATCACATGCCCAGAGTTTGTGATTTTTTTTTTAAAAAAAAAAGAAAAGAATAAATTTCAGTGGCAATAGTACCGTTTTTGTGATTTCAAATTAAACATTCACGACTTATTAAGATTAAACTCGCGAAATTTATAAACGCCGTTTCCAATATTGTGCCATTCCTAAGAATATTGCGATATTTGCAGGTTTAGCAATAATTGGGCTAACTAAATATGAAGAAAACAGGATTTGAGTTTGTTTTGAAAAAACGCGAATCTAGTGTTAAATTCTCTCACGAGTTAGCACAACTGGAACATATTGTATGGCTTTATTCGGTTTGAATTCCTGGAAATAGGTTTTCTTTTAGATATTCTTTTATACTATAAATTTATTATGGCGATATAAAGAGCATATACATATATATATATATATGTTATTTAATTCCATGATAAGCTTTAATATTCTCGGCTTAAAGGAGTTAATAATGACTATGATGAAAGCACATCGATTTAAATATTGCTTGTCTTTAAGATATTTTTTTTAGCTGCAAGCGTTCTTACCTGAAAAATTGATTAGTAACTAACAATAGCTACGCAATTTAATATGCTTTTTTTTGTGTATAGCTTGATCCTTATACTTTGGAGTAGACTTGTAAGGAAGTTGGGTACCTTTTTATACATGTGATGTAGGTCCTGTTGTACGAGTGCTACGAGTTACAATTGACGGTCTGTGCTGTCTGAAAGATAAGTTGTTCGTAATTTAAACTGGTTGGAGGGACAAAGGTATCTTATAGGAAATCTAGAAGATCAAAAAGGTAAATCGTAACTTGTCCTGTCGAGTTTGTTATAATTGCACCACGATATCACACTTGACAATGCCAGAAAAGGAGTTTAGGCACTAAATCTGAAGTTTCTGATAAGCAAAATAGATCTTGTCCTGTCACACAGTTAGAAAAGAAGGGACACATATACGCCAAATGGAACGACCTCTATCTCTTTATTATGTCTTACCATCTTATACATTCTCTCTTTTCCCTATCTCTCTTTCTCTCTTTCTCTCTCTCTTTCACGCTCTTTCTGTTTTTCTTTTTCTCTTCTTCCCTTCTTTGTTCTTTTTCTCCTTTCCTTTTATTGTAATTACTCGATCCTATATTATATACACTATCTTCTATAATGTCAGCCACCAGGACACCTTATCGTCCATCACTAGCTGACTTTACCACCGAGACACGCCAAACCACGGGTGATATACCCCCTGCCCTTGTCGGTGCATCTACCACATTTGTCAATAATGCGGTATATGTATTTGGAGGAAGACTGGCCACCAACCACCAAATTACCAATCACCTCTATATTCTCAACCTCAATACCTATGTGTGGACTCGTCATTTTGCCGCACCCGACTCTGCCCATCCACCACAGCCACGGCACTTTCATTCAATGAGTGTTCACAAAAACCAATACCTAGTTCTGTTTGGTGGAATGGGATATGCCTCTAGTCGAAAACGCCTTGAACAAAATGAAAATATATGTTCCCTCAGGGATGTGTGTTTATTTGACACAAAATCTCTCTCATGGATTACATGTGAAGTACGACCAAGTCTGTTTACACCGCAAGCGCGCTATGCTCACTTGTCAGTTTGCGCCAATGACAAGTTAATTATTATGGGTGGGCAAGATGTTGGCAATCGTTATGTACATGAGATAAGTGTGTTCGATCTCATTACCTTTGCTTGGGTACAGTGCAGTCCTCTCGATAAACCCTATGGAACGTACCGCGCAATCGCATTCTGTCCTCCCACAAAAGATATTGCAATGTTCAAAAGCGCTTTGTATTACCCAGAGAAACCAAAGAAGAACTTTTCTCTCACAGCAGCCGAAACAATGGCAAGCAATGACCCGACCCTTGACGTAGATCTCACAATGTGTGTGTATTCCAACTATAATTTCACAAATGTCACCCGAGATCTTCAGCTTCTCTATCCTCTACGCACCCAGGCCACTGTCGAATATCATGACCGGTCTACCCAAATGTCGGGCTCTGTGTTGCCACCTGGACTGCGATTTCCAACTGGACGAGTTATCGGACACCATTTTATTCTCATTGGTACCTACTTGTCTCCCACTCAACATGCATTTCATATCTGGGCGCTTAACCTAGTTAACCTAACATGGAGACGTATTGATGCTGGATCTGCTTTGAACACTGGTTCATGGAATCAGGGTTTCCTGCATGAGGATAGAAGAAAAGTGTATGTACTTGGTAACAAATCTCAAGATTTGCTTAAAGACTATCATGGGAGACGAATGAATTTTGAGCATCTTACTGTTGTTGATCTCGAATCTTACGGGATATATCCTCTTCCACACGCAATCTACTCCAGTACTGCACAAGCTATCGGACTCGAAATGCTGAACGAAACCATGGTGGCGGACTCTGAATTGTTGACGAGCGATAATGTGTGGGTGCCTGTCAATTCTGCTGTTCTGTCTTGTCGATGGCCATTTTTTGCCAAACTGATGTCCCAAGAAGAACCTCGAACTGCATCAAATCAGGAAAGATGCTATCTGCGGTTCCCAGAGAATCATGCTGTTGCAGTGGCCTTTTTACAATTCATCTACACTGGTCACTTGATGACAGCCCAGCAACAGAATCCTCAGATCCTGTCTCGCCTGTTGATCTTGGCTGATATGTACCAAGTTCCTCGTCTCAAAGAGCTCGCTACACATGCTATGCACCAGAATCTCACAATTACTACTGCAAGGCTTATTTATGAGACTGCTGCTTTGACTTACCAAATTTCACTTCAGGTCCGAGCATTACGGGTAATGCTGAGTTCAAGAAAAGTACTTCATGAAGCGGTCAATCAGCCGGGTGGTTTGACAGGACTTGATACAGCAGAGTCTAGTTTTCTACCTTCACCTTCAAATGGGTCCATGTCTCCTGGATTCTCATCACTTGTTAGTCGACCTTCACATGATGATACCTATTTCTCCAGATCGTTTAGTATGGATTCTTCATCGGACGAAACGGCGCCCATTTCACCATCAGCTTCTAGTCCTACTTCAACTCCATTCTTTGGTATCCGACGAGCAATGCAGCCTGTCATGATTCCAGCACGGTCCATGTCTACAGATCCTTCCGATTTTGGCCCTATGTCTTATTTGTACTCACCTCGGCGGATGGCCAAATCCGCCTCAAGGTCAAATACCCAGCCTTCAAGTCCCACAATGAGACCAGTTCCAGCCACTTTGCGATAAACCAAAAACAAAAAGTGTTCAAAAAAGCATCCTCCTTAACTTACCCTTCCATTCATTTCTTCTTGTGTATAACTTTATCTCTGTCTTATATATTTACTGTGTCTAAAAAAATATTCATTAATTTAGTAACAAAAACAACAACAACAAAAATACTCCTCTTTATACTTGCACTCCTTTCATTTCTCGTATGCATGTTTGTTACAAACAAAAGCCAAAAAAAGCTTCAATTTTCACTATCTTTTCTCTTTAACCCACAAGAACATGTTTGTTAATGTGCACTCCTTTTTCTAAATTTTACTTTCTTGTATCTTGACAGCTGGTCTTCACGTTTAGTACATTAAATTACATTTTATATTATATATATATTCCTTGCCACTCTTTCTTGAAAATGTCTTAATGTAATAACTTTCACTGCCATATATATATGTGTGTGTGTGCTAAAATAAAGAGTTTGACTCTTATTATTATTATTATTATTATTATTACTATTATGTGGGTATTCTGGTCGGTTATTCCAAGTGTCCTATCATTGGGCTTAATAGGTATCTAAGGTAGGTCTGGGGTATGCTTTTGGTTACATTATAACAAAATACATAAAATACCAATTAAATATTAATCGTTTGATAATCTTGTTTTACCTGGGATTTGAAATATATGTATAACTTTTACAGTAGTTATCAATGCTACCAGCAAACTTAGTGACACATTGCTAAAATGAGAAAAAAAGCAGAAAATGAAAACTAATGGCATAGAGATAAAGTAAATATGCCAAATAAAGTAATATACATATACGTTCATTTGTGAAGAAAAAAGATTTTTACAGAAATTATTAATTAAATAAATGTATATACATAAATATGTCAATATCTATATATATATATGTTAGTGCGTGCGTGCGTGCGTGCGTGCGTGCGTGCTTTATTTTTAATAATAATATGAGAGAAATTATGAGCTGATAGTGCTATTTGTTAAATAAAATAAAAAGTATATGTACAAAAACAAGATAATGATTATTTTTACGTATATTTGTGTGTATCCACGTTTATATACGTTTGCACGTTTGTAGTGTATCTATAAAGCGAATCAAGTAAGGCTCGGATTATACTGAGGCGCCTGCGATGTCTGAGTTCATGATTGAACATGCTTTGTGATGGCACAAGTTTTCAACAATAATTTCAAGGCTTTGCCAAATCATTGAACAGCGGATCATAAAACCATAATGAATAAGGCTCTTGCTGCCTATCATTTCATTTTGGTTATCCTCGGTCATCTCGGCAAGCCCTTGTTGAATATATATACTACCTCGAAAGATAGTAAGTCGCACGATGGGCCAATCCGGATGATCACTAAGATTTTGTTCGCCGTCCCTTAGCATCAATGCAAGTTTACGGATAACCTTGAGACTGTCCAGAAAACTCTCTCGGACGGTTTTTGAAGGAGCAATACAGCTGTGGAAAGTGTGGGCATGACGAACATCTCTGGGCTGGGCTGGTTCTGAGCCAGAAGATTCATTTTGAGTCAGACTCGACTTTGATGATAATACCTCAGAGCGTACAAGAGGGGCAAGGAGACGAAAGGAAAGGCAAGACAAGAATATTTGATTGATCGCACTGAGGACTTCGCTGTATCTTTTTGTTTGATCGAGATCACGTCGCCATTGGGTACGACCACTACCAAAAAGTAGGCGTGTGGGCATGGTAAAATAGCTCTCCTTAGATACATTTGGTAGGCGAGCAGATTCTTTGTGAAGGCGGGCAAGGACACCTAGTGCTCGTTTATTGACATCTTCTACACAGTTGGAGCATGATAGCAGGCAAGGATGTCTACTAACTTCGCCCAGAGTATTTGTGCCAGTATCCTGGACTCGGGCGGAGGTTTCGGGGACACATTTGTTTGAGTAGAGATAACAACCTGCCATCTCTTCATAAATATCGGCGGCCTCGTTTAATGCTTTGCTGAGATTCTTTCTCAGAGTGCGCTTAGCCTTTGAAGGAAAAATGCAGAGACAGATCCACCTATTTTATTAAGAAAATAAAGTTTACCCGTTAGGATAAGCATGTAAATCATTAAAGGGGAAGGAAACAATGATATTTTTCTGTGATATTTGTTTTTTGCAGTACAGACATACATGACGATCACAAAACCGATGAGCAGGTCTACTATTCTCCACATAGCTAATCTCAGGATTCCGTATATATCATCTTTGATGATGTTTGAATAGCCCGATAGCGACAATATTGCAGTTGTGATCATTCCCTGTGGTTATATATAAAAGTGAAAGCAAAGAAAAATAGTGGCGCATAAAAGGATAGTTAGGATAAGATGTCTATTTGACCTAATTCCTTGCATAGACAGGGTTGCAACCTACCACATTTCCTGCAAAGGCTGTGCTCGGCCTTTGTTTAATTTTTGCAATAAAAAATGCTTGTAGAAATAAAAAGGTAGTAAAGAGGATAGCTGCGTGCCAATTCCATTGAGGGAATATTGCTTTTGAGACTACCATGGAAAATACGGACAGACTTGCGGATATGAGAGTACCAAACATGCGTTGAGTACTAGAGTGTAAAGTACCACCAAGTGATGTGTCAAGAATAGTAACAACAGAAACGGCTACAGAATTTTTAAAGAAAGATGTGTTAATATATACATGTGTGAAATAAATATGGACCTAAAAAATCTTAATAGAGGTGCTAGTATTTAGTGGTATACTTGCCTACCCAGAAAGAGTTCTTGAATACGGCGTCAATAGGTCCAATGACAACAAATAATGAGGCAATTGCCATTGCGGTAGCTAGTTGAAAGGCGTGGCGATTGCTGTCATCTTTCCATTGGGATCGCAGCCAGGACTTTATCTTGCTGATTCCGTCTCCAGAAGAGTCGGCCGCAGATACGGCTTGTTCTATGAAATCATTAGTAAAGACACTGACATTCTTTTTTCTTCTTCTCCTTCTTCTTGCTTATTATTATAATTATAAATAAGCATACCTAATGTTATTGATGTGTGTTCTTGTTTAGCGTGTGGATCAATGTCTACAATTGTTTCTGTATCATATTCAGTTGATGAAACCAAGGTAGGTTGAAGGTATATTGAAGCTGAGCCAGTTGTGAGCGAATTCATGTAGATATATTATGTTGAGACTGCTAAATTATAGATAGATATAGAAAGAAATCAAGAAAGAAAGGATAGTATGAAGAGTATTAATAAGAAGAGCAAGAAGAACAAGGCCAAGAGCTCTTTATATTTATATTGTCAAATAACATGTATTCTGACCCCAAAATAATAATATAGTACAATATTATAGTACAATATATTCTCATTGCCGAGAAAATAATGATGTTTACATGTTATTGGTAAAGACTAAAATATGTAAAGAAAATTCTACAGATATTTTATTTATTTTTAAATAGTGAGATGATATTGGTTCTCGAATACGACAAAATTGTGCTATAAAGTGCTCTGTGGATATCTCTTGTTTGTAGATCAATCGATAAGAAATCTGGATATTATTTCTTTAAAGAATTCTTTTGCTTCTTTTGCTTCATTAATTATAGCTTAAGAAAGTATAAAACAAGAATCGAATATGACGATCCATTAGTAGATATATATATACATTGTATGTTTCTACCTCGGATCACCTTGTACTGCATAAATGATAGATATAATCGTTTATACTAAATATATTAATATTTTACTTAAAGAAATAAGGTCTGTGCTGTATTGTTGTTATTTATGACTTTATTCTGTCTTTTTTGCTTATTTTGAATTCTATGCCAGATTGGCATTCCAAGCAAAAAACAGTAAGGCGATATTTACTCTTACTCTTATTATTATCATTATTATTATTATTACTATTATTATTATCATGTACGTGTATAACCTCCCTGTGCTTATCTTTCCGCCTGTACAACCAATGTAGGTCTAATACTCTTATATGTTGAAGAGAAAGAAGTGGAAGAAGGATAAGAATAAGAAGAAGAATAGGAAGGGAAGGAAAAGAAAGAGGATAAATGCTTTCGTTTAGATCTTTAAAGAATTAAAATAAAAGGAAAAATGAAATTATTACAATGGCTAATGAACACTATCTTTCCCAAGGCCAGAACATTTTCTGGTCTATTTGGCCTCTTTACGTAAATAGCTGCCAAAACAGATAGGTTAAACCTTTTTACTTATGTGACTTTTGGTTTATGTATTGTTAAAAGAATCTTGTGTTTAAGATCGGATAGTAACCAGTCTAACCTTTAACCATTCAATCCTTTAGCTCTTTAGTCTTTGCACCCTCTTGCCCTTTTACCATTTTGCCTTTCCGATATGCCGTGGAATGATGATATCTGGCAGTATTATGCGCAGTACTTGTTTTTCCCTTTTATTTCTTACAATAATAGTAATTATAGAAATTATAGTAAGTATAGTAACGGGAATAGTAATGATAATTACATCCCATCATTACATCTTTATGAATATTATAAGTACATCAATCAATCAAAACCCTATTCTCTTTATGAATATGTAAGATATACAGTTTTGCATTTGTAGTAACACCAAGGGGACCACTATAGAAGAAATAATAGATAAAACTCGATTGTTGATCTCCGACTAATACTATATATGTATGCTAATATTTCTTATTTTTATTTTTTACATATTTAATATTAAATGCGTAGCAACACAATTACACATTTAAGAATACAAAAATAAAGATTAATTTAAATTATTATTAAATTTATATACATATATAAAAATGTGTGTTTGTATGCAAAATATCATGCATCGAAATCACACTCTACTACAGAATCTTTTGTATAATTCTCAAGCAAGCCCATGTATACTCGATAATGATGATTAAGGCTTAGATGAGAGTGTATCTTTAAAACAGTCCCTAAACATCCTGTTCTAGTAGGTACACTGTAGAAAACTCGTGCAATTCTCGAATGAACTAGTGCCATCGCACACCTAAAATAATGTTTCAATATATTTTTGTCAAAGTTAAATCTGTCAACAACTTACATTGCACATGGCTCATGAGTTATGTATATATCATAGCCAGTGCACAGGTAGGCTGCCTTTGACGGTTCTTCTGTTAATGCCCCTGTTGCCTCAGAAGTCGATTGGAAATCTTCCAAGGTCTCCAATTCATCCGAGATTTGGTGTGCCTTGCGCTTAGGCCTATTACTCCCCACCAACCTTGCCATCTCTCTCTCCTTGAATCCAACAGTATCAATACAGTTCATCACTGCATGATGCAACGGATGAACTGTCTCTGCCCGAGTGTCACTTTCTTCTGCCATTACTTTACCACTAGGATCAACAATACGCGCTCGCATCTGACCACAGCTATTATCAATCAATTGTTTCATATGCTCCTTTATGGCCTCGAGCTCTTCTAAAGTGAATTTAGGATCATTTCGCGTATCTTCTCTAAATGTCATTGGCCACAAATGTTTCCATGCCTCGTACTGCTGTCTATTCTTTGGTGCGTGTTTTGATAATCGAATAACTGCTGGTTTGATCTCCTTAGTCATATCATGTTCACGAACAAGACTCTCAAGTGCATCCAATGAAATAGCACTCTTTTGGCACAAAATTAACGAAAGCTTAAATTCTATATAAATATGTAAATTTCTTGTTAGAAAAAATTATTATTATTTTTATTATTAAACTTGGCATGATCAGTGCGCAATTCTATGCGTGTATTAAATAGTAATAATAATAGTAATACACAAAATATATGCACACATTCACACACTTGCCTTTTTCTGATATAACACTGCGTCTAATACGCTTGCAATGCTCAAGTCCTTCGAGAGGGGGTAAATAACGTTGAATAAATCTACAATTATATATAAATACATATAAATACATGTATTTTTAATAGTATTTATATTACACTATTACTTGATCACATTATTGGTCTCCTTTGGCTCTACATTAGTAATGTAGGCATCTACTGTTTCTAAATCTCTGGATTGTTCATCAGAAAGAACCTCTCTAAAAGGCCATTCATTTGCTGGTACAATATTTTTAGATGTCATATGTTATGTATCTAAAAGAAGAATAAGAAAGAAAGGAGTCAATATATATATATATGTATGTGTGTGTGTGTGTGTGCAGCCAAAGCCTGTCGTGGCTTGTAAATTATCACAATACCAAAAAGAAAAGAAGTGGGTGGAGGCGGAGGCGGGGGCGGGGGCGGGAAAGGGAGGGGGAGGGGAAGAAATTTGGGGTTTTTTTTTGTATATTACTTTTAATTTATCTTTATAGATAATTACTCTAAAAAAGAAAGTATATATCTATCTAATGTTGTGGAATTCCTCATTACGATTGCAAGGAATATCAAAAACATTCAAATCAATCTCATGCTATAGTACAGCAGCTCAATTTAATACTAGTAAAGTAGACTGCTACATTTCTACAATCAATAATTGTTATACGAATCTTGCCATTGAGGAATGGTTACTTCGAGAAACTGATCCCCAAAGACATGTATTGTATTTGTGGCGAAACAAACCCTGTGTTGTAATTGGGAGAAACCAAAACCCTTTCCAGGAGTGCAACCTTGAGTTTATGCGCCAGAACAATATACCACTTGTACGGCGTCGGTCTGGCGGTGGAGCAGTTTATCATGTGAGTAATTATTTTTGCGTATTTACGTAGTGTCTCGAGAATCTTCAAAGGATTCATTTATATATACATATATACATATATACATACATATGTATATATGTATGTATTTCTTTGCTGAGTTACCTTTAGGATGACCAACAGAGCAGAGCACTCTTTTTCTTCTATTCTCTTTTTACTAAAATATATAGGATATGGGAAATTCAATCTATACCATTTATATGCCACGCCATGCATTCTCTCGGAGAACTAATGCTGACCTTGTTTCAAGAGCACTCCAGCAGTTGGATGTCCCCGCCTATGTAAACGATCGCCATGACATAGTAGTCGATGGCTTAAAGGTGTCGGGAAGTGCCTACAAAATTATTAACCAGAGAGCCTATCATCATGGCACAATGTTGATCGACGCTGACACAGAGGCTCTCAAGGGGTGTTTATCAAAGAAGAGGATGAACAAGGTTCGTAATTATATAAAAATATAGATAGGACTCCACTCCTATTTTTTTTACCAATCTTTATTATTATTGTAGACTGGTATTATATCAAAGGGAGTTGAATCAGTCCCGTCCCCGGTGACCAATATCCGGGATTATTCGTTTACGGTTGACCATCAACAGTTTTGTGAGTCGGTTTTAGCTGAATTCATACATGATTATAATGATGGTGCATCTATAGAGGTAAGAATACATAATGGATATATATATAAGATTGATTTGAACCAACATATGCTCCAAGCCAATTATTTTTGATGAAGAACATATAGAACAACTGCCATCCAAGGTCAAGGAGACCGCAAAGGAACTTCAGACTTGGGACTGGATGTACGGACAAACACCTGAGTTTACGAATACGATTAAGAATGAGTTTGACTGGGGCCATGTGGTAAGTTTTTTTTTTACATTAATAGATTCAAATGATGCTATTTTGGCTTTTTTTCTAAAATAAAATAAAACTAATGTCAAAACTACTTGTAAATTATTTCTTTTGGTGACAGAATGGCAGTATTCACTCCAAGCATGGAATGATCACAGATGCTGAATTTTCTACCAACTCTGCTGGTGCTCATGAAGTAACAGTAGTATCAGCTATCTCCGTAGGATTAAAAGGTAAGAATATTCAATTCAGCTCTTATTTTTTTCTTCTTCTTCTAGAAGGCACTGTGTAAAATCTGACCCTGCGTTCTTATTGAATATTTTATTGTTTCAGGCTGCCGTTATTCTCCTAATGCAGTAAAGGAAGCGGCTGCAAAGATCACCAGTGAAATCCCGGGCTTAATTAGCGCAGAAAATGAGCACCTTGTGGAGGATATGGACAGATGGTTGAGCAATAAACTGTAATATATATTTAATTTTTAGAAGACAAAGAGTTTTATATAATTATTATTTATTTGGAGGACTGTTACTACTATTGTATTTTATATAGTATGCCTTCAATTGCTTTTTTTCTTCTTTTAAATAGACTGACATGTATAGTTATCTCATTGTCAATGACCAAACTGTTGTATTTAAATGCATGATATATTTGTGCTAGCTAGACCGCCATAGAATGCTCCTAAAACAATAAAGGAGTTTAGACCAAAGAGAAGTTTTGTAGGGGGGGGGCTGACCATTGTAGAGTCGAAAATAATTTTCAGTATGGGTCGAAGGGCAACATCTCAAAGAGATGACAAAGATTAAGAGAGAAAGACAACAGTTGGTTTTCTTTAAAAGGTATAAAAAAAGACACTTTAATCTACCACTCTTTCATTCAAATAATCAAACATATATTCTTTCTCTTTATCTCTTTCTCATACACACTTACACAAGTATATATATATATATATATCATTCATTCATTCATTTTGTTCGTTCCTTCGTTATTTTGCTATTATTTTACTTGACTTTTTGTACACAAGTAGTATACAATTCATAGATTACATATACCAATCAATTAATGGGAAATAGTCCAAGTTATCTTGATTACGCTGCTGCTTACGCCAGCTGTACTGGGAGTCCTTTCTTGCGACGCAATGGCCAGTTGGTTTCAGTAAGAAGTCAGAACAGTGGGTGGTACAGTACTCCGATTATCCACACTCCTCCTCCACCGCCCACCATTTGCACCCATCCAGCCGTACACTACTCTCAACCACCTTCAGTAGTTACTACTAGTTACAGTGTGAACCCAACTATTCCATATTTTTCAAATCAATATGTCGTGAGTACACCATTTCAACCAAGGTAAGAACAATATATAGAAATATATCTTCAAAAGAGTTTGTGTATTGACCTGTGTAAAAACATAGTTACTTTGAATCAGGACAAAAGATGTTTTACGGCTATAGATAAAAAAAAACCCCTCACATAGATCCAAATGATTTCCGCTTATTTTGCTGCTATACTTATGTTCCAAGCATTTCTTCATATTCTCTTTATGTATTTATTGTTTTGTAGCTACTTGTTTACTCGAAATAATGATACTCAATGATAATGATAAAGATAGATAAAGGTGTTGGTGTTGATTTTTATAGTAATGATAATAATGGTAATAATACCAAAGCCTTAACACAAATATTAAAGAGACATGTTTATTATTCTTTCACTGGTACTAATATTTAGAGTAATATATATATATATTATTTTGTGGGCGCGTGTAAGCGTATGAAATCTCATGCTGTACTCCAATGTAAAAATAAGAAAAAAAAGTGCGCCCAGATAATCTTTGTAATCTTGGTCAAAGTAATGATAATAACCAAACAAAAGGAATTAAGGGACTATTTATATAATTCTTTTCGTATTCCTCTTTATCTTTCCTTTACTTTTACTCTTACTTTTACTTTTTGGTAGAGTGTGTATTAGGGAGGGGGAGGGGGGCCGCTCCAACAAGACTAATATCGCATTATTTAAACATCAGCAAACACAAGCATTCACAAGCAATTCATACACACTACCAAAATAAATAAATCAGAGGGCCAGTCCAGGGTCCAACTCTTATATACATATATATTTATTCCGAGATTGTGTATAGATATATGATTGTGTTAACACTGTCAGATACGCTTCACGCGTGGCGATCTCAAAACCCAAAGAAATAATCGTGAAATAGAGAGAATACAAAACAGAATGATCGTATATATATATATATATCAGAGACAACCAGGACTCTTAACAATAATTATAGTATACAATCTTGTAAGCTTCATATTTTTCCTATTGATATGCTTCACGTAAAAGTATTCTATTTTATGATCAGATTATTAAACGTATATACATATTTTTTCTTATAAAAAATCTGTCCCCCACTCTCTTTCTCTTTCTCTCTTTGAAAATGATGAGTATATACTTTTTAACCGCCTTTTGATGTACAAAAAAGCTTTGCTTGAATAGTCCCGAGACTTTTCTTTCTTAAGAAAAGAAACGCCTTGCTTCTCTTAGTACAGTGATTAGTTTCAGAATTGTGATTAGAAAACCACCGAGAAAATAATAATAGTTATAATAATAATAATAGTTATAATAATAATAATAGTAGTAGTAGTAATAGTAATATAGAGGCCCAACTGAGAATCCTGCTTCTTCCGGGAGTCCTTGCCCATCCGTGGTCTGATGATAAACTCGGGCCCTAGTTCCTCCTCCCCCCTTTATTTCTCATATGGATAGACGATAGCCAGCTAAATATTAGCCAATCAAATAACGCTTCATAGCCAAAGGCTCAAGCTGAGCTAAAATAGTTATACCAATTTTCGGATATCAAATAAAGCAGTGCAACTTCATACACTCCCCCCTTTTTTTTTACATATCCTTACACAATAAACGAATCACTTTTTGTTTTTGTTTTTGGTTGGTCAATCAATTGTTTGGGCTTTGATTTTTTTCTGTTAGATAAATGACCTTTAGGTTATTGATTTATAAATTACTGCACAAAACACGTCTTCTTATTCCTTATTTTATATAGATCAACCCCAAGAAGATAAAATGATGTGTACACCCATTCAAACAGCGCAACATATGAAAAAGCTCAATTACTTTTATAACTGATCCCAATTACTTTTTTCTTTTCTTTTGATACTTTCTTCTTCTTCATATTTCTTGTCTTAACTTTAAAAGCCTCTCTTTTGTTATTATGGCAACTGAAACTACAACCACATTTGACTCTAATGAGATCTTTGTCGTATTTGTCCTAGGTAAGAGTTTTATTACAAGTCGCCTTGGATACTTGTTGTCATGACAACATATTAAATCGATCCTCATTCATATTTTAAGGCGGACCTGGCTCTGGAAAGGGAACCCAGTGTGCTTACATCAAACGAGACTATGACTTTGTTCATCTTTCCGGTATGCATCATTTACTTATATCTTATAGCATATAATGTTATATACTATACATACATACATACATACATACATACATATATGTATATATTAATAATGCGGATGTTTAGCTGGTGATCTTTTACGTGAGGAGCAACATCGCCCTGGTTCGGAATACGGTGAATTGATCAACAATTATATTCGTGAGGGTGAAATTGTACCTATGGAGGTGACTATTCTATTGTTGGAAAAGGCAATGAAAGAGAGCAGAGACACCGAAAACAAGACTCGGTTTCTTATTGATGGATTCCCCCGCAAGATGGACCAGGCTATTAAATTTGAGTCTACGGTAAGAAACAAAGAAGTGTTGTCATGAATTTTTAAGGTTTGAGTTTATTTATAATATCTATATATATATATATGTATGGGCTGCCTGTGTGTTCATATTTTAGGTCGTTGAATCCCAGTTTACTCTTTACTTTGAAGCATCAGAAGAGACTTTGCGGAAACGATTGTTGAAACGCGGAGAAAGCTCAGGTAGAATTGATGACAACTCTGAATCTATCAAGAAGCGTTTCAAGACCTTTGAAGAGACCAGTTACCCAGTTATTGAAGACTTTATGGCTCGAGGAAAAGTTCGCAAGGTAATTTTCTTTTTACTGAGGCTTTTGTTTTTTATTTATCTGCTTAAAAGACAGATAATTTAGTTAAGTATTTTGTCTGATATGTATATATGCGTATGTGTATGTGTTTGTTTTTTTCTGGGACTTCTGTAGATCGATGCTGAGCAGTCGATTGAAGAAGTGTTTGAGGAAGTAAAGAAGATTTTTGAGACTGCGTTTTAAATTCTTTTAAATACAAGATTTCTACTTCAAATTCAGACTATGTTAGTTTTTTTTTTGGACGAATAAAAGTTACAATTTAGACAATGCCTACCTTTTTTGGACAAAGAGGAAATGATATTCAGACAGAAAAGAATAAGTTTTTGGATTAAAATCCAATATTTAAACATTACCTGTAAAGATCTAAATTCTTTGGCTAAAACAAAAAGCAACTGTGTATGAGACAACGATTTAACTCTAACGAAAACAACTAAAAGGAATAAGGCGACCACAGTCGCGGAGCAAGTTGGCAGAAATGTCATGAATATTCTCTGCAGCATTCGAATCACGGCTCCATACCATCGTAAAGCTTTAGCATGCTACGACACTAATCAAAACTTCAAACGCAAAGATTATATTTTTATCATGACAGCAGTGCTAGACCTATTCCCAAAAGTTAGTAATCTGGTTCTACAGAAGAAAATTTGCTCATTTTTTACTTTGAACGTCTTGAACTTGTCAACATAGGAAACCAACCACTTTCCCACTTTTTCTCTTCTTTTAAGCATACTAAACAAAGTGCTTGTTGATGCAGTGAATTGTACGCATTGACGTTTTTTTTGTATCGCACATCATAGTGAGCCTATAAGTAGTGACACAGCTGTAGAAATGACATTAAACAGTGCTCGAAGAATTCTGTAGTGATTTATATAGACTGTAATAGTTTCAATGCAGGCGTGTGATAAACACTAGTTATATCCTTTTGTCAATTGTGCCGTTTATTTTATATCGTGCTGAGTACTACTTTTTCCTTCCAAGAATTTACTTTGTCTTCTTTTAGCGATTACATGTTCGTAGCTTTCTCGTAGATTATAAATTGAGTCATGGTGTACCAGAAATCTTGAGAGAATACTTTTTTGCTTGTAGATTTTGATGAGTTTTCTATAAATAACTGTTTACGAATATTTGTGAGCGAAACAATTTCTGTCTAACTTGGTTTGATACGTCTTTAAGTGCTGCCGTTGAGGCCTTCTTGTTTTCCGGTCGTAAAAACGACTCTAGCTTGATATTCCGAGTGACAGAGGTGAATGATCCAATCGACGCAATAACCTAGTCTTTATTTGGTTGTTTCTTTTTTGTTGCAATAATAAGATGATCTTGTACTTACATAGCCCAACTCTTTACAGTTTGTACAAGTGATTGTAGTGTAGTAATTTGATAAAGATGACAAGTTCCCTATATCCAATTTGGAAGCGTGTTTCTATTTTTTCTGTTCCAGTCAAAAGTTATATTTAATGTATAATTTATGTAAATATATTAATACTTCATATATTGATGTTCTTTAGAAAAAGGCAGATCTTTGTAATGAACAGCGAAGAGTTGTTATTGATACATGCATAAAATGTTTTATCATAATAATCCTTCTACCCACAATCTTTACACAACACATCTAAGTTAAAAATTATAATGTAAGTCCAATAATAAGGCGGCATGATTGAACATATAAATATGGCCTATTGTCATATCTGGTATTCTTTTTTTTTTACCATGAATTGATTGCAGTATCCTATATGATTTTTTTCTTTGAACATTACTTTTGTATCATTAAAGAAAAAGAAAGCTGGTAGAATTAAATAAGCCAAAGATGCTTTTTATTTAGTCAAATCGAAATTGTGGCAATGCGATTAATCATTGAACTGCTGATCAGATCAAAACACTTGAATATTATCATGAACACCTTCTGCAAAGAACTGATCTCATATTATAGTTGTCTCTGAAGTACTTTGTATATATAGATTATGGTTATTGTGGCACTTTGTAACATTGCTGTATTATGGGCAGCTTAATTCTCTTGAGAAAATTAGACAATTATAGGTAAAGCCGACTGAGGACTAACAATTTTTTTTGTCTAAAGACTTGATTTCTCTCTATCTCTCTGTCTGAATATCCTTTTCTCTTTCGTTCAAAAAAAAACGAACACTGTCTGCGTCTGAAGTAAATTGTACTGTATAATATCTTTATACTAAATTTTGTCATTGGTGCGGCGCTCCAGTGTGACTGCAACCCATGTAGATAGAAAATTTTCAGTGTTGTGGTATAAAAACAAGAATAATCAATACACGCTTTGTTGTATTTGTTGTTGTTACCCTATTACCCTCCTGCCTTTCTACCGTTTTGCTTCTTTCTCTCTTTCTACTATATATTATTTCTAAATACCAACAAGCAAACACGTACTTCCTGACATTAATGGGATTACATGGTGAGTCTTTTTTTACTTATTTTATAATTATAAATTCTACTATATTATTTTGTACATCTACAAAATAATACAGGTGCATGTTTATAAGCAAAATTAGCAAGAATTTGTAAGATACAGAAAGGATGAAACTAAGAAGCCAGAACAAGGCAACTTGTCGTGATCAACACACTTCTGATTTGCTCCCTGACTCTATATCTTACTATTCCCCATTTGAATAAGGACAATGTACTTTATTGAGCACATTATTATTATTATTGTCAGTTTTACTTACATGACTATTTATTGTGTTTAGATTCTTCTACCCTTTAATTGAAAGTATTTTTATACTATAGTAAGATATGTGCATATATATGTATATATGCATGACATCACCCTAGCTTAGTGTAGTCTAAAAAACAAGCTTTTAATAAGGAGAATAAAAAAAAGAAAAAAGTATAGGTTTGTGTGTAGATAAGCTTTCTTTTCTCTCTATACTCTAAAGGTGTTTATAAAAATAAATCAAATAAAATTTGTTTCGAAAAATATGAAATGTTCTCGCATTAAACTGCGCATCTTTTGCTGTTTTGTACATTATGGTGTTTCAGTAGCCCTAACTTTTTTATATCAAGCCACAAAACTAAAAAAAAAATGTCTTTTGCTAACTTAAGTTTTAGATAATCTCTTTCTATAGATCTAAAGAAAATGCTTAGGTGTGTATAGAATGAGATGATAGACTTCACCACTTTTGTCTATGAATATTTTATCAGAGAATAAAATTAAAAGCAAAAGAAAATACGAAAGCACTACAGTTCTTTTTTCATGTTAATTATTATTGATCTATGTATTAAGCCACTGCAAAACAAGAATCTAAACTTATAAAACTATGGAAATACCCTATTTGTCTATTGTCGCTATGACGATAAATAACAATTATATTTTATTTTATTTTATATTTTTAATTATTTAAAATAAGTCCTGAAACTGTGTAGTGTAAACTCTAACCAAGAAAAGAAATCAAGTGGGTCGAGCTTAATTTATACATATATTTGGTATTTTATCAAAGTCTCTACCAACTATAGCTGCGTGATACAATACATACTGCAGACTCCATTTATAGCTTTATCTCCATTGCATCATAGTCATTATTTTAAATCCTACAAAACCTCTAAAATCTGATGTGTCAACCGAAATAAGATGTAACAAAGAAATAGTTTAATGTTGTATATCTACCAATACTCTGGTTGGCTTTTTCAAGCTAAGCATAGCATAGTCTTCTATTAGATTTACGTCACCAGGTTAGACAACGGATATAATAAGTACACTTCATGTGTACTGAGAACAATAAAGCAAGGACCAGAAATAAATCGGATCGTGTTGACCGAAATTACCTGATCTTTGGAATTGTTGTGTAATCGATCATCGTCACTGAAAAGAAAAGAAAAGAAAAATGAATTGAGCATATTTTATACTTACTTATAACTAGCAATAAATACCTGTCTTCTTTCACTCTTCTTAATTTATTTCTTTTCATCTTTAGCCCTCTTATAATCAAAATACATTAAATGACCCAAGTATATGATACAACGGATACCACTGACTTTACCAGGAGGCACTCATTCCGCGGTTGGCTACGAAAGAATGTCTTGCCAGCACCCTCTCGCAAATCACAGACTTCATTTAAAAGAACTACTGGTCAAAGAACAGGCGCCATCCACAGTAAGATATACATCATTTTGGTTCAAGTGGCTGTTTTTTTTTGTTTTTTTTTTTTTTTTTTTTTTTTACAAAAAAATATTAAATATTGTCCTTGTAGATGTATTTGGTGTCCCTCTATCTGAATCTTTGTGTTATGCTAGATCAACTATAGGCTACGTAGATGAAGATTTTATCAAACATCGACGTGCGGGTGCGATTCCGATCATAATTGCAAAGTGCGGTGCCTTTCTCAAACAGAATGGTAATTTCAATTACATTTTTGCAGTATAAAACCAAGGATAGTTATCAAAGCACTCCTTAATTTTTTTTTGGGAGAGTCTATGTATAAATATATATATATATATATATGTATAGTTAATAATAATTTCTTGGTTGATTTACTTCATTTCACTTTTATGTACGTGTGTGCGTGTAAATGTGTAGCGTTGCACGAAGAAGGCATATTCCGCTTGTCGGGAAGTATGAAACGTATCAATGAGCTGCAGCAAGCATTTGATAGTCCCTCGACTGCATATGGCCTGCACTTTAACTGGGATGGCTGTACAGTACATGATGCAGCTAGTGTGATGCGTCGATATCTTAACAAGCTACCAGAGCCCGTCATCCCACTTGAATATTATCAAGCCTTTCGAGATGTCATGAGTAAGAGATTAGAAAATAGACTCTTTATATACATTGTTTGTAATCAAACAGACAAACGAACAAACAAACAAACAAACAAATAATCTTAATATCACCGTCTTCTTGCTTGATTAGGCGATAAGTTTTACCACACCACCGATGCCAGAGTCACGGCATTCCAAAAGTTAATTCAAACTATCCCTCCAGCCCACCAACACCTCTTATTATATCTGCTCGATATGCTCAATATGTTTGCCTGTAATTCCGCCGAGAATCGCATGGACGCAAGCAACCTCGCCGCAGTCTTCTGCCCCGGAATCCTGAACCACCCAGACCATATTTCGGTCGTTCACTACAAAATATCTCAGCGTGTGATTGAGTTCTTGATCGAATTCCAGGCCCTTTTTACGATGCAGCTACTTATAAAAAAGCCAAAGGAGACTTCTGATACAAACGATCTACCACCCGTGCCCCCTATTCCTAAACAGCTAGCCCACACGGACACCAGCAGTATATTAGGCAGAGATATTCCAATAGCAAGGCCACTCATTGACACCGATGAACCACTAGCGCCGGTGATGCCATCAGTAAAACAACGAGCATTGCCACAACCTCTTAACATGACAGGTCTTGTTTACAATCCTACACGTTCCATCAAAACATCCTCTGACATTTCTAATAATATGCCGTCATCCTCAAAAGAAGAAGAAGAAGACTGGGTTGATTCCGGAACAGATGTCAAAACCCCAGCTTCATTTATGAAATCACCAAAAAAGATAAAAGACATTCAACAGAGCGAATACTCCCAGCAGCCGATCCCAGAAGAATTCAATGAAGACGACGTAGCAACACCAAGAGCCGTAATTGCGGATCCGTTTAGTCTACCTAATAAGACTAAACTACAAGAAACACCCAAGTCTCAAGACATTGTTACGTCAATTTCGGAAGCGATCCAACCTTTTAAAAAACGTACGATTGAGCAATTTGCCCAGCTAAAAGATACAGCCAGACCGTATTTTGGTAAACACAAGTACACGCTTATATATGTATATTTACTCAATATAATCTTATTATCTAACAATACCAACAACAACAAACCAACAAACGCCATACTTTCTGTTCTTTACTATTAGTTCAACCTACGGATAAAGATTTTGTCTACAGTGTATGTGTTTCTAGCGCTGGCCTGGTTTTATTCCTGTCAGCCTATGAAATATACCTAGTAATTTCAAACCGACAGTGGATAGAGCCATGTGCCTACTTTGGGGGAATGATGGCTTACTTCACTCTTCTGTACAAGGGAACCTGCGAGGATAATCAACACTTATCTGAACAGACTACTCTGGATCCTCCAGTTACAAGCTCGTTTGATCTACAGAAAAATGAAGATACATTTGGTTCATCAGTCAGTATTCCAAAACAGATCGATCAGGACTCTGATGATGCGCTTTCGCTGTTTGACGATATTTCTATTGCAAACGATCATGCAGCAGAAGAAGCAATGATGAAGGACGAAAGCATTATGTCCGAATGGAAAGACCTACTCACCAGAGCATGGCGAGCAGATATTTCGATGCCTAAAGGGTTTCCGTTTTCTTTGGCTAACTCTCATTCGATGAGTGAAACAACCGAGACTAACGATAGGGAGTATGCAGATGATGCTTTTGAGACTGCTTCGCTGTGTTCTGTTTCTTCGGTGACCAGTAGATTTGACGAAGAGTCTGATCCGAGTGAAGACGATGAACTGGACTACAAGGAGGACGAGGACTGTTTGGCTGATTTGAGTACCGAGGAAATGGAAAGTCTGTGGGAAAGATTTCAGCAAATTGAAAAAGATACAGAATTGGCAAAGGTTCTTCAAAAGGAACAAGACGAAGAAGCAAATCGAGTTAGGCTTGAAAACAATCCATTTATTACTTCTCCCACTAGTCCATCTTTTGCAGAGAAAGAAAAATGGAAGTTGCACAAGTATACCAAATAATTTGTCATTTAGCTTAAAAGAAATCGACTTGATGTTTTTGATGTTGACCAATTGTTATTCTGAAAATGACATTATTATTACTATTATTCTTTATAAAAAAAATACAATTTAATATAATATATAATTGATGTGGACAGACCAAAAAGTTCAAAATTAGTTCAAATGCATATTAGATAAAATGAAGTACTCGTAGTATCATCTCTTCTATCATGTGAGGATCTTCTATTAAGCGTTTTCTGGACTTTGCATGCTGTGGCACCACTCATTCACCAAAAGCATTATATCCTTCTCAATAAGAGTGGCAATATAAGGCTATTAACCAGCCAGAGTCCTTTGAGCTTTTTTTTTTTGAACTTTTAGTCTGTACAAACCAAATATATAATACACTATGTATAAATGTCAATACCTTGAATTACTTTTAACGTTAGCGAATATCTAATGTCATGTTTTTTATGTTTTCAGAATAAAAAAAAATGACAGAAATCCCAAGATTTCTGATTTAAAATAAGATACACTATATATAAGTACACTTGACGAGTGCGAAGTTTGTTGTATTAGAGAACCCGTTGGGATGTGATATTTTCAAAGACTGCTAAAAAAGAATTATTAGTGAAACCCAGTCAAAAAAAAGAAAAAACTCAACCACAGTTGATGAAAACAGGAGTACTGTGTCACACATAAGAGAGATAAATCTTAATAAGCTTGGCTATTCAAGACTTATTCTCTTATATAGATATATAGAGGCGACTCTTGACTATATTATGCTTATGTCTGAAAGTGGAAAAACAAGTTCAATTTTTAATAAAGACTTGGTGATGAAATGGCCTCCCTCAGTAAAATTTTACATCTTTTCCTTGGAATTTCAATAGCCGCGTACAATAAAAGTGAGTGAAGATCCTAAATTTTCACTCGACAACGGGTTCTCTATTTATACAATTTACAACGTTACACTAATAACGTTAAATTTCTTTTTATAAAAGTAAAAGAGAAGTTTATTATTATTTTTATGAGCTAAGTTGTAGTTATTAGGATTATGGATTAGGAAAACGTCTCCTATATTCCTCCATTTCTCGAAGGTATCTGACTCTATCATTCTGTGCCATTGTTACATAGCGCTATACACAATCGAGTAAGGGAATGGGTTAACTGATTGATGGATAATTATGCTTCTCAAGTAAGAATGGTGCCTTTACCTCCTTATCCTCAGCACTGAGTGCCCTCCACCTCTGACCCAATGTTCTGAAAACATCCCTTTGATTAATGTTAGGAATATCGGCTTTTACAATTGCATAATTTGTTTTGGTAAAGTGGGCATAACTGTGGGCATTCCTTTTGGGTAAATTTGGGTCTCTAGGTCTTCTCCTCTGTCGTCGTCTAATCGGCCGGCCTAGTATCGCTCGAATATCTACCTGTTTAAGGGTACTCTCGAAAGCTGCGAATGCCCTGTAGATTTGATCAAAGTCTCCAAGCTACATTTTATATATTTAGATATATAAAAAGTATAAAGTATAGAATATAAATTAGTATTATTATTGATAATGGCAATGATGATGAGTGTAATAAAAGATATTTCTAGATCTAATTTGTATATATATATAATTTCTAACAAATCTTACTGACATTTACCCTTCTTCTACGACGAGCAGGAGGCTGACCATGCGGACTTCCTGGCGGGTCGGGTGAGGGAGAGGGTCTTCCAGTCCAACTTTCATACTGCCTCGTTGAAGTAACACCCTTCTTCCTTGCAGACTTGGGCTTTGTATGCGACGTAGACTGGCTTGACGAATCGGCCATTTTTTATTGGTAAATTAAATTGAAAGTAAGGAATAAAAGATGAAGTGAAAATTTTATCGATAATAAATTAATATATATATATATATATGCTTAAATGTGCATTGCTGTAGCGTTGTGGTTTGTATTGAATAGGTAAAGTATCTCTTTACCCGTAAATATACTACTGTTTCTTTGTTCTGTTAAGGAAACAGTGCTGCCCAAAGATATAAAAGTTCGAAGAAGTACTGGATACATATATATCCTATTGTTATTGTTGTTTTTATCTATATTAATCATCAGGGGCTGGTGTCGTGATCTCTTTTGTAATAAAAAGAGAAGAAGTAATTACCATCTTATTGTATTATAATTCTTTATTTAATAAATTAGATAACATTATATTTGATATCTTTAACTCACAAAGAGGAACTTTTGCTCTTGTTCTTGCGCTTATAGTAATTTAAATATACAAATTCGTACCCGCTCAGTATTCATGATATGTTGTTCTAGTCCGACAGATCAATAGCACAACCTGCTTATTCTAACTTATCTACTTTTTACTTATCAACTACACGACTAGAAAATATTATTGTCAAGTCAAATCAATAGCATGTTTGGCCCTTTTTTAAGCCCTTCTGATCTCGTGTATGCAATCGGCCACTGTCATCTAATTACTTTGGCAAATAAAAACTTCAGCCGGAATATTGCTAATATTTCATATAAATACCAGTTTCCAGCTCCTTAAGAGTTTTTTGCTTTTGGAATACCAAGCTCTAGCTTTCAATATTTTGGTAATATTTTCCACTCTTCTGGAAGCTTAGATCTGTAACAGCTAGCATTTTCCTCTTAGTAGACAAACTCCCCGATCATTATTCCCACTAAAACTCTCAAAAATCGAATAATTTTTTTTTTCATAAAGACCAATTATGCATATTAGTAAAATGTGCGGGACGTTTCATGGTATACAATGAGCCATATCCTCCTGCTTACGCACGACATATTATGGGGTCTCCATAACAACCCAACCTTGATATGATACAGTCACCCATATACTTTTTTGGACACTGTATTACTCAAGTATATCCATGCTCACCAAAAAAGAAAGCATAAACCTCGGTACCATCACTCCCGATAATACGATCCCATCTTTAATCAGTCTCTCTGGGGTGATTAAGGGTCTTTAGCTATACCGTATAAAATATTTAATTAAACACTTGATCAAATATATAGTGTTCTGTATGATCTTTTGTTTCAAGGCCAATAATTTTCTACACGGTCCAAGTGTGTGATATTTTATTTATCAAATAGGTTTTTTTTTAATAATATCACAAGCAGCAGTTCGTATAATTAATTCAACTAAAAGTTAGTTACGCTTTGCCATAAAATAGTATTAGCTTATTTAACTCTATGCAAGACTTAACTTAGTAAATAAATAGTAATACAAGTTTTCATTCTTTGGAGGTGTATTCTTTAAGAGAAAGCGGACATCAAGCGTGGGCATATGATACAAACATCCTAAATTTTATTATTAAATAATTTTCTTTAGAGTGAAAAAAAAAAGATAATTTGATCAATATATAAGGAATCAATATTAAACAACGTCTAGATTGTGAATCTTAATGTGGTATACTAGGCTACTTACATACGTAGAGCTTATTATCTTAATTAATTTGGGTATATAGCTGATTTTCTGTATTTAATTTACCCATTCTGATCAAAATGATTTATTTATTTATTTATTTTAAAAAAAGACAATCCAACAGTAAATCAAACAATTTTCAAATTATAATATTTATTGTTAAAGCTAAATATGTTTACATTGATGTAATGATGTTAAGTTCAAGTAGCCAAGTTAAGATTTGGAAGTTAGAGAGTTTTTTTTTTTACTTTTGATTTTTTTTGAAATATAGAAATTATGACAGCTGTTGATACCTATTTGTGTGTGTATGCATGTGTATATGGTTTTAAGGATCCTAATTATCGAAGTTTGTTGTTTTGACAACAAAACTGTAAAATGATTTTCGTGCAGACTAATATACTACAATGATCAATGTTATAACTTATATCAGAATATTAGACTTTCAAGCAAGACCATCTGGTTAAATGAAATTATCAGTCACTCAGTCACTCAGTCACTCAGTCAATCAGTCAATCAGTAAATCAATCAATAGATTACAATAGAATATAATAAATTGTATTTGGAATTATAAAAAAAGAGTTTGTGAATATTAAGCGTTTGTCAGTTAATCGTTTCATGAAAAAGTTTTGATAAATATATATTTAAATGTCTATGAGCTCAGTTATACTTTTTTAGTCACTATCATTTCTTATTTCTTTATTTTTCATATAAATCCGTAAAAAAAATTATATATGTTGTTATAGCTACAAATTAAAGTACAATTTCTCATTATCATCACCATGGTAATTTGTTATTATTATTACTATTACCATTTTCATTATTTAAAACAAAGATAAAAAATGTATAGAAATAAAAATAAAAATAGAAACATCTGTTCTAATTATATACATATCAAAACCTCTTGTCAAAAAAAATTTAAAAGAAACTTTACTACATGAATTAAAAGATATCTATTTTTAGATCGTGTGATGTGATGTGTATATGTATATCCATGACAACGCAGTACATCAAACTAAGATAATTCCAACGTAAAAATATATTATTCTGTTGTAACCTCAATCAGCCCCCCCACCCCCTCATACATAAACAAACAAACGAAATAGCAAAAATATGAAGACCACAGCTGGCTGACTAACTGGCTGATTGTTTGACTGGCTTAGGCGCATAGATTTCCTTATAAGATCCCTACACGTCAATAACTAATAGCTTTGGACACAAAAAGAAAGGAGGAAATATATGAAAAAAGGAAAACTTAGGTTTGACAAGGGTAGAAACGGGCCTTTTCTTCTTCTTACTTTTCTTGTTTTTGTTGATTTTTTCTTACATAAAGCTTAAATATTAAGATACAATAAATATGTAACTAAATATATTCTAATCAAGGCATTTAATAGAAAAATAGCAATTGCTGCTATTATTGAAACCATAAAGTATATATATATCTTTATCTTTATCTACATAAGTAGCTTAGGGGAAGTGAGTCAATTCTAAAATGTATTTAAAGAAAACAACCCTTTTATTAATATTACTATTGCTATTGCTAGAGGGATCCTATATATATATTGACAGACAAATAATGTAACCCGAATACCAAGTGTTTGGTAAAAGAATTATAAATTGTATGAAACAGTAGGGCGATATTTAGCGAATATTAATAGTGATGGATCTGCTGTAATAATAATGATCTATGCTATTATTGTTCCTATTATTATTACTAGTATTGTTTTGCCCAATAGAGGGAAGCTAAAGAGGGATATCCTGCAAAAGACTATTGATGATCCAGTAAAGATACTATGTCAATCCCTCTTCTTCGTTTTCTTCATTTTCTTCATTTTCTTCATTTTCTTTATCTGTTTTTATCTATATGTTCTTATGCTTGTATATATTACTATCTCCTACAAAAACCCTAATCTTAAATCCAGTCGAGTGTATATTTGAATACTGGAATTTCTATCACATTTCTATACTAACTTTGAGTGCATATTTCAATAATAGAATTGACGTATATATCTTTACTATATGCAAAAAAAAGACAGGTAAATGCTTTAGTAAAGTAATTTGTGATTCCTTTGGATATATACATATATATTTAGGGATGATGATACAGCTAAATAATAATTAACACTGGGATTTATATACAAATTAACTTAAGAGTAGTGACAAATATGTAGAATACATAACGTCTCAAAGTAATTAAAAATATATGTTTCATTTGTGATTTTTGTCTTCTATCTGTATTAATTCTCTTGCCATTCGGTCAAGCATTTATATCCCATAACCAACCTTACCACGTATCAGGATATACACTATACATTATTAGCTATTGATTAACATGACTTTTGAAAGAATGGATATACGTAACTGTGTATATAGATATATAAATTATAAAGTGCATACATTGGTGAAATCTAATGTTTAGTAAATGTCACTTTTATCAATTATAAATATACAATGTGGAGCAATGGCTGTAGAATTCGTGTGACTATAGAAACTATTTCTCGTATCTTTATTATATATATATACTTAAATGAATTCTTACATGCTTTAATGCAACAAAAAAAGAAAATGATTAATGAAATGCCAAATAACAAATGGCTTTTTTTTCCCTATTCTATTATATTCTATTACTTCTTGTGTCTGTTTGTGTACTTGTGTATTTGTGTGCTACAAAGCTTGGATTAATAATAATTTAATAAATCAAATCACAGCACAAACCCATCTCTACAATTGTACGTTGTGTGTGTATACATGCATGTACCCCCTCCTTTTCCTCCTGTCCCTTCACCTCTACCTTCCCCTCTCACACTAATACTGATATACAGCATATATTATTTGCGCATTTTAAATCCATATAAACGAAAATCGAATTCAATTCAATCATGAATATTCAAAATACTCACAAAATAATAATAAGAATATATTATGAGCCTTTTTTTTATATATATAATCTTAAATTTGAATATACGGTAACCTGTAACACACGTATTAATATTTCAATACCTAGGGATCGTATTACCTAAATAAATAAAATAAAAATACGTGTGTTTGTAAAGCATCTGATGAATGAGCGCTTGTATGATATGTACTACAAGATGGCCGCCACAGTCCGAACCAATTAAACCATAAATGTCCATTAACTTATACTGTATTCATATTGGAGGGGCTGTGGCTCAATTAATGCCATAGGAAACACAAGCCTCAATAACATTTTAGCCAACAAACTATTTATAGTGGTTCTGGGGAATTTGATTTTTTTTTCATATATATATATATATTATTTTATAAAAAAAAGTAAGACGAAATAATGATAAGGCTAATATATATCTCTAAAGATGAGAACAAAGAAAAGCCCATATATTGGTTGGTTGTAACAAAAGGGTTATTAGCAGTAAAAGGATCTACCTAGTCTGACAATTTATTTTATTTTATTTTATTTTATTTTATGTTATATTATATTTTGTGATGGTGGTAAACCTCCTCTAAAATTTAGTAGTCGCTACTCCGATAAAGCGCACTGTGTTGGGAAGTAAGCAAATAAGCAAACAAGTAAGCAGGGAATTATTATTACAATAATAAAGGAGAGTTAGAGAGAGAGAGAAGGGGAAAGAAGATTGATTCCTCTTAGCTCAGCTCAATTTACTTTATTTTATAGTATCTTACTTGAATATAAATATATGTATATGCCTAATGGTAACGATGCTTGAGAATATTGAGTACAAGTGGCTTCAAGGGACATCTTGCGGTTTTCCTTGATAACGCCAAGACACAGTGAATATTGCTTTAAATGAAACAAGAGAAATGGAGAATGATAAAAAAATATATCTACTATTGGAGTCTCTGGGCTCCTTTACTGATCATTTTCTTGACTGATCCACGCACACCACCAGCCGCATTCTGTAAGGGTGGATTTATGTCCTTGATAAGAATATTTCTTAATCTCCCTAGATAAGAAAATACATTTTGAGCAATTGAATCTATTTGTAATCTTGGTATCTGTGAGGCTTCATTACCACCGATATCATTCGTGTATTGATCTCCCAAAGGCTTTGCTAACGGAATGGGGGCTTCGGAATATCTTTCGACAAGGGAAACTGAGCTAAGATTGATTCCGCCTGGAGTTACAAGATATGCGGGACCTTGGATTAGATTACCTACGGTTAGATGACATGAGTATTATATATATATATATATATATATATATACTTGACGCCAGAAACAAATTGGAATGCTAACGCTAATGCTGACCGTTTTGTACTCGTACCAATGGGTGCACACGTGGCCAAAGCGAAGTAATAGATCCACAGACAAATCCACACAGAAACAGAGGCTTTGAAATACATTGTAATTTGGGTGTGATAAAGAGAGAGATGGAAAGAAGAAAAGTAAAAATAAAACAACAAAGAAGAGTTAAAGATCAAAGACTAACATTACACACACTTATATACCAACGAGTAGCAGTACCGGTAAGAGTACCTTCACAAATTTCCACTCAATATATCAATATATTGGTTTGTATACCAAATTTTTATCAATATATTAGGTCTCCTGAACGATCAACGTATTTAAAGAAGTTCTTTGGAGCCTTGAAGAATCTGAGCGGAGGGAGTAAATTGTGGTAAGCAAATAAATAGAATAAAATAACCTTAAACAAGCAAGGAAATCGATTTGATAACCGAGCACTCCTGGTCTGATATCTCATTTGGTTATTAAGAGTGTCCAGTTCCCTTTTTGATCTTCACCGTGGTTAGGATTTGTCTATTTTCGCACACACACTTTTTTTTTTTTACTTATTTATATATGCGTGTGTAATCTTCTATTATATTTTGACTTTCAAGTTGGGAAGATGAACTGTATACCTACCACAGATCTAAGTCAAGAAGAGGTGTGGCTTGTAATACGCCATGCGCCGCACCTTTTTTTTCCCTTTACTCGTTTCTTCTTCTTCTTTCTTGAAGCCCTTCTTTCTTGTATTTCATTTTTTATACAGCCAAAAGGAAGCAATACATTACAGTAGAGTACATTATAATATATTACGATACAATATGATATGTTATGCTATGATATATAAAATGGTTTAAAGAATAGTCAATCAAGAAGACCATTTATTCATTCATTCATTTCTTCATTCATTCAATAAATCAATCAATCAATTAAAAAAACCCAACCCATTTTGACCTCTTATTTTTTCGTGATAATTTTGCCCTTTGCCCTGGCTTGATTGTCTTTGAACGCCGCCTGTTTTCTGTGATCAAATAAGATAAAATAAAATATAGAGTCCTTTTTATAACTTATTGCTTTGAACTCTTGACCCAGTTTTTTTTATTTTAAATTTGTATATAAATATATATAAATAAATGTATATATAAATACACACACGCTCATACATCCATAAACTCATATACAAGCACAAATACACACATAGATATTTATATATATATTTTATATATATATTATTTCCACTGGCTGTGCTTTCGAATTTACTTTTGGATTTTTACCTCTTTATATATTTCAATCTTATTTTTTTTATACCTCTTCTCCTTCTCCTTTCTTTCGCTTTCGTTTTCGCTTTCTCTCGCTTCTTGGTCGCTTTTGTGCCATTTTTCACTCCTTCCGAGAACTTGACAGCAAGACAGGGTTATGCTTGACGATTGAAGAACGTGTCCGGCTGTGCATCGTCCCCTTTTTTTCTTCTTCTTCCCTCCATTGTCCTCATCTCTTTCTCTCTTTCTCTCTTTCTCTCTTTTTCTCTCGCTTTCTCTTAATAATTTTGTTTTGTTTTGCTCATCTCATCGTCTTTTTGACTTTTTTTTTATATTATTATTATTATTACTACTTTTACTCTTACTACTCTAATAGTCTGATACCTCTTTATTATCTATTATTTTGTATATTTAAACCTTCCATTCTTGCTTCACGTTTTCTTATTTTTGTTTTATAAAAAAAATAAGAGAAAAGAAAAGAACTTATACATATCTCGAAAGGAACAACAACAAAAAAGCAAAAGCAAAAACAACAACAACAATAGCAACAAATATTTTCTTACAACAATCTACAAACCACTTTTTCCTGTCTATCTGTCTATCCATCTATTCTGAATTTAGAAATCTTACAATCCATCTCGATCCATCATCGCAATTCGCCATTTGATTGCTTCACAGATCTAATTCATGCTGCGCATCCTCGCCATCCTTTGCCTATTGTGTGCATCCACTCTCGGCCAAGACACTAGCGGATGCATGTCGCTGCAGTACTCCACAGCCTGCCCAGCCTTTTCTCAGTTCTATGTCGGTATTCCAGGCTTAGCTGAGCGGTATTCGTTCATGACAAACGTTACAGACGTCAAATCATTCGACGAAAGTCTATTGTCCTACGTCTACTCAACCGCAGACTATCTAGCCCCACTCCGGTGCACCAACAAAGCCTATATTACCAACATACCTTACGCGCGTTTCTCTATGACCCGTATATGTACAGAATTGATCCAAGACTCGGATTACTCGCTTCCATGCAACTACAAAAACAATCAAGCCCCTCCACCACTCTGCCAATCGACCTGCAACGACTACATGGACAGTGTATCTCGGATCACAAACGACACAACTCTCTGTCCAGATCAGGATCAACGCAACAACGCTCTTCTCAATCTTAAAACCCAGTGTCAGTATTGGCAGGGCTACAATGGAACCGGTAATTGTATCATGGGAGTAGCAAATGAACCCAATAATTGTGGTGAGTCCCGATCGTCATGCTATATATAATATAAATAAATATATATATATATATATAATCTTATGTGCATGTGGTTTCCAAAAGATCACTAAGTCAGGAAAGGGATACTGTAGGTTTTATGTACGATACCCTTAGTGCCTGTGCGTACTGCAAAGAAAACACCGATACATGCTGTAAATCAGTGAGCTCATGCAGCAAACTATCCAAGGGAGCCGTGGTAGGTATTTCTTTTGGATGTCTGATAGCAATAGCCACAGCAGGCGCTGCCTTCTTTTACCTATGCTACCGACGGAAACTCGTCCACAAGAACAAATTTTCGTTCAATACATACGTTCCCCCACCAAAGAACATCCCAAGTACCGAGAGCGACCCCAGCCCCGCTTACAGGGCAGTACCAGAAAGCAGTCAAAATATTGCTGCCTACCACGACGACGTTGTACACAGAGACATCGGTAATCGGGGTCCTGTAGTCGAAACCTCACCGTTTATGACGCATGAAGAGCTACAAGAAGAACAGCAACAAGCCTTGGCTCAGCAACATCACTATAACCAAAATCAACATCAACAACAACAACAAGAATTGGCTGTAGAAGAGCTTTATGAGGTTGTACACCCATACCCTCCTCAAATGGGCGATGAATTGGGGCTTCATGTGGCTGACATTGTGTGTTTGGCGATGCGGTTTGACGATGGCTGGGCACTTGGAGTCAATGTAACCACGGGTCTCAAGGGCGTCTTTCCAGTAGTCTGTATTGCACCCGCATCGGAGGAATTGCTGGAACGATTGCTCCATAGTTCGGAAATGACTGATACTATTAGTGAGCACGACTATGCAAGCAAAACGCTAATCGAAGACGAAGAAGATCTCGGAGCCCGAAGAACGAAATCCATCCGGGTACCACTGGCAATCAATATTCAACAAATCCGGGATGATTTGCAGCGATCGGTCAGCGTCAATTCTGGCACACGCCGGACGCCTCTCACCGCTCCATCTCCTCTGACAACACGCCCAGAACTCACAGACCATAGAACAATCCCGAGGCGAACGGCAAGCATGCGAGCTTCGTATGGATACCAAGAGGCTGAAAGTCCAACATCACCCAGCATGAATACCCCTTTCTTTAACGTATCATTACTCGCGAATCAAATTCCGAGGCAAACCCCTAACCAGAATATTCCACCAACTGTACCACAAGAGACGTATGAAATGCGTCGACAAGAGAATCGTGTGTCTAAACACGAACAGGAATTCAACGGCTCTAATACAACATGGACAGCAAGGCAGGTAGAAGGACAAAATAAATAAATAAATACATAAATAAATACATACATACATACATATATATATACATACATACATACATACGTACATACATACCTACATCAAATACATAAAGATACACAAATAGATACACAAAGTATGCTGGTGTCATTTAAACAAAGAAGAAAGAATGAGAAATAGAAATAGAAATAGAAATAGAAAGTCTGTCTCTCTCTCTCTCTCTCTCTCTCTGTGTGTGTGTGTGTATAGCTTGGCTACTTTATATGTATAAGTGTAGTCAAGATTTCTGCACAGAATAAATGCATAATGTACAAATGAACGGTTGCTTCTTATTTAGACAATTAAGCATCATTCGCATGCACACACACATACACACAAAAAGAATCATCTCTGCTATTATGTCTTGTTACAAAAAGGGGATCATAAAGAAGCACCTATTTATATTTATATATTAATGATTAAGAATCCGCTTTGGTTTCCTTGGTAACAAAATAAAAATAAAATGGTCAGCTCACTTGAGTATTGTAATTAGCTTCTTTTTTTAAACTTGCTTCACTATCAAAACTATTTCAGAAACGGAAAATTAAACGAATCAGACTTTACTTTTTGTGACTACAAGACTTGTCCAAAGACATTAGCTAATGAAGAGAATAAAAGGACAATTAAAGGTAACCAAATAAAAATAAAAGAAATGAATAGAAAAATATGCCTCTCTTTTGAATTACATAACATAACATTATAATATAATATTTTTACATTATTTTTATAATACAGCATATACATAAATTATAGTCTTTTCAAAGCCCAGCGTCTATGTAGGACAACACGCGTAAACTCAAAAGAGAAAAATAGAGAGAAATATATTTACTGCTACAGTGTGTATGATGTTCTACAATGTTATTTAAATATTATTATAAATATGTCGCTCTCTTAACATCAAGTCCTTAGCTATTGTAATAATTGGCCTCTTTTTTTCCTTTTCCCCTTCCCCTCTTTTTTTTTAATTGTTATTATTGTTCATTTTTAGTGCTCTTGCTTGCACAAGTTGAGGGGAAGGTACCTTGGTAATGAAACTATTATACCCGTCGAAGAGACAGAAAGTGAACAGAAGGGCAACAATTGCCTTGAAGACCCTTTTTATACCGACCAAGTACAAACACGACTTTTTACTTTTTCTAAAAAAGCAATTCCAAATCGTCTCAATCTCAAGTTTAAAGACTGGACCTGTCAAATCCCCATATTAAATCCCAGACGGGAGTTCATTTCAAAAAGTCCCGTGACCATTAAAATCATAAGTTTTCCTTTTGAATGCTCAAAGTTTCAGTTGCTTCTTGTTCTTGAAGAACTTGCTAACAACCTAACCTGTTCTTGTATACCCCCAATTTTTATTTTATTTTTTTATTTTCTTATTAATTACCTTTACCTTGACTTTTATTATTATTTTTTATTCTTTGCCTTTCTATTTTATTTTACAAACGAACCCACATCAATAAACGAAATCTCACAAGATTATGAAAGCACTGACAAAGACGATCAATGACACTTGCTTTGCTGATTCTTCTGCTGATTCCTCTTCTGAAGGTCCAAATAAGTTTTGGGCTCGACCTCAAGACAGCCCGGAACTCACCCTGAAAGAATATTCCGACAGTGGTAGTATTGGTGTCGTATTTGGTCATGAAGATGGTATTACTCTTTTTCTTTTCTTCTCTTCTCATGCTTCTCATTCTTCTTCTTTTTTCTTTATTTTTCGTCTTTTTCCTTTCGTTTTCTTTTTAATTTTATATCTTTATATCTTTATAATATTTCTTATCTCTCTTTATGGCTCCTCTATTATACTTTTTTTCTTTTCAAAAAAAAATGGGGTAATGAAAGGGGTAGAAAAGAATTAAAGTGGAATCACCATAGAGAGGGATGATTGGTACAAACTGGTCTTTAAACTGTAAACGAATAAATTGATCAATATAATATATACACAAACTACATACACACGGCACACGGCACACGACACACACACAATATGTGTATAATATATATAAATATACTGTGTTTAAAGAAGAATTGCAATCAAAGGAAAAAGAAATAACCTTTTTTTTCTATTATTATTTTATTAATTTATTTAAAATTTCTGTGTGTATGTGTGTGGATACAAAAATATTCTAGAAAATTCAGCCTATTCGTATCCCATCGAACCATCATGCGTTACCAACCAAAGTCAGACATCTCGCTCTAGACGCCGTCACCACAGTCATCAATCGACAGCACATCCTGTCACTGCCTTGCGTGCCAATGGAAGGCCTCAACATATTGACTCTAAAAGGCACCAGACAAAGATGCTTCTGGTCTCATTAATTGAGTCATTTTGTCGTAGCTATGGCGACACCCCTGAAGCCAATCACAAAGTGTTTTTTCTTATTTGCCAAACATTAAGCTCATTTGGGATCATTGATTCCGAATTTGTCGACGAGGTGGCTTCTGCCCGCTCCTCCTACAATCGATCGTTTCAGAATCTGTTTTACACTGTTGTCCAACGTGTACGCAAACAGGACTACTGGCTAGAGGACCAGCAACGAATGATCACACAGACCCCTTGGCTAGATCTAAATAATAATCGACAGCCTAATGGATCCGAAAACAACAGCCCGTCATTCTTGTTTGGTCAATCACCCCAAACCAACAAAGAAACAGCAAAAGAAAAAGAAGAAGAAGATATTTCATCGTCCCTTGAGAGCAAATCTACCCATCGTTCAGATCTACTCTTCAATCTAAGCATTCAAAATTCACGCTACAGAAACGATTTCATCGAAGTATCCATGTTGGGAAAAGGAGGATTCGCAAGCGCATGGAGAGCACGTAATAAACTTGATGACATTGAGTATGCTGTCAAGAAGATCCGCTTGGGGAAGGATCTTGATGACGATGGTATCAATCCCTACGAGAGAATTTTTCGAGAAAGCAAGAATTTAGCGCGACTTGAACACCATAACGTGGTTCGTTATTATTCGTCCTGGCTAGAATACACACCAGCAGATACTCCTATCACTTCGAGTGATGAAGGATCATGTGATGAATTTGGGTATACTAGTAGCAGACAGGGCTCAGAATCCTCTGATAGCGAGGACTCTCAAGCAAGCATATTCAATGGGCAGGATCCCACATTTGATGATTCCACACCAACATTCTCTCCCGTAAAACCCTCCTATGAAGATATGTCCCAAATTGATTTTGTCCAAGACTACCAAGAGGTCGATCAATTAGAACGCCGTGGCGAAGATAGTGCCAATTTATCCAACAGACCGACAACAGAATATGTTCCAGAAACCTATTCTCCAGGCCCATCTAATTTGTCTCCAAACCCATTCAGTAAATATGGACAAGTTTGTAGCGGTAGTGGAGGAGCAGAAGAAGGGCCAGGAGGACCAGGAAGCGTAAGAAGAGAATCCCGACAGAGAAAGAAATCTACATCAGAAGAAAGCTTTGGGGCAGGCTGGACATTGTTTATTCAGATGCAACTCTGTCCAAGTAAGCATGCTTTGGATTTATGTTTACTTTTATTTGGACCGGCACTAAATGTGTTTTTACATATTTTGCTTGGCTTCAATTAGCCACTCTGCACGAATACATTCGATTCCGTAACAAGAAGTATAGCGAGACCAATAGAGACCAGACAGACAGTGGACGCAACATCGAAATCTTCTCGCAGATTCTAGAAGGCGCAGCTTATATTCATGGTCAGGGTCTAATCCATCGCGATCTCAAACCAAGCAATATATTCCTGGGTATGCCGACCTATGGAGAACACAGACGCCACCACATACGCTCCAGCAGCACTCATGAGCATGGATTTTCGTATGATTCCGTTCTTTCGGTCTCAGGTTTGCGAGAATGTATGTGGGAGGAAGCCTGGGTACCAAAGATCGGTGATTTTGGTTTAGCTTCGGCCGTGATTCATGATTCAGATAACGGCTATGAGAAGAACTATTCGCTTTCCATGCCGCAGTCATTTTATAGTCATCTCGAGAACCACAACCACAACAGCAACAACAACAAAAATATCAACAATATCAACAACGACCTGAGTAGATCCGCTGAACCGGCCGGTCTCAGCACAAGTCTAGACTCATCTGATGTTCAAACGATTTTCAAGAAACGACCACGTCTTCATCGTATGCGTACAAGTGGGGTTGGAACGCGTACAGTAAGTTTATCAGTAAAGAAATATAAATATAAATATATATATATTTATATATAATATGACTCACTTTAAATGTTGTACAGTATGCCTCTCCCGAACAATTAGCACATCCTCCTCAAGCTTACGACGAAAAGTCTGATATTTACTCATTGGGTATAATATTCTTTGAACTTTGCCAGCCGTTTGTAACAGCAATGGAACGCGCTGATGCGATCGATCATCTAAAGAAAGGTATTTTTCCAGAAGGATTTGTCGAAAAACACCCAAAGGAGGCAAGTACACACAAATAAAATAAAAGAATTGTAATGTATTGTATATGCGAGTATATGTTTGACGTTGATTGACACCAAATATCTGAACTGTTAGTCTGCAATCATTTTATGGATGATGGATGATAAGCCTGCCAACAGACCTTCGGCTATGCAACTATTGGAATTCGAATTGTTTGCCGTATCCACTGTAAGGGACACAAATGAATAGCATTCCGTGTTACACCACCTTAGCTTTATTAAAAATTATTGGGTCTGACCTTTTCATTGGTATTTTATTTATTCTTATTCTTTGTAGGACATGTATACTAATTTACAGGCTCAATTGCAAGCAAAGTCTTATGCACTTGACACCAGAAACCGAGAGATGGCTCTTCTTCGTGATGAAATGGAACGGATTGAACGTGAGAAACAGAAAGAGATGAGTATAATGCAGCGCCGCTTGGAAGAGCTTCAACGCCAGCTCGATCATGTTCAATTAAAAGACGACAAGAAGCGTCATTTGGATGAGGAGTGTACAGATGATTCTCATGAATCAAAGAAGATTGAGCGAGTACTCGAAGAGAGAGGTAAAGCCACGATTGTTCAATCTTACTCAACCAAACTAGCTACCCGTACAAAATCTACCCCAGTTACCCATTGATAGTATATTTTTTCTATTTTTTCTTCTTTTCTTTCGAATCGTTCTTCTACTACCTCTCCTATTTAAACCCTCCCCATTCTGTACATACGTCTCTTTTCAATTGGTTTTTTTAAAATCTTGCCTGAAATCAAAGCAAGTGTTGCAACTACGTCTTACCATTTTACCAATCTATCATTTTCACACCCTTTTCCTCTTTATATTCGCAATATTTGATTCATTGCATTTGAAGTAGTATAACAATAAATAAGTAAATAAAATTCATGTAAATCAAAGAAATAATAATAATAATAATAATCAAATGACAATTGGCACTAAAGAAGAAAAGGCAGCAAAAAAAAAGAAGGGGGAAAAAAAGAAGGGGATGGGACTATATTCGGTTGTGATTGGTATACATATAGAAAGGGCATTCCAATGAACAAACTCACACAAGCCTGATGATAGATAAAGGTTAGACTAGTCGGCTGTATTGATGAGTGGACGGATGATATAATTGTGTATTCAGGCTGAGTAAGTTAATTCTGGTATATTTCTTGATCCAAAGAAGTATTTTCTCCTGTTGTATATTATTCTACTTAAGTTTTTTTTTTCTGACTGAATAGTACAATGATATTGAAATCATTGTTAGATGAAATATCAGTAATAGTAAGAGCGGTAGTAGGAACAGTAACGGTAATTATAACGGCAACTATGACAGCCACTTTAGTCCTTGGAGCACAATTGATGACAATCTTTGTTAAGATTTTATTCTTCTTTCTTTTAATGAAAGCATGCACAGTTAATATGAAACCTTTAATTTGATAAGATATACTTCTTTTAGGTGTAGACAACGTTTTTCTTCGCCTATTTTTTATAATGTACGCATTGATCATCGGCACTCTTAATAAAGCGAATTATAAAGCTTATAACAATAATGATCTAACTTTAAAGAGTCTTTTACAATGAGTGTTTATTTATATATATGTATGTATTATTTGAACTTTTAACGCCGTGAGTTTGTCTTTACAACATGATGTCGATGAATACCTCCATTTTCTGTACGTCCATCTGTACAAACTTCAATATTTTCTACCCATTGAGAGTCTAAACATTTCTGGGCAGTCCACCGTGTTGTAGGGTTGGGATCAAACATACCATACATACAATCCTTCTCCTTATCAGTACATTTGCTCAAAGGAGTCCAAGACTGAGTTGACCGCTGTTCCAAATATTCCATAAACTTCTCGTCTGTATCAGATGCTTCTAAGAATGGCATACGTCTGTAAAGTAGGCAATGCCATGTAACAGCTGCACTCCAGATGTCGAATGCACGACCATCATAACCCAGGTTGTCGTTTTCTGCGCGGGCAAATAGTTCGGGTGGCCAATATGGTGCAGATCCACAGTGGCCGTGGGACAGATGGGTTGTTTTGTGAAAGCACGATTGGAAAACATCTGCAACACCAAAGTCGGTGATCTTGAGAACACCTTCTGAGGTCATTACCAGGTTTTCCGGTTTGATATCTCGATGCGCAACCCCACAGCTGTGCATGTGAGCGAGGCCTTTGAGAAGTTGTTTGAATAAACAGTCAATTTCATTGTCATTAAGCTCATAATCTTGCATGACTGTAAAAACATCGCCTCCTGAGCACTAGGAACAATAAACGATTAAATACGATTAGTAAACATATCTTACATATATATATACAAAAAGCCTTAAAAAATTATAAAAACATACATATTCCATAACTGAACACCACCTGCCTTTGTGGTCTTTCAAGAGATCAAACATTTCTACAATGTGAGGATGGCGCAGGGCTTTGCTGATACAAAACTCGCTTGTCATACGTTTGTGATACGATTTTTCTGTTTCGTCCCGATCCCGCTTTCGAAACGCCTTGACGGCAACAATCACCTTTCCTTTTTTTGATTTGGACTTGCTGCTGTGGCGGGCCTGTTCGGGAGAGATCCACGCAGGTCTATCGGGCAGCTCGAGGAGTCGGATTGTTGCGGTTGCTCCTGAACCTATCACTCTGCCTTTTCGGTGGTCAATATACTTTTCGTGGAGCATCAATGGTTGAGTGCGACTTTCGATGGCTTGTGGTTCAAGATTGGACTTTTCTTTTTCAAATGCCCATACACTGCGACTCCGCTTGGAAGTTTCTGGCTGTTGTTCCTGAATATGATTTCGCTGGTTTTGTGAGAGAGCTCTTCTTGATTCGCTGGGAATGTCATAATCGTTTTCTGTTTCAGCTGAAGACGCGGGAGAGACGGGAGTCAAAGGTGATGTAGGAGTACTCGGTAGAGACGATGGATCTTGTGCAGATGGTTGAATGGAGTAGGCTGAATCAGGATGCAAAGAGATAATGTCGGTGGGAATAGGCTTCTTTTGCTGCAATTGTGGTTGTGGTTGTGGTTGTGGCTGTGGTTGCTGTCCAACTGCCAAAGCTGCCACAATGGAGGCCATTACAGCAGCCGTAGCTACTGTGGGGGATTCTGATACCTCAGTTTGGTCAGATAATACAGAGGATGTTGATCCAGAAGAAATACTACGCATTGAGAAGCTTGTGAGACGTTTTCCAATGACAGATACTAGATCTGGCGGGGCGTTTGGATTCTGTTGGTCGTTGGCTTGACTGAAGAGGTCTCTGAAGCTCTTCTTTTTTCTTGCTAGAGATTTGATTTCTTTTGATTCAGGAGGAGAAAGGGTGATGGCCGGTTGTACCTGCAAATGAGGGTTGAGACTATAGAGATCTTGTTTAAGCATTCATTGTGCATGTTTATTGATTTTAAATAATACTTGCGATAATTCAGCCGATTCCATTATTTGAATAAAGATGTAGAGAAGTATATTATTTTTTTGTTGGAAGAGGTTGTATATTAATATTATTTCGTACAAAATATATTATAGAATTATGTGTGTGTATGTGTGATTTTGTATACGTATATTTATCAATTTATTGATTTATTAATATATTAATATATACAAGTATATATGTCAATGTATTGGTAGCTATATTTTTTTAATAGAAAGAAAGAAAGATGTAGAGTGGATAATAAGATGGATAAACTTTATGCTTAAAGATAGACATAAGAAAGAAAAAAAAAAAGGGGGGGGGGGGGTCTAGGGTAAAATAAGCAAGTTGGCTCCTGCCAAATAAAATGATCCACGAGAGAGCACTCGCCTCTACTTTTGATACCTCTTTTAGACTATGACCTTCATTTTGTGGATATATATTCTCTCCGTTGAAAAATAAAAAAAAAATAAAAAAAAATAAGAAGGATAATAGTAATATTGTTTCTTAAAAAGACTATAATATAATATATATAGATGTTTGTGTTTATATAGACATGATAATGGTGGTTATTCACAGGGAAATACGTCAATTACTCAAAGAGATCTGGGTATTTTTGACCATATTCAACCACCTTGTCAACAAGCTTAAGGTCTATAACAAGTAACTCGTTTTATTAGATATAGTCCAGACACAAATTATAATATTTATACAATATTCATAGCCATAATATAAAGAAAAAAACGAAATGAAATATAGAAACATAGAGATCTTATATATATATATATACATATTTCTTTTGTTCCTTGTACTTACCAATATTCTCTCCCAAATTAATTGAACTGAATTCAGTAAATGTAAAGTCCTTTTCAACTCTACCAATAAGCTCAACATATGAAGTTCCCCATGTAGTATCCTATTTTAAATAATCCACTTATTAAAAAAAAAAGGGACCTTTGAGGTCTAAAGCTCATCCACAAACCCTGTTGGTCTTTATAATAATCTGTCCACCGTCTGATGATTCAACAAGTGCACTTTCTCCAGTAAACTAAATTCCAACTTAAGTTTAATTGCGCAGTTCTGTAATTTTCAAACACACATAATGCAATCAAATAGATCTTACCGACACCACCTTTCCTGTTAAGCGAACAGTTTTATCAATGTACTTTTGTCTGAGGCCAGAATTAATGCGGGGTGTTGGCTTTTCCATTTCGATCGATCAAGTGTATATATATATGTGTGTGTGTGTGTCTATATATGTATATACGACGCGTGAACTAAGAAAATAGAGAAACTGTCAGCGCGTACCGATTATATCTAACGCGCCTGGATTGAGCACCGAAGATGATTGATGACATGAAGAGCTGTCACAGCACGGTCTTTTTTTTTCTCCACTTCTTTGGTTCTTTAGTCGGGAATCTAAAATAAAATAAAAAAAAGCCTAATACCCCCTCATTTTGATCGATCCCAACATGGCAGCACAGCAACAGCAGCAACATCCCAACAAACTTGCTTTTGTGGAGGGAGTTACATACATCTTCAAGTCATGGACCGCTCTCAAATTGGCAGTTGAACAGGATTGGGGAGGTGTTGAATCTGCCGAGAAAAGAGATTGGATGATTCAACTGATGGTCGATTACTTTGACAAAAGTAAGTCTGGACATTGACCTTATTTTTCGATTTTCTTTTTTGGTAAAGTCGATATTTAACCAAAAAATTTAGACGGGAAAAAGGTTGAGGTGGATGAAATTGAAGATATCTTGATTCAAATCATGTCAGACGAGTTCCAAACGTTGTTAGAGGATGATTCTGCGTACCTGGTATGTGCATACATACATAATAAATTTATTGACAGATCAGAAAACACTGGTGTACTTATGCAAGAATAATCCCTAGATCGCCAAACATCTTGTTTTGATCTTCAACCAATGTATCACTGGTAACTTTACTGAGGTGGTTAAGCTCAGAGAGAAATTCCAGTCCCAGAACCAGGCATCTGCCTCAAGTTTTGTGAAGCAAGGAGAAGAGGATTCTGACGTGGATGAAGATGACGATGAAGATGAAGAGGATGAGGTAAATTATATAGATTTATTGGTACAAGGCATATGTGCAATATACTGATGAAAGAGAACGGTTTATAACGTATAGGATCAAGACATGGAGCCAAGGGCACCAAAAGAGCCTGAACAACCTGATGAAGATGGCTGGCTCACTGTTCGCCACAAATAAACTTGTACAAATTCTTAGAATAAATAATAATAATAATAGTAATGATAGTAATAGTAATGATAATAATGGTAATAATTTTGTGTGAAAGAGAGAGAGAGAAATGAATTTGATGTGTTTGTATGTATGTGTTGTATAAAAAAAAGTAGATCTAATGCAAAAACATGGACAATATTTATGTATATATAAATGTCTTATGCTCTTGATCTTTTAGCCTTCTGATCGGCCTTGAAAGAAGCCTGAATTTCGTTGGCAATGTTCTCCAATTCAAGCTGATCCTCCTTGGGGAGCAATACCTGCTTAGGCTCTTCCTCAACCTTGGGAGCTTCAGCCTTGGCCTTTTTCTTGGTAGCCGGCTTCTCGGTCTTTGTTCCCTTTACTGCCTTTTCTGTCTTTCCTGCCTTTTCTGCGTTCTTTGTCTTCTTTGCCTTACTATCCGCTGATTTGTTATTGGCCTGTACACCAGTCAAAATATCTGTCAAATCAACATCCTCATCGGCCTCCTTGGAGATCTTTTGCTTCTTCTTTGGCTTTTCTTCCTCTTCTTCTTCCTCTTCGCCTTCCTTGACGACCTTTTCATTAACACTCTTCCACGATGCGCCCTCGCCGTGCTTAATTACGCGCTCAACACGCTCTTGATCCTATAATCCAAGTAAACGTCAATAAACAAAAATCGAAAAATAATAATTAAAGGTACTGCATAATATTACCTTCTTTCCCAATGCAGGATAACCTCTAAACTGTTCAATAGGGAGAACAGTCAAAACCTTGGGAACTACAATATTATATACACGTGTGAGATCTCGACCAGTCCAATTTTTTTTCATGTATTTTTTTTTTGTTACCTGTCCAGCATTTGAAATGCCACCAAGAGTATTTGGCTTGCTTCTTTTTTTCTTTCTTGTTCTTGCGGAAAAGCTCTCCTACACGCAACGATTTTGCTGGAATGACTCGATTGCATGATTTACAGACAGATAGTTGGGTTTCTGCGTACTCAACGCAGTAGGTAATAATAGGTCCTGATGATGTTGAATCGGCCATGATGTTGGTAATTTTTATAGAAATATTTTTTTTTATAAAGGTGATTAGCAAAAGAGGGGTTCCACTTTTTTGCTATAGGCAGCTGACAGAGGAAAAGAGGTCACAGCCAACAGGCTTTTTCTGAGTTAATTTAGATGTCCAAAAGAACCAAAAAAGGATATACTTTTTTTATATAGAATTTTTACTCTAAAATTAGGGTTTTTTTTTAAAAAAATATGTGTATATATGTATATATATATATTTGCATATATTTGAGCTGTTTGCCGTGAGTACCTAAAGAATTAGACTGTTAATCATGGAACCTATGTTAGTTATTGGATTAATAACCTTTTATATAACATATGTAATTTTTTTGTTTTAACTATTGATATCAAGTTTCATGATTTAAAGATAGTTAGTACATTTGATAAATCGTCATATATTCAGTTGTTGCTCCCATCAAACTGCTACCTTACGATGTTTTTTGGTGGTGTGGACATGCTTTTGATGATTCGTTTAGTTAAACAGTCTAAATAAAAAGTACCCTTTTTTAGATATTAAATAGGGCACCAGAGCTTGGATCAATTACTGCTTCACGAAAAGATGCTTGCAGTAGACTAGATGACTTACTTTGAACTTATGGTTCCTTCTTTTCAACTTGTGTAAAATCTGCAAAAGACCAGAAAAAATTTGTAGATCGAGAGCAATCCTTCTTTTGATAGACTACAAAAAAAAGGGAAAGGTTTTCCGTCAGTCGACAGTAGTAGACTTAAGAAAAGCGTAATTTGCCTGTTGCATTTATCGCTACAATAAACCTTGGTACAATATAGGTCTTGAAGCAGTAATTCCTTTTTCTCTCAATATTTTTTGTTGTTGTTTCGGTATGCATCTACAAAAAGGAGTTTGCTTAGTCTAATATATTCTTTTAAAAAAATTATTATCATGGCTCCAATTATTTCTGACAATCGTTTCATGTAATATATAAAGTGTCTAATTTTAGACCGAGATCCTGCACGGCTACTAATATCTTCAGTGTATGCTCCTCTAAATGAAGTACATCTTTTTAAAAAAAGATATTTGATTGTCATTTTTAGATATATGTGTGTGTGTATTCACTAACAAAGATTTGTTACAGATTACTCAATACAATATGCATATCTATTAAAGATAGTTATATGATATATTCTGGGGTTAGGATAAAGAGTTGATTGGCTTATAATATGTTTATAATTGAATATAATGGTTTATTCCAATTTTGTACATGCTGGTTCTTATAAATATAATCTTAGGGATGTATTTAGAAGAAGGCCCTGAAGTATAATTTCAGCTATAATACAAAGTGTCAATTCGTATGATTAATACAATTGGCTCGTTAATAAATGTCATAAGCAAAATAAAGAACATGGATATCTTGCTTTTAGCCAAACTTCTTCTTTTTCTTAAAAAAATACAGTTGGGGATTTTCTTTAATAGCTTGTATTTTGGATCCAATTGATCTTCAAGGTATTCAGTATAAACAAGTGCTTCAAAGTAGCTTATATATATATATATATTGTAGCTATTTAACCATCACTCAATTGTAATGATTTGATATAATGACAGTTGGTTTTTATTTTTAGCTATTGTAACTTTGGTTGAGTATGCAATATTCAATTCAAGGTCCAAACTAAATGCATTCGACTGATCTGTTTAAACATATAAATTCCACACGTCTTTAGCTTTCCAGAAAACATACTATATTTGGTCTACTTTTAATCTTTCACTTTTGAGTTTTGAGTTTTGAATAATGAAAGCAAAGAGTAAATTGATTTAAAAATGTGCCAAGAATACTACTGATAGTATGATAATTAAAAGTATAAGCATTTACTATATATATTTTCCTCTTCTTTTTCACTATAATTTCTTCCCTCTGAAAACAAATTTTTGGAACAAGTATTGAAATTGAAAACAAATACGGGATGTACAAAGACCAACTTATCAGATTTCCAACCGTCCCGATACTTTCGTATCCTTACTGGATAATAACAATAATAATAACAATAATAATAATAATAATAGTATTATTCTTATTATTCGACTCTATCGGCACAATTTGGAGTAAGGAATGGTACCCCCAAGTAAGAAACAAAAATCTCTGTCAGGCCGAGGTAAGCTACTCCACAGTAGAGTCGCTATACCTGTAGTTTTATATATATATAAAAGCAGAAACTTTAATTAATAATCCTGCGTTATGTGTGGTATGCGATATCATATATACACCACCATTATTATTTTTAATATCATTACCTGAATTATCTTTTCGCTCTACTGGTTTGCAAGCGTCTGAATGGAACATCCAAAAATGACCATTGTTGCATGATCTTAGACACGGACTACATGGAGACACAACATGGTACCCTACCACATTTCCGCTAAAAAGAAATAAAAAAATAAAAATAAAAATGTACATAGAAAGTAAATATAGATCTCGGATTGGATACAATTGACTTACCATCCAAGGCATGCTACATCACGAATGCGACAATGGCATGTACGAGTAAGATAATCCTTTTCTAAAAGCTGTATACTAAACAAAATTAGGCGTGTATGTGATTATCCCAAGTTATTACCCTTGTCCAGGAGTATCAGTGCTGAAAAGTTCAATACGAGTATCTGCCAAGAGAATTGCTTTCATGCTCCTTGCGCAAATATGGCTCGTGCAGTATCTACAAGTTAATTGGTATACTGGCTTGAACGGCATAATTGAAGCCTGGGAGCGTCTATCAATATTATGCTGACGATGCACATGTTGAATTGGCTGGCTATGGTTTGCTTGTTGAACTTGTTGAACTTGTTGAACTTGTTGAACTTGTTGAAACGGTTGTTGCTCGGTGGGTATGTGTACTTGTTGCTCTTGCAGCCGACTAGATAGCTGTTCTAGTCTCTGCCTTTGACGTTGAGCCTGGCGTTCTAAAAGCTCTTGGGCCCTCTCCCGTCTACGACTGTCTTCTTGAGAGCTATTAATTTGACCTTGATTATGAGCATCTGACATTGTCTCCTGTAAGTGTGATTGATCTAAAGGTGGTGTATTTTGGTATTGATCTTGATGTCTTTGATGTTGCGTTAAGCGAATAGAGGCCCCGCCAACTTCTTGAGATTGAGATCCATACTCCAATGGCGGCTGGTCTGCTTGTGTTTGGTTCAGTTGTAGCTGTTCTGTACTTATTTGATCCCGAGAATTGTCTTGATTCTCAACGCTGTATTCCTGTAGTCGCTCTTGTCGCTCACGCTGTTGTTGTGTTCTTAATAGCTGTTGCTCCAATGCCTGTCTATGCTGTAGCTGGATCCGCCGTTGGTTAAGAAGCTGAGTTTGTTCATCCTGTAGCCGTTGTAGTGTTTGTTCTGCAGTCTGTGTCATCTGGTGAAGTTGTCCTGTGTGTATGAGCTGTAAATCCTGTTGTTGTTGGTTTTGTTCTTGATCTTGGTTCTGGATAGTTAACTGGAACAGTTGATTAGAACGTTCTCTCTCTTGTGTTTCTTGATTGAATTGCTGTGTAAGCTGTTGCAATTCAAGCGAGCGTCGACGTCGTTCTTGTAGGTCTTGCTGTAATCTATGTTGCTCAATATCTTGCTGCTGTTGAAGCTGTGTCTGTTGACTTGCCAATTCTCGCTGTTGCTGTTGTTGAATCTGGGCTCGGTTTTGTTCTGCAGCGTCTCGTAACTGCTGGTGTTGTTGTGAGTGTCTTTCTGCTAGGACTTGTTGCTGTAGTCTATGCTCCTGAAGCTGTTCGACAAATAACCGTTCGTTGAGATGATGTATAGTTGCTTGACTTGTCCAAGTTTGGCGTGCTGATGTAGTGCTCGATCTTGAAGGAAGCGGGAGTGGTGAACGATGTGCTAGTCGACTGCGTGGGATATCTCCAGCCAGAGGAAACAAAGAACGACGTTCGATTATTGATTGCGGTTGGTCTCTTAAGAGCGATTCTTCCGTCGGCGTTTGTGTTGGATTATTCTGAGAGCTGCGTTCGGCAGAATTCATTTTTTTTAAGATTATATATACTATATATATATATATATATATAGTATATGTGAGCGAGTGAGCAAGTGAGTGAGTGATTAAACGAGCGAGTGGTTATTTTTATATATAATAATACTAATACTAATAATATTGAAAACTTTGAAGAAGAATAGGATTTCAAATAAATTTATAAAAAGGAAAAATGCTTGAAAGAGAGTGGAATCCAAGACGTTAAAATACAACTATATATATAATTCATTAAGATAATTAACACACAAACACAACATCTAGTATACTTCGGAGATATGTGAAATAAATCGTATATATCAAAACATTATATATATATAGGAGTTTAATACGTTATTTTACTTGGATTATATATAAAGATGTTCTTATTCTAGCTTGCAACAGTATCCAGGAACGTACTGGTATCATCGGAAAGATATATATGGATTTTTGTGTGTGTGCATACAGATAAATTTCCATAAGAAAGACCCAATATCCAAAATAGCGGATTATTCCGAAAAAAATAAATAAGCAAACTTCATCCCTTGTGACAATTTGTATGGAGTCGTAGTGTATAAATTCTACGAGAAAATTAAGAGAGGTTCTTTTTTTTCTCTTTAATAAAATAAATAAATAAATAAATAAAATAAGTAAGTAAATAAATAAATACAAGTATCTGACAAGGGAAAATGCGATATAAAAGAGAGAAATAAATAAAAAGGTAAAGAGGTAAAGAGGTAAAGAGATAGACAGCCTGCTATAATAAATCATTTGAAGGATTTAGAAAAAACTAGATTAAGAAAAATATATATCTAATTATATATATATTTAAAGACATTTGATTTAGTGAGGTTAAGGAGGTGATAATATGCGACAGATCTTTGGAGCGAAAGAAATAATATAGAAAGAAAGAAAAAAAAGGAGATTTGTAAGAGGAGAAAATGTTGTAACAGCAAAAAAGGGATATAAAGAAGGGGTGATTATGAAGTGATGTTGTTGAATCAATATTAGTGTTCTTCTTTCGGTGGTGTTTGTCGGTGATTAGGTGGATAATCCATGTCGTAGGACTCCTTGGAGAAAATTAACGGTGGTTTTGAATGTGGGTCAACCAGCGTTGCGGCTGAGGCGAATGTAAAAACAGAGCCTGGTGTGGTAGGCCTTGAAGATGTTTTCTCTAGCCGTAACAGACTGCTGGTTTTTGTGCGAATTCGAGGGGGTTCTGTGACAGAAACATGCTTTACGGGCGGTGGTGCATCGCCTTGTTCGGTGTACATTGAGTAATTTGAATAGCTAGATTCCCGATTCTGTCTGTCGTCTTCTTCTTCTTCCTTTACTTCTGCAACTATCTCAATATTGGAGTTCTCTGCATTGATTGGAAAATATAGGCCGGTTCCAGACATTGTTCTTGGCCAGAGCCAGAAGAGAGGTTGTGGGCCAAGTACTGAGCGTAAGTTGTTCATTACACCATAATCGTATGGATATTTAACCTTTTTGCACATAAAAAATCAAGCAATGGATTATTGAGTCAATGTATTGGATTTGATTAGACACCTATAATTATTCTTACATTTTGGATTTTTCCCATTCGCTTCATCGTCAATGTCTTTCCTTTTTCCCAGCCCTCGATTGTTGTAGTGTTTGTGGTGACACAATATACATGGTAGCCTCCTAAGATGCCGACACAAATGATCACTAAGGCGGCCATTATCATGTTGATAGACAAGAATGTAGCTTCAGTGGCTGACGGGCGGATTTGAGACTGTAGTTTTGGCAGATTAGAAACATATTGAAAAAAAAAACACACAACAACAGCACAAATTTTCTTTGTAGGATGTGCTACTTACTGTGTGTAATTCTTCTACGATTTGAGCAAGCCTATTACTAAGTAGTGCGAATAGATAGATTGATCCAATCTCTACATAGACTAAGAATCTTAAAAAGTGGCCGTAATTTTCGAATCCTACGCAGCTGTTGATCCATGGACAGTGGTGATCCATTTTTAATACACATCTGTTGCAAGTGCTACAGTGATGCGCGCGCGGTGGTTTGAAATTATTACAGGTTTTACAGAAGCGTGCGGTGTGAGTCGATCGTTTAACCTCGAAATGTGTATTCTGATCGGGCATCTGAAAATAATAACAGAATAGAATATTAGTTTCCAAAAGAGAGAATTGAAATTGGCATTTACCCAGTTGGGAGGGACGGTGCCAGGATCAGTGGTACAGGTGAGTGCATAATTGATATATATAAATATGATGAAAACGTTGAATGGAGCGAGAACAAAAAAGGTGTGAGCTACGGCACCGCCTAGAGAGTTCCAGAGAACGAATATTTGTGAAGTGTAGGCGACAAAGGCAATAAGTATTGAGACGAATACGACAATCAGTTGTCCCTGCCACTCTTGTTTTCTCATGGCTTGTGATATGAAAGGCGAGAGAAAGATGGCGGGGGATGGACGAAGGTTTATAGTTTAAATAGAAATAGCAATTAGGGGCTCGAAAGGGCTGCTTTGCGTGTGTGCAAGTAAATGTGGTTCTGTTGTTCGAGGAGATTCAAGGGAAAACAGATGATTTCTTGGATTGACTTTGGTCTTCTTATTTTATGTTTTGGTAATAAGGCTGGTGGTGTTCAAGGTCTAGGTGTGTTGGTGAATGGAGATCGCGACTTTGAAATCACAACGAAGTTTCGTAAAAGAAAAAATCTGTCAAAATAAGAGCTGTGTTGGTATTAAAGAAAAAAGTAAAAAAGAAAGAAGAAGAAGAAGAAGAAAAAGAAATATAGAGAGCAAAAGAGAGAAGAGTGGGTTATTCCATATAGGCGGGTCTTCTATTTCGAATGAAGAGACAAAAAAGCTTCCTAGTTAATGATCGTGGTCCAGTTAAACTGTACAACTTCAATTTCCTGAATTCAACCTCAAGGCTCGTGTTAAAGTCCGAATAAAACTAGTACCGTCCCTGCCGAACCATCTCTTCTATCCCCCCTTTTTTTTCCCTTGCTGCCTTTTCATCGCATATATAGATAGAGTAGAAGCATCACTTCATTCACTGCATTTTCTTATTAAATCTGAGATCAGCCCCATTCGCAGCATTAGGCATATACATAAGCTGCGTCATCAAACACTTCTTTGACAGCAATTTCCGGGAGACACATTTGTCTACCGAGATCCGCGATCCGCTTAGTAACACCTAGGAATTATTAGCGTAGGTCTTTTTTATTTTTTTTATATATATATATATATATATATTTCTTTGTCTGGTTTTCTTTATCGGCTATCAGCTGTATAAAGATCATGGAAATGTTCTAGTGTGCACAGACTGGAAGTAAATGGTAACTCTCTTTAGAGATTAAATAAATACAATCTTAAACAACATAAGGGTAGAATGATCTGATTTGTTTCAATTTCAATTTTCAATTTTCAATTTAATTTAAAAATAAAAATAAATAGACAATATATATTACGGGTAAATACCAAAGCCCATGACCGTGCCTGTCTTGCTTAATTGTCAGCTCATTTTCCTATCATGTCATGAAATACATTATCTTTCTTTCTTTTTCATTGAAATATTTGAAAAAGGATTCTCTCTTTTGCTTTAAACATTCTTATAGTATTCTGATTATAAAGTGCCTTTTCTTTTAAATAGAAAAAGAAACTTCTTGGTGGATACAGCAGATAATATGGTTATTACTATAAATATTCACGAGATGATCGCTCAATTATTTGTAAGATTCCTTTAATGTCAAGCTTGAGGATGTTCACAAATACATAAATGGCCGAAGCACTTAATTACTAAGCTGGTAAAGACACACAGAATTGATTGGAAGCACAAAAAATCACAAATCTTTTTTTTCTTCAAAAAAGGGATCTTGGCACAAAGTCAGAATAGCACAAGAATCGTTTCTAGTCTGTGCACAATACGTTTTTTTATTATTATTAATTATTCGATCATCAATAAATACATTCACAACTGATTTGTTCTCTTTATAAATATGCTGTAGCTCTTTTACTTTAGCACAAATATCAATCATCAGCTAAAGACACTAGCCCTTTGTTTCTTCATAAAATATATAAAGTGTACTCTCACGCTCAAGAAACACAGAAAAAGAAATCTCAGAAGCTGGTGTGATTGATATTTCTCTAAGTATCACACAATTAGTGTATAAAATGTAAGCGTAAAATATTTCTTGTATATCGAACCTTGAATAAGGTGTACATACATAGCACTTTGTAAACTAGCTGAGAAATGGTGTAAATTTATTTGGTGGCTACTACATGTAAGGGTTGCTTATCTTGTGATGTACAGTGCTCTACTTCAACGAGCAGGAAAAAAAAATTAAGGCAAGGGAACTTGGTAAAGAAAGAGACTGCAGGTGTACTCGCTTGTCCCCTTACTTGATATTTTACTCAGTGTCGTTGAGGAGCTTTGCAAAATATAAAGGGCGGCATTGAAAGAGACCAGTTGGCTGACAACGACAGTTTCATTAAGTATAAAAGGCTGGTTTTCAGAATAAGGTGCCTTATTAATTTATATATATATTTAGTCTTCTTTTTCATTTGTGAGAATATAGAGTTCCTTTAGACACCTGAAATCCTGTCGTTAATTGTGTAAAAAAAAAAAGAAAAAAAAGAGAATTGAAAGAGTTTGATTGGAAGTATTCTCTCAAAAATGTATATATTTATTAGTGAATGAAAAAGTTTATTTGTAATTTGTGAATAATTGTTGAAAATATAATCCATCAATTTGAATCCTATAATTAGAAAGGGTGATATCTCTTTATCCCGTACATATTATTTCAAGCTAGACAGTTTGATATAGGAATAAATAATAATATTAAAAAGATCATTAATAGCCAAGATTCTGCACATTGAAAGGCATTCAGTGGTATGTAGAATGTCTGCAAAATGAGCTTCTCTACAAAAAGGTATCTTTGTCTTTGCTACCATAACATGTGAAGTGCCTGATTAATCAACATTTTTATCAATCTATTTATTTATCTATGTTCTCACAAGCAATTTTTCATAATCTATAATGATTCTGTACCCATTCATTCAACACGGAATATATATAGATACATATATATATATCAGAAGCTCTTGGTAATGCTAGCAGAATGAAATTTGAAGATCAATCTAAAGAAGTATTGGCTTATGATGTAAGATGCGATCCTAGGGATCATTGGTACCTTGAAATGTCATATGATCTGATCCGACCAAGACTACCCCTATAAAAAAAAGGCAATCTTGTTATGAAACTGTCAAGGAAGTTTAGGTACTCTGGGCATATACAAATTACTAATAACACCGTCTTTTTGCTTTGGAAAGACGGTACATGCCTTCCATCGTTTTGTATCGTGTTCTAAGAATTGAATAGCCACATACATCTACCGCACTAAATTATAGCAAACACAAATACTTAAATACCAGCTAATAAAATACAAACCTTCTGGTACTGGTTGAGTACTTAACACGCCGGCTGATTGCTATCACACTACCTCAATTTTTATTCAAACAAGACTATCAATGCACTTACTCTTCAACGTGGTTTTGATCTAGATATTTTGTGTTGATTAATCACTGGGAAAAAAAGGCAATGTATCGACTTTACTTTTGTCTAAAGTTATGAAACCTGTCTGGTCCAGACTTTTGATCACACCAAAAGTAAAGTATTATACTAAAAGGCGCCTCCGGATAGTGTGGCTTTAATCAAGCCTATCTTGATTTTTATTTTATTTATCAAGATCAAGTATAGGGAGAAGCGATGAATACTTTTCTAGCCCGATTCTTCGGGACCATGTATCATTGCCAAAAAAGAAACTGGCTTCTTATTGACTAAAAGAAGAACAAAATGATAACAAGAAAAAGAAAAACAAAATACGGAAAATTCTTACAGCAACAAGAAGCTGTTAGTAAAGGAATGGATGATGTGATATTTCAGTTTTCATAAAACTAGTACTTAGGTCCCTTGATGATATGTCCCTTATCTTAATAAACTCGCATAGGAGCCAGTTTGGCAGCTAGAACCGTCTTGGATTACAAACTCTTCCTCCTACTCAGATGAGGGGGTCTTTCTTTTAACCAGAGAAGGAAGTTCTGGGCCAAGTGTCCACGTATTGGACTTGTTTTACAGCGCCATTAATTGAACATCACAAGCCCGAACTCTCCCGCTCAGAAACAATTTCCAAACCATCACGTCTTAATTTATTTTATTTTTGTTACTTTGTTTCAGGCGTCGTAATTTGTTTGATATACATATCGGCCACTCATATTTCTAACATTCATTGTTGTAATTAGCTATGAATCTGAATTCAATAAGTCAAATTGAACATTTAAATTGGTCATTTACTCAAATGACATTCATTAGCCTACTAAGATCTTTGCAGTGATTTTTGTTTTATCAAGGCTTATTTAATTAGATACAATCTAGACTTAATAAATCGCAATTGAGATGGTTGGCTGGTCACAGTTTGCTTCACGTGTAATCTTTGATGATTCGCCCAGTACTTCTTGGTAATGGCTACCCAGTCATTTTGTTCTTTATTGAATCTCTTTAATACTTTTGATTGTATGTAATCTCATGTCTACTATGGGTATAATCTTGATTGATTCTAATCCCACAAAATGCAAATAAATTATTTTAACGCTTATTACCCAACTATATAATAAGAGATATGAATGTCTTTATTTATTGAGTTTTTCACATATGTATTCTACAATGCTTGTCAGTACTCCATTTTTCTTTTTTCTTTTTCTTTTTTCAATGTGTACAAAGTGGTCGTAAATTCAAGCTGGTTATAATTACTGTAAAGAGTATTCTCTTGAATTTAACGAAAAAGATAATAATTCATAAACAAATATTGATGGGCAACAGCATACGTCTACCTGTAAACCCCACCCTCTAAAATCATGAGCGTCCACCAATACCACCCATAGCAAAGTAAGCATCTTGGACACCAGGTGCAACCTTGTCAAAAGATTCTACAGCACATTCTGGTTCTCCCTTCAGATGTGTAAAGTCCATACATGGCTGATTTGTAGAGGATACGTAAAATCCAGGCTGAAGCCACTTGTTGCCGCGGCTCATTGTATATCTTTTTGCCAATTGCCATGGTCGCTCGACCTCTTGTCCGATTCTGTTTTTTTGCATAAACCTCGACTTATCTGTAACCTTCATCATGTTGGCGTGAATAAATAGGAGTTTGTCTTCGTCTCCATCTGGATAATACTGTAACATTGTGTGACCACAAAATCGACCATCGACCATTCCTCCTCCCATGCCAAGAAAAGTAGGAACCATATAGAATGGTGCATCAAGAGCCTAAAAATAATAATAGTAATAATAATAATCAACACGTACGCTCGTATACATATACTTATCTATTAAGAGAAAGAAAAAAAAAACTATGTAGATCGGGTCTAATATAACATTAAATATTTACCTTCCATGCGTATTGGAATGTGTCCTTATCACCGTTGAGAAGCTGAAAATATATTTCATGGTTGTTTTGCATGTACCACGAAAGCTGTAGTGGAAGCCAAGCCTTGGCCTTGTTGATCACAATTTGCCCAGACTAACATCGAATAATTTAAATTATGAATCTAATTTGTTAAATCTTATTTCATTTATTAATCTAATAATAAAGCTGTATATAAACTTACTTCTTGTTCCCACTCATCTTTACAAGGAATATTAAGAATAGGAAATATAATATTTTCTCCACTTGTCTTCCTATCAATTAAGCATATGTCAGTCTAAATGATTGATCATTTTACAAGTTTTTTTTTCTTAGTAAAAAAAAAAGAAGGTTCAAATCCACTTGCCAGAAATCAGGCCAGAACATAGCACCGGTTCTCTTGTAATCTGGCGAATCAAATAAAAAGGTCGGGTCAATTGCTGGTACGTTGTCAGAGTCAAGGTAAAGAACTTCATTGAATCTCGAATTAATGATAGCAGCTGCCTTAATCTGGAATCTACATTTATATATATATACATATATCGATGTTAATATATACTCTTCTTTACTCTCTTTTTCTTAAAGAAAAAATGGCGTAGGGATAACTGTAGATTTTTTTTAGTTGAGGGATATAACGTGACGTACTGCTTGTCGGCGTCTCTTCGTTGTTGCACAGGTCGTACTAGATTCTCCTCGCCAAAGCTCCGGGAAACAGCTCCAAGACGTGCAAGTTCGGTTACGATTTCTGGGGATGGTATTTCATCAGGCAAGTGCCACACTTCGATTGGAAGCGTACAGTGGTGAAACTCCTTTAATATACGGATTGTTGTTGTCGCTCGACCAAAGGTATCGACGTTTCCCGCTACTAGTACGATTCCACGACCCTTGAATTGTCCGACATCTGGCTTTGCTTTTTCCTTGGCAATGAAGTCCTGCCACTGCTTTTGATAAGACAAAATAACGTCTTTTGAGAGATAACGCCAAAATTGGACATGTGCATTTCCGTGATTGTGGTCTATATTTCGCTGTACTGATTCTGTGCTGCACTCTTCTGGAATTTCTTCGATTTGTTCAATGATTGGTGGTGCTAGGTTCTGAGGCTCATCGTCAACTAGGCGAGGATTTGACCAGGTGGATGCTCTCATAGATGTAAAGATAAAATATAACACACAAGTGTAGACCATCAAGGCTATCGCCCACATCGGGCTACGTGTAGAGAAACCCATTTGATGACACTTTATATTTGAGACTAAATATGGATATATGTATAAAAGAAGAAAAAGAAAAAGAAAAAGAAAATAAATCTAAAATTCAAAATCCAAAAAAAAAAGAATCGAATACACCTATAAAAATGAATTTATCTAATTGGTTTGTGTGCGAATAAGATTTGAATACAGCTTGCTACGGACCTCAAAAAGGAAATGGTCTATTTGTGACTGTCGATCTTATGAACTGAAAATTAGGTTTTTATGATACTGAAGGATATGATTAATAGATATATAATTAATGACAGTAAAGAACGAAAGAAAAAAAGAACGAAAGAAAAAAGATGGTATGCTTTAATAAAGGCAAAAAAAAATGGAGCCAATTATATGTGTATCATTACTGTCTCATATATTCTATCAACTCAAATGTGCAAAAACATTTGGACCTTTGGCCAACCCTTGTTTAAATGTTACAAACTCAAGAGCAACAAATACGATTCTTGGATAATAAATTAAACCAAAATATTAGCAGCTATTGCTATAAATAAAGACCATCGCTGCGTGGAAAAATAATTAACATTATTTTGTATATACCACGATTGCGAAATATTAACAGCTATCCCTTTTACACTATGGTATATGTATATATAAAAGACGGTTTTTGTATGAGGTTTTTGTAACATTTTCCAAGATTTAAGGGTTGTTTTTAAGGTTGAGTGTCTAAACATTATGGTTTCTTCTTTATAAATATACAAGTTTCATTTTCAACTTTTATTTTTGATCTACAATAACAAGAATCAGCTTTTAAATACCCAATTTTTAACTACGCTATGTTTCTGTGATCAATCCAAAGCACCTTCCTCTATCTCCTCCCCCCTTACTACAAAAGTAATAATAATGAAATAATTCACTGAAAAAAAAAATTATTTAAAGAATGCAATAGTTTATCAAAAGGGTATATTGAGGATTTTAGGCGATAACCACGTCAGAGCCTTATTCTCGGTCTTTTTCTCAAACGATGTTTCTCTGGAATATCTTTTGATGATCTTACACTACTGTTGGTTTGAATGAAAAGGGTGAATCTATCAGGACTAATACTATCATGTCTCAATTGGCTAAATATATTCCTAAATTTCAAAACAATGGAAAGATCTTGATTCTACAAACAATTCTTTGAGCACAATTAACCCATGGCCTCAGGGCAATTCGGGCTAGCACATTTAAAATTATTTATAAGAAAAAGTTGTGTTTGAGTTCTAAAATATGAAGTGAGGGTTGATGGCTTGCTTGAACGTTTGAAAGAAAGGCTAGAAGCATAAAATACAATGTTTGTAAGTACCAAATTCATCAATCAATCAATCAATCAATCAATCAATCAATCAAACGTTCAAAATATGTTTGTGAAGTATATATCTCATTTTTACACATTTTATTAGAGCACGGTATCGGTTATGAGGTGCAGACCAGTTTCTCATGACCAAGACAGAAGACCAACAAAATTCAGTGCTGATATTTCTTGCTAGACGTTCGTTGGCTTTGAGATGGTTGCTATGGGGGTACTCAGCCAGGTTGATCGCTCAAATTTTAAATTCAGAACGCGATATTATTGGACTAAAATTGTAATAGCGACGATCAAAATTTGATCGTCTTTTTGAAAGATCAAATTTCGATCAAATTTCGATCAAAATTTGATCGAAAAACGTACGGCTCTCTGATTGGCTGAATCCTTACTTTTTTATATGCAATACGATACTGTTTTTATCTTTCTCCTTAATAAATCATAGAATTTACTGTCAACAAAGTCATGTAACACTTCTTTCACTCCGTATAACATGCCAAAATACAGTGCAAAGCAACAAACAGTTGCTGCCTTAAAGAAATCGCGTAAAATCAGAAAATTTGTAGCGAAGGAAAAAAAAAGTCTGGTACAATCTTTATCAACAAGCGCAGATGAGCTGTTGAAAAATATTTCAGAAGTCCTTGAAGAGGAAGTTGATGCAGAGTTGGAGAAGATAGCTGTTGTGGAGGATCTTGAGCAGAACCTTCAAGCCAACAGATACTTACACAAGGGTGGCAATACATTGCCAAAGCTTAAATCAAAGGAAGAAAAACTTGCTTTCCTCGAAGACCTAGATGCAGATGGGTTCAAAGAAGAAATCAGAATGTCCAAAAGCTCGTTTAATAAGCTGTACGAGATAATCAAAGACCATTCTTTATATAAGTTACCGAAAGGACATAAGCAGACTGATGTAAAGCTTCAATTAGCTTTGGTCTTGGAGAGACTAGGCTCAGACGGGAATGCTGTATCCTATAGCAGGCTTGCACGAAGATCTGGTGTTGGAGGTAAGCGTCTTTTAGTAAACTGACTTCCGTTAATCTATATAAACATATAATTAATCCATTGAACTAATTATTTTAAACTTATTAGAGGGCAGTGTCTTAAACTTCACAGTTCGTTTCTTCAAGGTAATGCTATCAATGGAAAACATGTACGTTTTTTGGCCGTCAGAACTCGAGAAGACAGCAACGATAATCCCAAGCAATGAGAAACCATTCGGATTTCCTGATCTTGTTGGGTTTTTGGATGGGTGTCTGTTTAACTTGCAGCATACACCGTCGTGGAAAAAGCCAGAATTCTTTGGTCGTAAGCGCACATACTGTGTAAGCACTCTTGGGGTATGCGACCATCAAAAGAAGATTCGTTATCTCTCTTGCGGATACTTCGGAAGCATGAACGATGCCAGGGTGTTTGAAGAATCGACCATGGGTAGCGACCCCAATAACTTCTTCTCTGGTGACCAGTATGTTTTAGCCGATGCTAGTTACATTCCCGAGACGTACGTTATCCCTGTCATAAAGAAGCCAAAAAACAAGGAATTGTGTGATGCGGACAAAGCGTTCAATTCATACATAGCAATGATGAGGATAAAAATTGAGCATGCATTTGGGATCCTCAAAGCAAGATTCTGCTCTTTGAAGCGACTCCCAATTAAGATAAGAAGTCGAAAAGACATGAACATGGTCAATTCTTGGATCAGAGTTTGTGTCATTCTCTATAACTTTTTGATCGACCAGACAGATGACATGATGACAATGACGATGAAGATTTCATGGGAGAAAAGAGAAAAAGAAGAGATCGAAAGGATCAGCAGAGAAGGTGTGACTGGCACTGTAGATGACTATCCAGCAATGTCATTGTCAGATGAGAATGCTAAGCTCAAACGTATCCGTATCAAAGAAGAGATACTCATAAAAAACGGAGATGGGAACCTTCTTAAAAAAAAGTAAAAAATAAAGAAATAAATTATCTCAAAAGTAGAAATGATGTATAACAGGTATTCTATGATAGTTGCTGTCATTATTAAATTGATAGTCTTTAACTACCATACGTTTTATTGTAAACGTCGTCAGTTTGCTCTTGCACTTTTTCATCTGACCAGTTTTGCACTTTGGCCAATTCTGCAACTGCTTTCATCATGTTTTCGAATTTTCTGTGTATAAATTCGCGTTCTCGCTTAATGTGAAGATCGTCCTTAAGAACTTCTAGCTTTTCCCTATAAAGCCGTTCTATTTTTGCCTCTAGGGACACAGAAGACTCATTAAGTTGTCTCGTCACCTCTTCTGCCAGCTCTTTATATTCGACGTCTACTCTTCTGCATTTTCTAGAAGAGCTTGACTTAGGAGGAGGGGAGCAGAGTACAGACATGTTATCATTTTGGCTGTCATATTCCTCATTGTTGCTGCTATGACTGTTTTCAGCTGATTCTTCGTCCGTGTTGTCATCATCGCCATTGCTTTGCTCGCCGTCCTCGTCATGTATCCATTCCATTGGCTTTGTGGTATCACAAACCGCTGGAGAACCAGTCTTTCTATTGCCCATAACCTTTTCCATATGAAAGAAAGCAGGGCAGATTTGATTCAATTCAGCTATTGTTATACAAATTACATTAAAACAAAGAGATCTAGAATTGGTATTATATAGATAGTATCAACTTACACTCTAAGCCTTCTTTTTCACTGGTAGAGCCTTCGTCGTTAGAATTATTTTTAATACTATTATTCCAAACACGATAGGCTTCTCCATATTGTTTTGTCAAAAGATTGTTGAGCCTAGACTTTCTTTGGGCTGTAGTTCGATAAACCCCTTGCTCCTGAAAATACTGGTTGCATTTATTCAGTATTATAACCTTTGACGACTTGAACGTTCGTCCTTCCTTGTCACCGCCAAGATACATATTGAGGTTTTCTCCACCGTTCATCAACATGAATTGCTGAAGTCTCTCCATAGAAGTCAGACCATCTTTACCACCATCATGTTTGTACCATGTCTTATATTCGTTTTTGATAGCATGGTTATCTTCAGTGGATAAAGATATTTCGCTGTTAGAGTTAGACATGTTTTTTTTTCGTAATAAGGTGTGAAGCAAAATAAAGGTGCAGGTGTGAAGAAAGATGTCAATTGTATGTTTCCTAGATTATATAGCAATTTTTTTGCATAATCTTTTATTAAATGACGTATAATCTTGGCATATGAATGTCATTAAAATTTTGGTCAAAATTTGATCGAAATTTGATCGAAATTTGATCTTTTGCCTTTTGGTGTCCTCAACTACAAATTGACATCATTGGCTAAGATTCACACAAGAATTTGAGCGATCAACCTGGCTGAGTACCCCCTATATGATGAAAGCCGAAGCTTGAGAAACAACTTTTTTTGTTTTGTTTTTTATGGAGCTATTGATAGGCTCAGATTTATTGAAAAAGTCTCGATTTTTGATTATTACAATGAGAAATTAAACTATTTGTTTTGGAGGGTTGTGTGGGATTATATGATGGTTTTTGGTTTTTGGTTTTTCTATTTTGTTTTTACGTCCAGTGGACAGTCTGCTAGGATATATGCAATATTTTTTAACAAAGGGTGAGACGAGATAGGTTCGGGAATGATTATTCTACAGGATAGTACGTACCAATATTTCCGGGTTAAGCAGCTTGAGAAACAAAGATCGCCGACTGGTTTGCCTTTTGAATCCTGTGTATGTGGTACTAAAATAGAACGTGCGTTTGGTGCTTCGAACTTTAAGCAATAGCTATTATGGACAGAGCATTTGCTTTATACATATAATTCACCTTGAGGAATAATGTATAAATATTCGATTTCAGAGAAAATATCTCCAAATCTTTCATCATTGTGATGAAATAAAAAAAAAAGACGTTAAAGATAACAATCTCAAAGGTTAGTTATTGTCTTTTGCTTGTAAATATATATATAAAAGAAAATATTTTTTACTGTTGCTTGAGCCATTTTGGGCGGTTTTATTTTTTATATCCTATGTATCACTCAAAGGCAAAAGAGACTTTTTCTAGATATTTTTGTATAAGACCAATGCCATTTTATATCAATGGTACTCCAGGAAATGGATACTACAAAAGCATAATACTTTAAGAGAATGATAGACTTGATACAACAAATAAGAAACCAGTAACAGACCCTCTGAATCCAGTCTTTTTTTCTGTAGCAATGTCACTGTAAATAAATGCAATTCTCATTATATAAAATATTAAGAATTAATAAGGCTATAGTCATATCATCACTGCCCATTATGCCAGAGGTATCCATTATGCTACAGCCAAGACTTTAATGATTTTAGATTGAGATCATTAATATTTACAAAGACCTCAAGAAATTTTGTAGCAATTATTTAGAGTCTATTTCAATATAAGGAGAGCTATGTATCGTTAGTGGGTCACATAAAAGATAAAACAGAGAAGAATATTCTTGAAAAGCCATCAATAAAGTAACCAGAGATGAGAAAGTATCCATTTCAAACTTTCATATCGTTTTCAATAATTACTTGGCCGTTCTTTATATATATATATATTAAAGCTCTGACATTTATCTGAATATAAGTCAATGGATAGATTCTTGATAAAACCAATAGTTTTCTTGCAAAAACTAACAGCCACTTTTCTAATCAGGTGTTGATTTATTTCTTCGACTTGGAATTATAGTAAAATGGCTACATCTAAATTTATCACATAAAATATATAACGTGTCTTAAAGAGAATGTATTAATATTGGAAACAAATATTTTTAAATATTCTAGCCAAGAATATCCTCACGAATTTTATTCAAGAAAGTATAGCCAAATAATTATAGTAGATGTCTTGATTAATTTGTAGAATAAAGTTTCCGTTATTCGACAGAATTAGTCCAAATAAAAGAAATATTTAATATCAAAAAAGAAAGTTACAGTAGGTATAAGACAATTATACACCCAAAAAGTCTAAGTTTTAGCCCAAGATACATCGATTCTATCAACAAGCTATCTACTGTAGACTTATTTGGCTGTCATAAACTTCCAACTTGTATATAAAAAGAATTGCTCCCGAGGAACTGAGTTGGAGAGACAAAGGGTTTCCTGTGTGAAGTTTTAGCTAACTTAGATACTGAAAAATATCGCCATATAGATCTTTTATATCTGGTGCGCCTAATTTGCAAGGTTCTTAATTTTTATTTAGAGTATCCATATAGATAGATAACAAGACGGGGTTTTTTTTTTTTTAAAAAAAAAGGAAGTTTATTAAAAAAGACATTTTTATGCACATATACACATATAGACAATAAAATTCTAGTTACAGGATAAAATAAATATGTCCAAATTTGTCTGTAAATTACTAGACGCGTTTAAAAAAAATAAAGAAAGAAAAGTGACATAAGCTTCCAAACTTTTTCAAGCAAAATGTATTCATATGTTCGCATATAAATATACATAGGTAATACCTATCAGTCGCTAAAGGTCCAGGCTAATTGAGCAATTGATGTGATAAAATTACCTTGGGCTTATAAGGAAACAACCATGGTAGATGACCTTCTATAATATGCAGTGTTATTACTTGGGAGTTAAGACGACTCAATATATGTCCCCAAAAATTGTATAAGAATTAAAACTAACGAAATTATCTCACAAATTGACACAAAAAAAGACATTTTTTTGAAACTATTTTGTTTTTGTTTATTATCGGTTAAGACCAAATAATTATATCAAAGTAAAATAAGTACTTCGAAATACATCATGTTAAGCAGCTATATTATTCTGGCTACCTTCTATAGTGCTACTATCAATTGATAAAGCACGATTTTCGGTGGTCATCGTGAATAACAGACATATGAATGTATATTTTAGAATTAAAAAATAAAATGTTTTTAAAAAGAATATTGTGCTTGTCTTGATTTACAAAGTGATTCTGTCTAAACTTTCACAAAAGTTCAAGTCGTCTCGATCTCTAGTAAGAGAAAAAAAGAGACAAAAAGTATTATGACAGGTTTGTTGAATATTCTGAATACGACAGTAATGTTGCACGAGGGGTAAACGCTAATAAATAAGAGGTCCGATATAACTTTGAGGTTTACCACCAATAAGTAGACTGGGGGCTAAGCAGATATTTGATAATGCAAAGAAACAATGGGCAATAAAAAGTAATGGACCAATAGTAAACTCAAATTCAAGTAAGGAATATGGACACAAAAACTGTACATTTTGCATAATTGATAAATAAATAGTTTAAACAATCTTTTCAAGTGTGTGTCAGGTAAATAAAAGCAACCTGACAAAAGTTCTAAGTAGTATATATATTACAGCGTTCTGACATTACGGATATAGTGTATATACCAAAGGGTGTTTAATCTAGTAGAAAAATATGAGCCAAGATGACTTTTGGAGTTTCTTTTTTCTGGTATTTTATAGCTTATCAGGACATCTAAGTACATCCGCGCTCACAGACATATACTTGTATTCCTACATATAATATATAGCTCAGTATAATTAACTGAAATAGCCCGATTACAAGGCAATTATATGAATACTTCTAGAATTAATGTTTGCTATTTTCCGATTAAGATATTTCCAAACATTGTATGAAAAGCGGCGGCAGATAGTGAGATGAAGGTGTTGTATTGTGCTCACTATACATCGCTCTGAGTGAATAATTAAGGCCCAAAGACACTTACCAGTGACTTTAGAAACATTTATGCTATGTCAAATTAAGAGAACATCCGAGCTCTTTTCTTATTTTACATTTGATTCGACCAAGTTAATTTAGTTACTCGTCTCTAAAATTATAGAAAATAATAAATAAATAAGTGGCTTTCAAAAAAGATTAAAATAAATGCATTTATTAGATAAATAATGATAATTATTCATAGCTCATAACTTGCCCTCATTTTAGCCCCATAATCTAGCATTGGCTCACAATATGTCTTTCATAATTTAAATACAATCTTCTTCTTTTCATGGCTTAAAAAGTTAAGCTCTTATGCTTTAACCTTTTCCTTTAGTCGTTTATCTACGGGTTGACTTTTTTTTGAACGGCAATGATTAAAATACTCGGTAGATAAATTTCTGGTGTGTGTTTTTATTATTATTATTAGTTTTATAAAAAAAAACATAAATTATTTTGGCAGGTTAATAAACTAATATTCACCAAAAAATACTTTTTTTTTCTTTTTTTTTTTTTGGACTGTATTCAAAGTACTAAGTCCTCCAGAGCACAAACAGCATCAATCGGTAAGCGAATCCGCTCTCAGCCTTTCATGTATTTTCGGAAAAACTATAAGTCTTGGGAAAGGTCACTCCAGATAACACGATCTCTTCACCTCTCGGTCTATTGGATTTTTGGCCACAATGTTGGTGGTTTTTTTTGGGCTGCTTAAAAAATCATGGCTTGGAAATAGTACGACAATAAATCATTCCGATTGTACGAATAGCTCAAGAGGTCTTATCCTTGGAGGTAGAATATCTAATTGTTTCCCCCCCTCTCTCTCTCTCTTATAGCGGTTATTAGATATTCACGTACTCCTCTCCCCCCAATACAAGTATTTTATTTATTTGTTTATTTGATTAATTAATTATTTTAGATGGCGTAAATCGCGCCTATAAAGGAGACTTGAGGTTTTTATTTTATTTGCCAGTAGACTTATATTGCATTTAAAATATCTATAGCATTTTATACACGTCTTTAGTAAATTTACTTGTTTCTTCTTCTTCCTTTCTTTCTTACTTTCATAACGTGATCATGGTTAATATATTACAATCAGAACCACCAATAATTGGATTATTTTCATAACCTAAATACGCTGTTTCTCACTTTTGATTTATTATTATTTTGATTATAAACCCAAACGATAGTGTCTTAAAAAAACGACTGCAAAATTATATTATTGATATTTTTATTTAGTGAAACCTCAATGACTTTTTTTTTATAACCATTAGTCTGGGTCTCTGAATACTTACTGTGCTCTTACTACTGCGTTACAAGAAAAATAGTATTGCAGGCTGTAGCTATAATGGCTCTACTCCGGGTCAATTGACATCGAAGGTCATTGTGGTGACACGCGGGTCACTGTAACTTTTTAACTTAAATTTATTTATTTTACTCATCATTCCTTTCAAATAAATAAGTAAACTATATTATATATATATAAACTAACCGCGTAAAAAACCTTTAAGTCGGTCAATAAATTTAATATATATATATGTAAGTTATTGTACTCGATGTTTATTTCTACACACAATATTTTGATTTTTCATCACGCACAAGAATTATGGGGGCTAGTACAACTTCAGTCTGTGTATAAGCATATTGATATATCATAATAGACCGGAAATGTCTCTGGTTTTGGAAAATGGTGTACTTTATATATATAAATTGGTAACAGTGATCTTTAACTTAAACCGAATCCACCTCCTTGCACATACAGAGAGATACAACCAGAAATAAAGATAACTGACAATTAGGATAGACCGAATGGTAAAATATCTTGTCAAAAATAAAATAAAAAGACCCTATGGTAAATAGTAAATTTAAATTTAGATGCTACTGGAAATATTTGACTCTTTAGATACTCGTATATTATGCCTTCTGAGGATATTTTATTCGGCAACATCACATCAGAATAAGTTCAACTTCTTTTATATATAAATTTTATTTATAACTTTCCTCATAATATAATAATATTAAATTTTGTTCTTCTGTAACATTACCTTATCAGATATTAAGTATCATAAGACATATGTGATCACGCTTCTTTTTTTAAGACTTAATTATTATGGGTGCATATAATCTAGTATTAGTCTAACTTATATTGTCTCGTTAACATGTTACTAAAAAGTCCAAATGAAGACTTTTTTTGTGAGCAAGATATGTATATATTTATTTAGATTTGTTCTTTATAAAGATTGCTTAGTAAGTTCAAGGATGAATTTTGTACTGAATTATTGGCGGAATATATATATATATTTGACTTGACGAACTTGTACTGAGCCAAATAACTCTATTTTCTTTTTTTTTATGTATATACAACTGCTCTTTAGTCTATTATCATTAACTTTTGTTTGCTTCTGTATTTACCATTGAGTTTATTCGACCTTTTAATTATTAAAAGTATGAATAATATGTATATATGTAAACACAGCATTTTTTTCTTCTTCTTTTCACTCATATATTTTCAGGACAACCAAAGGTTAAAATTATGTGTCAGTAAGACAAACTTTGCGCATGGTGGTATTTAGTCGTCGCTTTAAATATTTAAACTGTCGATGTAAAGAAAATTATCTTTTGCACGATTATGATGCCAAAATATTATCACCTGGCTTTATTATTATTACTATTATTTATAAATTTGAATTTTAGATTATGTAAAGATGAAGAAAAGAAAGAAAAATATTATTATGTTTGCGTTATGTATGCGGGCAAATTGGCTACAGGATACATTTTATAAGAGAAATATATATATATATTCTATTGTGGAAATGAAGACAGAATGATTTTTAAACAGTATTGTCTTACGTGAAAGTTGTATCTTGCACGTCAAAAATATATAAGCTTTTTAAGTTTCCGGATTTGGTACAGAAGCCACCTCTAATAGTCTTATCAATTCACACCCCAATAAATCCCACAATATTAAAACCATACTCTACTAAAATATCTATTTTCGCTGCAAGTATTTTCTAAAAAAAATCATCTTTCTCGACCTCTTTTAACTTTAACATTAATTTTGTATGTGTGCCTGTGTGTTTAATTAGGAAAATAGATAATGAGAGAATTCTAAATGTGCAATATACAACGCAACATTGTAATTTTATTTTTCTTTTTTAGATTTTCGGTGTTTTTAACTTGATTTTAAATTTGCTTGCCCTACAAATATAGTAGTACACTTTGAGTCCAAATAATTAAAGTAGTCAATAGCAAACACCTAATACTTACCATTATTACTGTATATTTTTTAATGTAAAGTATATATATATATATATATATATATATATCTAGATAATATTATCAAAATTAATACCAAGAAAAGGCCATCATACTATGGAAAATGAAGATGATTTAAATAGGTATTATAATATAAATCATTAGAACCTTTGTAGATTTGTAAAAAAGAAAAAAAAATTATAATATCCCAAAATCTGGGTTGTGGCTGTCATTATACAGTTTTTCTAATTTAAATTCAGACGATGTTAGATTATTTTTTCTTTGGACGAATGAAAATTAATTTTTAGAAAATTCGGTTACCTTTTTTAGATGAAATATATATATATATATAATTAGTTTTCAAATCAAGTGAAAGGTGTATTCAGGTACCTACCTGTGATAATCTAAATCTCGTAAGAGAAGCCCTGTTTGCTACGGATATCTCCTTTTTTTGGGGCTTGAATCCTTTGGGCCTTCCTTTCTCTGACAAAATACATAATGGGACTGTTACCATGTTCAAAACATGCGTTGACGTTCCGCTGCCACACTGTTCGACATTCTCGACAGGATAACACACTGGAACCCTTGAAATCGGGAGTGTTAACAAAAATTAGAGTATAATGGCAGAGGCTAAATAGCTTAGGGGCATTGTATTAATCGATTGTCAAAAACTATTAACTCACCCTCAACATTACGCCTTTTTAACGCTTTAAAGAAATTTGCTGAAAACACTATATCTTAACCCTTTGAACTTCACAGTGCCCTTCTCAAACATACCGACACTAAAAGCAATAAGCGGAACCTTGTCTTTGGGCTGTATAGATCTATTAAGCTTGCTCTGATAAAAAGTAAAACACTTTCTTGAAACACTTGGATCATAGAGCTCCAGAAGTGTGTTGAGATGTGACAAGATCTATGAGATATAATGATGGTGTTTCGAGACTCTTAGGTCTTTGAGGAGCGGATTCTACTTTCAATGGATTGTACACCATCACGTTTTTTCTTGGCCCTCCAATTTTTTACAGAATTTTGTATACCTTGTTATATGCTAGTATTACTTTATGCTAGGCCCTTGTATCTACTACTCCTGCATGCCAATAGTAGCGGTAAAGACACTTTTCTGATTAGGGTCAATAAAAATAGGGATGTATGTTTATTTGACCTCAGATATATTGAAATCATTCAGAGATAAATCTAAAGTTTGATATGTAGAACAATGAGTAGTATTTCATCTTTTATAGGACACAAAGTCTACAGACAAGCCGTTGGTTTTTATCATGTTACTAAAAAAGCACCTTCTAGCTCCAATTTGGAATAAGTACTGATATACCATAATGATGATCATATAGTTGTATGTTTTATGCTTACTTTCTGTAACGATGTTGGTATCTAAAGGTACGAAAAAATCATTTGACCTGATTTTGATAGCCACGATATAACGATTGCTTTGTAAAACAGGAGAGGAAGTCTACGCTCAATGAAACAAATCTCCAACGAGTAGAAGCAGCTGGCAGCACAGAAAATCGTTTCGGTAAAGGTGGCCTTCTTACATCGTACGGTTTGTGGACCATATGTTCTTTCTCCAGTTCATCGTTAATCGAAAATAAAAAAAAAAGGGAACAAACCACCCAGGGTTTGCACTGATGGTACTCAAATTTATCTTTTCCCCATTTTTTGCTTTCAAGGTTGGTAAAAATCTATAATTTTTGATTTTATGCCTAGCGAAGAAATCTCCCGTAGGCCATGTGGCGTTTTCTCCACAGATATCTTGGTAGCAAAAGCTATTCACGACATGACGAACCAGCGAAGGATGTAGTGACTATATATACAAATCAAGGGAATTTTTTTTTATAATGTATAGTGTATCGTTTCAGCCTTAACTTACTAAAAACATCATTTAGAATTTGCATACAAAAATAGAAAGCCTTCGCTCAAAATTTTCAACAGTAACGTTGTTGTATGAAGTGGCGATTCCAGTGCAGGTTTATGAGATGCACTGGCTGACTCCTGGGACAATCTAAGTGATTGTTTACAATAAATTCTGTATAAATAGACACTTTGGAACAACAATCTTTTGTGGATTGTGTTTAGGGCACAGAAAAGAGCTTGTTGAATGACGAGACTCTTTGCAGTTATTGCGTGCCTTTCAGATGTACGATGTAGCAATTCACTGTTGTCTCTTGTGTGGCATAATCTCATAGTTGGTGAGATGAATGTTGTAGAAACAAAGTCCATTAAAGGGATGCCTGGACTTGTCAATGACGCTAATGACAAGTCCATTCGGGTTGTGGTGTGGCCAAGTATATACCCTCTCAGTATTTTTGTTCTTGCCTTTTTTTTCTATACGTACAAATACAAATCCTCTTCTCTTAAACCTAATTACTCAAGATTATCATGAAGTAGTTTGACATTGATTCCATAATGATGTCAAGTCAATATTAATAACCCAGCAAGAAGTTGTATATAGTTAATTGGCCACATGTGTAATTTATCTTGGTATACCAAGAAAAAAGCAGTCCACTCTTCTATTCTCACCTACAAAGGTTATCTGAAAGTCTTTTTTTTTTTAAAAAAAAAGATTAGTCTCAATATACCGAGATAGGTTTAGAAGATTAAAGAAGTTGCTAGGCATGACTAGGTTTTCTTACAGTAATTAAATGCAATTAGTGTAAAGAATAACATTTTATACCAATTTGCTTTTTCGATGCAATTCAAACAAAGTTACAAAAGATATGATGAGCATTGGAATGACAATGACAGTGATAATTGTAATTGTAATGAAAGGAATAATTCTGTCAAAATATATTTCTCTCTTCCTCTATCTAGCTATTTAGCTATTTAGCTATCTATCTAAGTATCTAAGTATCTATATTAGGATTTCATTTATTTGATAGAGACAACGTTTATAAAAAATACAAACATTTACGTTTGTCTTTCTCTAGGCTTGGTAGTACATCCAAAGTAGACATAATCTCAATTAAGCTCAGGGAATATATTTTTCCAAATCAACATTTTATTTATTTATATACTTGACAACCTGTAGACCAGTATTGGTGTGCCAAAATACAGACACACTTTTAATGCTGTTTGGAATCGGGACATCATAGCTGCCAAAAAAAAAGGCATCCTTGATATCTTGTTATTTTATGCACGAACCAACAACAAACGCCGGCACAGATCTTAAAATTAAACTTTAGTATAAAATTTTAATTATCACCTTGTAAGATTTATATAGCTTCTTTCACACACCTTTACAGGTAAAGCTTCACAGATTTTATATAGATATTTTTCTTATTCTATCAAAAAAAAAATGGTAGAGAAATATTGTCTGGATTGTCTTTTATTTGTCCAAAAATACAAAATAAAAACCAACATTTTCTGAATTTGAAGTATAAAAAAACTGTAGAGTAAACCAAACGGACATTGTTTTATTTCTTGGTTTGGAAGGAGTTTTTGGTATCAATTAGAAAGTGCGAAATAAAGTGGGATGTTATTTTTTGCTTAAAGTTTCCCGTATTTTTTTTTATATATATATTTGGTTGCACAGCGCAAATCCGTTATTTTGGACTGGTTTAATTTTACACACTATAAAATAATCATAATATATATACTTTTAATAATAATAATAATAAATCAAAATCTACAAAGTACCTCAGATGGTTCTCAGACTCTTATATTTATATGAATTTATATGCATATACAAATATACAAATATACAGATATATATTTAATACAAAAATATTACAAACTGATTTCATAATTACCAAAGACAAACAATATAATTAATGGTAAATCAAGAGGAGTTGGTTAAAAACCTGATTTTTTTTTCTTGCTGATCCAATATAAAAATTTAATAATTATTTTTACTTTACTTTTTTATAAGAAAAAGAATTCTTGCTTTGTAATTAGATTAGTATCATATGTACACATAAGCATACACGCTTAAAGAATGGTCTTTTATTTCTGGATCATTGTGTAAATGCGTGTAGTTTGTATGGCTTGTAGCCAACGGAATACACCGGTCGAAACCCGACAACTCGAGACAAATATCACAAGTCTAGTGAATCACAAAGCGATCTTATAGTCAGAAAAAAGGGTGTGAATACAATACAGACTTTCCTATCTGTCATGTACCCGTATTCAGTACCTTAATCTGTTATAGGTATGAGTGCACATTTGTAAGAGTCTTTTGTGGAGCTGAATTGGGGTTCCATATAGCCACAATCACCCGGTTGTGAATTGATATCTCCTAAAAGAGACCCTTGCTTCCTCTTTCCTCCCTTCTCTACCCGTTAATTATCGCTATCATTTTGTATTGTTATTTGAATAATTTTCTTGGGAATAATTCCAAAAAAATAAATATACAGCTGTATTGTATTTTTATTTTTTTATGGTCATTTAAGTAATCTAAGCCTCTAGAAGGACCTTATATCTGGGGTAGTGCACCAAAGTTGGAATAAAATACAATAATTAAGGTTTTTCTCTCTCTTTTTCTCTCTCTCTTTCTCTTTCCTCCAAACTGGTTACGCCAGTGTATTACACCACACATGTGTTAATCGACATCGTTCCGCAAGCACGGAATCGGGTTTTTGAATAAATGGCGGCGACAGGTTATATATTGAATTGAATGGCCAATTTATTTTATATATTGCTATTGTTTTTTCGAGAATAAATAACATTAGCAGTAATATCAGCAGTACCATTAAGACCATTAGCACCGTTAGCACCATTAGCACCATTAGCACCATTAACAGAAAACTTAAATATATCAATACAAATGATAATTACTATAACAAAAGATTCTTAAACGATTGTAATTATTATTGTAATAGTACTATAAGCTAATTGAATTACTAATAGCCAATTAACTCAAGATTTGCCCACATAAATATATATATTGATATTGATATTAATATTTTTTTATTTTTATTGATGATAGCTATTGATAAGGATCACCATGCTTACTCGATCACACAACCCTTTGAGAACCGGTCCATGTTTAATCAAAGGAACATTTCTTCCCCAATCGTATATATTTATGTTAGTTTTTTTTTTATTTATTCACGGATATTCTTATTTACCGCCAATGTCAACAACCACGTTGATTGATTCCACGGACAATGCGTCCTTATTTCGGCCCTTAATCTGAGATGTATTAGCGTATTTATGAGGCTGTGAAGCACAAAAGGTAGTATGGCAACCTGTTTATAAAATAATATATATAAATATATATATATAATATAAAAGAGAAACGTAAGAAGGCACCCTTAAAAAAAAGCAAACTTAAAGATATATATGTATTATATGTGAACGTATGCGTAAAAATAATAATACTAATAATAATCTGTTATATTTGTCAAATAATCTTTAAGCCCAGGCGCAAATTCTCTCACCCCCCACTTATTTTCTCTCTCACACCCCCAACCACAACTTCTAATCTACCCCGGATCGCTGGTGAGTATACACTTTGTAAAGCTCATATAGGTTACTTTAGGTTCAATTGGATCTTGACAATTTATCTAGCTTACATCACAACCCATTTTTATTGTATTTTAATTATATACATATTGATCTTGGGGGAGAAAGAGTTCACAAATGACACATCTAAACTAGGAAAATAAGAGTAGATGATTGAGTCTTGCTACTGTGTTACTCTATTTGAGAAATATATACAAGTCTGTATTTTTAACTATGATCTGTGGCGTTGAATACAGATTCTTGATCCATTTACTTAATATCACTATCACTATTATAATTGTTATATATTTTTGAAAAAATAAAATAAAAAAAAAAGAGTATTGTACTTGAATAAGTAGAGATTCTCTTTGTACAGTAGGGAGTAAAAGAAAGGGATCTTATTAGGATGACCAAACAAGGGGAGAGTCTTTTTTATATATATATATATAACTTGTATATAAATGAATTGTATCTGTATATGTATATTGTGCCTACTGGAAATCAATCGTATAGATAATCTACATAGATCGTAAAATGGACAATGTGGGAAAATAGCCACGATATATAAGTAAAAATAAATAAATAAATAAATAATGACAATAACTAAAATTATATTAATATTATAATTATAATTATTAGTTAGTTGGTTAGTTGGTTGGTTGGTTGGTTGGTTGGTTTGCAAAGGTAAATCGTAAGATGATCCTTACTGTCACCACACGTGGTACGGCTTAGAAAGCCAGTGAGCGATCAAGAACGAGTCTTGTCCTGCCTGTCGCAAAGAAGTTGCAAGTCGATTCAAATCTCAGCTCAGCTAATCCATTTCTCTCTCTTTCTCTTTCTCTCTTTCTCTCTCTCTTCTTCTTCCTCTTATTCATTCCCACAAACTTCCTATCCTTCTTTTCCTTTTGTCCGCATCACCTAAGCTATGCCAAATAGCAATAATTCCCTTTCCACATACACCTCCATGATGCGAGTCACCTCTACAGGTAGACCATTCGCAAAGGTAAAACCCAAAATATCAAATATCAAATATCAAATATAGTATATTTCTCTCTCTCTATCTTTCACCAAAAAAAAAAGGATTGATTATTGCAATCACAATCACAATCACAATTACAATTATAATTATAATTATAATTACAATTGATAGTACAATTATGTTAACCATTACCATTATCGTTACCATTATCGTTACCAAAAACCAAAGAAAAGGAAATATTAACGTTAATATACTAATATAGTAATAATAACAATACAATAATCATGAATAACCACAAAAGAGATGGAGATAGAGAGAGGGAGAGGGAGATGGAAAGTGAGAAAATGATAAAGCAATAATAACGTCAATTATGATTATGATTATGATTACGATTATGATAATAATATCTATCTTGTCTATCTGTCTATCTATCTATCTATTTATCTACATGTATATTTACATACAAAAAGGATCTATTCGATATATTTGGAGCATTTCTTATCCAGACTCCCCTAAAAGACCATCGATCCATCTTCAGAACATATCCCAACAGTATCACCACAGACGAAGCAGTATTGACATTATCAGACCTCAAATTTGTCCATGTAATACGTACTCCTGACCCAAACGACCCAAATGTACAGATAGCTACCCGAACGACGACGACATTTAGCATGACACGCGAAATGGCCAAAACTCTTGGACAACACATGTTGAACAGTCGATTAGCAGAAAACGCAGCAGATCCCCAAAACCGTACAATGAAAGATAGGGCCACCTGGTATGTCACCCCAAAGGGAAAATACATGGTCCAGGACTTTAGTCAACGGGCAGGTGTAAGCATTAGCCACATTCAGAAATCTCTCGACCGTATCGACTCCTTTCGCATCGTCAAGTTTGACCGTCTGATTGACACCGATAGTCTATCGTTTGCCCGTCCCAACATGACAACGGCGTTTAAAACAATGATGGCTTGGTTACCCACCGAGACTTTATTGGCTGATGATGTTGGAGGTAATTTATATAAAAATAAAATAAAATAAAATAAAATAAAAGATTGGATATATAATACCTACATATATCATTTTGTTATTAACAATAAAAGGATTGGATATGGATAAATTTTAACCTTAGGCCTTAAAGAAAAGCAAGCTCACGAATACACATACACATTCTACGGTTACCAATGTTTTGAGTGGATCTGTGAATACACAACCGTAGTGTCTGGAGAAGAGGGCCTGATGATTGCAGCCGAATTTGTCTTGTACGGATGGATTGTCCAGGTTCTAGACAAATCGGATAAATCGAATAGTATACGAACCGACAACAATTCTTTCAAGACAACCAAACGCGCAATCTACTACGTAACAGAGCGTGGGAGGAAAGTCTTGGGGTGGCAGACAAAACCCACCCGGAGTCCTTCAGACGTATCGCTTTCAAAGCAATCAGACATCGCCTCTAGTTCGTCCTCATCGGTCACCCAGAGCCAGGTGCTGCGAAAGCAAATGACACTGGCCAAGAGATTGGCTCCTACTGGTCTGCAGGCCAGTTCTAGTTCTACAGGAATTCCTTCAGCCACAATCACCTGCCCGAGCTCTAAAAACCCCCTGTGTAATAAGATGGGATTCCAGGTCCCAAAAGAGGGCAGCGACAAGTCTGTGATCAGTCTCCCGGAAACTAAAGAGGATTCAGGTTTGGATGAGATGACAGAACAATTGTTGAATTTGAGGTGCAACGGAGAGTCACTTTTGTCTGGATCTGATCGGCCACCTTCGATTACGTCGTCAGCTGGATCATCTCACGACAGTAGCTTTGAACTTTCGCTCGGAATATCTGAATCGCCTGCACCCAGCATACTTGAGAAACCGACGAATGGGCCTATTGACGTGCTAACCCTGGTGGAAGCTTCGGATGTGCCCCTTAGTGATAGTGCGAGCGGAAATCTCGGAAAGACGCCCAGAGACTCACAGTGGACTAGACTGAGGCAGATTCTTGAAGATCCTCTGTTGCGAATGTATTTTCGGGATTTCATGAAGGCCAATTTCTGCGAAGAAAATATCAATTTTTGGGTCGATTATTATAGCCTGCGGAAGAAGGCCCGATCGCGTAGAATGATTATCAGTGAACTTCTCACAGACTGCTACACAATCTACGACACCTATCTTGGTATGCAGGCTGCCTCGGAAGTAAATATTGATCATGGTCTTCGCCAAGAAATCATCACCCTTGTTACAAGGACGTTCACAGTTGCACCTGGCTCATCTCTAGATATGCCATTCCTCAATATACCTATCCAACCCACCCTAATTAATGTCACTGTCAATGGTTCAAATCAACAATGCCTCCAGGTGATAATGAGGATGTATGACAAAGTTAATGACCACATCTGTCGTCTCATGGCCCAGGATTCGGTCCCCAGATTTGTCAAGACTGAGAAATATCAACAATTCATGTCACAGAACAGTACACCTATCTAAGAAAGATCAAACAAAATACATACAGCCCACCCACACATAAACGCACGAACGCACAAATGCAAAAATGCACAAATGCACAAATGAACACACGCACGAACGCACAAACACACAAACGCACGAATGTACGAACGTACAAAACAAAACAAAACAAAACAAAACAAAAAAAAACAAAAAAAAAAGGTCCCTCGGTTCATTCATCCTTTCTTCCTCTTCTTCTTCCCTCCTTTAAAATCTTTGGACAGAATATTATTCTAAATATGTTCTTTCTATGCCATTCAGCATTTGTACTTATGATCTATGCCTTTCTATTAATTTTAGCTTCAATCACTCACTCATTATTTCATTCTTTCTTTCATTCATTATTTTATTCATTCATTCATTTTTTTCATTCATTCGCTCATTTTTTTTTCTTTCTTTTCCCTATTTACATATATATTCACAAACTACTACTACTACTACTACTACTACTACTATTATTATTATTATTATTATTATTATTCTTTTATTATACATTAATTGCGCTTTAATGTATACTTTTCATGCCTATCTAGACTTAATAATCATTATTCATTCCAAAAATTATATGTATATTATATATACATATGCCCTGCATCGTTCCACATTGTACACTCTAGACACAACTGTAGAATATAATAGACCCCAAAAGGATAATAATTTATTTTATTTTATTTTATTTTAATTTTATTAATATTAATGTGCACACATACACACATGTATACATATTTATTTGAGTCAAAATAATAATGGTACATATTAAATTTTTTTTTCGTCAACCTTATGAAAAAGGGATAGTCTTTATCAAGGTTGTACAATAGAGGAAGTAAGATAGTAAGAAAGACAATGTTGTTTAACAATATTACAACTCTCTCCTCATTTTACTCTCCATTATATACGTCTGTCTGTACACACAAGGTTAAATTTATTTATGATCCATAGAGATAGATAGAAGAAGAAATTTACATAAAATATACCTGTACTGTCTGTACAATCTACGCACTATCAATCAGAAATCAAGGGATGTCATAAAAGAAGGGGTTTAGGAATGAAAAGAAAAATTCTTGCGACTGATATTCACTTGAGAAAAATAAAGTAGAGTAATTAATTGTATATTGCGTATTTGTATGTGCATCTACAGCTGTACGCATATGCATGCACGCATACATACATATAAAGATCCCTTTCTCTCTCTCTCTTTAAACCCCTTTTGTTTCTTTCCTTTTCTTCTCTATATAATTTTTTCATTTTTTCATTTAGCTTTTATTTATTTGTATAAAAAGAACCTCTGCTTGTTTGTTTTTCCCTGGCATGCATTCTTTTCTATTTTTTTGATGTCTTCCCATGTGAACTTGGTGTCTTCTTGTCTTTGCTGCAGTGGCTGCCGCGGCTGCCAATGGAGACATGGAAACCAGAAAGGCGGTAGTCAAGTTTTGCATCGAGTAGTCTGTAATGATACTCTCACAATCACTCTCTGACCAAGTATCGATATCAGTATAGCTACAGCTATTACGATTGTAATTTTCATCTTCATTTTCACTATTAGAATAATAATTCTTATAACTATAATCATAATTATCATTATCATTATCATTATTATCATTGTACTTTTCGGTTGTGACTTTTTGGTCGGCATGATTGATATTGGACTCCTCTTCCTTCTCCTTCTTTGTATTCATATTATTATTGTTATTATTATTATTATTATTCTTCTTCTTCTTCTTCTTCTCCTCTTCCTTCTCCTCTTCTTCCTCCTTCTCCTCTTCTTCCTCCTTCTCCTCTTCTTCCTCCTTCTCCTCGGTCTCCTCGGTTTGTAGTGGATAGGAGAATATACGGTTCGAGAGGAGAGTCAAAGATGGAAGGACTATATGAGAAGAAGGTCTGACTCTGTGAATTGGTGGATAATTGAGTGGTGGTTGGTATTGAGATTGAGATTGCGATTGAGATTGAGTTGGGGAAGGGGATTGCGATTGAGATGGTGTTTGAGATCGAGATTGGGATTGGCTGTAGCTATAACTGTGGCGAATAAGACTAGACAGATGAGTAAGTTGAGAACTCAATTCTTCTTGATCCTCTTGCTCTTGCTCTTCCTTTTCTTGCTCCGCTTTTGGTCTATTGTGGGCATCCCAATGTTGTTTTCTGAGACTGGTTCTGCAAGATCGAAGAGATGTATGAGATATTGGTGATCGTAGCTCGGACCGTAGTTTTATCAGGCGGGCGGCGTGTTGAATGCACGTCTGCAGGCTATGCCGGCGAGATCGCCTTTGTGATGAAGGATCATATTCTACATTGCGGCTGACAGTTGGATCGTTTTGGTCTTTTTGGTCTTTTTGGTCCTTTTGGTTTTTTAGATCTTTTAGATCTTCATCTTCACCTTGATCTTTGCCATTGTCTGTAGCTGTGTATTTTTCCGTGTCTTTGTTTTCATTTTCATTTTTCTTTTCATCTTCTCTTTTTGCGTGCTGACTGGGAAGAGGTAATGAAGTAGATGTGGGTGAAGGAGTGAGATATGAAGAAGGGAAATTGCGGATATTGTCTGCCATGCATGCTACGGATAGCTCTCTCTTCCTTTATTTGGCAAAGGAAAAGAAAGAGTTATTTAAGGTACAGTAAATTACAAACAAATAAAGAAGAAAGAAAAAGAGAGCAAAGAAGGATGAGTGAAGGAGGTGAAAAAAAAAAACAAACAAAAAATGAAGTGAAAAGACTAATAATAGTAACCATAGTAACAATATTAAAAAAAAAGAATCAAGTAACTAAGCAACAAATAGGCAATAATGAGTGTGTGAATTGTGTGAATTGTGTGAATTGTGTGAATTGTGTGAATTATGTGAACTATGTGAGTGCGAGTAGTTTAAATAAACGTAACATATATAATATTAATAATAAACTCCTCACTTTTATTTATTTATTTTTGCATGAGAAAAAAAAAAGATTGATCTATAATAAATAATGCAGGTGTTCTTATTGACAGCTCAGCGTAACTATGTACACAAAAACTTCTTTAATAAAATAAAGTAAGTAATAAATAAAGGGGGGGCAGAACAAGGGAGGGGGGCTTAAGATCTTCTTATTTTATTTTTTTTATATTTATTTTGGCTTTCAAGCAGTTGGTTTTTGAAAGAAATAATAAAACAAACTTTTATTGTGTGTGTATTTTTTCTTAGCTTCTTGAAAAAAAAATCACTCTCTGCAAGATTGGTTTAAAATAACAATAATCCTTTTGTTTGTGTTTATAGCAGAGTTCAACTCTGTTGTATAGATATCTTTTTTTTTGTGCAATATATATTCAAAGTGTGTGTGTATGTCTGTATGTGTGTATAATTACACAAAGCCAAGCAGGAAGACAGGCAGAGAGGCCAGTCAGGAAGAATAGGGGGGAGTAAGAGGGGATATGGTAGGTTTTGGAAAGAAAGGGGGCGGAAGGCTTGAAACCGAAAGAATATAGAACGAAATAATAATAGTAATAATAATAATAATGAAATGCAAATCTAATGTAGAACCCGCTGTTGACTTAAGACGCGATCATACCAGAGGTGAGGCTTCCATCAGCAGAGGAGTAGCCTCATCTGTATTCGCACCTGTCACATCGCGTTTACAGATAGGGCACTAGAATAAAGAGAGCATAAAAATAAAACATTAATACTAATATTAATTATTTTCAAGTACTCCAAATAAAATTACTATGATTATGATTATGATTATATTTTTATTTTTTATTTTTTTACTCACAAACTTTTTTCGGGTAGTCAGCCATGCATCAACGCACGATGCATGAAAGTCATGATGGCAAGGCAAGACTCGCAAGGCATCGCCCAAAGCATAATCCTCGAGACAGATAGAGCAGTCTTCAGGTTCATTCTCTAGAGTCTTTCTTTTGCTAAACACCCTGAGTGTCAAACCAGACACAATATGGGCCGGTGCAAGGTCTTGCTTTTGCTTCTGAAACCGCCGGATCTTCCAGGTACAGTAGACAAACAACATCATTATGCTTGGTGACAATACAACCAAAAGCAGTACGTCTAGCATTGGCCTGTGATTGTGATAATTGCTGATAAGCAACCAAAATAACAATACCAACAACAATAGTAATATGCTAATTCTAATGCTAATTCTAATGCTAATGCTAATAGTCTGTATAGACCAGCAGTAGAAACAGAAACCACATAAAAGAAATTAAGCAATTCAATTACCAGCTGATGAAACCGTCCCATTCGAGACGGACAAGAAGCGGGTTCACGCGCTGGGTGAGATAGACAAGGGCGCGGTACTCTCGCTTGGATACAAACACACTAGGTATCTTGATATCAGAAGTATCACCTGGTTTATTTTTTTTCAGTCAGACAAGAACAAGTGTGCGATTGTTAAGAGAGAGAAAAATTGATATAATAGATATATAGTCATTATGAATTTTAATAAAAAGAAAGAAAGAAAGAAAGACTTACCAGGTGCGTACATTGTAATCCAAGTCGAACTCTCTGGATCTCCCACAACCACAGCAACCGCTCCACTAATCTGCATAGCCCTCACTTTAGTAATGAAAGAACATCCTCCTCTCTGCAACAGAGCAACCCAATCAGTTGTAGGTTGGGTTGTTGGTGTGCAGCCAAATGGATCATGACTTGGCTCCATTAGAAAGCCAATCAATCCTTCATCCTGAATGGGTGGTCCAAAAGCTGCACTGTGGTCTGCGCAAGTAGTGTTGCTGTTCTAAATATATAAATTAATAATTTTTTGTTCATTATTTCCAACAACACCAAAGTCAAAAGAAAAATCCATAGAGATGTATGTATTAGTCATATTGGACTCCATTTTCTTCAATTAAAAACCAATCTTGCTTACCAGAACAGAAATAGACGCCTTGGCAACAGTGAGAAACGAAATCAAGAGAATGAGTCTCATGAAGTGATAAGAGTAGGAGTAAGGATAATTGTAATTGTAATTGTAATTGTAATTGTAATTGTAATTGTAGTGGTAATAATAAGGCTATGGATATGGATATGGATATGGATAAGACTATGCTAAGGTCAAGGGCAATGGTAAGAAGAGAGAGAAGAAGAAGAAGAAGAAGAATAGATAAATGAATTTATTCAATTTTTATTATTATTTTACAAAAAAAAAATTAAATAAAAAATAAGAAAAGGTAAAGATTGAAAGATAAAGAGAGAAAGAAAGAAATGAAGAAAGAGAGAGAGAGAGAGAGAGAAATAGAGATAGAAGGGGGGGGGGGGGGGGGGGGGGGGCGAGGGAGAAGAAAGCAGGGAGAATAGATGCTTATTTAGGTACTGACTAAACAAAAAAAAAAGAGAGAGAGAGAAAAAGGAAAAGCACGAACTTCAAACATCCTTCTCTTTCTCTCTTTATCTTTACAATCTTCCTCCTCTACTTCTACTTCTTCTACTTCTTCTACTTCTTTTTTCTCTTCTTGACTATCATCATTTTGAATTTTGACTTTTTAATCAGCCTTCACCATAGCTTTCGCTTTAACCTTGATCTTTCATTTTTTCGTTATTGCAAGACATTTAATACAATTGTGTATATATAAAAAGAAAAGAAAAAAGAAGATTATATTAGATAATTATATAAAGCCAAATAATGCGCCCACCAACAATCGATACTTCTCATCGACGGCAGAGTGTACAGGGTGGTGCGGTATTGTGGAAAAGTGAAGACAACCTTGCAAAATCACGATCCACCCCTCACAAATCAAAAAGACCAGAAACAGTCGGACGTTCGTTTTCCCAACGGCTGCAAAAGTTCTCTCTTTCCCGTACACCGACCCGCTCGGATGTCGTGACAACAAACACGATTAGCAAAGATTACGATCCGACCACAGGCAACAAGATGATCAACCATTACATGATTCTCCAGGAGATCGGTCGTGGTGTTCATGGCAAAGTCAAGCTGGCCAGGGATACGAACACAGGCGAGTGTGTGGTAAGGAGACTTTGAAAGTAATTAGGTGGTGTCGAGAGAAGGGGGGGGGGTTGAATAAAACAACCATCCTTGTTTTATTATTATTATTAGTATTATAGTAATTATTGTATACAAAAAGAAAAAGGAGAGGGTTGGAGGGAGAAGAAGAAAAAGAGGGGGAAAACAAGTGAAGAGGAGGTACGGGGTAGGAGGGAAAATATAAAGAAAGAAAGAAACAAGCAGTGTTTTGTACATTGAAAAATAGGCTTCAGTAATTTTACCTTATTAGAGTATTATTATTACAGTGGCAAGGCAATTAATTTTACTAGTATTATTATCAATTCAATTCAATTCAATTCAATTCAGTTCAATCAATTCAACCAATTCAATTGAACAATCAATCAATACGTGTCTCTCTTTACTCTTTATATATATATGTGTGTGTCTGTCTGTCTCTCTCTCTTTATCTACCTTGCTGTCTATCTGCCTTGCTGTCTATCTGTCTTGGTGTATCTTTTATATGTATATGTATATGTATATATATATATATATGTGTGTGTGCTTTTTGTGAATGAATTTACGTTTTTACATACATGTAAATTATAAATATTTCTTTTAAAAAAAATCACAAAAAAAGGCTATCAAAATTGTTGACAAACGGAACCGAAAACGACAGCTTGGTCACAGCTTACGGCCAGTGGAAGGAGGTGACAGTCGATGGCTCAATGGGCAAGAAAAAAGGTTGCACAAAGAAAGCGAACACAAAGTCCGAAGAGAGATTGCAATCCTCAAGAAATGCGTTCATCCTCATGTGGTGCGCTTATTGGAGGTTATGGATGACCCAGCAAGTCGCAAGATATACATGGGTAATTAAAAGCTGCTAAAACAAAAGGCTAGTTGAATTCTAATCAAATGACCTTATTATCAACCTTTAAAGTGCTCGAGAATATGAAGGGAGGAGAACTTATCTGGAAAGACGAAGACGGCCCGAGGTTGTCTATCGAGCGTGTAAAAAGTATTTTTAGAGACGTTGTGAGTGGTCTTGACTATTGTGAGTCTATCCTTTTAAGATATTGCAAATCTATCTATGCTTATTCTCTTACTTATTACTTATCATCGCCATCATTATTCACAAAACTCTTTACATCTACACACACAAAATCAAGTGCACTACCAAGGTATCATTCATCGTGATATCAAACCAGCTAACCTACTGCTGACCGAAGACCAGGTGGTCAAGATATCGGATTTTGGCGTTTCGTATTTTAATCAACATTTGGCTGGCAAGCCTTTATCAAACCTGCCTGACCGTCAGATGGATCGCGAGTTAGCCGAGACAGCCGGAACACCAGCATTCTTTGCCCCTGAGCTCTGCAGCACAACCTGCGACACTGACAACGGTGAAGATAACATCAGTAACAGCAACAGCAATGGAAATGGAAATGGAAACGGTGGCGATGACCTTTCAAACGTACGGATCACAAAGGCAATTGATGTCTGGGCGCTCGGTGTCACTCTATATTGCCTATTGTTCGGAAAATGCCCCTTCATGGCTGCCACAGAGTTCGAATTGTTTGACGCTATTCCAGTCCAGCCACTCACATTTCCTGCCAATTTTGCTGACCAGGATTGTAAAGATCTCTTGCTTGGTCTACTGACAAAAAATCCAGACGCACGCATGACTTTAGACCAAGTTAAGGTTCACCCATGGGTCATCTCTGACCTCGCGTATCCCATTATCTGGTGGCAAGAAGCGGATCCGAGACAATACAAGACGGTTGAAGTAACTGATGATGATGTTAACCAAGCCGTCACCATCATGGTAACAAACTCTTTTCTATCATATATTTTATTAAACAGCCAAAGAAAACAACAACGACAACAACGACAATCTAAATACATATGTACATACATGCATACACACACACACACACATATATATATATATATATATATATTTCTTTTATTCTTTTGCTTTTAAAAAGTGATTTTTAAAAAATCTTATGTATCGATCACACATTAGGCGCGTCTCCGGAATACCTTTAACAAAATGTCATCTTCGTTTACTCATCTCACCAATTCAATTACCCGCCGACGATCCAAAAGTGTGTCGCATTCTCAAGCACCACTGTTTTTGCCATCAACCCCTCCATGGTCTGGCCATGAGCCATTTACACAGCAGACCAATTGGCCATTTTCTGAATCATTGGTATCCCAGGAAGAGCAAGAAGAACAAGAAGAGGAAGAAGAGGATGGTAATTGGCGTGAAGTCACATCGTCTGGAGTGTGTGATGAACTTACAGTTCAATTCAGCCGACTTTCTTGATATATACTCACACATACACATACACATACACATTGCACCAATTACACCTACATATACTCATACACATACACATACTTATACGCATATATACATACATACATACATTAACTTAAAAGCTAACAAGTTTACAAGCTTATACACATCTTATACCCTCATAAATACTTTTTATCACTCCCTCTCCTTCTCCCTATTTTCTTATTCTTATTACAATACATTACAACACCATACACGCACATTTGATGTGGTTGTGCGTACAGGCGTACGTAAATGCGTGAGTATTATACACATGTTTATGTGTAGGAGAAGACAGATCTTTTTTTTTTCTTATTTATTTACAACAAATTACAATACAAATCTGATTGAAATGGATCAGATTAAGGAACATAAGGAGGAGGAGGTACAGTGTTCTTGTTATCGGCCTCTGGCTGATTATAGTGATGCTGGAGCTGGAGCTGACGTTGGAGTTGCTGCTGCTGCATTGAAGGGGTGGATGAATCGGGGTATATTGGAAGATTATGACTATTGTCATTATTACTATCATTATGGTTAGCCGTGGAACCAATAATAACAGTACTAGTACTAGTAGCATTAACATTAGGAGTTGTATTAGCATTAGCATCAGGAGTATGATTATGAATAAGAGTATGATGAGGATGATGAGCATGCATTGAGGTCGAAGTAGGAATAAAAGTAAAGGCAGAGTTCGTAGAGTTGATGATTGTGGTCCCAGTTCCGGCGCTGGCGTTGGTGGGATGAGGATATGAGGAGTGTGGCGAATGTGGTGATGAATGTGGATAAGAAGAAGGTTGAAATTGAGATTGAACTCCTGGTGCTCCTGCTACTGGAAGAGTCTCCAAGGCAACCAAAGAAGGTTTTGTGGTGTCCATTCGGCGCTGTCTTCGTCGTCTGTACCACATTATACCGAGTAAGATCAATAAGATGAGGATCCCGAGAACGATTGCGACAATATAGCCGATCTTTGTTTTGGAATCCGAATCGTGTGAGGAATGTTTTGGTTTCGAGCAGATTGTCTTGGTTCCATCATTCGAAGTGCAGATCAAGCCAGCGATGCACTGGTTGGTGGATACACAGACACTGTTTTGGAGAAGGCGCGGGATACACATATCAGACTCGAGTGCACAGTAGGTGCTATTGTCACAGTCACTGAGGTATGCATCCGTTGGGTTTGAGACATCGTTTGGTGGCCAGAGAATGACGGTTGAAGATGATGATGAGGTGTCTGTGGTAGTAGGAACTAAAGGTGGGGTTGGAAGTACAACGCATGGTTGGTTGAGCCGAGCCGTTTCTCCACGAAATACAGGCGATGATTCAGGATTGGAAAGAACCCACCTAATATGCGTAATATATAAGTATTATGGTTTTTTTTTTTTTTAATTTTTTATTTTATATTTGATAAGTATATACATTTAAAATATGTATAAATAAAATTTAAATAATATATATACATAGATACATATTTATTTTATTTTTATTTATTAAAATAAAATTTGATCTCGGTTTATTGTATTTTTATCTTTTACTTACTGTGAATTGTGTACTTGTTGACATTCGATTGCTTTGTTTGTTACAATGCACTCTTTATTGTCTGAACAAGGCCATGTGCAATTGACGCTAATCCAGTTAGTCGCCTGTTCAGCACAGACACCAGTCACAATGAGCAAAAAATAAAAGTACGAGATAGTGAGCATTAGGGTGATTGCATTGGGATCAAAAGGAGGAAAGAAAGGAAGAAAAGTAGAAGCAGAGTAAGAATAAGAAGAAGTTAAAATAAAATAAAATAAAATATTAGGTAATAATAAGTATTAAGATAATGAAATAATGAATTGGAAATAAAATATAAAATATATATAAAAAAAAAAAAAAGACTCGGGTAATCGTTGGTCGTTTTCTTTTATTCTTATTATTGTTACTATTACTAGTATTATATTTTTAAAAGGCAAGACCTTCGATTGAACGAGGGACAGAAACGTTGGAAAACGAAGAACATCTCGACTTCGGTCTGTACGACACCAGTGTGAAAGGCCAATTTAGATCCATGCGTGACAGTCTAAATGGTTTGGAATGAATTTAACATTGGTAGCTAATTAGAATTGACCGTAAATAATAGAGAAAAGAGCGAAAAAGAAATGACTAAAATACAATACAATATAATGATATATATATATATAAACATACGTGGTTGTGTCGACATGGCAACAGATTATTAAGCTTGTTTTTTTAAAAAAGAAATTCTGGGATTATTAATATATATATATATAAATAAAAATAATAATAATAATTTATTCATTTATTTCATTTATTTATTGGCAAAGGAGAGAACGTGCTTGTGAAAATTTTGGGAAGAATCTCAAGGGAAAGGAGGGAAGGAGAGGGGGTGGGCAGGGGAGAGAAAGAAAAGAGAGCGAGAGAAAAAATGTGAAGATAATGAACAAAGAAAATAAAGTATCTTTTACAATTAACAATGTAAATGATGGGTCAGTATCAAGTATAAAGCTAGTCTAGCATCTTGCATATATAAAAATACATAAATAATTATCATTATCATTAGAATTAGCATTAGCATTATCATTATTACTATTATTATTATCATTATCATCATTATTGTGCTTTTCTGTTAATTACCGGGGAACGAGATTTCTGTATTCTTTGATTACCATTTAAAGACACTCTGTATATACCTATTATATAGATGGTATAAAAATAAAAAATAAAAATACCAGTTACATACTACATACTACATACTTTCCAGTACATACTTTCCGGTACATATTTTGCAGTACATACTACATACAACTGACTACACTATATTATATTATGATATACTCTATATCTTTAATATTCTTTTTTATTTTCTTTTATTTTCTTTTATATATATATATATATATTTAGTTTATCTTGCCCAGCTTCTCCGCTTAATTACTTTTTGGTATCAACACTGTAGGAAATGTTAGGATTTATAACTCCGGTATCGTAGGAGATATACGTGATTGTAATTTAGATTTGGCCAATAGAATGTTAGCTTTTGATCCATGAAATGTTATTTTTCAGCAAATACGGGCTATGGGATTTTGGATCATCTTACATTTTAGCCAATCAACACTCTTAAATATGGATAATCCGAACAGCCATAAACTAATCTTATTGGCTAATATCATTCTGAACTTTTTTTTATTATATTTTTTTTTTGAATCTTTTAATCTGTCCTCACCAATTTATTTTAAAATATAAGAAAAAAAAATTAATAAGAAAGGATCTATTCATTCAAATTGCCTGATAATCACATTATTTATTAAATTTTATATTTGTATTTGTATATACATACAGCATGAGAGAATATATGTATATATATATATATATATATGTGCTTTATATTTATAAATGTAAGAGAAAATACCTCTTTATATTTCCAAAGTTGGTCTACATATCTCTAGTCTTCTGCTTATCGGTAGTCGTATTCTGGTTCTTCTCCTTCTTCATCGTCATCCCCTTCCTCTTCCTCTTCATCATCATCACCATCATCATCACCGTCATCATCCTCTTCCCCTCCTATTGTTATTTCATCCCCACGTCTCTTATTCTTTGGTTGAACCGTAAGATCATCTGCTATCTCAGTCACAAGTTCACTCTAATAAAAAAAAGAAAGAGAAGAAAAATTTGAGTACCAAACTATAATTTTTTTGATTTTCTTTGAGGGATTTCTATTTAGGAACAATCCTTTTTTGTGCGTGTGTGTATATATACTTACAAGACCAGGATTACGACGAGCACACAACTAAAAGAATATATATATATATATTAATTAAAACTATTATATGGATGCATATTCTGTATTGAAATAATATTTCTTACCTTGACATCATCCATTGATATTGTATTACGTTTGGCGTGTCTAGATTATACAGGCAGAAATCAATGCGTGCGTGTGTATTTGTAAGTGCCTGGATTTTATTATTCTACTTTAAGTACAAGCACACACACACACACACACATGTATATACTATAACCACTTTTTTGTTTGTTTTACTTTGCAAATGCTTCAAGATCTAGTGCCATTGATTCTAAATTGTGTTTAGATTAATATTTTTCTTTTTGGATATTGGCACGCTTACCTGCTTGTCTACAGACAACTTCAGTTAGAGAGGCAATGAACTCTGGAGTTACTGTTTGACCAAGGCTACTTGCTATTGTTTTAATATACATGTATATAATTAATTGTTATTCTTACGGATAATTTATATATCAAATATATATAAATTACCTTCTTCAATTACTTGTTGTTCGACATAATACCACATTGCATCATAAAGTGCCTGAAGATTTACTTCATTAGGCTCATTTGCAAAGGGATTCATTGTATAAATGAGTATATATGATGTTTATTATTATTACTTAAAATTAAAATTTTAAGAAAATAACATGAAAAAAAAAAAAATTCGTGACTATATTCTTTTTTGGTCTGTTAATTGTTGTAGTAGTTATGAGATATATGATGTAGGTGATTAATGCACTACGTATACTCTACACACTATGTACATTATACACACTTTACATATACTCCACATATTGGACACACTACACACGTAATGGTAATATTAATTTATATTATAAATTATATTATACTATACTATATATATATATACATATTTTAAAATTTCTTTCTTAAATATTTAAAGTCCAGTTTTATACAGAGTTGTTTAGAGTGGGGGTGGTTTGTGCGTTTGAGATTAAGAATTTGTATTGCTTGGTTGCTTGCGCACTTGTCTGATTTTTTTTTGATATCGTATATATATATATATATGCTATAAAAATACTAGTGTATGTTTTTAAAGAAAGAGAGTATATATACATATATAATAATGACAAGTGATTGGTTGTTATGTACATTATTATTATTTTTATGATTAAAGGGAAAAAAAAGCGTGGGCAAAGTTGTAAGCCACCAAGGATGACACAACATGGTCGCGTGACAACGAAAGAAGAAAAAAAAAAGAATTAAAGAAAGATAGAGTGTGTGTGCATATGTGTGTGTGTGTGTGTGTGTATAGCTTTAGCGTGGTGAGTGTAGTGTGTGTCCAATGAGTAGTGTGATGATTGTGTGTGGTGATTATGTGTGGTGATTATGTGGGCCATATGTTCTTTGTTTAATCTTTTTATTTTATTTTATATATAATCTGTCGGTGATTTAACAATATTATAGATTTGCACACTACACACACACACACACACACACACTGCTCACACTAACTCACACACAACCAGAAATAATATATATATATATATAATATTTATTTATATAATTTTTATTATTATTTTTTTTGAATTATTTTTGTTTTATTTTATTCCTAATGCCCATCCCATCTACAACTCTTGATCAGGACAGAAACATCAAGTGTCCTTCTTGTCAGGACAATCAGCCCTGTGCACATCCAAAGCACCCAAAGCGCCAGGCTGTTGTATTCCACCAAGACGACCAACACATTTGGCATGACAAGTCCAAACGACGACGACGGATTCCCTTGTTGAATTCTCGCACTGACGAAGACGTCTGGGTTGATCTGTCTGAGAAACGTATCCAGAACTCTCGTCTGGGTGCACTCTATGCCGGGTCCCAGTTCAAGGGACTCCAGACGTGCGGAAGTAGTAGTTATGAAGTAGTAGTTGATATCCAAGTGAGTGTCACACAAGAAAAAAAAATACATATACATAATACATAATACATTTTATTCATTAACTTATATATATTTTTTTAAAAATAATAATAATAATACTTTCTTATATAAACGAATTGTCTGTTATTCTATTTTATTCTAGCGTGTTGACCTTAATGAAAGCATGCTGAGTGGATATCTAAACATTAAAGGACTCACAACAGAATTCCCTGAACTGACTGTGAGTTTGTTTGGTTTATATATGTACATATGTAAATAAGAAGTTCACCAAGCAATATGTTTCTTTTTAAATGTCTTGTAGACTTATTTCGAAGGAGAAATCATCGGTCCAAAACACTCGTTCCTTACCCGTAAATGGCAGACACAGCAGATTATTGATCGTCGGCATTGGGTAAAATAGTGTACATAAAATAAGCCAAAAAAAAGGGGGGGAAAGAGAAAGAGATGAAAATATGGATCATTTGGGTCGATTGACTAATATCTATATATTTTGTCCGTTTGTTTTAGGAACGATTTGACTCATTTAAACCATACCTCGAGATATTCAATAGAGACGGTTTTGTCTATGATCCAACCAATAAGGATTTTGTTTATATGCGATGGAAGGAACAATTCCTTGTGCCAGACCATCGTGTTCATACCATTGATGGAGCTAGTTTTGCAGGATTTTATTATATATGTTATCAACGCTCGACCAACAAAATCATCGGGTTCTATTATTTCCGCCACCACACGGAACTGTAAGCAGATATATTTTATTTATAAAAAAAAAAGCAACAAGGGAATTTACTTATGTTTGGGTTTTTTTTATAAATAATAATCATAGGTTCCAAGAGCTGTCATTAGATTATGTTGAGCAACGATGCTTTGGTAGCTTTGAACTTCGTTAATAATATTTCTTATATATATATTTTTTTTAAAAAAATCTCTATTTCATTTTATTTTTTATTTTTTTAACACACTTTACACACACACACATTGCACACTCTAAACCCAAACACAAGCACAAACAATACTACCACTACCACTACCACTTCCATCATTATTATTACTACCATTATTATTATTACTACCACTACCACTACCAAGTACAGCAAGACAAACAACAACAACAACGACGACGACGACAAATCACTCTTAAACATACACACATACACGCGAACGCACATACAAATCAATGATTCCTTAATGCTGTCGAATATATACATATACATATATGTACAAGTTATATTTCTTTAATATCAAAGTAATAGTATTACTGTTAATATTATTATTTCGAGTATACCATTAAAGATATGTATATATATATATATATATATAATATATCCAATATTTTGAGGAATTGCATGAATAAATGAATAAATAAATATTTAGTTATTTATTTCTTTGGAGGCTTGTTATCTGGTTTACATATCCATATAGAAAGAAGAAAGAGATTGGGGCATAGATATATAGCTATGTTCATAAGTACAGAAGATATAGTTATAAAGAAAGGGACATATAATAATAAAAATAAAAATAATGTAAAAATGACGATAAAGACAAAGGTTAAAAAGATGCGCCTTGTACCCATATCATATTATCCTTGGTGACTTGTTCATGTTGTTTGTTGTTGCTTTGTTTGTTTAGTTGTCTGCTATAAATCTCTGAGAAGTTCCCATGTTGTCTCACTGGTTGACATAATCAATTTCTGGGTATTGATATAAACCCGGCCAAATGCACGCGACTCTACCCAGGCATCAGACTCTGACTTCCAGAGTTCCTCAATTCTTTCCTGTAGGTCGGTTTCTAATGGAAGCCATTTAGCACCATTCTTGTAGAACCATCCCGAGGCCATTGGTTTGAATTGATGTGAATTGACTTGATTTGATGTGATCTTTGAATTATTATTTTTTAGAAGGAATCAAGTGATGTTTTTTCTTTATTGATATTTATAGTAGGTTTTTAACGATTTTATGATTTGCGTGCTAACATTGTGCTATTGATATATATATATATATAAAAAACAACCGACAGAGCTCCTCCTCTTCCTCTTCCTAATATATATATATATAAAAATGTAAGCCATAATTTATTGTAAATCACAAATAAATATAGTTAAATTATGCAAAAGTAACAATATACACATATAAAAAAAATCGACTTTTTTTTTCTGTTTTTGTTTTTTGTTCTTATAGATCATTGTTAAATATGGTAAGAAGAGACTAGATGTATACATACAATATAGCTATCATTTATAATATTAAAAGAAGGTTATTAAGAGAGAGAAAACGCCCCATTTGGTTATGAATATTTTTTGATGCCTTGATGCTTTGGTGCTTTGAAAATAAAATTCAAAGCACTAATGTTTTGACTTTTATTTTAATATATAAAATAGGTAATGATGAGCTAGAGTTCTCTCCTTTTTACCTGAAAGTTTATTTACAAGTGAATTATAGATTTCAATGTATATTTTTACTTTATTTTATTTTTATTAAAAAAGAAAATTATGGACATTTTTAAAAATTACCATCAGAAGCACCATTAATTCTCCATAGTGTATATATATATAATCAAAGTATCTTGACAGAAATATAAATAGAATTTATAAATTTATTCATTTTAATTTTGGGGGACTACAGGATTTTCTTGGAGGAGTCTGTTGTTTACAAAATAAGCAGAAAAAAGAGAGTAAAGAATAAGCAATTTTTTTGTTTGTTTTTTTATATAAAGAAATATAAAAATAAAATAAAGTTTATTGCTTAGAAGTTCTATATAGCATAATACATTTTGGTGCTTCTATTGATAATTAGACCAATTATTTATTTATTTATCTTTAAAATATATGTATTATAGGCATAAGAACCAGCTCTTTTTATTTATTTATTCATTTTTATCGCCGTTCTTTATAATAATAATAATAATAATAATTACAAGCATTTACATGATATATAGAAAGTATAGAAAGTAAAAATAAAAATAAAAATAATTAGCATATATTCTTGTTTTGATTTGTAAGTTGTGGTTTAGATTTCTTCTTCTTTTTTAAAATAAAATAAAATTTAAAGTAAGTAATAAATGTTATATAAGAAAGAAAACATATATAAGAAAATTAAAAAAAAAAAAAGAGGGCATAGGTTGGCGTATAAGACTGTCTTTAAAGGGATCTTCTTTGTCTGTGCGATTAATAGTTGCGTCGTGCAAGTAAGAATTGAAGGCTTCCACAGGATAACCAAAGTTCGATAGTGTTGATGTACACAGGTTGATTTCCAAAAGTAGGACTATGGACCCAGCCGGATTCGGCAGATCCCCACATTTTGTCGACTACTTGGGTTGTTGCTTGATCCAGGACGGCCCAGTTAGACCCTGAAGAATAGACCCACTGATGCTGCATTTCACGTACAAATCCTTTCTTTTGTTATTGCTTCTTCTTTTGGTTATAAATATAAGCTTTAAAAAAAAAAGTGTTCAAATTCAAAATTCAAAATTCAATTCTTATCTAATTACCTCTTGTTTTTTTTTAAAAAAAAATAAAATAAAATAAATAAATTTTAAATCCGTTTGGGCTTTCTTTTTATACTCTTGACTGCGGCTCTTGCGCGGGTTTAAGGATGAGCTTTTTTTTCTTTTTTATTTTCTTTTTTGCGTTCGTATGTCCGTGCAAAAAAAAAGGATGAAGGAGATTTATGTTTGTTCTTTATATATAAATAATATCTTTTTATTTTATTTTATTTTCTCTATAAAAATTATGATATTCTTGTATAGATAATCATAATTAGTATCTAAAATGAAAGCAAAAGAAGAGGAAAAGAAAAAACAAGAAAAAGATGAGCAACAAGCAATGGGACTAGTATTTATAAGAGTTTAATAAAAAAAAAATTATGAAAGTAAAGATGGCTTTGTAGCTTGTTCTACTTTACATTGTAACCCTTTGAATTGTACATCTTACCATTTCTCTTACTCTTCCTGATCACCTTTAATTAAATGCGCAGCCCTTTTATTATTATTATTATTATATATATATATATATACCTTATTTTGTCATGTTCCCTTTTTTGTATAAACGGACAAGGCAAAGTGGCTTCCTTGTGTAGCTGAGCACCTTTATTATTATAATAATATTCTTGGAGGATTTGTGACTAACTATACGTAATTCTGAATTAGTATATATCTTTTTTTTTGTTTTGTTTTGTTTTGTTTTGTTTTGTTTTGGGTTTATATAGAAAAAGTATATTTCAAATATCTTATATCTTTCATTTATTATGATTAGTATTATGATGATTAAACAAAGAAGTAGATATTTAGGCTATATTTTCTTTAAACACATTAAGAAAGCTGCGCAGCTTGTGGCTGCTGATATATATATATATATGGTATTACAAGTCTCTTTCTTGTGTACAGGATAAAAACCCAAAAATTATCTGTCAATTATTATCCCATTTCTTTTTTCTTCTCTCTTTAAATAATTATATATATATCTTTTATATCAAGATCTACATTTTTTTATTTTCATTTGACCAAAATATTCATTTGTCATTAAGCTTAAAAAAAAAAAAAAAGAAGTACCAAAAATTGAATTTATACATAAATAAAATATGAAGCTATATGTCTATAAATAAATTTACTAAGCTTTTTAAGTGTAACCAAAAGATCCAATCGTGTCAGTAACTAGATCAAATTAAACAAAGCAACTAAAAGAAGAAGCAGAAGGAGAAGTGATACATGTATGTATATTTGAAATTTGAAATAGAATATTTGTTCTCTGCTTTGGTTTGATTTTTGTTTTTTTTTATATATAGTTGTATGTTATAGATATATAATTTATCAATCTAGTCTTTGTTACTACATATCTATATGCTGGTTCTTTATAGTGTATAAAAAAGTGTGTATAGAAGAAGGTGTGGTAATATTTTTTCTAAAGCAAAATAAAGATTTCCACCTTTCTTTTTGGATGTGTGTAATGTGTGTTTTGGTTCAATTTTTTTTTGGGAGGAAATATTTTATATTGAAAATTCAGAGGAGACCTTTGTCAGTGATTTCCTACTGTTGTTGTATTCTTGAAATGAGCACACACTCTCTTCTGGTTTGGTATCATAGGGTTGTTTACCAAATGAAAAACTAAATCGATTCGATTGACTGAGTCGATTATCGTATCCAAGTTGTTGTTGTTGTTGTTGTTGTTGTTGTTGTTGTTGTTGATCGTAATGGTTATGATGATTAATGATATCCATGTCCACATATTCACCATGTTTCAATGTCTCCAGCTGTTTGTTATTTGCACTCGAAAATTTGTTATCTGGGAACGACACTTCCTCAACTCTAGTAGTATGTGCGCCATCTGATTCAACTGCTGTGTCCGACAGAGACATTCCAGTATCCGGATATGTCATGTTGGTCATTGTTTCTCGACTTTTTTTTCGGCGAGGGCTAGTAGTAACCTAAAATTTTATGGGATTAATATCGGTGGGAGTCAATAGATAAATAACAAATATGATATGATATGAGTAGACCTTATGACTTACCCAGTGAATGGTGACCAAACTAATGGTAACATCTAATGCACAGCATCCCAGGCACAGCAGTCCGCGTTGTCTTCCGTTGCTTAATGTGAGTCCAAGAATGTTTGCAAAAGAAACGATGAGACAGATAATCGAAGCAACAAGGGTGCGTTTGGCAACTGAATGTAGACGAGATGATTTCCAATCTGGAGCACTGCGCTTTCCTGCTGTGAATAGCGGCCTCAAGAACAAAAAGGTCATGTAAAAATTGAATAACTGCAAAGACAAATACAAATTATTATAAATATATACAAAAAAAAATATTGTTATGAGAATTTTGGTTATATCGATCATTCAAATATAGTTTTAGGTAGTTGCGATAATTAACTTTTTATATATATATTTTTTTTGTACACTTACGACATCGTAGACCTACAAATTTAGATAAGATAATAATAATAATAATTAATATACAAACAAATGATAGAAATAGACAGGGATTTGATGTCTTACCATCAGAGGAGCAGTTGCAATCAACTGAAGACCGATGATACAGGTGCCATCTTCTTCTAATTCAGAAGTGTGAAATTTCAACTATAAATCAAAAAAAGTTTATATCAATAATTGTCTCTTGACTTTCTTTTTTCCCTTTATTCTATAGTTTACCATCAAAACAAAAATAGCAATATAAGGAGTGAGGAAGAATAAATGTAATTTGTACATCCATGACTCCATTCGAGTTGATTTAGTAGCCGAGACTACCCAGACTTTCTCAATAAGCCTTTTTATATATAAATAAATAAAGTGATTAATGAACAAGATGAAAACAGAAAAATTTGAGAATTACTTTTTTATTCTTCTTACCAGGCATAGATAATTACTTTGGTTCCTGAATAAAATACATCGCAGGCCAAGATAGATAAAAGGCAGGAAATGTAATTTCCTTTATACGCATAGATAGATAGATAGATAGATAGATAGATAGATATATCATTAATTAATTGATTCAATCAAATAAATCGATAATAATGATAATATATCATTGCTTACCGTTATTTGTTGTGATCAAAAAGGTTGTCGAGACTGTGAATGCCCATGAAAATATGTACAGAATTAGGACAAGCCATCTGGACAGGGTAAGGTATTTAAATTTGATGTTGAAAATCTTGACACCAAAAAGACATGAAATGATGGAAATAGCGACCAAGACTATTGATTGAGCAGCAATTTCATATCGATCTGGTTCTGATGTTCTAATAAATAGCGGCGCCTCCATTTACAAAATAAAATAAAATAAAATAAAATAAAATAAAATAAAATTAAATAAAATCAAATAAAATCAAATAATAATATACACACACTCATAAATATAAATATAAATATAAATATATATATATTTCTATATACAATTACATATACATTTATATATTTAAATATATTTTATATATATTTTATATGTATATAAAATAAATAAATAAATAAATAAAAGAAGAGAGAAGAAGAACAAGAAGGAAAGAGAGAAAGAGGGGAAGAAAGGATAATATTTTTTGTTTTCTTTTTCTTTTTTTTTTTTGAGTTTTTTTTTTGTAGAGTAGGGCTCCTGTTTGACTAAATATTATTATTATTTATTTATTTATTTAAAGAAAGAAAAAAAAAAACTCATGTCACACAATCGCTTACCCATAGCCAAAATTTTGCAGGATCTATTGGTTGACTATATTTAAGTAGTGTGAGTATGGTAATGTATAATGTGTACTAGTAATAGTAAAAGACAACATTATAGCTATAGAATGTAGTGTAAAGTAGTATATAATGGAATTGATAGATATGAAAGATTAATCAAATGAGTAACTGAGGTATATTTGGATTAATTACTCAATATCAATTCTCTCTCTCTCTCTCTTTTTATGTATATACAATATACAATATACAATATATGCTTCTGCCGTTGTTTTTATATGTTTCTTGTTCTCTTTATAATTTGATACCCAAACTAAAGATGGTATACATAATTTTATTTTATTTTTATTTATTTATTTATTTATTTATTTATTTATTTATTTGGGTACTTACCATACTGGACCTCATGTAAAGGAAAAAAAAAAAAAAAAAAAAAAAAAAAAAAAAAGTCTTTATTTGTTAAACTGTCACACCTAACCAACTACCTTACGATTCAAAACTAACCTATCAGAATCCTACAAAAAAATAAAGAACTCTCTTTTGTCAACTCCTCTTCCTTCCTTCTTTCTTTCTTTAACAAAGGGTGCAAAATATACTTTATATGTTTTATATATACATTTTAAATGTAAAAATATATAGATATAAATATTTAATTTATATTCTGTATTATAAGATATTCAAAGATACATATATATATAATGTGTGTGTGTATATATTTTATAATAAGTATCTACAGTAGGACAGGATTGATAGCAAATCTACATAATATTTATCTTGTAAACTCACAAAATATATGTAATTGTATATTATTTTACGAGTATAAGGAGAAAGAGAGAAATAGTAAACACTCAAGTTAATATCTTTATATTTTAAGGTAAATAAACATAGATAAAAGGAGAAGTAATTTATAAATATAATATAGCACTGTAGGAAATGGCAGCATTTGTAATTCCGCCAATGCAAATTACTATGTAAAAAATGCATACTTGCAGATTTGCTCTAAACCAATAGGAATTTAGTATTTAGCTAATAGTGTTACCTATCTCAGCAAATAAGAAGCGTATATTCTTATGATTTAAACCCTATTTTAACCAATAGCTTTAGAGAATATCCTTTTTGTATTACAATGGTTTTTTATACTTTTGGGGATCAATGCCCTTATTAGGAAGTTACAGATACTCAAATTCATAAAAAAAACAATTAAAAAATAGAATTCTGCTGAAATTATAGTTGAAAATTTTTATTTATTTTTATTTTTCCAAGTTGAAAATATTGGGAATAAAGAGCCTAATACGCGTCTAAGTACTTAAATGACTTATAGAAACATTGCTAGCTAATTGAAAGGCACTATATAGAATAGGCAGAGAAACGGTAGCAGTAACTGATACACTTTTAATCTATACATAAAGAAAAAGAAGAAAGAAAAAAGAAAAGAGAAAAAAGAACTTTAGTATTTGTGATTTAATTTAATTTACTTTAAATGACATACCTTTGATATTGAATAAACATGAAGAAATGCAAAGCCTTGTATTTTATGTTTTTTATACTAATAATTCTTTTATTTTGAGTATGCATACCTTTGATAGTCTAGATGATGCGAGCCTACTTATAATCGAAATGAAGTTTCATTAGTAATTAGTAATTAAAATCTTTTAACATTAATAATACCTTTTCACTGATGTTTACATCTATGTAGCAGTACTGGCCTGTAACAATGGTATTTAGTATGCAGCAAAGTCAGAAAGTATCATTACTTTTATGATGATTAAAAAAAATAAACAAAAAGTTAGTGTAGAGTTAAAAAGCACAATGTTTATTTTTGTAAAAAAATCTAAGCCCCAATACAATAGTTGAATTTTGCGATTGTAATCATGAATTTTTGCCAAGTCATTTTTCACCTTTGAGAATCCCGCTGTGATTTGGTTTAGGGGTGCTTGTACCTCAGAGTGTGCCTTATAAAGATATTTTATTTTTGAAAAAAGGACAGAGATGATATTCCGCGCTCAATGGTTTTAGCGAGCCAATAATATAACTTATACGTTTTTCATTTTCTAATATATTATCTTGAATATTCTGTGATCAAGCTTTCATTTTAACATCCGTCTCAATGTGTCTAAATAGGTTTAGCAAGTCCTAAATTAGATATAGTCAATATAATTTTTACAAAGTTACACAATTTTTGCAAATGTGCAATTTTTTTTGCAAGTACTTGCAGATTTTTTTCTACAGTATATAGTGGCAATTGTCAGTGGCCAGGTGGCAGGTGAACATAAAATAGACAGTTTTAATTATTAATAATTATACTAAAATAGTGAAAAATGAATTCCAATTTTTGTATGTATGTATGTATGTATGTATGGATGGTCTTTGAATAATAGAATAAAGAAATATTGCCATGTGTACTCTTCCTTTTAACCTCGGGTTCAACAGTAAATGCAAAATATTCACTAAATATGTATTAAAGTATATCAACATGCATACATACATATAAGACTATAGCAGTAAAACTATGTACCTCTTTTTCTCTCTTAATAAAAAGGTAGAAAATCTATCTATCCATCTCAACGTCGCACTAACCAATTTTAGAGAAGAAAGGGAGGGATCTGTAAGAAATGGTAGGATTTATATGTTTATTTAGCCAATAGAATCGCATATTTTAATCTATTACTATTATTTTTCAGCAAATAGAATTCAAGCAATTCTAGATTGTTCTGTTTACTTTAACCAATTAAATCTTCCTTTTTTTTTTATTACCAAGTTTATTGACAAGAAAAAAAACAAGACGGTTTGGTAGTAGAGTTTCTGTATTTCACTCAATTGTGGTATATATCAACTACAGATCCAAGTTATATAAAAATTAGGGTGTTGGCTCCATTATTCAGGGCAATGCCCAAACTGCTTATTAGTGCAATCTCCATGTTCCTAATCATCAGTTTTGTGCCTATTCGTTTTTGCCTCTCTCTCTCACTCTCACTCAGCATATCTCAAATCAAATATCCAGACTGTTGATAGTTATGAATGGCTAAGCAAACACGTTCTGATGGCATAGACAGAATAAAAGTGTCAATGTTAATCAATAACATTGACACAAAATTATAAAGAACCCGGAATCCTAACGAAACTTATTTTTATTTTTTTGGGATTAGGAATAGAAAGACTTTCTTGACACGCATGTAGATAAATAAATATATATATATATATAAAATAGGCTAGTGAATAATCTCGTTTACTTGGGTTTGTCAGAAGATCTGGTTTATCATCGTATTCTGGTTTGTCATTTTGATAGATAGGAGATCATGTTAATTTAGAGTCAATGAGTATAAGTAGAATAAAATAAAAATTAGATGTTAGTGTCAAGAGGCAAGCAATTCTTTTTTCTTTATTTTATTTGAGTTTAATAAAGGCTGACGTTGCTCTATCTTTTTCTATCCGTGCCGTGTTTTCAAGTGCTTTCTAAAGACATGATTTTTTTTTTACCAAAGAATGAGTCACAAAAAGGACAGTATAGCGAAAACGAAAAGGGAAAGAGAGAGAGGAACGCTGCCCGTACCTAGATTATCATCAACCATAAGAAAGTTAATCCCCATCGATCTGCACGTCAAGAAGACCCTTGTTCTCCGTAGAGCTTCAATTCCTCATATAAACACAGCCTCAAGACCGTCAAGTACCAACCCATTCAGAAAATTTTGATGGATACATCAAACATCTTTAAAATGTTACCTTTAAATAACAATAACAATACCAATTACATATTCCAGCCATATGTACCTTTTCTGTCTCGCTAGCTTGCCAGATGTTTTGCATAAACCTTTAACATTACACTATTAACACTTGATCCTGCCATCCTTTTACTCTCATCCACTCTCTTTTTCTCCATAACATATCTACATAGCCATGACAAACAAACGCATTGTATATTGTACAGATTATGTATATAAATGTAATTTTTAATATGTAAATTGGATTTTTAAGGTAAAAGAAAAAAAGAAGATACATAGAAAAAATCGATAAATAAATACTCCAAGAAATATATAAATTTATCGGTTGGCTAAGAAAAATAAAATTAGTATTAAAGAAAATAAACTCATTCTCTCTTTTTCTATCACTATTATGTGCAAACTTACACTTGGCAACACGCTCAAGCTCATCCTTCTTCTTGATGGCATAGGAGTTGGAAGAACCCTTGGCGGCGTTGATCAACTCATCAGCAAGACATTCGGCAATGGTCTTGACGTTACGGAAGGCAGCCTCACGGGTACCAGTGGTCAACAAGGAGATCGACTGGTTGACACGACGGAGGGGAGAGACATCGACGGCCTGACGACGGACAGTACCCTGGGAACCAATGCGAGTGGAGTCTTCGCGGGGACCGGTGTTGATGATGGCATCAACAAGGATCTGGATGGGGTTCTGGTCGGTCAACAAGTGGACGATCTCGAAAGCGTGCTGAACAATGCGGGCAGCCAACAACTTCTTACCGTTGTTGCGACCGTGCATCATGAGCGAGTTGGTCAAACGTTCGACGATAGGGCACTAGATAAAGAAATTATGTATATAACACACGAAAACAATAGCAAGAACAGCAAGTATTTAATATATTATACACATAAATATCCACACACATGTATTATTATTATTTTGTAAATAAATATTAAAAATTAAAGAAGAAGAGATGTATATACATTTTTTTTTGTTTTTTTTGTTTTTTATTTTTTTTTGGTAGTGTTTTCTGTCATCTTATTTTCTGCTCTATTCTACTCTATTCCATTCCGATCAAATCCAATATAATTTTCTCTTTTCTTTACCTGGGCCTTACGGAAACGCTTGGCAGCGAAACGACCAGCAGTGTGAGGCAGGTAAACATGCTGGCGAACGGAGATGTAGTCCTGGAGGGAGATATCCTTGACTTCAATCTCCTCGTAAGACCACTTGTTGAAAAGCTTGGGGGAGCCGTCGGAAGAGGCAAGAATGTTAGCGGGCACACTCAATGAAGCCATGATGCTGTTTTGATGGTACCAAGTTTTTTTTTTTTAAAAAAAAAAAAGAAAGACAGTAATATCAAATATCAAATATATGTTTAAAATCGTCGTCGTATGGAGTACAGTTTTATATATATATATATATTTATGCGTATGTCGTATGCGTATGATGTATGCGTGGAGTATAAGTGTGATGTGGTGTGGTGTGATGTGGTAGGATGTGTTAGGTGTAGTGCGTAGTATATTGTATATGCGTGTTCGTGTACGTGTATAGTGCAGTGTGTGTATGCATATTTTTTGATAGTAAAATTTGATCCAAATATGCATGTATGTATTAATATAAATATAAATATAAATATATATTTATATTTATATAATATAGTAAGATCAAATCAAATTAAATATAAAATAATAGTAATTATAATAATAAAAATTATTTGTTAGTAATCAGGATCATTTGTCGCTTTCATACATCCATCTATATACCCATCCTCTTCCACATCATCTTCTTCTTCTTCTTATTTGCCATATTGCTCTCTAATCCATCCATTCATTCATTACCTAGTGAAAAAGAGGAGGAGCTCTCGGCAGTGCAGAGGCGGTCGGTAGTTTAACAGCCGCTGCTCCAGCTTCGAGTCCGGGGAATTGGGACAGTCACGCACGGTTTTGTATTTCTGTTACATGATTCATATTATTGTTATTTTCTGCCTGTGCTTGTGTTTGTGCTTATCTATTTATATATTTATTTAGTTATACAATAAAAGTAATAATATTGACATGTTTGATTTAGCTAAGATGATGAGCACAATTTCTGTAGTATGCATTTTAAGCCCTTTTTTTTTTGTTATTGATGTTGTTTGGATATCTCGAATCAAATTTACTTTGTTAAACTGCTATATATATTATTTTATTTCTTGCTAGACAAAGCTTGTTGGTGCAGTACAGTACAGTACAGTGTAGTGCAGTGCAGTGCAGTGCAATATGGTATGATATGGTATGGTATGGTGAGGCAAGGTGTAGTGTGGGGTTGTGGGTATGTGCGGATCGGACATTGATAGTGTCCGGCAACTAGCTTCAAATGGAAACTTTATTTAATTTTGACATTAAATTTAATACACACTCACACAAAAAAGACGCAGTAAAAATAATAATATTAATACTAACCCTATAAACAAAAAAAATATTAATACTAATAATAATGCATAAATAATATTATACCAATTACATTGCATATACTATGCCCAGAGTGACATCATATGCTCCACAAATTGAATAGTGTATAGTGTATAGTGTATTTTTTTTTTTTTAGATTTTGCCCACGCACGCAATTGAAGGCAGATTAGTTTTATTTCAGTTTACAAGAGTTTGAGTATAGAAGAAAAAAGCGTTTCTTCTTTTTCTATCATTTTCTATTCTTTGCTCTTTACATTTTATTTTATTTTCTCACACACGCAAATACATACATACATACATACATACATACATACATAGATACCTATATATTTACATATATAGATATATAGATATATTTTTTATACATACATATTATTAAAAGTAAAGTAAAAGCAAGCAGAGAAAATACCAATAATTATTGTGCTGCCAATTATTGTCAATTATGGAACAAACGTCTGTTCGGTCACCAATATCTACCCACCGTCAACGTCCTGATTCACTCACTGATGATTATGAATATCATATCTATGACACAAGTCCTGGCGAAAGGTCATACATAGCCTCGTCTTCGTTTGGTTCCTGCCCTATTGTGGTCATGTCGCGCCATCAAGGCTTTGAGTGGAATGAGGAGCTCTTTGTCGGAGCCTATCGCCGCAACGCTGGCTGTGAGAGCCACAAGAGTCGTGGGAGACAGCAGCGTGAAGAACGCATCTCGGATGAAATCAGAAGAAACTCGACAGAAACCAACAGTGATACTGTTTGTAGAGAAATTGAAAGAGTAGTTGAGATTAAATTAACAGACAAAGAAAAGGATATTTGGCCCTGATCCTCTCCCTCCAAAACAAAAACAAACCAAAAGAAAAGGAAAAGAAAAGAAAGCAGAGTTCCTTATTTCTTTTATTATTTTTATTATTATTTTCCACTCCCCCTCACTCTTGCTCTAACTTTCACTCCCCCTTTTTAATTTTTCTTTTATTTTCTTCTTATCTATCCACATTTTATATATACATATATACATATATATCCATGAACAGAATTCGCACACGCACGCACGCACGCACGCACGCACGCACACACACACATGCATACATACATACAAATGAATTGAATTGAATTGAATGTGCCATACTTTTCTTGTAGAACACAGGCTGAATGTTTGATCAGGGCGTCTTTTACAACTCCGTCATCAAAGCCTTTTTCATTTCTTAAAAAATAATAATAACAAGTTTATTCTGTTTTATATTGTTTTGGTTTGATAAAATTGACTGTAAAGAGCACCTTTTTTCTTTTATACGTTCTACCTTCATATCTTTATATTCAATAAAGTTGTTTATTTCTCATATGTCAATGATAAGAATGTTAAAGAGTGAAGAGCAGGTTTATTGTCTTGGCCGTCACACAAGTCAATTCATAAGATTCTTTAGAAGAAGAAGAATGAAGGGTGATATGCTAATGATACTGATAATGATAAGCCCAAGCCAAATCCAAATCCAAAGCCTAAGCTTATCAGATACATCAATGTACAGATCACTTTCCAAGCTGACTATATGTGTCGATAGTCTTTTATATCTGTAATGTGTAGTGTATAGAGAATATAATTCTTTAATCTCAATTGAACAAGTATAATATTTATTTATATATTATACTCTCTCACGCTGTGGACTTTGAACTTCTCAATCGTCGATCGTTTCTTTATTTTATATTTTTTTTTATTTTTTTGTTTCTTTGCTTGTAAAATGAAAATAGTTGGTTGATCTGGATTCATGAAAATTAGTTTACCCTTCTCTCTCTCTCTCTCTCTCTTGACTACTTGGCTACTTGATTATATTTTCCACAGTAGATCTATTTGATTAAAAGGTTGTACAGAATATTATTATTTTTTAAGCGGATTTGAACCATAATATTTTTGACAGCCAATATATTATATAAATAAATAAATAAAAAAAGAATGTCCACGTTTACACTATATATCTTTCCACTCTATTGTAATTGTACTTGTAATATAGATTATATCTCTTGTGTGTTTTGGGACATTCTTATTTTGATTTTGATTTTGATTTTCAAGTTAAAATAAATAAATAAAAAGGTACAAAAATTTCCAATTATTTTTAATTCTATTAAAGTGATCGAGGCTAAAACTAAACAAAAATTATGATATGTAAAAAATCTTTTATTATTATTATTATTATTATTCTCTCTCACACATACAAATATACACATTATCTATTAATCTATATATATATATATATATATATATATAAGGCTTATTTCCACCCGCCCCTACCCGCGGGATTCATTTTGTTATCCTTGTTGATCTTTACCCGCACTATCCCAGTCAATTTTTTTATTTTTTTATTTTTTTTTAGAAAAAAAATTTACCTGTATATATATATATATATATATATAAAAAAGATTACATATTACTCATAATAGGATTTGATTTTCTCTCTTTTTAATATTATATATAAAGATCAGATTAAGGGCTGAAAAAAGCCAAAAAGTCAAAAGCCAAAAAGTCAAAAGCCAAAAATAAAAATAAAAAGCTGCCTTCTCTTTCTTTTCTCGCTCATTATTAATCCTCGATCCTCTACCCTTGATCTTGTCACTATTACTACCAATACCATCATGAACCCTATTGTCCGTGCCGCCTCTTCCACTGTCCGTGCCTCTTCTACCATCTCTGTCCTTGGCAAGCGTCTGGCCATGTTCTCTATCACCGGTGCCTTGGCCTACTCATACATCCAGGACTGCAAGAATGATGTTATCTACTACACCAAGTCTTCTTAATAAGCATACCAGCATCGTCAAAAAGCATCCATTACCATCATAATCATAAACATAATCATAATCATAAACATATCAACAAACCCCATTTACACTTACATTTACATTCAAAAATTTCGTCTCATTTGAATCTTATATATATATTACTTATATAGAAATAGACTAGTGCTAAAATTAATATTAATCTTAATCTTAATATTGTTAATAAAAAAATAATACACTATCAACAATTTCCAAATGGCCCGTGCTTGTAATATATATATATATATATATATATATAAAGTAAAATAACAACAACAAGACAAGTTGACCATATCAATAATTCAATAATCTGGTTATTTATTCTCAAGTCTTACATAATATTTAAATTTATGTTTCATTTTTATTGATTATTAATCTCTTACTCTCTTTATATGTATGTAAGTAAGTATATAAAGAGAACCTCTTTGAAAAAAAAACAAGTATAATTAATAATGTGTAAATTTCCTCTCCAACGTGACAAGCTTGTACCTGAATATTTTATCCCACAAATTATTCACTGAAACATAAAACAATTAAAGGCTAAAAAGTAGTGCTGGTCTTAAATATCGACCAGAAATAAACCCTTCAAGCAAACCATTCTTTTTTTTTTTTTTTTTTTTTTTTTTTTTTTTTTTTTTTTTTGCTCATAATACATCCAAGATTAAAATGTTTTGATATTTGAAAAAACAAACAAACAATATAGTCAAGTATCATTGTTACAAAGACCCTATCAATATCACGCAAGTAAAATACCACTGCTAGTTTTATTGACTTACACCATATGAATGTACGTTGAAATTTGAGTACCATAGATACTACAATATGGAGTATATTTATTTAAACAGACAGTTACTAGTATACTTTGCATATTGTTGAATTTACAATTGAAATTAAATTATTTAATTAAAAGGGATCATTTTGATCAAAATGACAAGCTAGATACAGAAAGTCAACTATATATATTAAAATCGGTAAACCAAAGCCTTTTTAAGTGTTCAAGTAACCTGGTGAGGCACATTACGATCCACAATATCAAATTTATTTGACATTTATTGCTCAAATATTGATCAAAATATCAACATTTTTTTCCACCCTAAAAAAAAACATTAATATCGATATTCGGGCTCATTTTCCATTTTACTTAGAGCTTAATAAAACTCAAAGACGTGCGTCTCAATTTCAAAATACAGTGGTCCCTCGATAATGTCAAGGCTCTTGTGAACTCCCTTTTAAAAACAGGGTTAAACCTTCGCGATTCACGTTAATTTCACTTTCATAATAGTTTCTAGTCTTGAATCCTTAACGAGGAAGATTTTCAACCAATCAAATTATGATAATACTTAGCTGCTAACTTTTTCTTTTACTGTATATAGGAATATTTCTAACAAAGAGTGCTTTGACACTACCTCTACCTTCATCGAAAAAAAAATATATAATCCACACTCTCTAATTTCATCCTTCGATAATTTCAACGAACTTAGTCCCCGCCTTAGCCTTGAAATTATCAGAGGACCATTGTACACCAGGCACATATACATTATACACTTATACAATGTGAACCAACCATTACACAACAAGGGTTTTAATTACAGAGATTTTAAAAGTAGCAAATATAAACAATATTGTTTTGTCTCTTTAATATATAGCACTCTCACAGCATTTAACTTTTCCTACATTGACATACTAACCCATTAAAAATCCTGAATACCTAAGAAATATATTTTGCCCAATTTTTTTTTCCCAAAAAGCTATATTCTTTGCTATACTTGCTCATAATAAAACGTTTGCACTACATATTCAATTGATCTATGAATTCAGCACATCTTACATTTTACTATGATACACATTACAGAAAATTTTCATGTGTTTATCTCGTTGCATTTGTCTACAGCTTTATTGCATGCCGTTTTTGTGTTTTTATTAACTTAATTTTGTTAATTATTCTTCTGCCCAGCACAGAAAATGAACTTGCTTCCAATAGCCTTTTGCATCATTTTTTTCTCAAATTTTAGTTTTATTATATAAATATATATATATATACCCTCTCATATTTATTTCGCTTTCCATTTATTGATTTACATAATATTTATGTGTATAATTAATGAATTAATTAATGAATTAATTAATTAATAAATAGATAGAAAAAAAGAAGGTTGATGGTGACTACATTATATATATATGTTAAAATTCTTTGGGCATTGTTTTTTTGTTTAGTTGTGGTTAAATTGCGTATATTTATATATAAAATTCCTAAAAGAAGAGTGGTTTTTGTTTGGCTGTAAACAATGTTATTGCTGGATCTTCAAATGCAAATTGAAATCAAGGTATCGAGTTAGCAGACAAAGGCTGACTAAAAATTAATAGACCAAGTTTGTTAGTTTGTTAGTTTGTCTATTACCTATAACAGCTTTGAAGACCAAAATATTAAGTTAATCAAATGTATTATTCTAGACAATTGATGAACAAACGAACTTGGATTTCAGATCCGGTTTCAAATTAAGTACATTTCAAATAGCGGAGAGAGGATACTATTTAATTTATTGGCCTAAAAAAAAGTCTAATGTGATCAATACATATATATGTCTATAACTAAGTTAATAAAATATCTAACCTTACTTTCTGACTTTGCAATATCACAATGTTTTATTGGGTCGGCTGTCAGATGCCTGGTGATAATATTTATTTAAGTAAACTATTTCAATAGAAAAATAATTTATTTTAATTATGAAGGTGTTCAAAAGAACAAATTCAAGGACAAGGGCTTAATCTCAGTATATCGTAGCAACAAAGGTCACTCGACTACTTACAATACCCCGTCAGTTGCATGCAAACTGCATGCAATTCATCACTACTCCATACTAGCATTACTATGTAGCTCTGAATGTACTCGCCTTTCAGCGAATACGAGCAAAGACACAATATGCTTTTCAGCTCAAAAGCATATTTATACTCATATAGTGTATGAGCAACACATATAGTATGGTTTCCAGCATCAGCTCTGGCTTATGGTTGTTTAGCCATTTCCCAACCAATGGGGGCTTCACAGCATTTACTGTAAAGCCTAATCCCATACTATGGTTAAAGAACAATAAGAGCAGTGGTTTCTCATTGGCGCCGAAGCTCCCACTTATCTGTATCCCTTATGTCTTTTTACCAAGTCAAGCTCAACAAGGTCTTATTTCCTTGCCAATTCTACCAAGTTTACTAGCTTGGCTATTATTATTGTACTCACCAAGTACAATTATTCCACACATAGTATATTTGCTAGTTTTTTTCTTTTTTTCGGCACAAAGGCCAGGAAGAAAATCGTGACCACAGTTCCCCCTTCAGGTACGGTGGTGAGCCGTACCGTCCGGATTCCTCTCTCTACCACTCCTACTGGTAGCAGATTTGAGCCGTCGCCAACACGGACAAAGTGTCCGTGTCCATACGGTCAAACGGTTCGACACCAAGTCGCTCTACTAAAGAGAGGTACCAGGTAGTGGGGTATCCCCTAAAAACTCCCTTGATCCACCGGGATGAGACTGAAGCCGTTGGTCATACCACTCGGGCCGGCTTCGGATGTATTATACTAGGACATATAGTCCTTGATGGCTCCTACTTCCTGTAGACACCCTACAGGTGTCCTCATAGCCATACCGCAGACCCCATAAACGCGCCCTAGATACACAGTTTGGAGCATGCGGTGGTTAGGGTAATAACCACGACCGGACTCGAAAGCCCTGGAAGAGCTATACCCATAACCTTGTCTCTCCACCCAAGAGACAGTATAATACATTCGGGGGCGGTGGCAACAGCCTCGTCCTCGTGTGGATCCGGTTCAGCATAGAATCTGGCCTAAAGACGTTCAGCCATCATCCTGCGGATCGAAGCTTCACGGAATCCACCGTGAAGCCCAATCTAACATGCCTTTTCACTGAAAAGACAATAAGAGCATTGGCTTCTCATTGGCGCCGAAGCTCCCACTTATCTGTACCTCTTATATATTTTTACCAAGTCAAGCTCAATAAGGTCCTATTTCCTTGCCGATTCTACCAAGTTTATTAACTTGGCTATTATTATTGTACTCACCAAGTACAATAATCATACATGTAGTATATTTGCTAATTTTTTTTTGTTATTTAGGCCCGAAGGCCAGGAAGAGAATCGTAACCACAGTTCCCCATTTAGGTACAGTGGTGAGCCGTACCATCCAGATTCCTCTCTCTACCACTCCTATGGGTAGCAGATTTGAGTCGTCGCCGACACGGACAGAATGTCCGTGCCCATACGCTCAAACGGTCCGACACCAAGCCCCTCTGTCTAGTAGATGTTCCAGGTAGTGGGGTATCCCCTAAACTCTCCCTTGTACCCGTCGGAAGGAGTCTAAAGCCACTGCTCATGCCACTAGGCGCCAGCTTCGGATGCATTATACTAGGACTTGTAGTCCTTTATGGCTCCTACTTCCTGTAGGCTTTCTACAGGTGTCATCATAGCCATACCGTAGACCCCACCAACGCGCCCTAGATGCAACGTTTGGAGTATACGGTAGTTAGGGTAATAGCTACAACCGGACTCGAAAGCCCTGGAAAAGCTATACCCGTAACCTTGTCTCTCCACCCAAGAGACAGTATATTACATCCGGTGGCGGTGGCAACAGCCTCACTCCCAGTCGGTTCGCCTTTAGCAAAAGTTCTTGCTAAGAGACTTTCAGCCATTATCAGGCTGATTGGGGCCTCACGGAATCCACCGTGAAGCCCAATCCAACATTCTTTTTCATTGAAAAGACAATAAGAGTAGTGGTTTCTCATTGGCGCCGAAGCTCCCACTTATCTGTACCTCTTATGTCTTTCTATCAAGTCAAGCTCAACAAGGTCATATTTCCTTGCCAATTCTACCAAGTTTATTAACTTGGCTGTTATTATTGTACTCACCAAGTACAATATTCATACATATAGTATATTTGCCAGTTTTTTTTTTTTTTGTTTCGGCCCGAAGGCCGGGAAGAGAATCGCGACCACAGTTCCCCCTTCAGGTACGGCGGTGAACCATACCATCCGGCTTCCTCCCTCTACCACTCCTACGGGTAGCAGATATGAGCCGTCGCCAACACGAACAGCACGTTCGCATCCATACGCTCACACGGTTCGACACCAAGTCCTCCTGTAAAACAGAAGTTCCAGGTAGTGGGGTATCCCCTAAACTCTCCCACATAACGTAACAACAGTCAACTCCTTCAGCTCCCTACTGCCACCTTCCACTCCTATTCACTCCGACGTCCTATCTCCTCGCCATCCTTTCTACTTGCCCACGCCTTCCCCCAAAACTCTCTTCCTCTACTCGCACAGCACCACATCCCCCTCACCACATCCCCCTCACCACATCCACTTCACCACATCCACTTCACCACATCCACTTCACCACATCCCTCTCACCGCATCCCTCTCACCACAGGCTCCTACGCTTACATCTGCCTCTTTTCCTAATAACATTCCTCCCTTCCATCATTCCCACCCACAACCGCCCTCTCCTCTTCGTCGTTTCCACTCTCGGTTGCTGCCATCTGGGCGTCTCGTCGTCTGGTCTTCCGGTCTTCCGGTCTTCCAGTCTTCTGTTCATCCGGCCACAACGCTACTCCTACTTGTCATGAATTAGTTATTACCATGACAGTACTTGTTCGCTATTGGTCTCTTACCAAGCTTTAGTCTTTCTGTTCATACTAGCCGTTATTAGGGGAATCCTTGCTAGTGTCTTTTCTTCCGCTTAACGTTTCGGTCCAGTGGGTATTTCGACCTTATTTCAGGTCGTTTTTTTTTGCTTCTTTTTTTTTGTTTTTCTTTTTTTTTGTTTTTTTTTAATTATGGCTTTTAAGCCAAGGTTCATTATTTCGTGTGAACCGTTTTTAGGTGCGCATATAAAGCTAGCACCGGCGTTTATGGGCGTTGGTGATTTTCATAACGCTTTCTGTTATCAGCAACAATATTATCCTAGCAATGTTTGCTTAAGATGAGTATTTCAGTATTTATATACTGATTCTGTTTGATCCATAACCAAACATACCTGAACGAGCGAGTTGCTTTACGGGTATGCGGCTATGTTCACTTTTAGCTTTGCCAGTCAATTCAGTTCTTCAGTAAGATTTTGGGAGTCTATTGAGACTAGCTTGGCCTTTTAACGATAGGCTATTTTTTAAATCCCAAGGTGCAAGACATATCACAGTTTTTTGTTAGACTACCAGAACAACGTAAACGTTAAACTGTAGATAACATTAGCAATGGCTCTTCCGTAAGATTACGTACAGAAACCTTGCTACATACCTCAATTCCCAGTACGAAATAGCTTTAAAAGAGTACCCAAGCTTATTAGCCATGGTTATATACTCATTAACTATGTCAGTGTAGCGCATGTGCGGCCCAGAACATCTAAGGGCATGATAGACCTGTTATTGCCCAACATCACCCTGCTTAGCGCAGGTAGTATATTTAGGAAGACAGAAAAGCCGAAGCTTGACCCAACTGAAAAGGTGATTTTTCAATCCTTTTATGTGTGTACCAGCTGAGTTCCCCCGTGTTGAATCAAATTAAGCCGTAGGCTCCGCTCCTGCTGGTGCCCTTCCGTCAGTTCTTTTAGATTTCATCCTTCATTTTCGGGACCAGACCCTGATTCCCTGCTACCCATGGTAGACAACGCAAGCCTCTATCTTACAGTCTTAATCTGATAGGGCAGAAAATATAATAAACCATCGCCAGCACAAGGCCATACGATCACCATTGAATTATTATAAATCACGAAAAAAATGGCCTTCACATCAAGCTGGCTTTTACCCAATAAGGGTACCCCTTCCAAAATCGAGGTTTTCGTTGCATGTATTAGCTCCGAAATTACCACGGTTATACAAGTAGTAATTACTTATAATGTTCATCATAACTGATTTAATGAACCTTTATTTCCCTGATCCAAATCCAATAAATTGAATCTGTAGATTATTAGCAGTACAAAGACTACCGCCCAGCAGATCGTCCCGAAAATTTACCGAAGCAAAAGTATACGGTTTGAAATATGCGCCGGGAGACCAGTAGATGTTTTTATTAAAGAATAAAATCTCTGCTGATCCGAGCAAAAGAGGCGCCAGGTAAACTCGGGAAAGATATACCCCACGCATAGTACTCTCTGAGAAAAGATTTTTGAAAAAAACTCCAAAATTAATTGTTGTTAAGATTTCAATCATCTTCTCTCATACATATCATAGGGGGGTCATTAGTAGTCTCGCCAAAGGTTAAAAACGTTTATTTACACTTTTCAACTTTTTTTTTCTGGGATTGAATAATTAAGAGTGAAATTAAAATATAAATTCAATTTGTTCCAAATAAGGAAACGAATTGGTCCAAAGGGTTCGCCCTCAGACCGGTTAATACAAGTTTAGATTAAATCTTAACCGGTTGTTACCAGTTGGCTTAAATTTTCACCTGAATCTATCCATTTGGCTCTAATGCTCACCGGAATCTATCCATTTAGCTTACATGTTAACCGGAATCACTTTGTTTAGCTAAAATGTTAACCGGTTGATACCTGATTAGCTTGAATGTTTACCGGAACGTATCTATCTAGCTAAAATGTTAACCAGTTACTACCAGATTAGCTTATATGTTTACCAGAATTTATCCATTTAGCTTACATGTTAACCGGAATCGCTTTGTTTAGCTAAAATGTTAACCGGTTAATACCTGATTAGCTTGAATGTTTACCGGAACGTATCTATCTAGCTAAAATGTTGACCAGTTACTACCAGATTAGCTTACATGTTTACTGAAATTTATCCATTTAGCTTACATGTTAACCGGAACCAATTTGTTTAGCTAAAATGTTAACCGGTTGATACCTGATTAGCTTGAATGTTTACCGGAACGTATCTATTTAGCTAAAATGTTAACCAGTTACTACCATATTAGCTTATATGTTTACCAGAACCTATCCATTTAGCTTACATGTTAACCGGTTGATACCTGATTAGCTTAAATGTTTACCGGAACGTATCTATCTAGCTAAAATGTATACCGGTTACTACCAGATTAGCTTATATGTTTACCAGAATTTATCCATTTAGCTTACATGTTAACCGGAATTACTTTGTTTAGTTAAAATGTTAACCGGTTGATACCTGATTAGCTTGAATGTTTACCGGAATGTATCTATCTAGCTAAAATGTTAACCAGTTACTACCAGATTAGCTTACATGTTTACTGAAATTTATCCATTTAGCTTACATGTTAACCAGAATTACTTTGTTTAGCTAAAATGTTAACCGGTTGGTACCTGATTAGCTTAAATGTTTACCAGAATGTATCTATCTAGCTAAAATGTATACCGGTTACTACCAGATTAGCTTACGTGCTTACCGGAATCCATCCATCTAGATAAAACGTTAACCGGAATCAAATTATTTAGCTATAATAGAAACTGGTTACTACCAGATTAGCTTATATTTTAACCGGAATATATTTATATACCTAACATGTTATCCGGTCGTTACCCAATTAGCTTAAATGTTGACCAGAGCTCATTTATTTAACTTAAATGTTAACCTGTTACTACCAAATTAACTTAAATATTAACCGGAATATATTTACCTAGCTAACATGTTAGCCAGGTGTTACCTGGTTTGCTTAAATGTTGACCAGAACTCATTTATTTAGCTTAAATGTTAACAGGAAGCAATTTGTTTAGCTTAAATTTTGACCAGAATCCATTTGTTTAGCTTAAATGTTAACGTGGTACTACTATATCAGCTTAATTATTAACCGGAATCAATTTATCTAGCTAATATGTTTACCGGTTGTTACCAGTTTAGCTTAGATATTGACCAGAATCAATTTATCTAGCTAATATGCTTACCGGTTGTTACCAGTTTAGCTTAGATATTGACCAGAATCAATTTATCTAGCTAATATGCTTACCGGTTGTTATCATTTTAGCTTAGATATTGACCGGAATCACTTTATTTAGCTAAAATGTTAACAGGTTGTTACCAGTTTAGCTTAGATATTGACCAGAATCAATTTATCTAGCTAATATGTTAACCGGTTGTAACCAGTTTAGCTTAAATATTGACTAGAATCAGTTTATCTAGCTATAATATTGACCAGAACCCATTTATTTAACTTAAATGGTAGCCAATTACTACCAGATTAGCTTAAATATTAACCAGAAATTATTTATTTAGCTAACATATTAACCGGCTGGTACCCAATTAGCTTAAATGCTGACCAGAACCCATTTATTTAACTTAAATTTTAACCGGTTACTACCAGATTAGCTTAAATATTAACCAGAATACATTTATCTAGCTAATATGGTAGCCAGTTGTTACTTGGTTAGTTTAAAGTTGACCGGAATCCATCCATCTTGATAAAACGTCAACCAGAATCAATTTGTTTACCTAACATGTTAGCAAGCTGTTACCAGGTTAGCCTAAATTTTGACCGGAATGTATCTACCTAGCTAAAATGTTAACCAGTTACTACCAGATTAGCTTACATGTTTACCAAAATCCATCCGTCTAGATAAAATGTTAACCCGAATCGATTTATCTAGCTAACATGTTAACCAGCTGTTACCAGTTTAGCTTAAATACTGACCGGAATCAATTTATCTAGCTAAAATGTTAATTTGGCACTACAAGATTAGCTTAATTATTGACCAGAATATATTTAGCTGCTAACATGTTAACCGGTTGTTACCCGATTAGCTTAAATATT